TCTGTGAGCTGCTCTCATCAGTATTCCCTCCCCTCCTCTACCCCTTCTTCCTCATCTCCTTCTCTTACCCTCCCTGCTCCCCCTCCTGCTGAGCCTCCCCCCTCCCCCCCCCGCCTCCTCCCCACGCAATTAGCAGTCCGCCCATTCACGAGGAGCAGCAGCATCTTCAATTTCGCAAAGTCGTGGATTTTCATCGCGGTTTCTCTCCGGCTTTCCGTTGTCCCATTTTCAACCTGGCGGCGTATCAACAGTGAAACGACCATCCAACCAGGGTCAAGTAGCTCCGTTCCACCCTAGCACTCTACATTCGCTATTCTTCTACCTTAGCTCGCCCATACACTCGTTCCTAGTCCTACATTATTAGTCTTGGGGTTCCAACTTTTTTACTCCCGACGTTCATTCCTCTACCAGCACTGCTCCACAAATTTGTATTTTCATCACCAATACCTTTGATTATATTCTGCATAGAGATACCTTTCCTTGAGGGGACCGACATTCGTTACTGGCCTATAGAATCAGAGTTCGAGGAAGACACCAACGACCAAGATAACCGCCAACTCAACGTCCACCAAATCAAAGTCACTCCCCACCATCAACAAGTCAAGAGAGATCCCTCATTATCAACTGCCTCCCCTTCGTGAAGAATAGTATTTCCTTCCGCTCTACTACAATAATGGCTCCTGCTTCGCCTCGATTACGAATACTCTCCGGTGTGTTGCGCTCTTCTCTTCTACCTTAAAACACCAAGGTTTTCGAGACCTTTGCTAACAGACTCGTAGTTGGGGGTAATTCTGTTTCTGCATTTCTATCATGGAGGTTGCAGGCCACAAATGCCTGCGATGTTACGCTGGTATGGAAGTCCGGTCATGATACAGTATCACAATATGGCATATCATTTAAGTTTGTGCTCGCTCTCTGTTTCGCTGAGCTCTACCGCATGCTGATAAGCTCCCAAGGTCAGGCAAATTCGGTAACGAGAGGTTTAAGCCACATTCCGGTAAGTTCCATGATTCGGTTACTCCCGTACCTATCAGAGTACTAAATACCTTTGAATTAGTTGTCCGTTCACCAGAAGAAGCTGCTGGCATTCCTGGAGGATTCGACTACGTCCTTCTTTGCGTAAAAGCACTACCGGACCTCTACGATGTAGCCGCAATAATCGATTCAGTAGTCACCCCACAGCACACCTGCATTGTTGTAAACACCACATACAGCTTGGGAATAGAATCATATCTAGAATCGCGATTCCCCACGAATATTGTATTGTCGCTCGTAAATGGGGCCAACATCATCCAGTCAGGCCCAAGCGAGTTTGAACATGCTGGCGCCTCGGAAGTATGGGTTGGCTCAACAAATCAGAACCCCAGCATTCCAATGACCCTCCAACTAGATATGGCAGAGGCCTTGGCTTTGACCCTAGCATCTGGAAATGTTGAATGCCATGTATCGGCAAATATTCGGCAACAACAATGGGAGAAAATGATTGGGTATGTGAATTACTAGTATCTATAGGTTTTTTTAATTTTTTTTTACTAACTTTATACAAGACCCATAGCCTTTCAGCCGCTAAGTGTACTTCTTGAGACGCCAGTTCACTCAGTGTTGATAGAGAAAGCAGGCGCCAAGAAGCTTATTCCAGACCTAATCGACGAGCTTATTGACATCGCAAAGGCGCAATCATGTTCATTCCCAGAAGATTTTAAGCAGAAAACCATTGATGAACAACTTCAAGCACCACAAAGCATGATGTACCAGGACTTTGTTGCCCGGAGACCTTTGGAGATTGAAAATTATTTGGGCTCACCAATTAAGTTTGCGCAAGCTGCTGGGGTTAAAGCGAGCCACTGCCAGGCATTGTATACAGTTCTTCATCATGTCAACACGGCCAACCAGACAAGGCCTCCTACATCTCCGGCTGCTTCAATCAATGGCCCTGGTCCACGCCCAATGCAAAATGGTCCACAGCAACCTAGACCTCAACAGAACGGCATAAACGGCATGAACAGCCAACGTCGACCACCACCCCCTTCTATGGGTGGTCCTCCAATGGGTGCAAGGCGTGGTCCGCCACCTCATCAGCCATATGGGCCTAATCCGAATGGGCTCCACCCTAACGGGTACCCCCGAAGACCACAAAATGGCAGCAATTCCCCACAGCCTCCTTCGAGAACAGTCTCACGCAGGAATTCTTTTGATAATGACCTTGAGGAATTCGGGCACCTTGCTCTATACGATGAATTGGCGGATAGCGAGGAGTTACCGCACCAACAGGATGGAGGAGAACACATTCAACCTGGTCGAAGCCGTGCGCCATCTGCTGGCGAAATGGCACTTCGGGAACGCGAGTTCCAACTGAGACAAAGGGAATTAGCACTTCGGGAACAAGAGATCAGTATGCGCCAGAATGGCCACAGCATCAAACAAAGCAGGAGAAAAAGTCGGGCCAGGAGTGTGTATGATGACGATGACGATGAAGATGATGGCTATGTTGATGCACCACCACCTATGCCACCAATCGACCCCGATAACTTTGATATGATGAGTTTGACGTCACGGAGGACCAGAAGGCTACCCAGTGCAGGTAACTTGAGAGGGTCTGAGGTCGACGCAGCGGCCATGCCACCAAACAGGACCAGACATTCAATGGCTCCGAGCAGGCCTGGTCCTAGGAGTCGGGTGAGCGCCAGGCTCATGAGTGATGTTCCTGGTTTGCACGATTCTCCTTTGGACGGTGGTTTGATGGGTTACTCGTCAAATAGGTACGGCAGCGTTGATAGAAAAATGTTGTCAGATTCGTCACGAGCCAATTCTTTGACCGCTCGCGGCTTGGATGAGATTACTGGGATGTCAGTAAGAGGGGGAGGAGGGGCATATCCACCTCATCCAGGCCAGATGCCACCGCCGCCAAATCGACGAACGAGCATGTCACCTGGAGATGTGCGCCCGAACGGGCCTGGGCCTCGCCCTGGGTACCCAGCAGATCAGCGAAACTTTAGACACGCGTCAAACACCCACCCTCCAAATGGCCATTTCCCCAATGGTCATCCGCCGCCTAATGGGCCCTTGAGACAACCGAGCCCGAGATTTCCTGAAGGACAAGTGCTACCGCAGCAGGCTGGACAGATTCCTGACGGGGTAAGCCAAACCAATCTCTTAAAGGGATCGACGAGTAACCGCGATCGAAGTACTACGGGTAGTGCTAGCGCTAGTGCAGATAGCGGGGCCAGTGGCCAAACATCGGCGGCAAGCAGTTCGAGTAGCCTTGAGAGGAGGATGGTAACTGCAGTGCGGTAAATATGATGGAAATGTCAGGGTGATTTGCATATCGAAGAGAACGGCGTGGCATGTTCAAAAGTTTGATCAAGGAAAAGAGTTTTTTACGGATTGCGTTTCTCCCCCTTTCCCACTTCATTTGCGTCTTTTTAGTCAATTTTTCAATTTCTGCCACCGTTCTGTTTCCTTTACTTCATTTTTCAAGATCATTAGTATTGAAGCAAAGGGAAACAGGAAGGGTGCAGGTGGGGACCGATAGACTGGAATCCACACTTGCCAACAGCTTCCGTACATACGCTTCGCTTTTTTGTTCAGTTTTCTTCTTCTTCTGGGTCGGGTATAATATCACGGTGTCATTGCAGGTGTCATCTTCTCTGGATCTTCTCGAGGCTTATTTTTTTATTATCCTATTTTCGAACTCCAGATTGCTTTTGCGCTGATATCTCTGTATTAACTTTGCGTTCTAAATGTCTTTCTTCTCATGCTTTATTTCTTTTTTCGTTTTAACTAAGTAACGAGGATAAGGATTTGGGTTCATTTTTTCTTTCTGCCTGGTGCTTGGCTTAGGGTTTGGGAGGGGGTTAAAAGCTGTTGAATTGGATCGTTGAACAGGAAATACTCAATTTCTGGCGCGTACGATACCTCAGCTACGACTCATGTATTTTTTGTTGGGGTTGTTATAAAGATGCTGAAAGGAAGCGGGGTGCCATAGGGCGTCTTCTCTTTTTGCTACACATTCATTATTGTTTCTATCATTCCATTACTTTTTCTTGTTGTCAATTTTGCCTCACCTTTCACGATTTTCTTCCTGTTTAACATACACGTCCTTCTCGTCTTCATCTCTCATTCAAGCATACACGGGCACATTTGCCTTCTGGACATGAAAGCTCATTTCTCTTGCCTTTCTCTTTTTTAATACCTTGGTGTCTTCGTTATTAAGTAGTATTTAGTCACTCTGAGATCTATGGGCTGAGCATGAAAGTGCCAGCTGCGGGCATCGCACCATATTAATCAAGGATATTCATCCAGAATTATCTCCCCCATCCCATTACCTATTATAGATGTCAATGATTTTCTTTGGTCTGTTGCGAATAATTGTTTATATTGGGGTGGATATGTCATTTATGGGAGATGTAGAACATCAAACATCTCGTTTCCTTGCCTTTCCTTTCTTCCTACCTTGCTTTTTTCTTTTCTCAATGGCCGGCCCAAGTTTGTTTTTAGATAGGATACCTACCGGATGGACAGGTGTAAATAGATTTCATGCTTACTCTATTTGATGAAACTCCCCCGCAGACCGATGAGCTTGCAGCTCAGCTCAAATCCCGCGCATAATACATGTATTACATACACAGGGCAGAAATCTTGAAACAGGGGAGCAAGAGGAGGAGGAGGAGGGGAAAGGAGCATGTGTCGTGGCATTTCCTCAGTCAGTACGTACAACGCGGCCTTGTTGCCGTCTGGGAGTGGTAGGAGGTGATTCTGACGCGAACTGGAGTTCCCTTACTTTACGAGTAGCTACATAGCTAGCTGGATGGGGCATGGCCGTGTCAAGTTTTCTAAACCAACACGCGTATCGATATCGAGGAGCAGAGAGTATTACGATGCTATGCTAATAATACTACATGTAGCATTCATGTACTTAGGTTACCTACAAGTACATGTACCTGACTTCAGTATGCAAGTATTCAAGTTCTTGATATGTAGGCAGTTCTTGAAAATTACAATTATGCAGCGGTGCCATCGACAGTATCCTTTGAATCCGGTTCCTCAGCCTTGTGAGGAGCAAGACCCTCCGTTGTATCTATCTCCATGGCAGTCCCTTGTTTCTGTTGCTGCTCTTGATCCCCACGATTGTTCTTGGCCTCCCCACTAATAACTACATCCGGCCTCTCACTCCACAGTTTCCAGTCCTTCTTCTTGGTTTCCATACCAACCGGGAACCGCTTTACTGCGCCACAACCGTTGCATTCGACGACAAGAACGTCTGCCCATGGTTTGCGCCCATTACGGCTGTCGTTCACGATGCTATGTGTGCTTGTGGCACCAGGGATCAAAAGAGCATCGCACCGCTTGCAGATAGTGCGCTTAACAGCTGGTGAGATACGTAGCACTGATTTTTTTGCGACTGCGCGAGCATTTGAGAGGTAGAAGCGCGAGAGAGAGGTATTGGCGCTGGAAGGGCCAGTGCCATGACTGGAAGGATGAGGATGGGTAGTAGTAGTAGTAGTAGTAGTAGTAGTAGTAGTAGTAGTAGTAGTAGTAGTAGTAGTAGCAGTAGTATCGGAGACCTGGTTATAGGATAGAAGTTGTGCGGACTGATAGAGGAAGTTTATTCGAGCGTAAATATGAGGATTTGGAGCGTTTGGCTTGCTGGGCTGTCGGGCTTTGGCTTTTGCCATTGTGTCGAGTATGAGTGTTGAAGTTTGAGGTTTGCTGTCATGCAACACCTCTAGTACCTGCCAGCTTAGTCCAGCGTTTAGTGGGGCCTTGTTCAAGATGGGTAAATCAACCAAAATATGTACTGGCCTGTAGATACATTCGAATTTGCGAGTGGGAACAATGTGAGCATGGTTCATTTTATGTGCGTTATAGATTTTAGTTAAACCTGCAAGAGCTTGATGTAACTTCTTAATAATAGAAAATATGTATTTACTACATGTAGTAGAAGCATACTAAATAGGTAGATACGTCCACATCAATATCTACGTTAGTACTAAGGACTAAGTAAAAGGTCTCATGGGGGGCTCTGTACGGGATCAAGCTTTCCGTACGGTCTACGGTTCAAGTCTGGTTGAGGCTCTGATGATTTTGTGCTGAGTAATCATAACAGGGTTAGGGGATGCCAGCACAGGATGGTTTATTGACTGCGTCAGATTCTCTCTTCTTCTTTTCCTCCACTCGTTCGCTCTCCTCTTCACACGTAGTCTCACAGCCCATCAACTGAAGTCCCGTTAACCCTCGCTAGACTCGTTGCTGATCTGTTCTTTCCTAAAGCGGTCTTTCCGTTGTTCTGCATTGTTGAGCTGAGCCTTCTTCTCGCTCACTCCCTCCTTCCCTTCCTCCCTTCCTTCTTCTCTTCTACCTCAACACCTTTCACCTCCATCTTCATTCAACATCCCATCCATCTCAGATATTAACCAACCGTATACCACTTTCTGTAACCGACTTAATCAATTCGATCAATCAATATGTCTGGCGAGGAAGATCTTATCGACTACTCTGACGACGAGGGTCTTGATACCAAAGTCGACGCAACCACCACCGCCGTCAGTGGTGATGTTGCTGCTAAAAAGTCAGATGCGACTGCTTCCGCAGCCGCTGGAGCCGGAGCCACTGCTGCCGACAAGAAGGGTTCTTATGTCGGAATTCATTCGACTGGTTTCCGAGATTTCCTTCTCAAGCCCGAACTACTCAGAGCTATCGTCGACTGCGGTTTCGAACATCCGTCCGAGGGTCAGTTCTTTCTCCTCCCTAATTGAAAAAGAAATATATCCTCTCTTGTCATCTCTGTCCTCAATCTACGCGTCTTATCGTCGTCTTGGGTGGTCTCGTCATCTGTCATCTCCGTGGTCGTTCTTCCGTCTCGCTTAGGCCACTCAGGCGCTGGAGTTCAAGGCAAAACATGTATGGCTTCTGGTTGCAAGGATTGCAAAAAAAATATGTTTCTCCTGGCAGGAAGCCCAACGACATCGTCACGTCATCATTGCCTTTTCAATTTGACTCGCTTGGTGTATCGCGACGATCGAGGGTGGGAAGCATGGAGAGAACATGAAAGAGGGGGGATTTTTTTTCAATCCGCAGAAGGCCGGTATATGAGCGAGACGCGGAGACGGACAAGATAGATAGATAGACAGACGTGGCTACCCATACGCACACATGCGCGACTTTGCTTGATCCCAATCATCATTGTTTACAAAAATCGGTCGAGAATGCGCGAGTTAACATAAACATTCGGTTCCTTCCTACAGTCCAGCAAGTCTGCATTCCTCAGTCGATTCTTGGAACAGATGTTCTTTGCCAGGCCAAATCCGGTCTTGGTAAGACTGCGGTCTTCGTCCTCACGACTCTTCAACAAGTCGACCCTGTCCCTGGCGAGGTCTCAGTCCTGGTCATGTGCCACACCCGTGAATTAGCATACCAGATCAAGAACGAGTACGCGCGTTTCAGCAAATATATGCCTGATGTCCGCACTGCAGTCTTCTATGGTGGTACCCCAATGCAAAAGGACGTGGAGGTATTGAAGAACAAGGATCAACACCCCCACATCATTGTCGCGACCCCCGGTCGATTGAACGCGTTGGTTCGTGACAAGCACCTGAGGCTAGGGAGCGTCAAGGTGTTTGTGTTGGATGAGTGCGACAAAATGTTGGAGCAGATTGGTATGTTTGATTTGGATACGCCCTCAATATTTCTATTAATTTACACTAGCTGACTTGATCAAGACATGCGCCGCGATGTACAGGAAATCTTCCGTGCAACTCCTCAGCAGAAGCAAGTTATGATGTTTTCTGCCACTCTTTCGCAGGAGATCCGCCCGATTTGCAAGAAGTTTATGCAGTCTCCTCTGGAAATTTATGTAGACGACGAGACCAAACTTACCTTACACGGTCTTCAGCAGTACTACGTGAAGCTTGATGAAAAGGAGAAGAACAGGAAACTGAACGAACTATTGGACCAGCTCGAGTTTAACCAAGTTATCATCTTTGTCAAGAGTACCCTGAGAGCAAACGAGCTCAACAGACTATTGACGGAGTGCAACTTTCCCAGCATTGCTGTGCACAGTGGAATGGCCCAGGAAGATCGGTATATATCTTGGTTTCCCTGGCATTGACCGATGCTAACATGGTTATTCAGTATTGCACGATACAAGCAATTCAAAGAGTTCAATAAGCGGATTTGCGTCGCTACAGATGTCTTTGGTCGTGGTATTGATATTGAACGTATCAACCTTGCTATCAACTATGATCTTCCATCCGACCCCGACTCTTACTTGCATCGTGTTGGTCGTGCCGGTCGTTTCGGAACCAAGGGTTTGAGTATCTCCTTTGTGAGCTCAAAGGAGGACGCCGAGGTCCTTGACAAGATTATGGAAAGGTTCGAAGTCAGCTTGGACCCGTTCCCAGAGGGCGGAATTGATGCCAGCTCGTAAGTACTCCTTCGAGGAAGAATTTCTCAAATTCTTGCGCTGATTATATTATGTCATAGTTACATGAACACTTAAATGGTGAGATCGATTTTTATACGATTTTGCATGTGTTCGAGTAAGCCTTTTGGAACCTGGGAGGGGTTTAAAAGTTTATCGGGGAAGTGATGATATTCGTTGGGTAATGAAATATGGATATCCTCGGGGGAAAAAAAAAATTCAAAACCTGCGAAGTAAAACTCTTTTCAAACTATTATCAGCCTGGGAAAGAAGGGATTCTGGTTGGGAGCAAGAGGGGTTCTTGTTTGATGAATAACTTCTTTTTTCATGGCTCTGGGGGAAAGGGTGGCGCTTCTTATTCTTTTTTTTTTTTTTCTTTTTCCGTTTTCTGTTACTTGTGTGCTTTTTGTCTTTTCTACTCTCCTCCCGGGGGTTATCTTCAATAGTTATGTTTTTGTCTTCTTGCTACGAAATATGATAAGGTCTATGCGACGCAACGAATCTCCACATTTCTATGGATGCTGGTGCCAAGTCTTCTAAAAGTGACGAATGATATCTGGTGACGGGTCATGGAGCTAGTCAGTTACCCACCCATACTTTGTTCCATCCCTCTACACCTCAAAACGCTATCAAAGGCCCGCTACACCAACAGTTTCTCACAATTGCTTTTAACTAGCTAGCCCTTCAAACATCCCTAATGACGGACTTTTCGCTCTATGTTGTCATCAACCCCAACTTGTTGAGGGTGTCTGAGGAGCTTCCACCCTTCAAAGGTCGTAATGAAGGACCGTATGTATTCTCATCATCTTTTCAATCGAGACATTGGTTGGCTGATTGGCTGAGGGTGAATAGACCACATCAGGGATTAGTTGTCGATGTGCAGAAGGTCAAAGACTTGATTGATGCCGGAGCAACTGCAATCAAATTGCGTGGAGATTCCACCATCGACACGAGCGATTACACAAAGCTTGCCAAAGGAATTCATGAGGTTACAAAGAAGTACAGTATCCCATTGATCATCCATGATCGTGTTGACATTGCGATGGCATCAGGAGTTGATGGGGTGGAAGTGGGAAAAGGATGTCTTGGTAAGTTATTCGCTGCGTCTAAAGCGAAGCCGTGCTGAGTAGAATATCAGACTACATGAGTACCAGGAAGATTATGGGGCCTGAAAAATTGATCGGTGTGTCGATTACCAATAAACGTCAAGCCTATCTTGCGTCGAAAGTTCAAACTGCGTACCAAGTCATTGGGCCTGTATATGAGCCTCTACTTGCAGTGGAGCCTCTTCAAGTGAGCCCGTTGGGGGCTGCTGGGGCCAGGGATATATTGAGTCATGTTGTAGGCCTCGATCCGAAAATACAGTTCTTACTCGCAGGGGGGATTACACCGGAAAACGTTCGGCGGGCCATAAGCCAGTCAAGAGTGCCGCTCAAAAAGGCCGATGGTATTGCGTTGGGATATGATCCCGAGTGAGTGATTCGGGTTTCATTTTACAGTTATGGCGCTGACGGCGAGAAAGTTTGGGCCATGTGACAATGGTAGCTAGAATCCTTGAAACCAAAAATCTTATCAACGCCATGCAGAAGAGCCTTGAAGAGGACTTGGCTAGCTGCGCTATTGGTGCTACTGTTGGTTCTGGAGACTCTGTATTCTCGGACACAAAGAAACTACCTACTGCTAAGGTGTCTTCTGTCATTGCAAGTATCTCTAAGCATCGCCCTTCATTCAGGTGCATCGTCCCTGAAGAGAGCAAAGATATAACTAAGGGAGTAAGCGCTGCAATGTGAGTTTAATCACTATAGTATGTTGGACTGTTTTTCTTAAAAACTGATCAATTATTCCTACAATCTAGTGGATCGGTCCCGGAGTACTCTCTTGTATTTGAAGAAATGAAATATCGTTGCGACAACCTTCAACAGCTTCAGAGCTGTCTTATCAGTATGGGAACAGCTTCAACCGTGGGTTATATTGTTGCGCTTAAACTTTATAACATCAAAGCTTTCCCCGTTATCCTTGAGCCCAAGATCGACAGTATCAATGTCCACAGAAGCGCAGCTGCAGAGAGTTTGCTGGCAGCTGGCAACTTTGCTCTGATTAAGGGAACCGTCGAAGAGATCCTTCATCTCTCAGACATGTGCAAAAATAATGTTCAGAAGACTGGAAGTATCGAACAAGAAGACTTGGTTGGCATTGTTTCGAAGGAATGCAAAGTACTCGCATTAAGGGAGAGTTGTGCTGTACTTTCTACAGGGCGTGTCTACGTCCTCTCAGATGGCATTCGTACTATTCACATCAAAAATGGTTCACATCTCTTGAATACAGTTGTAAGTTTTATGAAAATCTCGCGATTTTTATTATGGATTTATTGACAGTTCTAACGTAGGGAAATGACGCCTTGGGTCCTGTTTTGGCCGCCTGTCTCGCCGTTGAGGCGAATGACCCATTCGTTGCTATTCTTTCTGGCCTTCTCTTGTTCACTATTGCTAGTGATCAGGCAGCCGCTAATGTTAATACAAAAGGCCCAGGAACCTTCGTACCTGCGTTGATTGATGAAATCTGGAAACTATCGCAGCTGTCACTCAATGGGGATGACAGCTGGGCCGAGAAGGCTGTCTATGAGAAGTTTGAGTAAAGATTTCTTGTCATAGTATTGAAGAGGCATTAATGTTGGGAGAGCTGTTTCTGGGTAAATCTGGTAAGTGATTTGCTGAGTTCTATTTGTTGAGTATCTTCCACGCCTTGGAGATCAAAGAATAAAATTAGCTGCAATAGATTTGTTTAGATGGGGTCCAGTATCTTTTTTAGGGCGAAGAACTATCGCCTGTATGGAATATAGGGAAGAAAAAAACTTGGCTTAAAATCTAGCAGTGACTGGTATTCCCCAGGTGTGGTAGGGTATAAGCTACTGAACCTGGGAACTCCTGTGGACTGATAAATTGGGAAACACTTTCGTCAAGTCTTTAAATTGGTGGCCTGAGCCCGTCAAAACTTCCCTGTATACATAAGTCTTGAATCAATAGCAAAAGTGACTAGAACGAAGGCACATATAATACGCCGCCGAATTGAAAAACGACCTTTAATGTAAGCTCCCCATTATCAGAAGTTTTGATGGTCAAGTAGGCCCTCGTACTCACACAATAAAGTACTCTTCTGCTGCTCTAGCCTATTATATATTCGGCCGTAGAAATATTGAAGAGCGGTCCAGAGTAGCTAGTATCCATCAGCCGCTGGGAAGTCGGCATGTTTACAGGAAGAGGGGCTATCCATCACTTAGATGGAGTTGCTGGAGCTCCTCGGTGTCTCTGAACTGTAGTAGCGGGCGTCCTCCGCTCAGAGAATCTTTCCGCGTACTTCGGTGATCCGATTCCTGTGACAGACTGTGCTAGCCATCAGAGTTGAAGGTGGAATTGGAGACCATCTATGCGTGTCTCAAATTGCGAAAAAAAATCGCTCAAGATGGATCGTGGAGAGAGACTTTCCATTTCCTTGTTTCCCACAGAATTTCACAGAATTGGGCGTGATCGGGCCGCAGGGCTGTAGGGTTCTGATACATGTGGGCAAGATTGGAGGCAGCAGCTTCAGTTGCGTCTATCAGACCGGGAAAACAATTAAATCGAGCCTTGAAATGTGTCATGGAGTGGGAAGAGTATTGCAGATGTGAGCACACCACCCGTCAACTCAAGATAGGCTTAATATAACAGTTATAGAGTAGTGGAAGGGTTTAAACTGTTTGTCAAGGTCACCGGCACCAGAGAGTTGTCACGAGTGATATCTGGTGATGCAGTTAGATCTATCGTTATCTAGACCAGCCTACATACATGTAAGGAATCTTCGATAGGAAGAGATGTCATCGTTTACACCCGTTTACAATCTCCTTACATCATTTATGGTTGATGAACCAAGCCGTCTATCCGCCTGTCTCCATTTTGTCGAGACCCCTTTGATGGCCGGAACTCCCGATCAGGGCTAGGACTATACGTGCTAATGCTATCTGATAAGCTTTATGGTCTCCCTATCGGTATCCTGTAGAGAAAGGAGAAAAGGGGGGTGGGGTTGTAATCTCCTATAATATGAAATGTCAGGACGAGTAAAATTTCGCAAATGCGGGTTGCTGATTGGTTTGGCTAGCTGGGTAGGAACAATGGTTAATTCGGCTTGGTGAGAACATACTGGATTGTTCATATGGGTTTGTGACTACATATGGCCGACAATTGTGAACAAAGGCACTTCTGAAGGGCGTAGTGCTAGCTGCAAAATTACTACATTGTATATTATATGGGGGGGGGGGGGTGGTTCCGGTCCTATTTTGACTCGGAAGTACCCGGTCATACCTATATATCATACTTTTACCAGTAATCTCAAGTCCATAGCTGTTGCTCGAATATTATAATAAATAAAAAAAAAACCCCCCGCTCGACATCAATAATTTACAAAACAAAACAAAAAAGTTCGCAACACCGCCTAGGCCTCGGTTGCTACATCTTTCTACGTCCGGAGGGGGGGTTGAACGCTCACAAGTTCGGTACAGAGTGTGAGCTCTATACCGCTGGGCCACGTCCAACCCCATGTTCACCTTCTTTCCTTTGCTGCTGTTACCTCCGTGGGGGGCTCGTACATGCTTGATCTTTTTTCGTTCCTACTTTTGTTTTACAACTAAACAGCTATGAGGGGAGGGGAAATTAAATGCCCCAACCCCCCACCCCTCCATTCTACTTCTGTGTCTATTCTCTCCCACAGGTAAGTTTCCTCCCTCTCCTGGCCTTCGTTTTTTCCCCCCAGCACAAGAAGGAAAGAATGCGTTAAAAAACATACACACAGCGAAGCCCCATCAACACTCCTCCGTACAAGTTGACCATGAAGCTGCCCCCCCTCCCCCGGCTGCCGAGGCCTCTGTAGTTACTGTGTGCTGTGCTGTCTCCCACACAGACAGACCATCCTCAACAAAAAGGCAAGGAAAACCGCACCCTAGATCTGACCTGGCACCCGGGTATTCAAGAGCCACACAGGCCCCACACTATATATATAGCACTCCAAATTCCCACCTCGAACCCCCCCCCCCCCCCTTTTCCCCCAAATCTCCAGACCGCCAACGTACCACAACCACACCAACTCTCACAGCAATTCCGGCTCCAGAGTATGGATATAGAACAAGTAAGCAAGGGTAAGTAGGCAGGGTAGTAACAAAAGACCCACCTCGATCCTTCCCACCGGGATCCCAGGTACTCCTATGTACTAGTACCAACTTAGATAATGGCTAGCTAGCTGTAAATACCCACCATACGCCAGCAACCCTATATATCTTAAGAAACCCTTCTACTCTCTACAGTCGTCGTGCTGCCATAGAAAGAAGCAGCCAATTCCACTCCAGAGCCCTACAGCTTCCAAGACGTGTCCAAACTTGGCCACTGCAGATTTGGGTACATGTATGTAATCCCTAAGTACGTGCCAGGCAGTAAAAAGGGCACAGCATCTTCAATCGGCGGAGGTAGTATCAAGTACCAAGTAAAGGTGAGATACGTGTTTATAGTGAGTGTTACTAGTACGTACTTCATAAGCGTTTTAGTGCAGGCCAAGCTAGTAGATGTTACGTCTACGTATGCGTTTAACATCTTCCCCAGCAGGCAGTCCTCGAAGTTCTCGTTAGCATAGTGGTATATGCCTCCGGTTTAGGAAACTTATGACGACAGCGGATACCGGGTTCGAATCCCGCTTAGTAATTCCACTTTCAAACCTGAACACTTTTTTTTCTTTTTCTCTTTTAAGTAACTAAACTACCGATCGACCAACGAGTGATACCTGGTGACCGCGCCCCCCCACCCAAAAAAAATAGCTCTTGGTTTCTCGGGCTGCATATGTACCGCGATCGCGCCCAATGCAAAAAAAAAAAAAAAAAAAAAAAAAAACTCGGGAGAAGGCATGACTACATAATGTAAAATACAAACTTTCCTTGATTCCCGTGGGACTGAGTCTCGTAGATGATCTGGTCATGGGCTTTTTATTGTACTTGTACTTTTTTCTGTATTAATTGATGTGGTATGAGACAGCTACATGTACGTATAAGTGGATGTAATTTAGTACTTGAAGGTCTCTCCGGCCGTTTTTTTTGAATGTTGGGGTTGGATTGTTCCGTCATGAGGTATCACTCGGTGCATTGTATTGCAACAGTGTGTGGCGTTTTGGGTGTACTGGGTGGGTTGCTACTAGCTGCTAGCTACATGTAGGTAGGTATATGTGTATGTACCATAGATTGCGAGACAGATCGAACAGGAGGGATTAAGGAGAGTGGGGTGGATGAAGGCTGGGGGGGAAGAACGCAAGGCAAGGAAAAAGAAAGAGAAAGAGGAAGAGGAAGATCGGGGGGAAATGATGGGCTTTCTAGCTGGTACGAGGCACTGTAGCTAGCTATCGATGAACTACCAGCTAGAATACTACTTACCAACTGTGCCTAGAACTGAACCATGAATGTGCTGGCTATATATACATGGCTGTCTGCACCTAGCTGTGTGTGCTCGGCGGTCGACTCTTCTGGGGGAAGATGTAGTGGTGGTGTAGAAATGTGATGCTGCGTGTGTGCTAGTATATACGGCGAGTACTATCGTATTTGCCTCTCAATCATACAAGACTGGGGAAAGCCATGATGGTCCAGTGAACAAACTCCATCCATATCTCCTCAACCCCCAACACGCAGGATATATCTATGACTACTACCAGCTAATCTACAAACACCCCTTCCCTCCCCCCTCCCCTCATCACAAACCCTCCCCCGCCCCAGCGGCCCCCACAGAATAGCATCCACCACCTCCCCCCTCGGCACAACGCCCAACTCGCCCCTCTTCCCACCACACTCGCCCCTCGCCGGCAGCACCAGCACGCCATTCGCCCCGCCCGCGCTCCCAACACGACTGCTCCTCTGCCCGCCCGTGCTCCACGCCCTCAGCCTGCCGTCCCCGTCGTCGCCGCCGCCCGCCGCGATGCGCACCCGGTGGTACTCTGGCCGCTCATCCAGCCGCACGTCCTCCTGCAGCACCACCCGCACCACCGGCAGCCCCGCCGGGACCATCCCGACCATCGCACGCAGCGCTGGCAGCACAAACAAGTGATATGTCACAATGGCACTCGCGGGGTTTCCGGGCAGCGCAAACAGCAGCTTTTTCTTCTTCTTCTCCTCCCCTTCTTTACTGCCGGGCACAGCAACAGGCACAGTAGCAAACGTCGTCGGCTTCCCCGGCTTCATCGCCACCCTCCCAAACACAACGCTCCCGCCAAGCGCCTGCTCCACCGTCGGCTTCAGCAGATCCAACTCCCCCATCGACACGCCCCCCGTCGTAACCACCACATCCGCGCCCTCCAACCCGGCCCGCAGCACCCTCTCCAGCTCCCCCGCAGCGTCAGCAACAATCCCCAGATCCACCGTCGGGAACCCCGACGCCGCAATCGCACTAAGCAGCGCCGGCCGGTTGGTATCCCGGATCTCACCGGCGCGCAGCACCCCCTCGCGGTCGTGCGGGACCACCTCGTCGCCCGTGCTCAGCACCGCGACCACCGGCTTCCGGCGCACACGCACGTCTCTGCGGCCGACGCTGGCGAGGAGGCCGATCTCGCCGCCGACGGCGGAGATTGCGGACCCGCGGGGGAGGACCACGGTACCTTCTGCGACGTCGCTGCCGATCTCGCGGATGTTCTCGCCGGGGCGGAGGTCCGACGCGAGGATGCGGACTTCGAGCTCTTCGCTGCTGTCGGGCGTGGCGCGGACGAGTTCTGTGTCTTCGACCATGACGACTGCGGTTGCGCCGGCGGGGAGGGGGGCGCCGGTGGTGATGCGCGCTGCTTGGCCGGGGAGAAGCGGGGCGGTAGGGGTGGCGGGGGAGGCGTGGGAGACGGAGACGACGGGGTAGACGCCGGGGCCGTCGGTGTGGACGACTGCGTAGCCGTCGACGATGCTGGCGCGGAAGGCGGGGATGGGGTGCGGGGCTGTGACGTCCTCGGCGAGGATGTGGCCGACGAGGGAGGGGCCCACGGGGCGCGGGACGATGTCGGTGGGGGTTGTTTCGGCGGCGATGAGCGCTGTGGCGGCGGAGACGGTGAGGAGGGGGTAGGGGGAGGCGCGGTGGCGGGAGGTGACGGGCCCGTTGAGCGTGTTGGCGGTGTGGGCGCGCGGGGTCGGGTGGTCGTGGTGGTGGTGATGGTGGGTGGAGGGTGTGGAGGATGATGGGGGGAGGCCGGAGCGGGCTTCGAGCGCGGGGGTGCCGCCAGAGTGCAGGGCGCGCGAGCTGGTGAGGCCGCTGCATTGGATGCAGGCGTGCGGGAGGAGCGGGAGCAGGCACGAGAGATTCTCTTTGGCGCCTTTGGGCGAGCCGGGGAGCGTGACGATGAGCGTGTGGGCGCGGACGCCGGCGACGGGGCGGGCCATCATGGCGTCTGGGAGGGAGGAGGGTTAGCTGTGTGTTTTGTAGCCCTGGAGGTGGGCATAGAGGTATGGGGGGAGGTCGTGGGTATGTATATATAGGGAATCGCAGAATTGAGGAATTGTGAATAAAAACCACAGCTGTAGAGAAAACAAAACCTACAAGGCGTAATCTTCAACGACGTCGACAGCATCGCATGCCTACAATACACCGTCAGCCCAATTCCCACATTCACATTGTACAAAAGCAGAGAGAGAGAGAGAGAGACACTCACACCAACCCCGGCGCCTCCTTCCCCAGCAGCGGCCTCACCGCCTCGGGCGTACCATCCGATATCGCAAAGCCCGTGCCTCCAGTCGTCACCACCAGATTAACCTTCTCGACATCGGCCCAGCGGACGACCGCGTCCTGGATGGCCTGCGTGTCGTCGGGGACGATGAGTGTCTCGGTGACCTCCCAGGTGAGCGCGGGCGTGGTGCTGGCGGCGAGGAGGAGGTCGCGCAGCAGCTGGCCGGAGGCGTCGGTGGTGGGGTCGCGCGAGGCGGTGGTGGAGACGATGAGGAGGGCGACGGTGAGCGTGGTGGTGGACGCCATTTGGTGTTTGGGTGTTGGGATTGATATCTTGGAATTGGGGTGAGGTGGGATTGAGTGGGGGGCGGGGTGATGATGATAAGCCTTTTCTCAACTCTCAACCCTGATATCACAACTCCACGCTCGATATCTGCAATATAACAATGTCGTCCACAAAGCGCTACTCAAACCTCGACCTCGTCAACACCGTCGACAGGTACTCGCCCAGACCTCCCTCACCCAGACCTCTCTCCACCTAGACCCTCCCTCCACCCAGACCCTCCCTCTACCTAGACCCCTCCCTTTACCCCTCCCTCTCCCCTCCACCCAGACCTCCCTCCACCCAGACTCCCTCCACCCAGACTCTCTCCACCCCACCCCCACCCATAGACACCACTAACACCCCCACAGCTTCCCCTCCCCCGCCCTCCACCCCGCCCTCCACGCCGAGCGCCTCTCCACCCTCACAGTCTTCACCCACGCCACCCACCCGCTCGGCTACCTCCTCCCCGCCGTCGTAGCAGCCCTCACCAACACCGCCCTCTCCGGCACCCACTGGACAATCACCGGCGCCACCATCACCCTCCACGGCGCCACCCCCGCCGAGCGCTCCGCAAACATGCTCAAAACCTCACCGCCTGGCGCTCCGCAAACACATTCGCCGTCCTCCGCGGCTGGCGCAACGAGGACTACGCCGTCTACTCGCCCCCGGCACCCTCTACCTCACCATGGAGCGCAGCGCGTGCGCGCTCTTTGGCGTCGTCACGTACGGCGTGCACATGACGGCCCATGTCCCCTCGCCCCTGCGCATCTGGGTGCCGACGCGGAATCCGGCGAAGCCGACGTATGGCGGGATGCTGGACAACACTGTTGCGGGCGGGATCGCGGCGGGGATGGGGGTCTTTGAGACGCTGGTGAAGGAGAGTGGGGAGGAGGCGAGCTTTGGGAGGGGGCTGGTGGAGGGGGCGGCGAGGAGTGTGGGTGCGGTGAGTTACTTTTATGAGAGGCATAGGAGTGCGGGTGGGGAGGAGGGGCTGTTGCAGCCCGAGGTGCAGTTTGTGTGGGATATGGAGGTGGGGGAGGGGGTGGTGCCGAGGCCGGGGATGATGAGGTGGTGGGGTTTAGGTTGTTGGGGGTGGAGGAGGTGAGTGTTCTGCGGTGGGGGTGGAAGTGGGAGTGGGAGGTTGTGCTGACGGTGTGCAGGTGAAGGAGGAGCTGGCAAAGGGGAGCTTTAAGCCGAACTGTGCGATTGGTGCGTAGCTGGGCTCTTCTTCTCTGGTTTGGCTGCTAATTAGCTGTGCGTGCTAGTCCTGCTCGACTTCTTCATCCGCCACGGCATCATCACGCCCGAGAACGAGCCCAACTACATCGAGATCTGCTCGCGCATCCACAGGCGCTTCGAGTTCCCGACTTGGTAGGTACGCTGGTCCAAGGTGTGGATGGTGGTATGTGTCGTTGTGTTTTACCAAACAGCTGGGTGGATGTTGTTTGTGGATTGCAAGGCTTGTTGAAGGCTGCATTGCTTTGTATTTGTGCTTGTGCTTGGTGGATGATTAGTACCAAGATTAGTAGTAGTATTAGGAGGGCAAGAACGAAAGGGGTGCCCTGGAATAGTAGTACCGCCGTCCTCCTCTTGTTATTGATTGGAGCCAATGATCAATTGGGTCCTATGTTGCTGCTACAGCGAGCCCTCCTTTTCGCTGTTGCGGTTTACTTATAGAGTCAATGATCACTGGGTATGTAATACGATCCATTGCTATGTAGAAACCACAAATCATTGAATTGCAAATCTATAAAAAAAACACCTCTGGAAACACACACACACACACACACACAGCAAAACAAAACGCCATTTTTATTCCCCCCTTTGAATTGCGCATAAGCGGGATTGTGGTTAACTAACAATTTTTCCCCTAAAAGATTAAACCTGCACCTCCGTGCCCCCCTCCACCACACTCCGCTCCTCTATTTCTTGATGAGGAGGTAGATATACTCATGCCTCAGCGAGCTCAACCTCTTATGCGGGCCTCAATATGCAGCAACAGCCCCCCAAACGACGCATACACCTTTCTACACCCCAGTCAGCCCACATCCCCCCACAAACCACAACAAAGAAAGCACTTGCATAAACTCCCCATTCCCCTCCTCAAAGCGATACACCTTCCCATGCATGACATAATCATACGTATCCGCGAGCGTCAGCTCCCCCGACCGCGTCTCGCGCCACCCCGTCTTGCTGTTGGCGCTGTCGTCCTTTGAGCCGTCGAGCGAGAGCGTGGACGCGATCGACAGCTGGATGGTCTCGCCGGCGCTGAGCGGGTACAGCTCGCTGTGGATGTCGAGCGTGAACTTGAGGTCCTCGCGCTCGCCAAAGACGCGCATGACGCGGTCGTACTTTTTTTGGTCGATGGCCGTGATGGTGAAGGTGGAGTCGAGGAGGAGCGAGTCGGTGCTGCGAGGGGGGGGGTTAGTGGTGTGTTGAGGGAGGGGGAGGGGTGGCTTACGACATGGTGAGTAGATGTTAAGAGGGGGATGGAGGTGGAGGTGGAGGTGGAGTGAGTTGAAGAGAGAGACAGAGAGAGAGATCGCTGAGAGCACACGAAGAATATCCACACACCCTGTCGGTACTCGTGCAGCCCGCTAACCGCAACCAGCTACTCCCTTCTCCCCCACCACAGAGCCGCACCGCCCACTCTCAACTCTCAACTGCCCCACCAACAGCAATAATCTTAAATCACCAACCATCACCACCACCACCAACCACCACAAACCACCACAAACCACCACAAACCACCACCACAAACCACCACCACCACCACAAATCCCCCACCACCATGAGTTTCCGCAAACGCAACATCGTCATCAACCGCGGCGCCCCCGCGCCCCCGCCCACCACACCCACCACCACACCCACGGCCCCCAAGCCCCCCACCCCGGGCATCCGCCCCTCGCCATCAACGGCCAGCCCACAACGTCGACAGGCACGCCCTCGCTCGACGCGCTGCTCGCCGGCCACGCCGGTCTGCCGCTCGGCTGCTCCGTGCTCATTGAGGAGCCGGGCACGACGGACTTTGGCGGCGCGCTGCTGCGGTACTACGCGGCCGAGGGGATCGTGCAGGGCCATGCGGTCACGGTGGTGGGTGTGCCCGAGGCGTGGGTGCGGGATCTGCCGGCGGTGACGGGCGCGGTGGAGGCGGTGACGGAGAAGGGGAGGAGAAGGGGGGGAAGATGAAGATTGCGTGGAGGTATGAGAGGCTGGGGGAGTTTGGGGGTAGTCGGGGTATGGTGTCACTGGATATATGCAGTTGTGTTTTGGCTTCTACAGCTATAGCTATATACTAACCTTCTACCTACCACCACTACTACAGCACAACCACCCTCCTCCACCACCGACAGCACCACCACCACCACCCCCGCAACCCCCTTCTGCCACACCTACGACCTCACCAAACGCCTCACCCTCCCCCCCACCACCAAGCTCACCTTCATCCCCCCGCCCCCCACCACCAGCACCACCCCTTCACCCCCCTCCTCACCCACCTCACCACAGCAATCACCACCCACGCCCCCCACCCACACCGCATCCTCCTCCCCTCCCTCCTCTCCCCGCTCCTCTACCCCCCCGCCGCCGCAACCCCCTCCCACCTCCTCCCCTTCCTGCACGCCCTGCGCGCGCTGCTCCGCGCCCACCCCGCCGTCACACTCATGGCCAGCCTGCCGCTCGAGCTGTACCCGCGCGCCAGCGGGCTCGTGCGCTGGGCCGAGGTGCTGGCGGACTGTGTTGTTGAGCTGACGCCGTTTGGGCGTGCCGTGAAGGAGGAGGGGGCGCCGCAGGGGCTGGTGAGGGTGTGGAAGGTGCCGGTTGTGGGGGAGAGGGGCGGCGGCGTGGGGGGTGCAGTGGGCAGGGGGGAGGATCTGGCGTTTGTGGTTACTAGGAGGAGGTTTGAGATTGGGCCGTATTCGCTGCCACCGATGGAGGAGGAGGAGGGGGGAGGGGGTGGGGAGGAGGTGGGGAAGGCGAAGAAGGTGGATGTGGATTTTTAGAGGGGGAGGGAAAGGGGGGGGGGGGTGTAAATAGTAATTAAAAGCGTTGTTTTTTGTTGTTGTTGGTTGGGGCTCGTATGTTATTGTAGATAATGAAAAGTTGTGCTCTTTATTTAGTGGTTTTCTTCACTTGGTGGTTGCTCGTTATTTTGTGGCGACTCTTTATCTCGCAGGTATATATGTACATGCAAGTTAACCTTCGAATTCAGTGCTGCGGTAAGTAACATTGGCGTCGAGTGATATCTCATGACCCTATCACCATCACAGTATACTTAAGTGAGGGCAGAGCGGGCTAGGGGGGGGGGGGGCAAACCCTGCAGTCACTGGCCACCCATTTATCTGATAATATAATGCCACGGCCCCCCCGCGGGTATGTGGCCGAGTGATGACCTGTGATCGGATTATGACACTGGTAGTGATCTTTTATGGGTGATGGCATAGAGATTGCTTGCTTGGGCAGATGAACCGGCAGTCACTCTCTAGCTTTATGGGGGGGGGGGGGGGGGCTGATAAGTACATGTATGCGCACCGTTGTCAATCCCACCATACAGGCAGCTAGCAGAATCCGCTTGGATTTGTTGGTGTGATGCTTGCATCTTATGGATCTATAAATCTACAAGTAGCTAGCTCATTTACCCTCACTCCCTAAGGTATTACTTCCCGGCCACTAACAGTTGTGTGGGCGAGTGTAGTCTAGTGATAGACAGCTCGTCCTACTACACCGAGTGGGTTGAGTCCCCATGACCATCAAACCCACAGACTCATGCCCCACAGTCCACTCCCTCGCAGTCTCGAACACAAAGCGTCCCAAACCAGCAATGAAGAAAATCTGCAGAGACAAATCAAAAATTGCGTGACCTAACAAACCCGAAGATCTGTAGCAGACGCTCAACCCTCCCGTTTGTGCTATGGGGGTCTCGCAGCCCGGAGCCCCGGTATTCATGATCACCAAGGCTCGTCGCTAGGTAAGTATGAAGAGGAAAGAAGGGGAAGTGGGGGGGATTGGCCCTTATATACCTCTCGAAAAGCCAAGATAGCTTGGCTGCTTTTTAGGTTTGCATGGGCGGCGAAATTTGGGATGGCTGATGTGGCCTGTATACATCTATACATCTTGTATGTGGCCTGAATGTATGATACGCATTTACAGAAGGGCTATACGTTGATAAGAGTGACAAATGGGGTTACGTGCCTGGAGAGTGTAGTTCGCCGATTGCAAGATCCACGTATGTATATAGATTGATAACACCCGGCCGGGGTGAAGGGAGTTTAGTACTCGTCCCTAAATTAAAGTGAAGCCACATTCCAGAAGTCTTTTATTATGCATTTCCATTTATTTAGTACATGGAACTTATAATATCGTTAGTTTCGTCTTCCGAGCTATGTGGTTGGGATCACTCTGTTCTGTGGTAGTATTCGCGGTTAGGTTATTGACATGGCCCCCAGCGGCATCGAGAGAGTTTATCCGTACTATAACTGAGGCTCCGTCTTCTTTCCAGACGATTAATAAGCGATTTAGATTTTATGATTATCCATTCACTTTTTTTTCTTTTCTTTTTTTTTTTTTTTACCAATTGCAAACAACACCCACCAATGCCAACCACGCCTACCAAAAAACCTGCAAGCTGATCATTACCCCTGCCACCAGTCTAACCAAACCCGCCAAAGCCTTGGCAACGCAACAACCTCAACCAAGCAACAACGTCATACACGGCGCCCACCACCCACCAAACAAAACAGCTACCAAACAACCAAACCCACAACCTCATACAAACACAAAAATGTTTCGATGGGTAAGAACTCCCCCCATACTCCTCTAGACTATTAGGCGCCACCAGAATACCCCCAACTAACACTTCGAGCGACAGCACAAAACCCTCGACGTCCTCACACTCTTCCACGCGCCCAAGTCGGCGCCATCCAAGCGAGTCCTCGACCTCCTGAAAGAGGCCTCCACCAGCGCGGCCGAGGACCCCGGCAAGAAGGCCGTCTTTGAGCTCGAGGTTGTCAATGCGCCCGCCGTGCCGACGCCGTCGCAGCTGCGGTCCATCCTGGAGTTTGCGGGCAAGAACCGCGTTGGCGAGATTATGAAGGGCGCCACGTCGGAGCGGGAGGCCATGAAAGCGCTGGAAGAGGGCGGGGAGAACGTCAGCGAGAGGGTTCTGAGGCCGTTGCTGGTAGATTGGAATAATGGCAGGGCTGGTGAGTTGTTCCCCGTGAATTGATTTTGGGGGGCGGGCTGATTGTGGGTAGTGCTTGGGGCCGATGAGAGTGCTATTAAGAACCTGGTGGATACGCTGCCAAAGTAGGGTAAAGCATTGCGGACTAATACCATGTGTTTTGAGTGGGGGTAAGCTGATATTCTTGCATGTATATGACCTCCAATACAATTTCTGTCAAGGGAAGAATGCTTATGGACATCATCTATTATATACCGTACAGTAATGAAACAGACAGATAAACCCTTTTTAATGCAGGTGAACAAACCCCGGAAAACTAGTAAACAAACTGGGAAAGTATGTACGCCACCTCCATCGCCATCATCCATATCGTAACAAGAAATAAGATACCGTTTCGCCGCCATAATAAAACACAAACACCTAAAAAGAACTCCAACATAAAGGATCACACATACAAGTAAACATAAAAAAAAAAAAACCCCCCCTAGTGAAATCACCATGTCCACTTTTGCGTTTTCTTGAGAAACGGGCTCGGGACGTCATCGAGGGTAGCGATTTCGGGATTTTGGCGAGCAATCTGAACCAAACTCAACGCCTTGATGCTTATTGGTGCTGATTTGAGAGCCTCAGGATTGCTTCCTCCCAGCTCTCTTGACTTTGACGTGTTTTGAGGGAATCTATCGCTTGTTCTTCCAATGCCCCTCATTGGAGATCCGCGGTATCCGGTGGTGAACGTTGACGCCTTGCCCAAAGAACCACGTTTCCTTGTCGGAGACGGCTCCTCTTCAAAAGAAGTATCGGGAGTATGGCAGTCCATTGAGCCGAGGGACGAGGTGGAAAGGTGCTGATTCTTGTAAGGTGCCTTTTCTATATTGGGCATCGAAGGGCTGTTCGGGATGGATGATTGAGGGCGGAGTTGGTTTGCTGGTGCCAGGTTTAGAGGCATACGTGGAGGGGCTTGTTGTTCAAGCACGCCTTGCTGAAAGAGCTTAGAAGGCTTACGCGGGCTAGTATCAAATACTGATGGAGAGCACATATCGATATCCACGGGCGACGCAGGAGCAACTACGCGGGGGAAATTGTGTATCGGACTTTCAGGGACGTGAATGCTGTCCCCATATCCTGAATCATCTGCATTGGATAAGAGTGAGGACGCCAAAGGTCTTGGTACGAGGTCCATCTCCTCGATCATTCTCATAGCCGCCTTCTCAACCTCGCTCTGCCAGGCACTGTGCCACTTCTGGTGAGCCTCCGCCTCCCTTTTGTGCACCTCCTCAAGCTGGAAGGCAACCCTCTTTTCAATCTCTGCCATAGCCTTCCTCTCCCACTCTTGGCGAAGTTCGGCATTCAACACGTCACAGTGCTCTCGTATCGCTTTCCGTGCTAATTCCTGCTCCATAGCAAACTGCGCATCCTTCCGCCTCAGCTCTTCTTCCCTCATTCTCAACAGCTCCTCCTTTGACCTCAACACCTCCTCTTTTGACCTCAATACTTCCTCCTTCCGCTTGAAAGACCTGCCCACATCCAATGCCTCAATCTCACGACGATTGAGCTTTACGTAAGGCAATCGCAATAGATGCGAGGTATCTGGTCTCTTCGATGGATCTCGCTGAAGACACATATCGATGACTCTCCTGAGATCTGGTGAATACTGGTTGGGAATAGGCGAGAAGCGGCCTTCTTTTATTTTTGTTCCGAGGCCGTGTAGACTTTGAGCGTTAAACGGAGGGGAAAGCTTGCAGAGTTCGTAGACGATGCATCCGAGGGCCCAGATGTCGGATTTATGCGTGTAGGTATCTTCGCTAATGAGTTCCGGCGACATGTAATAAGGTGTACCGACATAGGTGGTAGCCAGTTGTTGCTCAGGTGCTAACATCTTTGAAAGCCCAAAGTCGCCCAACTTCACGGCATGGTCCATATCGAGAAAAACTACCTAGTGTCAGTAATCTCCCGAATTCATAGAGGCGAAAGGGAAAACTAATTACTATTTTCCGGTTTCAGATCTCTGTGTAAAATCCTCACTGTGTCGCTTGTCGCCTGAGGCACCGGGTGGTCATCCGTGGCGTAGATATCGCCCAAATCTGGAGGGTTGACTCCGTTGTGACACCGGTACAACGCCAACACTACTTGCGTAAATATCGACCAGACAAAATGTTCCGGGACCATGCTTCGCTCAGCCTTGCACCTTTTGATAATTGTCGACAGGTCTCCATTCCCACAGTATTCCATGTAGAGGTGTATCGATTGGTCCTTCTTGATATGATCTCGATGGAAGTATTCGACGATATTACGGTGTTTCAGACGGGCCAGGATTTCAAACTCTGCCACTAGCTGGTTCTTCTCCTTGTCGGTCATCTTGACATACGAGATCTCTTTACGAACCAACACCTAAGACATTAGAACATTAGGAAGGTCTGCATTAGAGCCAACGCTTGCATGGGAGGGCTCCATACCAGGCCATCCGTACGACGCCTAACCTTGCGAATCTGGCCAAACGCGCCCTGGCCGATCAATTCTAGTACTTCATAAGCGTCGGTAGAGGTCATCTTAGCGTCACGATAGCTGCGGCTGTAGGACAAGAAACAAAGTACAAGTGAGCGACGAAATTGCGCAGGAGTAGAGGAGTGCTGGAATCACTTTCAATCTAAGAGGGACCCCGGTCGATAGGTCGTTTATGGTGGCCGTTGGTCGTAAGGAGTTGTTTGGGCGTTGGGTACTTGGGTTGCTAAGGTATGTAAAGTACCCGGTCTTTATGTGCTGGTCGCCAACAGGCACCGAGAAAACAAAAAAACGTGGCACTGTTGCTAGGGCAACCGCTCGTATCATCGATTAAACAATGGTTTGTCATCAGGGCTAGGGCTTGAATGTGGCTGCGGCCGAGTGATCCGGGGAGTAAAAGAGGGCGGATATGGAGTACGCGGTTTCTTATCTTCACATGTGCGGTTACTTTGCAATACTCTCCCCCTTGCCTCATTCTATTACCGGTCCGTCTTTTTTTTCTTTCTTACCGGTGCCTCTGTACTAGAACTTAATATAATTCTAGCACAGAAAGCCATACCTCAGATACTGTATACCTAATTAAGGATATAAAAGCATAAAAAATGCGGACCTATACGCCTTGCCAACCCCACCCTGCTAACATGGAAACAAACCGAAATTGAAAAAGAAAAAGAAAAACATGACAAGATTAAGTGGTAACATTACAGCCTCTAGAGTAAACGATCACTTCTTATCTTCCTAAAAGTTGGTCAGCTTTAAGTTAATGCAGTTCTTTGAATCAGATTTCTCACTATTTTCGGATGATTATCATTTGCCCTATCATTAGATCCGGAGCTGCCATGCAAGATACTAATTAATTCAAAGCTACCCTAATTGTTTAGGCAAGTGGTACTTACGCGCTTGCATTCCCATTTCTTCGTTTCTTAGGCTTGAGGAAGACACCACTTTCATCGTCCTTTTTCCTCATAGGCCTTGGAGGCAGTGGATGTGGCTAACAATCTATTAATATCCAGCCATTTCTATAGAATAAGTAGATAGGTATAAACTTACCTCCTTGGGAGCTGGTAGAGATCCGGTAAATTGCGGTCGTTTGTTTGCTCCATCGGCACTTGCATCAAAGGAATGTGTTCTTTTGGGGGGTTGTATAGGCTTCGGTGGCTCTGTCGACGTTTTGATCGGGGGGATACGGACGTCATGTGTATTGCTAGTACCTTGTGCTGGTGCTCGAGGGTTCTGACCACTCCGGTGAGCGCGGCCTTGGGGACAATTACCCGGCCCGTGGCCGGGCTTCCCGCACGATGTGCAGATACCCCGAGGCGGATTCGGTCCTTGTGGATGGTAATTCGGCCCTGGACGTTGGTTAGGTCGAGGTCGTGACACTGTCAACGGCAACGGCAACGGCAACGGCAACGGCTCATCAATATCCATAGGATCATGATGGGCATGCGTTGCTGGTGCAACATTCCGGGGCGCCTGGTTCGGTCCATTCCTACCTGCAATAGCTGGTTGGCTTGCAACACCCTTACTCCCCCTAGCCGAGTTTGTGAACATAGATTGATGAGCTTCTGTAAACACCCCCCTATCCTTGGCATCCATCACCAGCGCTCCCCATAATCTGTTTTTGATTAAGGAATTTGCATTTCCCAAAACATAGAGCGAGGATTTCGCTCTTGTTAAACCGACATTCATGCGGCGAATATCGCTCAAGAAACCAATACCACCCTCGGGAGAAGCTCTCACACAAGAGAAAATGATAATGTCACGTTCCCTTCCCTGGAATGCATCTGTGGTGTTAAAATCGATAGTATCCACAATACGTTCACCATAGTGCCTCTGAAATCTTCTCTTCAACTCAAAGAGCTGCTGTTTATATGGGGTTATTATCCCGACTTTCCCGTCAAAGTCAACTTCCGTGAAATCTTTTGTCAGACGATCAAAAAGGGAGAAAGCCATCTCAATTTCCATGTGATTGACAAGAGATGTCCGTCCACCGGTAGATTCTCGGCCTTGCACGTTGAAAAAGCGGTATGGACCGAATAGATTGCTGTTGTGCCACAGCTCTGTTCTCAGTTCCTTCATGCCTGGCCCATCTTCAAGCTCGGAATCATAAAATTGCTTTGAGGGGAAAGCGCTAATCATAGGGTGCATTCGGTACTGAATACTCAGAAGATGCACGTTCTTTGGATAGTTTTCTTGCATGCGAACGAACAAACTCTTCTCGTAAGAGAATTTTGCAGCTTCGCGGGACAGAACGGTAGGGGGCTATTCAAAAATTGCGATATTAGCTCGATCGTTTTAAGACTATGAGGTGGATGCTTACCAACTGCTTGGGATCTCCAACAAGAATACACTTTTCGCACCCAAACTTGAGAGGGATGAGTGCACTCAATTCTACAGATTGAGCTGCTTCGTCAATTATCACCGTCTCGAAATCGACATTCACATTACGCAGCATGTCATGCCCACTCCCGCTTAAAGTTGCACAAATTATCTGCGCTTCGTCCATGATTTCCTGCTGCACACGGCGTCGCAACACCTCTGCATTTCTGCTACTCTCCTTTTTCTGGTCTCGCTTCGCATCAAGCGCTCTTCTCTGCTCACGAATTGTGGCGCTAAGTTTATCGATTTCAGCTTGCAAGCCTGCAGGTGGTTCCACCTTTTTCGAGCGAGCATCATCCAGCTGAGTCTGCTTAGTAGCACGCTCTTCCATAAGCTGCGTATGTTTTTTCCTCAACTCCTCCATGTCCGTATTTTTGCCTTTCGAACTCTCTGTTGTTGGTGCCATCCTGCGTTCGATCAGCTCCTCGAGCGTAACATCCCTTACAGTAGAATTGATCGCATCTGATCTACCGATACGAACAATTGTCGGAATTATGTCTTCCCCCTTTGTGGTTCGCACACCTTTCTTGAAACGAATAACTAATTCGTCAACCGCTGCGTTACTGGGCGCACAAACCAAAATCTTTTTTGAAGATGTTTTTGGGCTAGGTTTACTCTGAACTCCGGGTACTGTTATCGCTGTTGCCCCAGTGGTCCCTGGTGTCAATAAAGCTCCAACAATCCCGATGACAGTTTTAGTTTTCCCTGTACCAGGTGGACTATACACGAGTTTAGAATGAGAATATTCAATGTGGTTATAAATGCAACTACATACCCTTGGATCAATGTAAAACCAGTATTCTTTATGGCAGAAATAATAGCACGTGCCTGAGGCTCATTTACAGTATACAGGTTTTTTGTGCGCTTGACCTGCACCTCCGTTGGTTCTTCAAGTTCAGTGGGCTTAGCATTGATAATCTCATGTTCAAGGTCATAATACTGTAGACACATCATGGCGGAATACTCTCTCTCGAGGGGAACCAATCTAAAGATCATTTGTTAGTGACAATGTTATATGGGCCATTTGAACCAGAGGATGAAGGAATCTATACCCCATGATCTTAACAGCATAAAGAGTGCCCCCATTACGCATATGATTCTGCATCATCGAAGGCGAAGGGTCACATCGGAGCTGAACCTCACATACAGGAGCACCTGTGAATTTTCTGTTGATACTGTGCACCCTTGCAAGGCAATGAGGCTTGTCTGTGGAAGATAGAGGCCTTTTATCAACGGACAGTAAAACAATGTCTGATTCTTGCCACCGAGAGCGGTCGTCCATATTTGCGACGGTAGTCTCGAGTTCCACGAAGTTGTCTGCCCGCATTCTCGAAACTAGCTTTACTTCCAGGGATGCGGAATTTGGAGGGATCTCCTCCTTTGATTTCTGAAATCCTACCCAAGCCTCGAGTAGCAGAAGTGGCTCGAAAGTTTTACGGTAAGCCTCATATGAAGCAAACGACTTTGCAACAGAGATATAGTCCTGTTTGCTCAAACCAGGAGGGAAGGGGTCTTCGTGAAAAGCCTCCCATTTGAGTATTTGTTTATAAAGAGGCGACAAATCCGGTGCAACTCGAGCTCGGTTGTCCTTAATTCGGCGAGTTGGCCCTGTCACTCGGCTTATTTGAGTCCTGGGCTTAAGTGAAGTACCCAAATTTGGATCATGCACAATCCTCGTTGACCTTTGAACAGCATTGCCGAGCTTGAACAAGGAATTGCCGCCCTCATCTTCAGAAGATTCATCCGAAGAAGAATCTTCAACGACAGTGGTAGCAGCTCGCTTCGCCTTCTCTGCTGCCAGCGCCGCCTTTCTAGCAGCATCAGCGGCTTTTGCGGCTTTTCGTTTGATGAGAAAATCATCAGGAACAACCCCGCGAACCGCATCTTTCGCAGCACCCACTCTAAGTGCACCAGCCTTCGATTGTGTTGCCGGTGGTTTTACAGGCGGCTTATAAGATCTAGCGGCGTCGGCAGGTCGGACCGTAGTAGTTGGAAATTGAAGCTGGGTCTGTTTGTGCACAGTCTTCTTTCGGGACACCTCTTCCACCGCCTGTATCATTTCGTCATCTGAGATATCGCCATAGTCATCGTCTGAAATTTCAACCACAGCGGGCTCTTTGACTATAGGTCATTACAAGTTAGCATATACTCAATAGCTTGATTTAAAAAGGAGGGGGGGAAAGGTTTGCCTTCATCGGGAATGAAGTCGGGGCGGATCTTGGTCACGGCGACTGAGAGCTCTGCCTTTTGTACTTCACTGAGATTTGTTGTAGGGGGGGCTGACGGGTCGTATTCCGGTAATGTTTGGGGGTAGATATATTTTCTCATTGTGGTAAAATAGTCATCTGAAATCTCGACGCCCTGTTGCTCTAGAAGCTTCAATATCTTGCACATCAAGGCTTGACAAGTACTTAAAAGATGCGGATCTTGTATGGTCAAGATAACGGTGAGAGGATGAAGAGTTCTTGAGGCGTCTTGAAGAAGCTTTACCCCCAGCTAATATCTCTATTGGCACCTGGTCTGACATCAAGCTCAGACATATTGGCTCTCAGTGCCTGCTCGAATGTCCAATACCGATTGAAAAGATTATCTGCGTAGTCCATAGCATCTCGAGTAAATTCGATCATGACTTCTTTATCGACGGAAATCGCCCACCTTCTTACTCGTTTGAAAATGTTCCCAAGCCACCTCCATTGTACATCCCAGTATATCCTTAATGTAGTCTTCTGCCATCCCTCAAGATTTTGTTTTACGATGACACCATCATACCGATCACATAGGACATCCAGCACGGTCGAACTAAAACCGATCATCTTGGGCATCAGAGAAAACGTTGTCACTTTTGCAGCTGTCGTCCAAGGTCGGAAAGTGCCGTTATGGTCACACGAAAATCGGCCTTCAGCATGGCTCGAAGAGCTTCGTTCTTGTCTTCTACACCATAGGCTTGAAGAAGACTGTCTTCTGCTGCAAAAGAAACATCGTCCACCGAAGAAATTATACCAGTAAAGAAAGTAAGTTGAGCGCTATCCTCTGAGAGAATCTGGTTGATATTAGAGGGTGTGAAACGACTCAATGCCTGGAAATATTCGTGAAGTCGTCCTTGTAGAGTGGTTATTACTTCGTTGAACTTTGTCTTTCTGTTCTTCAGATTATCTTGGTCCGAGTTACTGATATGGACTTTCTCAAGTATAATCAGTTCTTGCAGAACCGTCAATATCTGGCGGCCAAAGTGGATGTTATCCCGGGGGAATCTTTCGCAAACACTTCTCCAAAGCTCGTCTCTGACTGTTGTCTCTGTGACAGGTAGCTCTGGTTTCTTCTTCGTCAGGCTGGCATAGTCTGTCATCACAACCTTGACATCCAGCTTCAAGGCCGATGTCAAGGTCTCTATGGCAGCATCTCGAGCCGTTGACATATGCAATCCCATGCGCGCATCCTCGTACTCCATTGAAGAGGTCGCGACCTGAATTACTATATTAAGATGTTCTTTAAAGAGTTCATTTGCCTGTCGTAGGATAATGCGGTCGGCTTCCCCCTCGAGCGTGCTTGAATGGGAGTGAACACCACTTAGGGTTAAACTTAAAACCTTCATCCCTTCTTTCCAGCAGATGCCTCTGGATAAGGGCGGCAAACTATGCTCTTTGAAAAGCTGTCGGAGAAGCGGTGTAGCGCTAGTAGGTCGCTGAAGGGGTTGTATACTGCCGACAAACGACGACATCCATTTGGTCAAGTCCATAATTTGCAATTCACCACTCTCATCCTGGGGAATGTTGCGGAGGAGTTCGGAATACTTATCTTCGACAAGCAAAATATCTGCAAATGTCGAAGAAGTAAGAGGCGAAACAACATCCCAGATTTCACCACCTAATTTCGTCATGAGGGATTCGTAAAATCGAAGTAACGAATGTAGATATGGGGCGCGGAGGGAGATATGATTTATAGCCAACTTAATTGGATCATGTTTTGCTCCACAGATAGTCTTTGTAATGACCTCCTTACTGACGTTTTTTACAATCGTAGCCATTCCAGCCCAGAATGGCACCAGCCTCTCGGGAACCCCTTCAGTTTCTGCTTTCCGGACAGTCTCCTCTAGTGCTTCCAACATGTGGGACTCAAATTCTTGAGGTTTAAAATTAGGACCCATAATCTTCCACGATTGCTCAACCACAGTGCGGAAAGGTTCCTGCTGGCCAGAGAGAAAGGTGATAAGTCCTCTTGCAGGCCCTTCTACTGTTACTCTTCCCGTCTTGCATATTTCGGCAAAACAAGATCTGAGTTCTTCATTTCGAAGAACTTCCGGACTACAAAAACACTCGTAGACTGCATTGCGCTGGGCTCTGTGCCCTCGAAATCTCTCGTACCAAGCGTCTACCGATTCTGCTTGCTTAATATCCCGAACGACATCCTTGATAACCGGCAATACGCGTTCGATGTCCCATTCCTCGAGAAAGCCGAAAAACAGGTCAAGGTTTTCCTTGTCGTGCTCTCTAGTGATAGTTAGAACGTAGTAGGTGCTGCAGGGTCTGGGTCTCGTACTCTAGTAATTGATGGTAGAATCTGCGCTTTAGACAGTAGAACTGTGCCGTACAAGCAGCGCACCGCGCCAACTGTGCAGCAACCCTTCCTTTCAGCCAATTCTGGTTGGTCTCCTGGTCGACGAATGACAGTAACATTAGGGCGTGCAGCGTGGCTTCTTGACGAGATGTTTCATCTTCAACGCACTCCACTTGTTTCCCACCAGGACCAAGCTCGATCTTCTCGCAAAGCCAGTGAACTTCCTCCGGTAAGTTTGCCACTACCCTGTAAAGATGTGAACGCTGTGAAAGTGAGGCAATACTACAAAAAAGGTGAACTTACTGGAGGCCATTAGTCACTGCGCCGCCGTCAGCCATTATACTGCTGTCGCTGGGGCGGGTAGAGCTTCAATATAAAGTCCTTTTCACGTAGTGACAATATGAAAGAGTGTAATGAAGTTGGGAAATGATGCGAAAAAGGCGAAAACCCGAGAGAGCAATAGCCCAGAGGTAGGTGTCTTGACTCTTGAGGGTTCAGAGCGGCAGAACATGGGAGGCTGCAGGACGCGATTTCTTAGCTCAATTTATCATGATCTTAGTCATACAGCTACGCGCCAAACAAAGCCCTAAACCCTATTCACGTGCCATACCTTTAAAGGTTTAATACTTTGGTGAGGGAACAGAGGGCCTCGTGTTGGTTCTTTAATATTGCATGGATCACACCAGAATCTAATAGCACTCCTTTCACTTTTCTTTTCTTTTCTTTTCTTTTTGTTGGAGTGATGATGTAATGAAATATGTGATATTATAGCGAGTGATAATAAGTGACTTTAAATGCTGAGTGATAATAAATGACGCGTGCTAGCTCAAGGAGCTATCAAATCCATAAAAGGGTCCTAGCGAGCTGTAATTATTGCTCCCAACCCCTACACAATTTCAGATCAATTGCAATTGATACCGATATCTTGTATTTATGGCAAAAGAAATTGCTAATGCTCAAAAAAGAAAAGACCCGTCTATCACAGATTTTGGATATGTATCGTACACACAAAATCGGAGAACCGGTTGTGATTTTTGTACTTTCCATTATCCAACCGTGAACCAGCAAAGGAAAGAACTCCATTTTAGAACAAGAAGAAAAAAGTTTTGGTTCCCCGACCCCCAAGATTCATGGATTTGATTTTAATTTACTTTATGTATCCCCCAAATCTACTCCTCAATGTTGCCCCGCTCGGAAACGTAAAGACCGTCCAAGAACTAGAAAGATGTTAGCACATTTCTGCCAAAACAAATTTTAACCAGTTCAATTATGTACCTTTCGGATATCCTTATTCCTGACCCTGCAGATCTGCTGGATATCCGCAGCGGATTGAGAAACGTTCTCAAGAGAGTTACCAGTGAGAACGATCTCGTCCTTGACGTTGGCGCTGGTCTCAACGCTGACACCGGGAAGCATCGTTACACGACGGATGATCTTCTCTCCCAAGAAGTTACTGTTGGTATCCGGTCAGTATGTAGCTCGAGAAAAATTGCCAAATTTCGATAAACGACGGCGGATGCGTAGAGAAAATATCGATGGTTCCCCCCATCTGGCTATCATTCCCAAGCTTCTTCTCGTCGCTTCTGTCTCTTCAGAATATCAGGACAGGAAACCCACCGGATCTCAACGTGTCCCAAACCAGTCTCCTTGTCCTCCTCAATGTTGACGTTGATGGGAAAATGGGCGTAGACGTAACGCATCTTGTACTTGTAACCCTTGGTAACACCGATGACCATGTTGGCGATCAAAGACTTGACGGTACGGAGAGCGGCAACATTCTTGCGGGTTCCGTGGTGCAGAGAGATGTTGATCACGTTGGGGAGTGGGCTCTGGACGAATGAGACTGAAAGGTGCTTAAGGTCCTTGGTGAGCTCACCACGGGGCCCAGTAACGGTGACGATACGGGACCTGATCTTAACGGACACTGGGGATCACACTCTGTCAGCGTTCCTATCCCTTCAAGCCTGTACTCCGCAAAATTTCCCCAATCTATGTGTGCCCAAGGCGAGCTCAACCACAACTTGTTGGGCCGAGCCTTCCTTCTATTCTTAACGCCCCACATTCGCCTCTTATTTCCCTTTAAACCCAACAGCTCTCCTCAAAAACCCTAGCCCGCTCCTTGGTACAATTTACGGAATTAGGAGAAAAACTCACCGCCGTCAGGAATGGTAAGAGTCTCTCCGCTGTGAATGTACTTCATCTTGTCGGTCGGATTTCGCGGTGAATTGGGGGTGGTCGAATTATCGTTTCGTCGTTCGTCGTTGGAGGGGCGTTGCTGTTGCGAGCTGCGTTAATCCACAAATTCCCTGTGGGTTCCGCGACAATGTGGGGGCACTAATCTTGTTTGGAAAAGCAGTGACTGTGTGACTTTAGGGCTCAACCCTAGTCTCCAAAAAACCACACCCGATCATGACTTCTCACCCGCGACTAACCATGAGGTACATCACTTTGTCTGATAAATATACCTCTTTCAACTCATTTAAGTGATCCAAATAATAAAGTTTGTGCTCATGCTAATATAGGGGCCCTCTAGCGTTCGGTAACGTGATTGTAGGAGCATGCAACTGAGGGACCGCCTTACATGCTAACGAAGATCTTCCTCACTGGTTCATCTAATGTATGTCTTTGAAGCTGATTTTAGTGGTTTCAAGAAAATCTTCAAAATAAGATTATAAGATTAAGCTCTAATTGATGTGAAGTTATACAACACTAGATGAAACTAGAAGTTTCAAAACGGTAATAAACAGGAGGAATCTAGTACTACATACAGTACGAAAAAACGGGGTGAAACCAGTGCTGTATGACTGCGGGATTTAGTGAATAATACCGAATTAAACCAGCACTACAAGGGGATACCGTAGTAATGCCGTATTCTTGCTGCATTAAGGGGAATAACGTAGCGAATTCATACCCTTTTTTGGTATTGTAATACTTCAGTTCAGCATAAAACAGGTCTTGTTGAAAGCACGGCAGTTATTCAAGAGTGAGTCCTATGAGCTTACTATAATCAACTTCGCCTCAATCTGCAGAGTATTCGAGATACTCCTCTATATCTAGAAAAGATTATCTGTAGATATTAGGATATTTTTGGATTTAGTAATCTTTGGGGGGTCGCGATCGACGACTCGGGAGATATATGTATCATAGGTAGATTAAAATCCCGTCTGGGCATATACAAATCTCGGACTGTAGTCCAGTCGAACGAAATAACTACATGTACATAAACCTCCATCAATGCGCATATATACATACATATAAAGTATCACAAAAGACGTAATTGCACAAGGTATCACATTTATGTGCTCCCAATCACATACAGCCACCATATTCTTTTCAACTTTGCGAATTTTCTAATCACGCGGAGACGATGTTCGGAGCTTACTGAAACCAAACAAACAAAAATTCGCCAGATTTTATGTGACGGAATTTATAATCAGGGAAGTTTATCTAGGTTACTTCGCTTTTGTGCAGTTACATGTGTTATTGAATTATGATGTGAAACGGAGTTACAAGCCGTGAGGATTGACTACCGACATCTTTGGGCAGCCACGGATTTCAGCTGTTAGATATCCGTATTCCGATGGATCGACTAGATGTCTTGCCGGAGCAGCCTATCCATTGATGTGAATTCAGATCAGTAAAGATCCTTGAGGTTTAAATTCTTTAGGCTAAATACATACATGGTCGGGATTTAATACACTCAGGCATGAGGTCCGGCAGACATGCGGCTTCACCTTCAAAGGGAAATTCGAGCTAGTAGTGTCAGTGTCATTATCGGTACCGGCAACGAAGTTGTGAAACCGTGAGTTGCATTTGCGTGTCGAGTGATATCACATGATGATAAGGAACGGTTTGATATATATATTTTTAATCAAGACCAGGGTTCTGCTGCTGCAACCGTAGATCGAGTGCCCCTTGGACCTTTCTACCAAGATATATGCGCGTAGTGAATATACATATCTCCGTTCCTTGGGGGCCCCGCTGATACTGTCCCGTCTTCCGAGCTTTAGTGGTTTTTATTGGTTTCTTCCAAAGAAACATGCCCCCCACCCTGTCTATAAATTTTTCTAGCCAAACAGACTTGGTATTCGCTTATTGATCTGTGTACCTACATGTAAATACGCACAGGTATTACGACCCGTCGCTCAGCAGGAAGGGAGGTATCACGCTGTATCCACTGAGAGATATGTACGTGAGAAGCAGTGAAACAATATGCGGATAGGTGGCAATTCGGCAAGTATAGCTGCAATGAGAAAAGAGGCAACCTTCTGCGTAGGTGGTCGAGACAGGAGAAGGACTTTGTCATCATCTTGTTCCTCGAGAAAAAAAACAGTTTTGTGCCGTTGCTATTGTGTGATAGCCCTAATCCCCGTAATGCGGCGCAAGCGCTTGGACCATTGTCGGCCTGTCATCTTGGTCCTGTCCTGGATGATATCGCGGTCAATCATGACGCCTTGCATGACGGAAGGGTATTAACAAGGCGAAAGCGTGGGATGACGGGCTTGGGTCCCAGACCTCGACAGCCGGATGGCATCAACTGCCTAGTTCCGATCGTCAGCCATCTTTCTGCACAGAGATGCACCCCCCAGACGAGGGGTTAGTATTGAGAACTCTGAAGGAATACGATACATAGTTATTAATAGAGTCTAGAATTGAAGGATTTTGGTCTAGAATTCTTATGTACACACCCAAGCTAGTCCTGTAAACTTTGACGCCCCGTCATGATAGTAAACGCCCGGTCTTGATATCAATCACACGGACACGTCTGTCACTACACAGGTTGTTTGGTGGGGTAGGTCGAATGTTTTGTTTCTGTTCGTGTCTCACATCGACCAGGAGGACAGATAGGCGCTCTTTCTTGTTGTTGATGAGACAAAGTAAAAACGCTTGTCGGCACAGTCTGGGAGATGCTTTGTGGGCAAGATAATTGGAGGGAAAACGACGCTGCAGGAAGCAAGGGATGTCCAAAAACTAATGAATCTCTACATAACAACTGCTGCCGGAGCCGCACCTATATCCGACAACCAGGTATGCTTTGGGCTTAGGGGTCTTTGTTGGGATTAATACATGTAGTTTGTGTGTGTATATATGGTACCTGAAAAGAATTTTCCGAGATAGAAGCCTTGCGATTGGAAGAGCTACGATTAAGAATTTCATATGATGATATAGCGCTATGATAGAGTTCCAGATAGATAAAAACAAATGCAGCTCTGTGATCCTCGGAATCTGGTTCTCGTTTTCTAGCTTGAAAAGATATGGTCTCTTGTATGTCCTGATCGAGATCCTCAAATCTGATGATGCTGCAAGAAACCGCCGTGCAACAGCGTCATTAAGTTAACGAAAACCGGCCAGTTGCAACTTAATAGGAAAAGCTATTCTAGCCCCGATAGTTATGTATGCAACAGAATAAACACTGCCCATACGAATGAAGTTTTTCACAAACCATTCCAGGCTTTGTCCGATTTGGTGAGTTTGTAGTAACTAATCCAAGACAGTGATGTACATAACATATACCTACTGTTAAGCCAAGTTTTTTTCTTTTCCTTTTCCTTGTGGTTTTGCACACACGTAGGTGCACCTACACCGACTTCCGAGACTCAGATCATGATCATACGTCGTAGTAGGTAGGTGTCTGGCTTAATCCGAATAACTACCCGTGGAGAGAAATTTTGTATAGCTATAAGTAGGAACATACTGTAAAGTAGGTTATGAGCTCGGGGGTAGTTGGTGTCATCTGACTACTAGCACGAATAGAGTACCCCCCGTGGTGGTAAATAGGGGACAGGGAGGGCCTTGTCTTCCGGCAAGGATTCTGAAATGATTGTTCTAGCCCGACTGGTAAAAATTAGGGTTGTTGGCAACGATGATTGGAGAAGCGACGGGTAAGGGTTACTTAGCGGTTCGCGCCGTTCGGACAGTTAACTGCAATTGTGCTCCCCTTTGAGTAGTCCTACACACAGTAGTACGTTACAAGTCAAGTCAGTGAGTGAGTGACAGTGACATGCTACAAAAATGGTAACTGGGCCAGCCGCGGGGGGATGTTAAGGCCGACGTTGTTGTTGAGAGTTCGTGGTCAAGGCCTGGCCTGGCAGATGGGTAAGGAGTTAAAGACCCACATATCTGGTCTAGGGAGAGCCCTAGGGGAACCCTAGGGGAAAGTTGCCGAAACATTGGACAAGTCTAAAAAAAAATAAAGTCTCTCACCCTGTGGCGACATCGATATCGTCTTCGGAGGGCCGGTTAGTATATTCGTCAACAACGTTCGCAAGAATAGCGGGATATCCATTCGAAGCTGCAAAGCTGCCGTCTCAATGATCCAGAAATGACCCATAATAGATAGGGATTATTATGGGCGAAGATTTTTCGTGCCAAAAAGCGACAAGTGTTGCACAAGTTGTTCGGAAGAGGAAGAAATTGCTCCATCAAGTGGGCGTTCACAAGTTTTAGGTATCATGCCGTAGGAAATTCCAGCCTAGAAGGCAACAGCAGTTTGCCCGTGCGCGCATCCGCAACGCACAGATCGTCGACAAGCGAGCAAGTAAGGCATCAAGAGAACTGTGTCGAAGGAACACAGTTCCTACAAAACAGTACAAATCATACATGCAGACTCAATTGGGCTTTGATGGTATTGTAAAACCAAAGAGATATACAGGGATGGCTCTGTGATATCTGACTTCTTACTACGACATTGGCCCGAAGATACCCGTAGGTGCAGTGCAACAGGCTGGGAAATAACAATATGATGCAGACTCTGATCAATATACAGCTCTGAGAAGACGTGCAGAGGCAGAAGGAGACTTGGGCACAGCCACATATATGTAGCTGCATGCAATAGTAGACGGCGATGGTATTTGGGAGCAGGTATTTGGAAGCCGTTTCAGAGGTAAACTCAAGCTTCACATCAACCCAGGTGCTATGCACGTACTATGCTCATAATATATCTGTTTAGATGCCTAGTTGGGATCCCCAACGTATCTCAACCTCATACTTCAATGCTGGGACGCTGTGTGGTTCTCTTACTGGGCTGAATTGGAGAGACCCTTGCTTCGACCCCCGCATTCATTAATTGGACATATGAAAGTTGTACCGACCTGGACGTTTTAAGCCCCTCACCTGTCGTTCCTTTTTTGTTCTACTGCGGACCTTGCAGTGTGGCTCCTGCCACACCACTACCAATCATTAAAGGAAAGGGAAAAGACAACCATCTGTTGAAGGCAAGTTTGGCTGTGTTTATCATAACATCTTTCTATAAATCTAGCCCCTCGGGGAATGTCTCACTGTGAACTCGCTTCCGTCCTCTCCGCCCCTCCGACGTAAAGGTTATATATCTAATCTCGCTCCCTCGGAGAGAATTGCGTGAGACCATTGATAGTTTTCAGACCCTATTCTGTTTTTTAACATATTTCCTGGCTGCATCACATACCTAATTCTCATTGCACCCAAGTCAAACCCTTACCGGCACCTCTTACTTTTGGTGCTGCTGCGCTTTGGCCGCTGCACGGTGCCCCGCCGATCCCTGTTTACGAAAGATACCTATAGGGAGAGATTCTTATACATACTGGGCGCTGGGTGCTCTCCTTTTATCTCGTGAGCTTTCGACATCTTCAGTCAGTTAGTTACGTTTACTGGTTTTCGTGACGGCGAGAAACGTCGGGTTGTGATCTCAAGTTCGTTGCAACCTCCTGAGCCGTTAGTTTTGCAGTGGAAATATATAGTTAACTGACGTTTTCTACAGCAAACGAGGTTTAGCTGCAACTCGCGGTCTTTTTGAATACTCGAAAATATGTACAAAACGGCAGAAAGCGCGAAGCTACCTGAGTATATGGACTGCTCTGTACGCGACAAAGATTACATGGGCGATACTCAACTCCACCAAAGTCCTTCAAAGTCTCCTCAATATCGACTATTCGCCATGAATTATGGGCAGGACTATGGCCAGAATAATCAGAACCACCAGAAAACCCGCTCACGTTCTGAGACCTCATTTTCGGATAATATCTCACTGACAACTACTCGAAGTACTGCCACACAGGATCTGGCAGATTTCCTCAAAACATCCAGTCCTGACGATTTCAAGAGATATCTCTCATCGTCTTCTGAAGATCTTAGTACTGGCGCTGGTTCTCGAGGGGGAAGCTTTCGATTCCTGAGGTCGCCGACGCATGGAAATTCGCCCACAAGAGTAAATACCGCACCCCCTACAACTGTTACTTCTAGTAAGAATGTTGTTTCGAAAACTACGTCTAAGGGGAAGCCATATCTTCAAATTCATGTGGACTATGGAGAGACTTACTTCGATTCTCACGCCACGAGTGTAAGTCAACAAACAAGCTTCTCGTCTGAGACATCTTCAGATTATAATCGAAACAGCATGACAACTAGTCTCAGCACCGGTGCATACTCTATACCTAGTCCCCGAGAATCATATTCTGGCGAGCGAAGTATCAGTCCTACGCTACCTAGGAATGCTCAGGAATCAAAGGTTTCACTAGACGTAGCAACCATGGGTAGATATCAACAGTTTCTTGATTCCGAAACCGATATCAAAACAGGCACTACTAGTGACAGTATTAGATCGGTACCACGTTCGTACACTAGTGATATTGTTACTATGGGGATGGCAGAGATGAGGGAATTCCAGAAACGTGGGCGACTGAGGTCACCGCCCCGAAGTCCCTCTGGAGCTTACTCTTCGAGCGTTATGGGGTCTACGAAGAGCTCTCCTCCGCGCCGTCGTTCTCGATCAGAGGCCGCAGGAGCTGTCCGTCCAAGGTCTCAAGTCATTTCGGCACGCTCGTCCATGACTTCTGTGGTTTTTGAAGATGTCACCGATATTGAATTTGAAATCACGACAAGTAGTGGCGCTCATGTTCAACGCAAGAAGAGCAGAAAAACACCACCCATGCCAGGCCCACCACCAAACAGGAGTTTACCTTCTCTTCCGGAGAATCATAGTGCTTTACGGCCAGACGAGGCGGAGGAGCGGCGCCCAACTCCTACACGGACACGTATTTCACGGATGTCAATTATAAGCACGACAACAACCTGCCAATTCGATGATGCAGAGTCAATTAGAAGTGATAGAAAGACCCGTGAAGAGCGTGTTAAGGCACGCAAGGCAAAGGATATGCAAAGGATGAGGGAAAGGAGCAAGATTCGACAGAATAGCGAATTGGGTGAAACATATGACTCAAATAGAAGGAGGTCTACAACTGGTCAAAGTACTTTCAGCGACAGCAGTGACAGGAGATCTTCACTTGCTCTCACTGAACATCCAGCTTCATCGTTCAACAGTCTTCCAAATAGCCCATCAGACAACAAAACACACCCCCGCTATGCGAAAGGATTTGGCTCTGGAGCTTCAGAAAATGCATCGACACCACCAACACCAACAGTCACAGTTTCAACACACAACGTTTCGGCAAGGGAGATAGAGATGGAGGCACGAATACTTGCTGTAGAGCGGAAGAATAAGATGTTAGAACAGGCTTTGATGGCGGTTATTCGAAGTACGGTGAAAGGACAGACCCAGCGGAAAACGGAACTGTTCAAGGCAAATGATATGGAGGAATTACTGGATGAATTGAATCTTGAGGAACTCCCAACTGTCTTGACGGACGGTCAATTAGTTTGATGATTGAATATTATGGTCTGGTTGGCGACATATTCTATGGATAAGGTGTTGGTGGTATTTGTTCCGCTTGCGTTGGGTTTGCCTTGGATTTTTATGAGGAACGTTGGTGGTTTTACAATTCTCTCTATACAGTTGGTGGTATTGCTTGATTCTCAAGCACAACTGGAAGTGTCTATTGATTTTATTATCTGTAACATTTTTCTTACTATTTTCCTATTCTTGAAGATTTTTTCTTGTACAATTTTTCTTACTATACCCCAGGTTTTGGATTATAGCTCAATATTTTTTCCTTATGCTTTTTTTTATTTCATCTATTCTGATACTGCGTAGCCAGTGATTACTTGTTGGTCACTTGCCCGCAGAAGCACTATCATCCGCTCATTACACTTAGCAAACCTTTCTTCCTTAATTTCTATTTATCTCCTTTGTCACGGGTGGCCTTGTTATTCTTATTTCTTCCTTTTCTTTCGGCGAGGGCTTTACAGGGGGGTTGGTTCAATTTATCAAAAAATGGGATGATGGTTTAGGGGAGCCGGCTTGTTACTTCTGGTTTCTGGGGGTTTTAGATGCAATATCTACCTTCTTTTTTCGATCACACTTTTTTTTTTTTTTGCAATCTTAAGTTTTGTGCATATATCTTCTATATTCATACTGTCCGGTTCAGTTGTTTGGCGCCAGTAGCTAGTGGTTTGATGGTTGCTCAGCCTAGGGGCGTCATACAGTGAATGCATACATTTTCAAACAGACAACAGACTGAAGTTCCAATAGGCTATGAAATATACCGACAATTTCGTCATAAGCTCTAAATTAGTTTATGTCGAACAGGTTGTTCTGTAATAAGTGAAGCTGGGCTGAACTAGCTGACGGCTTCAAAGCGGTTCGTTGAATTTATCCGTCGTTTTTATTTGTGTATCAAGTCTTGTAGGACAGACGAACTTAAGCAGATTAAGTGCAGACTACTAGGCCGAGGTCTGGTGTGGCAGTGATTTTGGTGTTAGCTGATCATTGGCACAACGAAGTTTAAACCAATCAATGTTGTGCAACCTAGTTGCTAACCGTTACTGTACAAGGATATGGGCATGTAGTACATATAGCATGAGTAATGTCTCGGGAACTACGAAAACTGTATTAGCGTTTTCCTTTCGAGCGCAGCCATCGAAACTTTAGGACCTGAAGAGATTTTTCTACCTCAGTTGAGGTTGGGGGTTCAGCCTCTCTCTGGAGTTTATTAGCCGAGTCCAGATATAGGAGGCAAATATATCTCGGCAACTAGTACACATGCTAAAAGTTTGCATTGCCCGGCCTCTTAGTTACTTGTAGGCTCCAATCATCACCTGTTCAAGATTTCTTTCCCATCTGCAGTTATCACTGGCTCATATTCAATCAAATGTGTACCTGCATTCAAAGAGCTGAAGTCCGTTGCAGGAACCCGTACTGGGAGTGCATCTCGGGGACCTCCAACTGAAGCTTGAGGGCCAATGGTTAAAATAGGAGGAGTAGGGAGGACTTTATCAAATCAACGCTAATCTAAGGAAATTGTATGCACATTGCATTAGTTGCAGTTTGCTCACTATTGGCTGTTTAAGGTGTTGATGTATAGACGGCAGATATATCTATTGGAAGTCATAGCTTGCCCTCACCGTATAAATGCTATGTATGTAGGTATATATGGTTGGTTAGTAAAGTACCCGGTTTCTGAGGCATGCACATTTCAGCGAATGTTACGTATACGGTATTCGTCGTGATCTAGATCTGATAACTCACGCTCGAAAAATAAAAAGAAAAGAAAAAAAGCACATGCTTATAACAATCATTGCCTAGTCTCCTCCGGTCGCCAATCTAGCAAGGCTTTCAATGATACCTACGGTGCCAAATTAAACAGATTAAAAATTAATTTATAGATTCTTTATTTTAGGCATTTATATAAATCGTACTCTTCGGTCATTAATGGCTGAAAATTCAGCTAGAAGTAATTAAAAATCAGTAATGTAGATCTCTTGGAGACATTACGAGTAGGTAAAGTTATGACTTATGGGTCAGGTAAGTGAAGGGTAAGTGGGTATTTTATAACGACGTATACGTAGAGGTCGGCCCAGTAAATGAGTGTGGTAAGAAGTACATAAGTCAACATAGGGAGAGCTCTCTCGAGCTTGAGTTTTCTTGCCCTCTTGTTTTCTAATTCATTTTCTAGAAGAAAATCATCATATCTGATCAGAATCATGAATCATAACTAATTGATGCCAATCTGTTATACCCTTGCGTTTCGATACTGTGAGAACTAACCAATAAAACACCTTTTAAACACCTAGAAAAACTAGACTATCATGAGGTAAGCATAAAATTCTATCATGCTGATGATAATAATCAGAGCCTATATATAATTATAAGGGGAATGGGCATATGTGTATCAGTTATACTAAACCTGATGATCGATACCTGCCATGCCTCTCTAGAGATTTGGACTTCGATATTGATTGAATATAAGTCGATGATTATACAATTACATGTATCTTCGGACTATGGGACCGTTACTGATCTCCTATTCCGATTTCACAATGTGTGCTAATTTTAGGTCTCATGAGAGATAGTTGGCGTAGCTTTCGTTGGTGTTGAAACCGCTGGCCTGCAACTGAATATAGCGATTCTTTAGCAGTATTGAATAAGATGTTTAGTAAGAATCTGAGAAGATCGGATTTCTCGAGAAAGAATCTTGGGAGGATCACCCGAGTGATATGTCATGATTCCAAATGATGCAGTCTGATCCCTGATATGCACCCAGATCAAAAGAAAGTACGCAAATGTATTCTCTCCTCTATTTAATGATTTAATACAAAGCTTCGGATCCTCTGGTTTGCGTATGAGAATTAGGCCTATTTTCGTAGCTATTTTATACCCAGCCCGGCTTCCATACGTAGACTGGTTATAAGGTGAATGAAGAATTAATTGTGGGACTGGGTATTCTGTAAAAGAATAAAATAACATTATAGTTATAACAAGAAACCGAGGGAAGAGAATTTGCTCAACGTCCCCGGCTAAGTCCTTGTGCCTTAGGGCTATAGTATCTGAACAGAACTTAAATTAAACTCTTAAGCACAAAATGGAGGACTACCGGCCTGGTACACTCAATAAATATGTACATGTATGTAAGTTTTTGTTCTTAAGCCAGAGTTTAGCATCAATCGTCAGATTATAGAGGGGACGCTTAGGAGATCTGATAACCTCTGCTTGGTTGGGGATTTTGGAGTTGTAATCCAAGAAAGAATGAGCGTACTCTGACTGATGGACTGCATGATGCACGCGTTTCTCTGTCGAGCAGCGCTGATGAACATCGCCTGGTAACTGGCGAACTAGCATAACACATCTGGCGGGTCTAGATGATCCCTCCCTGTTTGCTTATATGTACAATTTAGTAGCAGTCCATCGCCTCGAAGTAGGGGGCTCCTGATCCCACCATAATAACATTGGACATCACCTTAAACTACTACTACCCACAACCCGTGAACAGATGCATGCTCTTCTTCACATTCAATAATCTCTCAACTCATCTCACGAACATCCAATTTTGCTTGCAATGTTTTACTCGCACGAGGTTCTAACCCAGCGCAAATACGGCGTGGCCACTATCTGGTAAGAACCCTCCCCTCCATCAAAAGCTCTCATATATTCTAATTCTAACACCCCGCTAGGCTTGTCGCTACAATTGGCTCTAAATCAGGCCTTAAGAAGGTTCACCGCAAAGATATCTTATCGGTCAATGTTCCAAAGGCTTGTGAAACGGTCATCCAGCCGGACGCACCTCTTGCTCTTCGTCTGCAATCTAATCTACTCTATGGAATCTCTAGGTACGTGATTGAAAAGAGTAGTAGAGAAGTAGCTGATAACTAACTGAGGATAGGGTATACTCTGGGCAATGCGACTATCTGATGAGCGATGCGGCAATGGCGCATATGAACATTAAACGGCTCATTAGAGCCACTACAGTCAAGAATCTTGACTTGATGAGTGGAGGAAGGAGCAAGTACGTTAAGTCCTGAATATCACCATCCATTTGGGATCATTATAATACTAACGATACGTTTTTCACTTAAGACCAGAGCAACTAGTTCTTCATGATGATCCAGCCTTTTTGCCTGATGTCAATCTCACAATGCTTCCCGATGGTGTTGACTTGATTATCGATGACAATGGTGATTTGTTCACCCTCGACGAAAGCATAGCAATTTCTTCATTGAACTTCGAGCGAGCTGGTTCAGTTCACTCCCTCGGGCAAATTGGTTCACAAGTAGGGTCAGTGCCGGGAAGTCCTAGGCATGGTTTGATGATTCCAACCTCAGACACCATGGCAGGAGATTATGGATTTCTCCCGGGAGGGTCTTCTTCACTCGTTGGAGGCGATGATGAAGGAGACAGGTTCCTTGATGATGTGGGCTTTGAATTCGATGCCAATGGAGAGATGAGAGAAATCGAAACGCCTAAAATTCCCAAAGCAAAAGATAAACTTGTTAGTGGCGGCAAGAGTGGAAAAGAGTATAAAAAGGCTCCAAGTGTTGATAGAGGTAGTCGTTTGAATAGCGAAGATATTGCGCAACAAGTTCTGCTTGAGCATGCCGAGGGGCGCGGCGAAGATCTCAACAGAAGCCATATGGTAATTTCTACAATTTAAAATATCAGGGAAATATATGTGCTAACAAAGTAGCTTGACGGGGACGAAACCTATGCCCCGCCAGATGATGATATCTTCGATATCGCTGCTGAGCCGTTTCTTCCTGCATCAAAAGAACCTTCAAAGGAAACCTCAAAAGAACTTTCTGCTAGCACTACAATTGCGGAGGAGAGCGCACCTTCTGGTAGAAGGCGTGCTGTTAGAACCACGGCCCCAATTATCGACAATGTCACAGAGATCCGCAGCGCGGAGATGAGGGAATGGCGTGAAAATTATCTCAACAATATGAACGCTGCCATCAAGAAATCTCAAACCATGAAGGACGCCAGAAAGGCGAAGGGGAACGCCAGGGTCATGTTGTTTGACGTTGGGCTCTTTGGAGAACTCAAAAATCCGCTTTTGAAGCAGTTGTTCTCTACAAAAGCCTTATTAGAAAGCCTCAACGCAACCTTTGAAGGTAGAAAGCGCAAGGGCACTGAAGATTCTCAAAGCAAAGAAAGAAGAATTAGAGCGAGAGTCTCGGGAGGCCCGGAGGAGGAGATGGGACTTGCTCAAAATCTTGCTGATGAATATGAACTGCCTATGGAAGGCGGTGATGACGTTGAGATTGGTGACACTGAGATCGAGATCGGTCGTGAAGCTCCAGAAATCGGAAACGATGATATTAGACCTTCTAGCCAAGCTACTCTTCCGTGGAATTTAATGTCAGAACGTAGATCACGTGCTGGATCCGTTGCAATGAGTGAAGGTCGTCTTCCTTCTGTTGGTGGATTTCCATCTAGTTCTGCAGGCGGCAGCCAAATAGACTTCCCAAGCATGAGAAGAAGAAGCTCTAAACTCGGCGCTATCAAGGGTGGGTTTGAAAGGCTGAGTATCATTGGGTCACCAATCGGTGAGCGTGATGAAGACGTCGAGGATCTTGATCGCGAATTCCCACAAGGGGAAGAGATGGAGTTTGAGTATTTTGGTGCTGGTAGGCTGTCCATCAAGACGATATTATAGCTTGATATCCTATACTGATTAATATACCTATATAGGCGCAAACGTTGATACACAGACTGCCCAGGATAGCCAATGGCTCGCTGCCACCGTAGAACAAGAATCTACGAACTTCTTTGAGTACAGATCCCCCCATAATTTTGTTTAGTAACAAGCCACCTCATCTTTTAACACGTATTTTTTTATTTTTTCTTTAGGTTTGTCAAGGCAGAGCAAGAAAAGTCTAAGAGAACTGCTGAGGAAAACGACGAGGAACCAGTAGACTTCCTCACCTTTGAGCAGTTGCTCGACCCTACTCAGAACGGGAGAATCGTAGCTGCACAAGCTTTCCATCATACACTTCTGCTAGCCACTAAAGGGCTTATCTGTGTCACCCAGGAAGAACCGTATGGAACTATCCAGTTAAGCATTTTGGAATTCTGATCGGTTTTACTACCAGTCGGGGTTAACCTGGTTACCTAATGGTAACAACCACCCTAATGCGTTGAATCCAAATTTGAGGTTGAGAGTCAATATTAGTTGCATCGATGATATCAAATATTTTATGGGGTTGGGGGTCATGGTATTAATTATGCATTTCTTTACTGCACGTATCAATTGTTAGATAGTATAGCAATATGGCGGTAGTTGCAAGTATTAGTTAGCACTTATGACGGGATAAAGGGATATAATTCCTGGTGATCAATGAATGATCATCCAGAACTAAAGTTTTTAAAACAATAAAAAAAAAGCATTGTATCTCACAGATCGCTCCACACCCAAGCTAGAAACCTGATCATCATAAAAATGCAAAATCCGTCATACAAACAACCCGGACTCCCTCTTCTACCTGTGCATCCCAAGCCAATCGAAAAAGAAAAAATGAAGAAAAATGCTACTAAAAAATGAAATTACAAGAGTAAGATAATACCTGAAAAAAGGAAGGGAAAAATAAAAATAAAAATAAAATAGGATTGGTAATCGGGAGAGACTCCTTACTTTCCAATTCGTTTTTCCAGTGCATCCACCCTAACACGGAAACCTTTCACAATCTCTCCGATCCTCTTGATCTTGAGAAACTCATTCTGCAACTCGTCGCATTGGCGTAGGATATCTCGCAGCGTCTCAATCTCGACCGTTGCGCGGTCAACCACAGTAGATGCCCGTCTATGGGATGCTTGTGTGGAACGCAAGGTCTGTGCTGATAACTGTCATCCGGGTAAATAAATCGTCAGCATATTCGTTCTAAGCCCATTCGTTTAATCCGCCCAGCCAATAGCTCTCTTACAGGAGCAGAAGTAGAGGCAGAAGTAGAAATGATATAAAAGGAGGGATAAAACCCACATTCTCGACCCGTTGCGATATACTTGCCAGCAAGTTATCAAAATGTGTGCTCAACGCCGCAAGCGCGGCCGGATCCAGCGAGATTCCGCCGTTGCTGCCGCCGCCGCTGCTCGCGGAGGCGGAGGAGGATGACGGTGGAGTTGGACGAAGACGTCGCTGCTGGGCAGCAATGTACGAAAGGTCCTCGCGCGAAATGTGCAGGGACGGGTCGGTTATCGGTGGGGGGTTCATGGAGGTTACATGGAGGGGCGATTTGTTGAGATGCTCGCCCGTCAGGATGGGGGAGGGAGCTTCGTTCAACTCCTCCTTCCTTCCGTCCTGCTCCTCCGCCCTGCTCCTCCGGTCCGTGGGTGTGGTGGCCGGGGGGTGGGGGGGGATGAAGGGTAGAATTGGGTGGACTTTCTTTTGGGGTTGTTAATGGGGGCCTGGTCCTGGTATGTGTGTGTGTGCGAGGCCGAGGATGTGTGGGTGTGTCGATGTGATCGTGATCGCTGTAGTGGTTGTGGTGGTTGTGATGGTGGTAGTGGTGGTGATGTTTGTTTTTTTGACGTCAGTACAGGCAGGAGGATCTGGAGGTCAATAGTTCAAGCACTGTATGTAGTTGAATGTATGTAATATGTAGGTGTAGTAGGATGCGATGACTCGACCTCGACCTGATAGATAGGTATGTAGTCCAGAAGAGAAGAGAGAGGTTGGCAAGCAAGGCTATCTCGAACTGTCAGTTTGAGTAACTTGTCTGAGTAAAAGTTATGCGGAGCTTTGACCATTCATGATACCCGCTTGGGTAGTTATGTGACGCGTTACCGAGACTGGGATTGTCGACCGAATAAATACCACTGGGCACCAGTCTACCACTTGAGTACAAGGTAATGCCCAATATCATCATCACCGGTTTCCTATCCAGTACATTTTCCGTCCTCCACACCTCCAGAACAACCCTCCAATCCCAATACCATATCGTATGTATGTAAGAGTATCTAGTTAGTTACCTTATGGGTACTACTACATACATGTACTGCTATATGCCTACATCTACCATGGATCTATATGAAAATTAAAAGGGCAAGATCAGAAAATCTGATAGTGACCTGCACCCACAGTATCTTTAATCTTATCGTCCATCCATTAAACTTTTTTCTTTCCTTTTTCTTCCACCCTCGCCTCCCCCCCGTACATGGACCTCCCCCCGTACATGGATCCCAGCTACCTATGTCATGTATGTCTGGCCAGACCACCGTTTTGGCCCATCAGAGACTCTCATTGGCTGTTCCAAACCTTCGTTTCGCGCGCCCTCGATTCTTTGCTGCGAGGAAATCGTTTTTCTCCGATCATTTCTGTCGCGGACTGCAGGCTTGCTGCGCATGCAGTGTGCCACAAAAAAAATAACGGATGCGGAGAAGCTGTCTTGAAACGAGACCGATACCCGTCGTTTGGCGACATATACCCCTACCTTACCTAGCTGACTTATTTAAGAGCCGTTAGATGCCATCTCTTTTCTCCTTTCTGCCTGCCTTCCCTCCCGCACGCGGCGGATGTGGGAAAGGGGTGGGAGTTTATTCTGGGTTTGCTCCGTGTGGCTAGACCGCTGGAGTGCTACCTTTTAGGGTTCATGTTGCGTTTGAGCGCTTTGGAGGGTCATAAACGCGGATGTAGTATCCTATCCATGTATCAGCTACTAATAACAAGCCTAATATAGGTATATATAGTGCACTGGACTTCCAGACTTGTCGGCGTAATCTGGAGTTTTTGTTCTACTCGCGGCGGGAGTTGCTTGTTGGTTTTGTTCTCGTTATTCAACGAGTTGATCCTTTTTACAACTAGGTAGTAGAGCCTGAACTAGATTTTTGTTTAGAAAGGGCCTCGACCTGAGATTCAAAACAGGTCATGTTATATGCTGGTCTCGGGGTGTTTTCTTGGAGGAAATGGACCAAATCGATGCATTCCCGTTAGAGGTTCTAGAACAGAAAGCCCCTTCGTAAATGCATTTCCGTCGAGGCCCTCATATGATCACATATATATATATATATCAATATCAAATGATAATATAATTCCTTAAGCCTTCCGATGCTTCTGGCCGGTGTTTCTCCGGCTCAGACGGCCGATGCCTTTACTCGCTCTCAAGTACTCACGCCGCTGCCTAGCACCGTACTATAGCGCTATGAGATCTTTCCTTGCCAACGGCCCTGGTAGAGCGTTGATGCCTTTGTTGTACTCTATATGAAGAAAAAACGGTTATAAGAGCAAGGACCAAAAGTGAAACAAGCGGCTAGCAATTCCTTAACCCTAACTGATACAAGATACCGAGCAACGCCACAGTGCGGAATACAGTCTTTTACCGTCTCTTGACGAATACTGCCAGTTGACGAACAGGGGACTTTGGGCCAATAGAAATTAAAAGGACCGGAGATCTCGTAGCTTGGCTGTTGCTTGACTGTTTCTTTCCATACTTGGAATCCCTGTTCGTCAAGTGGCAGTATTCGTCAAGAGACGGTAAAAGACTGTAGTCAGTAACTTTGCCATACGGATAAGATGGTCTCAGTGGGCCGGGTATAACTATACTTTGCGATGCATGTAGAATCCACACGACACGTGCGTAGTAGTTAACAGTAAACTCTCTATTTAAATATGTGGTACAAATTCGCGCTTTCAGTAACGGGACTCGTCCTATACGAGTACCACTTTACAGTCTGATTTATACATGTACGTACTGGTATACTGAATTTAACTGTAGATCTTATTTGACTACATGTAAGCATCGATTAGATAATCTAGCATAAATATTAGAACTCACGACGTAACTACACTCGTATATACTGTACCAAAGACGGGGTGTATTATATATCTGGTAGGTTACTGAGAAGTTGAGATCTTGCTTCGACATTAAGATGGCTCAATGGTAAGAATCCTAACTTAATTCAAAAGTTTTACGCAGTTACGTATCGCCCATGATCCAGCTCACTTAATGGATCCTCTTTCCTGGTACTACATTGTTGGTGATATCAAGAACTCTCCTACTATTTCAAGATCTCAGTTAATCTCCTAATATCTCATTTTTTATTTTATTTCTTCGTTCGTTTTGTAACAGCGCCGTGCGGACATGCAGTAATTATAAGCTTAAAGATAAAATAAATCAGAAATCGAAAGTGTGGAAGAGAAGGTAAGAGCTAGTCGTGCCTTCAATCGCAAGAAGCTAGGGGTCATGCAGCTGACGTTAAGAAGGTAGGATGTTAAGAAGGTAGGATGTTAAGAAGGTAGGATGTTAAGAAGGTAGGATGTTAAGAAGGTAGGATGTTAAGAAGGTAGGACGTTAAGAACGCAAGAGAGATGGGGAAAAAAAATGGAAATGAGGGCAAGAACGTAAGAGGTTAAAAAGGTAACAAGTTGAGGAATACAAGACGAGAAATATTATGATGTCTATTATATAAATCTATGCTACAAGAGTTTGCCTTAGATTTTATTTCCCACCTCCTTCACGGGCCTCAATCTCCCGCGCCAGCTCGCCGCACGTCCAACCACCGCCACAGCCTTCGTCGACCTACTTCTAGTCTTCACCGGCCTACTTCTAGCCTTCAACACACCTCCTTGGCCTCCAACCATCCTAAGCTTATACTCCTCCCTCCACGGCCCCTTTAGCAGCTTCCGCATCTGCCTCGCGAGCTCCAAGCTAAACTTAAGCCTCTTATCCGAACAGCAGCGTGCATACGCTTCTCTGTGGGCATTGCGGAGTCCTGGCGACTCGTTCATGCGGTGTCTCCCAAGGCGTTCGTTGTTGAGCTCCGACAGATCTTTGAGATGTCTGGCCTGGAAATTGAGGCTGTCGTGACGGATATCGCGCCATTCGATAGAGTAACTCTCGAAGGCGTGGTGGAAGATGGACTTTTTGTCCATGCTGCGGTAGAGGGAATCTTGTTCCGAGCTGAGCTCGATGACCTTTTTTGGGGTGTCGAAGTAGCGGGACCTTGTCGCTGGAGAGGGTATGCAAATATTGCCAACTGTTTGACAGAGCATCTTTTGTGTTTGGGGGGTTGTAGTGTGGGGTTCAGTTAAAGACGGAGTGGAGAAAGTAGAGTGTCGAAGGGAATGTATTTGATGGTGAGAGTTGGAATGGAGAAAGTAGATTGTCGGAATGTATCTGGTGGTGAGAGTTGGAGTGGAGAAAGTACAGTTTGGGAGGGGATGTATTTGATGGTGAGAGCAGAGCGGGAGCGGAGAAAGTACAGTGTCCCGGGGGGGGGGGGGGGGGGGTGTATTTGATGGTGAGAGTGAAAATGGAGAAAGTAAAGTGTCGGAGGAAATGGTTGCTGTCATTTTAATACTAAATGTGCTACTAATAGTGGTTGTTTGGCTGGTGTCGATACCATACTATGGGGCGGGGGAGATTGAAGAACATCAGAAACAAAAGCACCAATAGAAGCAACCGCGTAAATGTGATAGATAAATGATGATAGGGAGGGGCTGGGCTTGGGCATGGTTGGCTCACAAACGTATTCGGTCCCAAGTGAGAATACGCCGAGTGATATTTCATGACTCAACCAAGGTTGATGTGCACAAGGCTTTGGGTTTAAAAGGTAAATTCATGTGTCCCGACTTCTAGGTTTATCACAAAGACAAGGTTTGAAAAGATAGAAATTTATTATAAAATGATCATTGTGTAGGTTACTCGATTAACTATATGATCTGCTAGTCGTTTCGTTTAATTCGTCTATTTTCCTTCAATCTTTTTACAGTTATAGGGTTTGGCACCCGCATATGGCTTTGTGGGTTTTGTACATTCGAGCGTTATACATTCTCTCGCTATTTCGGAAGAATATTCTGCCAGTCTATGATATGGTTTAAGCCATCGCTCTGCTACTTATATAATTATACCATATCTTATTTACCTCCAAGCCCTAACTGCCTGTCGACGATCGTGAAGAATGGAGCTTGGTACCATGCAGCGCCCGGCTGTTATATAAGAATACCTTTCCCCCACTCCAACTCTTTTTTTCCTTTGGGAGCAGGAAACTCTTCAGCAACCCTCCTCATAGCCCCTCTCTTAGTTTATTCCCGGAGAGCACCCGAGATCAGCAAACAAGATAAGATGAATATTAAGCAACAAAACCTCTTGCCTCTGCCCCGCTCGGGGTAGATCAGTGACTCACCTTCTCGCCCTCTCTTGATCGCTGGCCTCTGTCCCAACGATCAAGAGGGACCTGAGTCATGTTGGGTCTCCCTAGAGTCTTTGGCCTCTCTTGATCTTGATTCTTGAATTATCTACTTAAGAATCAGGAGGTGCCTAAGTTGCGTTAGATCTCCCCATCCATTCACCGCTCGTGCTCTCTTGTGGAGAGAGTACAGATCTCACTCTATTTCTGGGCTCAATCCGAGGATTTTGTGAGATCATCTCGCCGTCCTTTTGCTTTTTGCATATATACGCCCCCGACAAGGACAGATCATAGGTTTCTCTGAGACTTGAGCGTAGGCCCTCTTGGTAGGTATAAAGCAGCTGTGACTCTAAGGTAAATTGCAAAAAAGACCGTATTTTCTAGGCGCAAGCTCGGAAATATGTAATTAAATAGAGTAAGATGACGAGGCCCTGAAATCGGGACGGCCCTTATACAACTTCTTCCTGAAGCAAGCACATGTAATTGCAAGTTTCGATGTCCAAATTTGCAAAGCTAAGAGTAACTACATGCATGTATATGTAGCATGGGACACCGTCTCCGTCTAGAGCCGTGAGGCCAGATATATGGTTAGATTAATTAATCCATACAACAGTTATAGTCTACCATAATTAACTAACAATCTTCAATTATGTCCGATCTAATACTTTGTACCTTTCACCAAACCGCGCTATTCCCATCATGGCCCAACCGAAGTATTTGCATCATGAGATATCAATCGGCCGCCAAGCAGCCACTAATGTCACCTGACCTTCAAACTAACTGTTAGTTAAACCAAACGAGTCATCGCCATGTCTCAGGAATATCTAACTACAAATTGATTGGTTGAGGATTGTTATGGATTTCCTCAAAAGATGTAAAAGGTAAGCCGAGGGTTATATGCGCATCTAGTATAGCTCTCCAAGGATGTTTTTAATTGCATTGATGGCCGGCCAACTTGGGTGTATCCCGGATTGCGAATCAGATCACGGATATGGATCCTGTATATGTAGTGGCTGTAGCATTCAGCTGCATGATCAATGGTGGAACAGGCTAACTGAGGTACCTGATGATAAATACATAGAGCGGCAAATAGCAATATGTCTGTAATTATCCAATACAGCCTATGAGACTTTTATCACCTCTTCAATATATGAAATGACTGATAAAATAGGGCTATTTGTTTTAAATGATATTTTGGAGCTGTGAAGCGTGGCTGTGGGACAAGGAGCTACGGCCGTAGGAAATTACAACCATGAAATATCACTCAGTGCACTTCTGATTAAAATTTTGAAAGCACAGGTTTATCACGCAAAGTAAGTCGCAAGAAAAATTTGTAAGAAGGAAAAAACTTTTATATAAAACCTATTCGAAAAGAAAAAGAAAAGAAAAACCAAGAAGAAATGCCCCCTACACCCAGTATACCGATATAAGTACCTATCAAAGCTAGCAAAAATCCAATCATACCCAGCATAAGAAACACTCTAATTACTACACACCTACAAACCACTTACACCTCATCATGGTCCCTAACATTTAGCTCGTCAAACTCATCCAACAGTTCATCCATGCCGATCTCCGGCAATCCCTCCTCGTCATCATCCTCATCCGTCTCCTCAACATCCATCTCATCGCCAGTCTTCTCCACACCCTCCATTCTCGTACCACTCGGCGGGTTCTTCCTCGTGTTCTTGTACAGCGCCAGCGTTCCTCTCAGCTCCGCATCCTCCTCCACATCCCGCAAGAACATCTCATAATCGCGCTCCGCACGTTCCTGGTCCTGCTTCCTGGGCAACATCTCGGACTCGTCCTTCGCCATGCGCTGCAGCTTCCAAGCACGAGACTTGTTCTTCTTCTTACGCGGGTAGCTCTTCTTGACGAGGATTACATCTGGGATGCGGTCTGGCGCGTTGCGCTCCAGCTCTGCGAAGTGCTCGTTGTTAAGATTTGCACCGGTAATATGGTAGCCGAGAGCAGAGTCTCCTGGGTGTAGAATACCGCCGAGGTGAGTGCGAACAAGATAAGTATTATTGTTTGATGCCATGTCAGATGCGCGGGCAACAGTGACATCCGCGAGAACGTGCTTCCCGTGGGTAGCACCTAGAGGCTCAATATCGAGGACGATGAACTCAACAAGGGAAGACACGTCGGCGAGAGAGCTGAAAGGCGCGCGCCAGTACACGTTTGTAGTGATGTCGGTGACCTGGAGGGTGTTGGGGTCGAGAAGGTGGATACTGTTTCCAATGCGGTTGCAGAGAAGAAGTGGGGGGATGTTTCCAAGAGTACGGGCCATCTTGAGAGGGATACAGACGAGATCGTCTTTGCAGATTGGCACAATCTCGATAGAGTAGGTAAATTTATAGGACTTTGTAGATGTATGGATATCCGTTGAGATTAGCTCAGAGGACTTCTGAGACCGGACTGGGGCAACGGCGGCAAGAAAGTCGACCATCTTGGTGGCGTGATTTCGCTGAGAGTAGAAAAAGTCCAATCCGTCCTTTGCTTCGCGGATATTTACAGTGTCGCGGTGAGCGTTGTGTTTTAGGATCAGCTGCTCGAGGTAAAGAAAGGTACGCTTATGTGGGACTTTCTGGCGGACTTGCACACACGCTCTCCATGTGTTCGCTATACCATCATCAGCAAAGCTCACAAAGAAATGACTTCCGCCACTACCACCACTAACCTGTATACGACTTCGCACAGTCCGGGCACTGGTGATACGCTACCACGTACTCGACCTCAAAACTCTGCTGCAGAATTGTGGACTCAAACGCCTCCTGCTGCACCGTGATCTTGACCTTGATTCTCTTCGAGTGGGGCTCCGTCCATATAAAGCTCGCATCGATGATTCGGACCTTTGTAAGACCTCTCAGTCTACGCAGACATAGCGCAAGTAGTTCTCTGCTCTCTAGCGCGGCAGCGACCCAGTGATTGGGGGGCTGCAGCCAGCGGTCACATCCACGGCAGAAATGAATGGTGGCTTCACGCTGGATTCCGGAGGAGATATCTACGTTGAGTTTGATACAGTCGTAGCACATGGCAACACCAGTGCTGCCATCTATAGGCGCGCCACAAGTTGCGCAAAGAATTCTAAAGTGGCGATATTGATCAGTCAGGTCCTTGCAGGCATGGAGAGGGTGCTACTAACGTTGCGATGGATGCCTTTTGGCCCGTAAAGGGCTGTATTGATACGGAGTCGTCGATCTCCATTTTAGATATGGTTTCCGGGTTGTTTCTGTCCTGTTTCTGTCGGTATATGGTGGTGGTGGTGGTGGTGGTGGTGGTGGTGGTGGTGGTGGTGATAGTTTGTGAGGGAGGTGAGGGAGGTGAGGGAGGGTTATGTCGGGTATTGGTGGGGGAAAGGCAAAGAGCACACTTTTTTTATTTTTATAATTTTTTATGCAGTGGTGGTACCCCGCGAATCTTATCTAATCTCTTGGGAGTTTGCCAGGGGGCAGATAAGATTTCTAATCGGATGGTTGTTAAGCAGAGTGACGCATGTGGAACACGGTGCATGGGGTTAGTGTGCTACTTTGGCGCAGATAAAACCAACAGTTCTTTAATAAAGCTCCAACAGCTTCTAAATAACTCACGAAACTCGGTATATTATAGATGCACAAGTACTAATCATGGTGAGTCAACACTAATTGCAATCCCTAGTACAGGTAATAACACCCCCTAGCCACCGCGCCGAAGACCACCCCCTCCGCCGCCGCCCGCCGCCCCTACAAAGAAACCCAGCGCCTCCAAGGCTGCAAAAGCACTCGGGCTAGATGTCGATGAAGAAGCCGAGATCCAGGAGGCGTGGGAAATGTTTATGGATGCTGATGGATCCGAGGAGGTGGGCGAACCGGTGGTGATTACTGCGGATGTCCGAAGGGTCATGATGTTAGTTGCGCCGGTTGTATTGAGCTGGAGAGTACGAGGAAGTGAGTGTTAATGGGGAGTTATAGGGCGCTAGGGTTTGATTCCTCGAAAGAGGAAATGAAAGAGATCATAGAGATTCTAGATCCAGATAAAGAGGGCTTTGTCACGTATGGCATGTTTTTAGAGGTTGCGGCGTTGAAGATGAAGAGTAAGTTTATTTTCGTTTTACAAATAATAGTTGTTGGTTGTTAACATGACTACAGACCGAGACCAGAATGTCGAAGTTCAGCGCGCATTTGACTTGTTCAAAGGCGGAACCGGAGACGATAGCCCGATCACAATTGCAGACCTACGGAGGGTCGCAGACGAGCTGAAAGAAAATGTAACAGATCAGCAGCTAAGAGATATGCTAGATGAGGCATGTAGTAAAGAAGTAGGCAGGGGTGTTAATCTGTAAGTCCAAAATTTATTTGTGGATGTAGAGTCAATTATTGATCGCGGGATTCTAACGTGCTGTGTAGGAAAGATTTCGAGGCCGTTATGAAAAGAGCAGGGGTTCTGTAGTCCGGAATTATTGCGACCTTGCTTTGTTGGGTGTTATGGAGTTTGATGTCACTTTTATATAATAATATAGAGTTTGCTTTATAATTCAACTGTGAAAATTGTACTAGGAAAGAAAACTTGCACACTGCATGATATTATATTTTCTAGCTACCAGAAGGCAGCTATTCCCAACCCCATCCTATCCCAGTACCCATCTCTTATGACTGTGACTGCGGCGAAATGAGGACAACAGAATCTCCTATAGATCACTCGTCAGTAAATACTAACGGCCAGAAACAGCCTGAGAGCCGACTAACCTCTCACGAACAACATTTCCGAGTTGTTCTTGATCGTCTATAAAGTACCATATTAATTCCCTATCCCTTGCCTTTCGACTACATTATCCACCGTACACATACCTTAACACTATCATCATCCTCGTCATCGTTCACCACATAGATAGTCTCCTCGACCTCACCGAGCACAAGGTTGCAATGTGAATCATAAGCCTGCCCATAAATCGCACAATTAGTTCTCACTCGTATCACTCCAGAGGTAGGGCCGTACATGTAGTCTCCCCCGCAGCTCCCGGTCTCCTCGCAACTTGACGAAAACGTGTTCATCAAGTGATAGGCGGACAAGGTCGAGGGGTTCCTGGATTGGGTTGCTATCGTCGGCGTCGGACATGGTGATTTTGGCTCTGGTATGGGTATGGGTCGTAGGTGAATTGCAAGCCTTTTGGTCTCCAGGTGGTAGTGGGGCAGGCAGTCCCGAAGTGGTAAGGTGTCGTGAGGCTCGCAGATTGCTGACATAAGACAGCCTGCTGACAAGGGCATTGTCACACAGCCTATTCAAGGTGTCTAGAAATCGCGACTTCCTGTCGTCTCGTGGGCTAGATACAGACAGCACTTCACAAATCATCAATTCTACAACCAAATCTACCACCGATCCAGAAACCATGTTGTGCGCAAGTAAGCTATCCCAGCTCAATTAAGTTCTCCCAAATTCTGCCATTAGCTAACAATCTCTTCCAGTCTCCGGAGAAGCGCCGTCCGTCCCAGTCGCGTCGACAAAGTCCGGCGTCGTCTTTGAGAAACGCCTAATCGAAGCCTACATCGCTGAACACGGCAAAGACCCCGTTACCGGCGAAGACCTAACTACCGCGGACCTCGTCGAGCTGAAATGTAAACCCCTTACCCCTCTAATAAACTTAGCAAAGACCTTTTTGCTCACCCTCGTATAGCCTCCCGAACTGTCCGTCCGCGCCCACCAACACTCACTAGCATCCCATCTCTCCTAGCAACCTTCCAGAATGAATGGGACGCCCTTGCACTCGAGACACATACGCTGCGGCAACAGCTGACCCAAACGAGGCAGGAGCTCTCGACGGCGCTGTATCAACATGATGCTGCGACAAGGGTTATTGCAAGGCTGTTGAAGGAAAGAGACGAGGCTAGGGAAGCTCTGAGTAAGATTAGTATTGGGGCAGGAAGTGGACCGGCGGCGCCAGTGGCAGCTGGTGGCGCCGACGCGATGGAAGTTGATGATGCGGGAGTGGTGCCACAGAGTGTACAAGATTTGGTGGATGAGACAGCAAAAGTGTACGTTTCTCTCCATTGGCATTGTTGGAATTTGGAGACTAATGGTGGTGCAGTAAATCCGGTGGAAGAAGAAAACGTGCCGTCCCTGCAGACTGGACAACAGCAGAGTCAGTATCAGGTTTCTCGACTCTCTTTGTCTCGGAGCCATTGTACCCCGGGTGCAACTCTATCGACCTCGATGTATCTGGCGAGCTCGCGCTTCTTGGTGGCTCCGACGGCGTGGCAGGTATCTACTCAATCCCGCAGCAGTCACTGCTGAGCCCACTTAAGAGCGACGACGGGGCAGTTGTGGATGCGCTGTGGGCGGGTAACAAGGCCATCACTGGGCACTCTTCGGGTGTAGTTAGGGTATGGGACGAGGCGGGTAACGGGAGCACCACAATGCGGACCCATGCCGGTGAAGTTAAGGCGCTGGCATTGCACCCCAGTGAGCGCATTCTTGGAAGCGTGGGTGCGGACAAGAGCTGGGTGCTTTATGATATTGAGGCGGGGAAGAAGGTCGTGCAGATCTATGGCGAGTCTGGTATGTTATCCCCATGCTTTTACGTCGCATTTGATATTTTGTAAGCTGTCCTATTAACACACCGCAGAGCTAACATCCGCGCATTTCCATCCCGACGGTCGCCTTTTCGCAACTGGTACTGGTAACGCCGTCAACATCTACGACGTACGCACCGCCACTCTTGGCGCCACCTTCGGACCCCTCACCGGCCCAGTTTCCTCCCTCCACTTCTCAGAAAATGGATACTGGCTTGCCCTCTCCGTGAAAGATCAGTCATCAGTTGAGATCTGGGATCTTCGCGAGCTGACACAGACAAAGGCGATTGATGTGGGGACCCGCGTTGACAATGTCCGCTGGGACTACACTGGACAGTTTATTGCCACGGCGGGACCAAGCGGAGTTAGCGTGCAACAATACCAGAAGAAGGGGAAGACTTGGAGCGAGCCCTTGAGGGTCGGCGTGCCTGCTGTGGCCACGGCCTGGGGACCAAGGGCGGGAAGCCTAGTCACGGTTAATAAAGAGGGTATTATCACGGTTTTGGGAGCGAAATAAAGTTAGAATAACATTTTATGGCGGCAACAAAAGTGTCTTCTTTTTTTCTTTCTTTTTCTTGTTTTGTATTGTTTTTAGCTTCTTCCCAGTCTTAGATAATTTGAAGGATCGTGGAATGTGTTGTTGTCATTGCGGACGTTTGGGTGAGAGTTGTGTCGAAATGGCCCATGAGGTTCTGGGCCGGTGATATCTATCAGTTATTGCATAACGCAAAGTAACACGGATTTGAGTCCCTAGAATGGCAAATATAAAACCCGAGAAAGACTATTATAGTCGTGGTAGGCGTTGTAGTAATACTTGAAACTAGTATTATTCATGTTATCGGTTTTGGACCCACAACAAGCTTCTCCCAGTGAGGTATCACTGCATTCAATAATCTCTTTTTGTAATTTGTGGACATCCCTAAATAAGATGACAGATGCAATGCTGTCGTTTTTTTTGTTTTTTTTTTGTTGCTATTTGCTCCTAAGCATTGCCTATGCATAAACTAGGAAATCATTAGAAAGGCAGTTGCTACAACCACATTAGCTAGTCCATGACTGAATGCTTTGTGGGTAATATAAGTATTCAATTTCTGGTCCGCAAACTCCTACTATACTGGAGTACCACAACATCCGATTTCCCTTAGCAGTTTGTAAGCGTCCCTGGTTAAGGCGATACCGATAGTATTTTCTCACTTTTTCGCACTCAGAGACAAAACAAAACGAGTGGGTGGATTTCAAGGTTTGGAGGAGCTGGTCTCGAGACCTCAAGTAGGAAAGCTACGCCTTCTCATGCCGTACTCACGGCTGCTAAACCAATTGAAAGATCAGGGTCCAAAATTCTTAATCTGATATTTCCGCTGCGGAATGGTGGTAAACCGAGTCCGTGTTGAGATGGTCTCGTGCCCGTCACCACTCGCGCCGTTAGGTACAGGTACCTACGTCGTGGCTGTTCAACTTTCTGCCATCAATATATAATGGTTGATATGCTCAACTGTCCTGTAAAAGAAAGGACGTGTTCGCGAAGCTGCTCATGTGTTGTTTGTAGTTCCCCGCCGGCTGGTGATCACGCCCTGTCCCACCAAACAAACTCACAACTCCACGAAGCTGCAAACCCCAGCCCCCTACATAATAATAAATAATATACTACTGTGCCTACCAAGATTGAAATTTGAATCTACTCTACATATCTTCTTCCCCTTCCAGCAGGGACCAGATCGGACGTAGGTACAGGCCACGTTTACGGCTGCACGACATTGATATTCTTTTTTTATTATTGTAATTTTGGCCTGCGATTGGCCCGTTGGCTAGTCGGGGTGTAGGGTTGCGGAGGGAAGGGAAAAAAAAGAAAATGCGATTCATGGAAGGGATGTAGATCTAGTGGATCGGTGGGGGGGGGGGGATTGTTGTCGGTATCGGGTGTGCGTGCTCCTTACCTTGGTTCCTGTGTCCTGTCCTGTTTGTATTCTGGATGCTCGAGGAAGGTTGGGATTCGATCTTCAGCTAGAGGGGGAGATTGGAGATGGGGATGGAGAGATGTTGAGTAGCTGGATGGATCGGTATGTGCAGTATCTAGGTGATGTTTTTTCTACCTTTCCTTTTTGGTCTTTACCTACCTTGACGATTGACTCTTTGGGAGTGTTGTTTAGGATAGCAGTGGTTAGTGTAGGATGGTTACTGTAGTTACTTGGTGTGGTTCAGGGACTCTACGTCGTCGTAGTTACAAGTAGCTTTAGAAGAGAGGCTCTGCTGGGGGGAAGAAAAATCAAGACTACGAGGGATCCTCTGGAGCGGAATTGGGTAAATTATGGTGGTGCAGAGTGCATGTGTATGTGAGTATGACCAAAAGGGTTCTCACGGCATCATCATCATCACACGACTTCACTTTCTATAAAAGCGCTCAAGGGAAAGATTTTTTTCTGCTCTGGTGTTATTGGGGTTGTTTAGTGGGTTAAGCATACTGATAGGTTTCTTAAGAGCTGGCTGCAGAACGACGTGGGCCGAGATCTTCGGGGAGGATTTTCCTTGGCAGTCTGAAAGGAAGTAAGAAAGAAAAAAAAGGAAAGAAAAAAATGAGGGCGGTAGTAGCGTGTGAGAGGAGTGTGTGAGAGTGTGTGAAGGGGAGAAAGAAGGAAGCCTGGGGCTGGCTGGCGGGCTGGCGGGCTAAACGAAAGGAAGGGGTGGAGGACCATAACCACAATTCCGACCTCCTCGTGGGTCTCTCCTTACTAAGTGATGTATATGTGCGTGTGTGTGCGCTCACCAGCCGAGTCGTCGGCCATCTCACAGACTGACTGATTGACTGAGGTTGAACAACAATGAACGAACGACGTCCCTCCTTTCTATCTTGCTAATCGTCTGTCCCTTCCACCACCTACCCCCCTCCACCTTTCACACCCCCCCACCAACAACTACAACTTTTGCCCCTCCTCTTCCTCTCTTCCCTTCTTATTCTTCTCACTTACCCTCCTGTCCTTCACGCCCTCAAACTCTCTTCACCTACACCCCCCCCACCCCCCCACACCAACCTCATCCGTTGATACAATAGAAGGCACTCTTCTTTGTATCTTCTGGAAACTACAATCTCCTACGATCATCTAGGCTCACACCTCGAATCCCAAAATGTCGGATCAAGGTTACCGCTACCCTCGCCCTTACCACTACGACAACGATGGGCCAGGACCTAGTCGGCCTTCAAAGGTTCGTCTTGCTTCTGTTTTTCTCTTGCCTTGCCTCTTCGCTGCTGTAGTATAATATTAAATCAATTTTTTTTTCTTGCTATTTCTAGCGCCCACGGGATCAAATGAGTATGGCAAGATTGAACAACGCATCGAACCCTTCTTCCTCCATCGCCGCCGCCGCCCCCGGCCCAAGTTTGATTCTCCCCACTAGGAACGGAAGCTGGAGCAATAACACCACCAGCAATAACAATAACAACATTAATAATAACAACAATAGCAACGGAGGGGCCAGCAGAAGTGGGAATACGAGTCGAGTATCTCCCACCCGCTCGTCCTCTTCCTCGCAGACACTCCCCAATGGTCACACAGTAATCGACCTCACCAACTCCCCTCCCCCACCACAACAAGAAATGTTCGGGCCCAGAGGTAGAGGCCGCTCAAATGGAAGTCGCGGACCATCTAGCAGTGGTAGTAACAATAGTATAGAGGTTATCGACGTCGATGCGCTTCCGGATACTCCGGCATTGCCACCCCGCTGGCCGGGTGGTAATGTACCGGAGTTTAGATTTTCCCGAAACGCAGCGAATAGACTTTTAGGTGGTGGGCCTTCCTTCGCTAGTCGTACACTGCAACAACATCGTCATCACAACCATGGGTCTGGCTCTCGGCCAGTCCCGGTTGAGCCAAACCTCATATACCCTCGCATCGATCGTATGGATGCTAATGCTGCTGCTTTCCCAGTGTTCGCAGAGGAAATGGAGGGCCCAGTATTAGGTCACGGTGGCAGGATCGGGCAAGGATTACCGGATGTGAATATGGGGGGAATTGGAAACTTTTTACCGCGTTTCCGATCTGGGCCTCAGGGAGGTCAGCAAGGGGTACATGGAGGGATCGATGTCATATCAAGCATTTGGACTTCTTTTGGGTCAAGGGGAATGTGGGGACACGATGGTCCACTCGCGGGATTTCAAGCCCCGGACATGGATTACAGCCAGAGAGCGCCGGGAATTATTAGGGAGGAATCGCCAGTTGATGCTGCCAGAGCAAGGAATATAGACTACAAGTCCCCACAGCCAGCTAGGGAAGGGTACACTAGGAGTCCAAAGGAGGACGACATTCTTGTTTGCTCAAGCTGCTCGTCAGAATTGGGCGTGCCCGGGGAAGGGCCATATGCGCAGGAGGTCTGGGCCTCTAAATGTGGACACGTAAGTCGTGGCTTTGCCTTAACTTATGCTCGCGCGCTTTGGTCTAATGTTTTGAAACAGAGTTATTGCGGCACATGCGTTTCTATATTCCGAACACCACCTCTATCAAAATCGAAGAAGCCGGTGAGGCCAAAGGCGAAGAATTGTTCAGTGGGCTGTAAGGTCAACTTGGCGACGAAAACAGCGATGTTCAAGATTCACTTGTGATCTATGTTGAGGACTCAATTGTGATTACGGTGTCGTCTATAGATTGGCGAGCCGAGTATATTTTTATTACCTTTCTTTTTTTTCTTTTCATAACTCTAATTGGGAAATGGGAGGCTATTTACTTACTGCTCTTGGGTGTCAACAATACACTACATTACTTTCTCCTTATCTTTTTCTCTTATGTTGGGTTCGGCTAGGGTGTGGCAAAAACGGGCATGCATGGGTTTTTCTTTCTCTCTGGTCATAGTTTCTTTACCCCCTCATCAACCTTTCTCCCACTTCCAATTGGGATTGGTAGTATCGCTACTGTTTTTTATTCCCCTCTTCAGTCTCATGCAATCTCGCATGCCCATACGCATCCCCATGCTCATAGCAACTCCAGGGTTTTCTCATTTTTCGGTCATATTTGGTCGGGTGTTTTTTTGTTTTTTTTTTGAGTTTTTGAGTTTTTCCTATGTATATTTTTGTGTTCCCGTGTGAATAAATGGTTTCACTGGCGCTTTGTTTTTCGTTTTTTTTTTATTATTCTACGGCCATGTACTAAGAGTTGTTTCGGTGGAGCGGGAGCGATGAAGTCTGGGAGAGAATCGAATACCTTTTTTTTATATATTATAAACCCCGATGGCTTGGCTAATAGTCTGATAAATCCATCTTTTGAGATTATGCATGATTATGAAAGATAGTACTGGGCTGTATTACCGCCTATTCTTTTGTCTATTGCTCGGTACAATCCCACAATCTCCACAATAGAACCCTCACCAACCCACCAAACTCGAATCTTGAATAAGGAAGCAGAGAACGCCAGACACTGTTGGAAGAGCTCAAGTATGAATAACCCCATTGCGCCAAACCCCGTTAACACTTCTCTACCACGAGGACTAGCTCACTGCCCATGAAGTAGTGTTGAGTACCTCATGATCACAACACTTGACGGCGAAGCGCCCGCTCTGAGGAACATTGTGCGCAACTTGTACTGCCATGTGTGAGAACGATGGGCGCCGCCTCGCTGGGTGAGCGTCGGCGAACAGAAGTGACTGCACGAAATAAATAGCGTGCCGGGCGCGCGGGTGGGCTGGCCGTGTCCGAGAGGGGAATTGAGGATCCTGGGTATGGAGCATATGGCGTGGTGGACGCCGCTGGACGTGGATTGCCCCCGGCGGCTATTTCATCCCGTTTTTAGTGTCTGTTGTGTTAGTGAGATTGTGTTGTGTTTACTTCATGATAAATCACTCGCATTGCCTGCAGCTAGTCTACTTTCAGCCGCATTGAGAGAAATGTATTGCGGATGTTGGGAATTGATGGAATAGTGGTGAATCGGTTGGTAGTCTGTGGACTTGCTGTGCTATGACTCAAATGGTTGCGAATTGGGCGCTTCGTTTGTGAATAACCATCCCGGATGAAAGTGTTAATCTTCGGCGCGAAGACCTCTCTGCCCATTCAAAAGATCCAGGGTCGCCATGGCAACCGAGTCTCTGGAGTTTGTACATATCTGGGGCTATGAGCGTACCATCTACGCTGTAGTCATCAACTGGGCTGTCTGCTTGCAATTGGTCAAGCTACTTATACCTATATCTATGGTAGAGGCTTCCATATAATAGCGATTTTCAATGGCTTATGAGAGAAGTGATATTCCTTATGGTAAATACGTCAATAGACCAATCGATCGTGACGACGGAAAGGTTGTTCGCCGGACCATGTACCAAGACACCTACCCCACCAAGGATGCTCAATCTGTGGCCATGTCTATGCAGGTCAAACACGGTAAGTCTTATTGTGATGACTCGAATAGGATAGGTCATGTCTCCGTTTTTGTTTGATTGCTGTACTGTGCCTACTATGTAGACTTAGTTTCATCATAGAATATCACTCGCGCACCAATAACCCTCCTCCTGCGCTACCATCTGTGCTTATTGGGCGCGGCCAGAGACCCTGTACTCGGTCGTCCAGGCCCTGGCTGGATAGTGCATATCTAATTTTCTCGAGCGGCGGCTCAGAGCCTATAGCTGGCGCTCTTGATCCGATTCTTCTAAACCTTTCAAAGTTAACATCAGTTTGATAGGAAGTTGCATAGTGGAATTACTATAGAGCTATTGGATAATTGGCCCCTTCACTCTCCAGGGCTGCGTATACATACCTTTCAACGGTCCCTGGTCTTCCACTGGTGGATTGTAATTGGTCAACAAAGCGGCCGGGCCGAACCAGTGAGGCTCACAGAGGGGTTTGCAGCTGATGTGCCACAGCCTCATCTTTCTCATCGTCTTGACAGTCGCCGAGTATAGCTCATTGGCGGGGGAGCTAATTTGTTGGTCGGTTTAGATGATGACCGGAACGAAGCGTGGTCTAGGAGGCCGGCCTAGCGGGTGTGTGAGTGGGGACAGGGGGGAGGCCATCCTTTGGATCTTGGAGCCGACGCCGTCCTAAAGCCGGCCTCGCTATGCAAACTTCGTGGGGGAGGTGACGCATTCAAGAGTACGTGCACGTAGTGCTGTAGGCGGGGATGTGGTAGTCCACGCGCACGTCGAGGCGAGATTTTTCTCGACTCTCACCGATTCAAGCCACCAGTCGAGAAGGGGAACCTGCTCAGACCAGCTCCTGGAGCACACCAGGTGGGCTGGCATATTTTAACGTCTTATGCCAAAGTCTTCTCTTCCGTGGAACTATATATGCAGGGCCTTCCAGCTGTCAGCGGGTACATTCACAAACTATCACTCGAAACACAAGGCGCTCCTTCTGATTCCCTGACCCGACAGGTCTTGCTTATTATATGTATGCAGCGAACCTGACAGAAGAAGAAGCATTACTTAAAAAGGCATCTGATCATGAGCCAGGCAGAAAACAAAAGCAAAAAGTGAATCATCTGCCATCCAGTTCTGAATCAAATCAAAATCAGTCAGTCAATCATATCAGTTCTGCGACAACGATCGTCGCGACACTACCTCATCGAGTAGTTGTTCGAGTGCCTACTCTACTGGGAATGGTACGTCGCGTCTGCAGAATAATCCATAAGTGCAGAGCAGAGTACATAGGGTGCAGGTCGTCAGTGCGTAGGTACATGTGTGCCGACGTGACTGCTACCTACATGTACATGTAAGCAGTGCAAGTAGTGTAAGTCTTAGCTTTAACGACCTGACTTAAGGCTCGGGCCGCCGGTGATAAGATAGCATGGCCTGTTCAAGGCATGGTTTAAGGTTTGGTATCAAGGCGGGGGATGGGATTGGTTTGCTGTTCCTTGGCCGCCAGGCCGGGTTTAAATGCTGTCTTTTGACGAACAGAATTCAGAAGCTGGCATGTCAATATAGCTAATCAAGTTAAAGACTCATCCGACTCTTGAACTCAGCAATCATTCCTCAAATCTTACGTGGCTCTATGAATCGATGGTATTACCTACGCTCTGGATAGACGATTACCTAGCCATGTTTGAAACAATCATCACAACTTAGTCACTGAATACGATAGTGGATCGGGGGAATGCACCAAAAAGGGTTCGATCATGTTCAAAAGTTGTTAATTAAATCCCCCACAACAAAGTGGGGGGGTGAAAGGTAAGAAATAAAGATAAAAAATAAACTAAATCCCCCATAATCATTCCATATCCGTTTCCCATGCTGTCACTAACTATACATAATGCATATACAATGTATCCATTCAAGGCATTTAAAGAGCCATGTATCCAACAAGACCCAACCCAGCAACCGCAAGTCCGCTCATTCCTCCAAGGCGGTTTGCAGCGTTGGTGGTCTGAACAGGGACTGAGGCTGAGGACGTGAGGTTTCCAGTCGCAGAGGCCGAAGGAATGGCGCTGGTGGTGAGGGTTGAGGAGCCGGAGGCAATGACGGTGGGGAATGACTCGACGGTGCCACTGGATACAGGCGCTGCGGAGGATGAAACTGCTGCAGTGGTGGTGGCGGTAGCAGTGGCAGTGGTGGTGGCCGCTGCAGAGGAGGATACTGCAGCAGAAGAGCTAGCGGCGGAGGTAGCAGGAGTTGAGCCAGTGGCCGGGAAGGTGGTTGGAATGGTAACACCTGCAGCAGAGCAAAGGGCACCTGCAGCTGAAAGGGCTTCTAAGGAATCAAAGAGTTTATGTTAGTATCTTATTTACTATCAATTTATGAAGTGGGTAGGAAGATATACTCTGCTGGTCCGCCTCTGGACAGGCACTTTGGATACATGTCGCTGATCCACTAACAAAAGCAGTGTTGGAGCATGCACACTTAAAGTCAGTGATGCTACAGCTAGTAGCTTCGAGACCAGTAGTAAGACAGGTCAACTAATAGACAATCATTAGACAATGCAAAATATTACGATTTGTGTGGCTTGTAAACACATACAGCACATGAAGGCAAGTCAGAGAGACTCTGTGCGGAGACAGAGGCGACAAGACCAGCAATAGCGAGGACAAAGACAGACTTCATTTCGACTTTGGGTTGGTGTTTTTTTCTTTGGAAAAAAGGTGAGGATTTGAATTCGAAACGCTGAACGAGAGTCGTTTTACGAAAGCGAATGTGTGAAGAAGAGAAGAAACACTGATTTATCTTACTGCAGTAATGTAGTACTGATGAATGGTGAGAGAGGGAAAGAAAGAAAGGTGAGTTCTGTCGAGTCTTTATACACAGATGGATATACTATATTGACGACTACCAGCCTCTCCAAAAAGCTAACCCAGCTAGATGTATTTCTTCAGTTACACTCGCTGATTGGAAGAAGGGTGCCAATTTTGCAGATCCTAGATCGTATCGATCCATGGCCATACATCTATCTTTGCCACACAAACTCAATACAACACGGAGCTCGAACGAAACACCACATCCCATGACATGTGAACCTACATGTATCCTACCTAGCTAGTTCCATACCCAGGAAGCTCGTACTCTCCATAGCGCAGCGCACACAGCCAGCGTACTATGTTGGTACTCTTCCATGTAACCAAGCCTGATGTCAAGTTGTGTTAATTTATGTGGTGTCACAGATGATGGTTCTTTTGACAATTACCGAAGCTGGTTAACCGGATAAAAAGCTTAACAAACGCGCAGAGTAAATCTGGGGAACTCCCCACAGCGCTGAGGCAGTTACCTGTATCGACAAGGAGTAACAACGGAACCCCGCAACCGCAGTTTGAATACCGAGGTGGCACCGTCGCTGGAAAGGGGCAAGTATGTAACTTCAACGACATGTGAAGACCGCTACCAGTACATTTTCCTCTCACCTTCAAACTCAAAGTCCTTTGACAATTGGAAACAGTCAGTGTTTACAACAACGCACATTAAATGAACCAAACCAGGGACAATGCTGATTGGGATTCTAACAGGCAGCCATTCAGTCGGATATTTTAATTCCCTCAGCTGTCAGATTCTTGCTTTAACCTGTGGTCGCTGGCTTCTTTCGAAACAGATGGCCCGTCGGAGTTCAACACTGCCGAGCCAACCGGAAAGGAGCCATGGGATTGTCATTGTCCCAATGTGGCATGCTAGCTGCAGATCATTCACCTGAACCAGATAACCAGCTGCCTTCTCCAGCTCTTCGCTCAACCACATCTGTCTCTGGGTGATTAATGGCGCTACGATATTAATCCAAATTCGCATGATGTGGAAATACCAGCTGCAGTACACAACCAAGTAGAATAGTCTACACCAACAACACATCATCACCTTGAAGGAGATACCTCCCCATTCTACCTATTGGGGGCGAACGTGAACAAATCTCAAATTGATGATGATTCTGGACTTTTGGGTCATCAAGTTACGTTCGTTAGGATAGGTAATTAATTATGTCTCCCCACCCAAAACTAGAGAATAACACTAGGCCGCCGCCGCCGAATAGGTTGAAACGGGAGAGAACCTCAGAGCAGCTGTGTCTACTTCCACCTAGTAAAAGCTTAAGCCTAAAGTAAAGCGCTTTGCGGCATTCCGCCAGCCTATTAGTTACGTAAAGAATATTTTCTAAAGATATCGTAAACATTCAATGTTTTCGCCCCCTTAGCTACCCCTTTTGAGATAATTAATAAGTCCAGCCATTGATTCATCGCAGATCTAGATTTCTAGCATGTACTTTTATGTACCTAGTAGCACAAACGTCATTTGTTTCTTCACCTTGCATGGTGGGTGGCTGGCTGGGTGAATGTTGCTGTCTGGGTTTCTTACCATGTCTAAATTGGTTTTCTCCGGAGCTTGGATCTTGCATGCAATCTTCCTCAACGGTTGTGTCTCAGCATGTGATGTGGGTAAGTACTTTTTTAGAATATGATTCTCGGAAACGCCGTACGTGCTCTATGTACATACTAGGGACCGTCCCATCCGTGCTTCAGAATGTCGATTTCGGTGTAAAATCATGGCACATATACTTGTTCGGAAGAGGCCGAAGTATTAATGGCTAATCTTCATCAAATTGTGATGGTACATAATTCACATGCAATTATGGTATTTTTGCTTGCTAGAAATGCCGAAAATTCTCTCAGCATGGGTACCTACGTGTTCAATGCCTCAGAAACCGGTATTGGAGCAAAGTAAAAAGGGACAATCGTACTTGAACTATTGTAATAGGTAGGTGAGTCGTAGGCTAAATATTTGTGACACCGCAGACATGATTAATATTAGAGTTTTGTGTTGGTGGGTTAGCTCTCCCTTCCCCATATTAGACGAGGAAGTTATTGCATACAGTATTTGACCCGCGAGAATTGACAAGCGAGATTAAGGTACTGCGGGAAGATGTGAAACTTCCGGGACTCTTTAAACGTCACTCAAGTATGGATATCTAGGACTTGGAGTTGATGCGAGATTCGAGTGATATCTGATGATTTAATTGTATTAACAGTGGCTCCCCAGGTCTACTATTCCACAAACCATCAACATTACTACAATTCGTTTCTCCACGGGATCCCCGCCATTGCTCCTCTCTTTCGCACCTTCCTCCCCGCCGCAACCCCAGCCCACTTTACCGCCTCTTCAACACTCTTACCCTCAACAATTGCAACCGCAAAGGCACCAACAAATGTGTCTCCCGCACCCGTGGTATCAACCACATCCTTTGGCTCCATCACCTCAGGCTTCATCCACCCGCCCTTTCCATCCACAGTGCTGAAATACCCCCCCTTTGCACCTAGAGTGATCACAACACTCCCCTTCACACCCCTCTCCAAAAGAGTCTTAGCCGCAGCTTCAACATCCAGCTCCTCAACCTCCTCCCCAGTGAGAAGGGCAGCCTCGGTCTCGTTGACGATCAGGTGGTCCATCTTTGGGTAGAAGTTGACGGGTATAGGCACTGCGGGAGCTGGGTTGAAGATGGACGTTATTCCGGCTGCGTCGGCGAGATTGAGCAGATGCAGAACGGTCTGTAGCGGGATCTCGAGCTGCATCAGGAGCGCGGATATGGGCGGGTTCATGGAGGTGAAATAGCTATCTGGAAAGAGGACTTTCGTGACCTTTGCGTTTGCGCCGAGGTTTATGAGGATGCGGTTTTCCGCGGTGTCTTCGTCGACCTATTATCCACTGGCGCGTTAGCAATCCACTCCCCAAAACATAACACACACTCTCTTCTCCGGAAAGGTGGGGGCGGGGAAAACTCACGATGATGATCGCCGTCCCGCTCTTCTCCACCTTATCCACAACCACACCCTCCACATCCACCCCACTGTCCACCAGCGCCTGCTTCAAATCCCGCCCAAACTCGTCGCCCCCCACACACCCCACCATCTTGACCACCACGCCGTCGCCGGAGAGTCGTGCAGCGGCCGCAGCCTGGTTCGCGCCCTTGCCACCGGGAGCGGTGTTGAACGACTTTGCGGTGAGGGTTTCGCCGGGCGCGGGGAGGCGCCGCGTCCGCGTGACGAGGTCGGTGTTGAGGGAGCCGATTATGGTGATGTTTTTGGGACTCATCTTTTGGTTTTGGAGCGTTTGGAGTTTGTGCGGGGGAGTTGGGGTACTGATGTGACGCGCGGGGTGATATAGAGAGTGGGTTGGAGGTTGGTGAGCTCGTGATGGGGTTGGGCTTTGGTCTGACGTAGGAGGCGCTGGATGGAGGGCGGCGTTCGCCGATGCAGGGTCTGACCGGTGGTGGGTTGGCCCTAACCCTGGGGAAATAACTAATTTGAATTATAGGTAGAAGGTATTTGAATTTACAGGTAGATATCGGCTTGAGGGGTTTGGTCAACCTGGAAAGCTTTTTGGTTGGTTTTGGGGTTGCTAATAGTCGTTGTGAGGTCTTGGTGTATTCTCAGTAATAGGTATTCGGATCATTGACTGTAGTCACTGGAGGTTTCAATTGCTTTGTCATTCAATAGGTTTGGTCTAGGGTTCTGTATTTAGATATAATATTTGGTTTGAAATATTTATATAAATGGTCTCCCATGGGTCTATTATCTTTAATACTACATGACATTGTAGTATACTACGCCCATTTTTGTTCTCTTTCTAATACACGCTGCCGGCCCTGGCCTCGAAGGGTGCAGTAGCATGCATAATCTGGCCGCTCCTGCGTACCTCACCGCAATTTTTCTCGTCTTCATTGGCGGCGACATATTCAATACCAGAACCCTCATCCGCCACCGGTAAATGACCATATGGAAACCACTATCGTCCCAGAATTCACCCCGGACATGATACCTAGCTGTCTCCTACTAACACTAGTGCATACACTTGAATGCCACCACTGTCATAGTAATCAATACTCACTAGGCCAGCAAGACACTACAAGGTTAAGGCCACGACGTACCTATCTTCTTTCCTTCCAAACCCGACACAATTAACGAATTATCAATCAATCAATCCCACCAAACCTGTGATATATTCGATCGACCGTAGTCGAGCGTCTAGTAAAGTTAAAACAAGGTTCACAAAGAAGAAGAAACCGGGAGAACTAGAGCATTTGATAAAGGTAGACATTGAGCTCTGCTGATATGATTGTACTACTAGTATTTGCATAATTAATTGTATACTACATAGAGTACACGTGCACTTGAAACTAATTACACGCCCGTGGAATGGGGATCTTGGGCTGGGGATATATGTGTAAAGCCGTATCGAAGAAGTTACATGACATGTTGGATGTACGTGTGTAAAAGGTTTCCTTAGCTAGCTAGGTATTTGTAATTACGGCTGGGTTAGATTTAATAGTATAGTCATCGTGGGTTTTAATTTTGGTGTGAATATGAAGGCGTGTGGGTTGTATACAGCTTCTCCCTAGCTAGATGCGGACCGACAGTGGTACTTACAATGAGGTAGCTCAAAAACCTAGCTGATATAGCCACTGATCGTCGATAATTGTGATTAGGGAACTATACAAACTCTAGATCATCTATAGACCTAGCTATATATATAGATCTAGCTACCATGTAAGGCGCTTGACATTGTTTCATATTATTATATAAAAGAAGAAGAAAGTAGATAGCCCTAGCATGTAGTGATCAAATTTAAGTTACTATAGAAAGACGCACTAGATATAATCTCGGAGATTGCCCATAATTTTACTGCCCGTAGATCGAGCGCGAGCTTGAGTGTGATACTTGGGGGTATGCCGGCGCCAAGGCGTACAGAATCCCTAAAACTCTGAAACATTAGAAAAAGTGTCGATTCTGATAATTTTCACTTTGTATCTGACGGCTACGAGCGTCGGGGTTTGAAATTTTCTTCTGGGTCCGACATTGAAAGCTACTTCTACAATTTTACGCCTGTGTTGTGGGATACGCCAACGTGATAGAAAATACGCAGGATGTCTGCGAACGAGTGATAGTTTATGAAGATGAAACGTTAACAGGCGACGTCCTATTCTGATCTACTCGTACGCACCCGGTTGGGTTTGGGGCTGCAAGTAGTCTGTGGAGGGTGGACAGGTGTCCTGCGTCCTACTACATACGGTTTTTTTTTCTCTACATGTCACTCGCTACGAGGGCAAAAAATAAGATTAAATAAGTAAAGTCGATAAAAAAAAAGTACAAATAAACGAAATAAACAAAGTTAAAAATAAAAATTTAAAATTAAATATATAGACAAAAAGATTTAAAAAACGATAAAATATAAAAAATGATAAATGATAAATGAAAAAAAGAAGAAAAAACTGAGGGGATCAGGAGACCAGGGTATACGTACAAATATAGAAAAAGGGAGGAGGGGAAATGGAGAGGATCCAGAAGGGAAGAAAGAGGAAGACCAGGAGAGGAAGACCATGAAGAGGAAGACACTAGGAAAGTCCCTCTTGACCCCTCGGATTCACCCAGGAGTCAATAGGGGCTGCGTCCCCTCCGTAAGGAGAGAGACAAGAGAAGAGAGGGGGGAGACGTATGCGGAGGAGGAGGCGACCACGCCTCAGCCCTCCCACCACCACAGCTTTCCCAAGGCTGTGGATTCCGTGGGAGGTCAGGGGTGGCCGGTGTTGAGATCGTCTTCGGGTGCCCGGCAGAGCATGCCCCAACCGGTGCTGTGCTCTCTCCATCGCCCTAGGACCCGGGACCTGCTGGGTTGCTGTTGTCCCCGCGGGGGAGATCATTGGCCGTGTGTATAGTGAAGGAAGAAGGAGTGAGAGGGCAAACGGGCTTTTATACTCGTAAGAAAAAACGCCAAGGATAGCAGCCAAGGATAGCGGTCAATTCTATGAGTGGGGCTGAGCGTGGAGTTTTTTGGCTTACTGCAGTCTTTTGATTTGCCCATAGCGGAACCTCGAGCCATTCTGTAAATTCGATATCAACTTTGAGCTCAACCATATTCAGTTGCAACATTCCGCGGATTTCAGCTCGCATGCAGCTTGTCTCTAGCTCTAAGGATCTGATAATACCTAGAAGCCACCGTGATTTATCCTATCTTTCTGGGCGACTATGTATTTTTATCACGACTCCCGTTAACGTTCCTAGCAAGACGTAAGTTTACACAATTTATATCCGCATAATTGATGAGATATATACTCAGCTAGGTGTGCAGTATGATATTCGTTCGTTTGATATCGATACAGCGGAGACAGCTATGGGAAACTCTTTTGCTCTCGAGATACCGATCTCTAGCTATGGTGCGCACACTCTTAAAGGTGATATGGCGGCATATATATGGATGTGGAACAATTGTGGCTGCAATATAGACTCATGGGCCAACCAGTGGGCTCATTTCTAGCCATTTTGCTACATCACTGCCACAACTCGATCAGGTTTGATTTTCGGGGGGTATAAACGGGTATCCCTTGGACGCGTGAGACATTTGGAGAATCTCTCTCGTGCATTAGCGGGAATTGGCAGTCATGTGACCTAGAATTTGGCTGAGAAAACGTCCGGTAAGCAGTTTGCTGCATTTATCGGTCTTCGGAATATTCAGAGATGCCAAAAACTTCGCAAGTTGCTGCTTTATTATAGTAAATCGTTTCCTAGGTAGGGCACGCTAATGCATGAGAGAGATTCTCCAAATGTCTCACGCGTCCAAGGGATAATACTGTTCCACTTTGTTTAGTCTTGGCGCTTTTTACATACAAAAACAGCCATTTTCGATCGCTGATAACTTTATGAGCACGATAGATATCAAAAAATCGGAAATATAGAACTAAAGTTCATTACTATCACTATACTTCTCTCTTTCCAGATTTTTATATCTTTTTCGGTGGTGAAGTTATCACCGATTGACTACGTCACTTTTGGTTATCTTTAAGAGTGGGCGCACCATATATGCATCAAAAAAATTAAAGCCTTCCCCTTCAAGTGTCCCTGGGTGGCGTTTTTAACACTTGTCGTTGTCTGACACTGTGGGAGTACGACAATGTGGCTTTCGGACGTCGGTGTTGTGACAAAGGCCACGCTGATACAACTATACCTAGGTCTCCACCGGGTTCCTCCTTATTGTTCCTTTCGACCAATTTTTCCCGAATTTCTGCCACACCCAGACGTACGCATAGCGAGCAGCTTGTTATAATACCGCTGGACAAGCAAGAAGCCATATCAGAGAGGCAGCACTGGTATCGAGCTTGCGCTTGACTGTATCTGCTATTTCGCACACTTGGAGCGGCACGGCCTTTTGGGTTGATGTTACACTCTGGCACCAAGCATACATGGGGTAAGATATGTATAGTGGTGTGAAACTATCAATGTCACGTTCTATCAGGACACCTCAGTGGAGGAACCCGCTCCCGTCATGAGCCATCACTCGGAGGAAACCCGCACCACTTGGGGTGAGTGCGGCCCATGAGATATCATAAAAATGTTTACTGCAGTTCTACATATGCTCCTAAGACATTTTCTTGCGTGGATCGTGTGTCCTGTTGTTTGTTTCGTTCTTTGTCTGACCTGGTCATTGTTAAACGGTCGAGGTCAAACAAAGAGAAGTAAACCATGGAGAAATCACTCTGAATGGCATTATACTGATATACTGCTTAGAGAATCTAGGATACCTATTAGAGTCTAACTGATCCTATCGTGGAACATGGAGCCCAGTAAATATCTGAAGTTGCTTTCTTTGTTAGTCCCCTAGATAAGTACTGACATGGGACCACACATGGGACCAACTCCTCATGCAAGTTTCCCTTCGAATCGTGCGCAATTAACAGGCAAGATACTCTATAGATATTGATCTATTTACCAGTGACAATGTCAAAAGAACTAAGTGCAGGTGGTACTCCGATCGGCTCACCGTCTCCGTCCCCCCACCCAGAGACTGCAGCTGGCCCCGCCCCTACCCAAACGGAGAAGCCCCCCACCACAAAAACCAAGCCCAAACACACAAAAATCACCAGCACCCCACAGGCCACGGGCCCCCGCGCCTCCCGCACAACCCCAACCACCATTGGCCCCCGCCAACCAAGCATCCACAACACCCGCGCCACAGCCCGCAAAGTCGACTCCACCACTCGCGTCTCCCGCAGTGGAGGCGGCAGTAGCGGCGGCCCATTGGTCTTCTCACTCTCGCGCGACGCCGCCGGTATGTCGCCCGAGGAGATTGTCCGCGAGATTGGCGGCCGCATCACACTCGCCGAGAGCGAGAATATATTTGACCACAATGGTGGGAGCACCAGTCTCTTTGATCCCGCGCAGAAAAAGACTAAGAAAAAGCGCCCCGAGAAGAAAAGCGGGGCCGGTCCTTCTGCGGCAAGTACCGGTGAGGCGGCGACCGAGAAGAAGAAAAAGAAGAAGAAGAGCAGCGGAAAGTGGCTGGAGAAGAAGCCGGGCGAAACGCCAGAGAAGACGTATAGTAGCTCTCCGAGTAACTGGGAGGGCACGTTACACGAGACGCCGACAAAGTCGACGGTGAGGGGAGATGAGGCCAAGTGGATGGTGCCGGCCGTCGGTTCGCCACCAGAGCTGGCGTTTAAGCGTGGCCAGGACGGGACACCCACGAAGGCGTCGGAGCGGAAGAATAAGGGCAAGAAGCTGCTGGGGCAGATGGAGTTCCCGCTACCGCCGGGCTGGTGGGACGTGCTGAAGATGACGGATAATCAACGGGATCTTGTGAGTATATCATCTAGATTATCCCCTGGAATTCTGTCGTCGATAATATAAAATTGTTGTTGCTGACCCTGGAAATGATCGTTTTGACAGTATATACAACTCTTTGATGATTCAGCCGAGATGACAGAGGAAAGCCAGTATCAGCTCTGGAGCACTGCACTAGACATCGTGTACCTCGCTGGTGAAGAGGAGGGGACATGGGGCGCTGATCCACAGAGGGAGAAGAAGCTCTCGAACTGGCGCGCGGAAATGATATACAAGCATGATTTGACCATCCCACCGCCAATCTCGTGGAATCAGAAGCAGCTGGGAGTGGAACCGCGCCCAACTGACGAGGAGCGACGGGAGTACACGAAGAACTTCCACACGATGTACAATAACTCTTACTTCTGGCGCATTCTAGACCAGGCGTGGGATAAGGAGTGCCTAGATAAATGTCTTGACGCTAACCATGCTATCTGGGATCTCAAGTTGAAATATAGGGATTTTCCTTGTATGTCTTGACTTGTTTCTACTAGCTTCTAAAGGAGTAACTCGTGCTGACACTAGTGCCTACCATAGGGTTCTGTCTTCCGTTGCCCAGTGAGAAGTGGAGGACCCATACGAGTCAATACATTCCGAAGCCTTCAAAGAACTACTGTCAGTGGGTTGTTGGACTACTTGATTTCGGCCTAATGAACTTTGGCGATGCAGAGCAAATTAGACTCCCGGGCTTCCAGCCTGCGGAGCGAGAGGGCGCCTTTGAGGATTCTTGTCACAGAGCGTGGCTAGCCAACGCAGAATATCTGCCCGAAGGCGCAACCAACCCACTAGATGTTGATTCGGACGAAGAGAGTGATGCGGCTAACCGTTCGGACACGCCACCATCACCAGAACCGGAGCTCGAAATTGTAGAGGATAATTATCACAACGGCCCCGCCGTAGAATCGCAGGACTCGGACTCGGATGATGCTACGACGGACGAAAGTGAGGCAGCAGGGGAGAATAGCGAAGCAGAGCTGGAAGATGATGATGAAGAAGAAGCCGTTGAGGAAAAGAGACAGGTGGGGCTCAAGTCTAAGAGGGGAACTGAAAAACCAACAAATACTGGGAAGAGAACCAAAGTCAGCAATTAGTGGATGTACACTCAGTCGTTGAACAATGTAATGTATTTAGTTGGTCTTTAGTAGCTAGAATGATCAAAAAAATATCTATCAATATTGAAGATAAACTGCGGGCCTCGGGTGTTCCTACTCTAGAGCTAGCTTATCAACCAGTTTTTAATTATCACTCCTATCACAGAGATGAAATGTAGTTAGACCGGACAGTGACAAGATGCTGTTTGTTGATTGATATATTTCACGTTGGGAAACACACCACCCGAATTAATCGTTGAGTGATCAGCCGATGATTTAGAACGGCACCCAAGTTTCGCAGTTGTGTAATCTGATATCCTCTTCCATCCACTTGCACTGATTACTGAGCTAGATATGTATCTAGTGCAATCAATCCAACTCGAGATAGAGAACCGGGGAGCACGTGCAAGATCGAGATATGCGAATATAAAAAGGCACCTTATCCAGTGGCCAAACCGTGCAGAGTATGTACCTATCGGTACACATACAGTACAGCTGGCAAGTAGGGCCAGGAAGATTTTAACTATTGGGCTTCAACGCTCCCATAGGCTGGTTGCATGGGGTTATGCATACGTACATCGACGACGACATGCGTTTTGCAGGTTCGCCCAACCAGCTATCTGGTACCTACTCCACATCGTGATCCGGTCGTTATTTAAACAAGTGGGGAGCTTTTTTTTTTCTTCTTCTCTTTCTTTTTGACATGTGAAAGGTACACACAACATAACTACATACCATCCACGTAGGTACGTCATGTAGAGTAGGATCGGAACGTCCAGTTTTTAACGGATCTGGAGGAGAGGATTGGCATCGTAATTGAAGGGTGTCAGGTCAATCGTTGCAACTAGTGGGGCAATAATCGATGTGGTGTTCCGAGTCATGGCAGATCACTCATGCCCCCGCAAGCTTAAGAAGAGCTAGATATAGAGGTCAGGGTTCAAGGGTCTGGGTAGGACCCCCTCCTCACTAGCCCCATATCGATAAGTTATCGTGCTGAAATCTACACGCGAGTCGTACACACAACCCCAGTCTAGTATCGTTCCTTTTTGTATTTTCCCTGTCAATGAACAGTCTAGATCAGGGCACAAGGCTAGGAGCTACCCGGGCGAGTAATCCCCCGCACAAGTGCTAGATTCTATGCAGACATGAGAATAACAATAGACTCATGTGCGAGAATCCAAAAACCCCCCATGGCAACCGATCCCCATATTGAAATCCGGTCTTTGCATGAAAGTGTGTGCATCTGGGCCAGCAGCAGCAGCCAGCAGCCAGCGAAGCCTTAAAACAAAAGCACGATTAATAACGCAGAATCTCAATCATACGAAAAAGACCAGGAACCGTGGGTAGGTAGATACAGTTCATAAACAGGTATGTACATGTAGTTAGGTTTTTTGTGGGTACTGCGTGTATATATACACCTTGCATGGTCCACCATGGATGGTTAAACCGGTCCAGAGAGTTGAATAAAACGACCTTATCGGTATTGTTGGTGACAGTATTTCTCACGTGAAATCGAATTCCCAACGGAATTTCCGAAACAACGTGGCAAAACACTTTCCAGAACACCACCCTGAACGGAAGTCTGAGCTGAGGGGCGCGCGCGCGGGTGGGGGGAAGAAGCTAGGAAAGGCGGAGAAGAGGGGGACCGAACAAAACCCTCCTTCCTTTACATAAAATCCCCGGTGCCACATTTTTTTTTTTCCTATTTAACTTACTTAGGGAGCGTTCTGTCATGACAGAAGCAACCCGTTACCAAGATGTCTGAAACCGGCGATACCGCAACCTCATCTACCTCCTCAGCCCTTATCACCCCACTACATGCAGCAGCCTCAGGTCCAACTCTTCTCCCGGGTCCAGTCGCATCGTTCGTCTCGATAATATCGAAGTCTACATCAGTTTCAATCCGCCTTGGTTCGTTTGTAGGGGGAGCTGCTCTTGCCGGCGCACGTATAGGGACCCTGACCGGGTTGGAGCTTGGGAGGGCTGCGATCGAGGGCATCCTCCATAGGGCGGGACATGACGTTAATTCTAGAAGACTTGTTGGCGGGAACCATGTGAATGGATGGACCGAGACTGGTGTGAGTGATCGGCCACTGTAGTGGGCTTGTCTATGACCCAGGGCAAGCTTGCGCTTGTGTCGCAAACCCCCCCTTTTATTGATGGTGATTGACATGCCCTGCAGATAAATATACTCCGCTCTTCAATATCCCTAACCCAGCTCCTGCTCTCAACCGGCTTCGAAATATCCTCGACTACGCTGAGCACCCTCAGCTCATTCGCTGAAACCTATGTCCTCACGCTCGACTCGATATTCGGCTCAACCGAGTCCTCGCGCGCCATCTCGGCAATCGTGACCTTGATGCGCAAGGAGTTCGACGAGAACTCTGAAGGCGAGGGCCGAATAGGGGCTGCGGATCTGGTGATCGGCCTTACTTGTTTTGCAGTCTTGCAAGTGAAAACAAGGGCGAGGCACAATAGTGAGATAGAGACCGAGCTTATTTGGGATGTGGTTGTGGATGAGGTGGAAAAGAAAGTTGATATCACATTGGGGCGGGATCGGGGCTTTTCTGGGGAAGGTGAATCCGTTACATCATTTTTCGACAATGAGGAAATGGATTCGGTTTCAGTATATAGTGGTCATGAAGACGAAGATGAGATTGCAAGTGGATTGCCACCCATGTTTTTTGCAAGATTACCTCAGTGAGTGTGAATTTCTTCACAATTGAATTTGAATATATGCCTAATACCAAGTGTAGATCCGCAGATATATCCATTACAACTTCATCCACGACCACAAAGACTACAACCGTTGAAGTCATAGGAACAGAAGCTCCGGATTTCACTCCACCAGAAGGAGCAGTTATAATCTCCGAAAGCTCCAATCAAGATGATAATAGACCTCGATATAAGATTGTATATGAGACCATCACAAATAAGATGGAAAACAAACGAGTCAAAAGAGAGGACGGGGAGTTTGTACACTCGGAGGATATAGTTAAAGATAGTGGGAGGGTCGTTGAGGAAATACCATCAGACTCGTCATCATCAACGCTGATTGAAATTCCAAGAAGAAAACCAACTCGTCGTATATCCTCGAAGGATAACGACCTACCCAAGACTTCGAAAGATTCCAAAAAGCATCGGTCGAAGGATAACGGCCTGCCCGCGACTCCAAAAGATTCGAAAAAGCATCGATCAAAGGCTGAACCGATTGAGGCGAACTCACGGAGACGACTCTCCTCCCGCGGTGGAACTTCAGAGAAACACCGAGGCGAGAAGCACAAGCTGCGAGAATCTGACGCCGACAGAGAGGAGAGGCACAAAGAAAAGAAGAGGGAGAAAGAGAAAGGCAAGGAAAAGACGGAGAAGAGAAGAAGGAGTGAAACTTTGTCAGAGGCTCTAGTACCCACTGTCAAGAGAAAGAGTGGACTGGAATCACTCGCGGCCTCTCCTAGAAGTGATGGACGACATACAAGATCTGCTACAGAGCCCCCATTTTCGCCGAATTTTAGGGGCCCTAGTAGACCCACATCTCCCGAGGCGAGACCGTTCCACAGAAGTAGTTCACGAACGAGGATGTTTCGTCGATCATCATCTATCTCGGGGAGGTCTGAGTTCCATTCAGCTTCCGCGTATTCTCAAACCGCAAATGTTGAATCATTAGATTCCTATTTGCCGCGTGGCCAGCACGTTCGAGGGTCTCCTTCGATTTACACTATTAGATCCTCCCATTCTCAAACTTCTCTTCTTCTAGAATCGTACATCCCCCATCCCGATGAAGTATTCCCGAACGCCCCCATCTGCATCAACTTTGCAAAATACATGCGCTTCGCAGCAGCCTCGTATGGCCAAAACTTTATGCGGTTCTTGGGTCTTGGGTCAACCCCAATCCTCCCACCCGCATCTACGCACCACGCGGAGCACCATGCTTTTTCGCATCACACAGAGCTCCCACTCGATACCATCCTTCTGAGCTCGTTCGTAGATCCCGGAGGCGGATATGACGCAGAGGGAAATGTAAATAGCGGCATCCCACTTGTCCATTTCGTGGCCGTGGACCACCCCTCTAAAGCTATCGTCGTCACTTGTAGGGGCACCCTTGGCCTGGAAGATGTATTGACAGATCTCACATGCGAATACCACGACCTGACTCTTCGGGGGATCAAATACAGAGTCCACAAAGGCATGCTCAACTCTGCCCTCCTGCTACTCAGGAAGAAATCCCGATTGCTAGTTGTTGTCCAGGCTGCACTAGAGGAGTATAGCGACTATGGACTCGTCTTTACTGGCCACTCTCTCGGCGGTGGAGTAGCAGCGATAATTGCGATGCTGCTATCCTCGCCTTGTAACGGCACATTCATAACTAGCAACGCTGCCGCCACCCTGACGGACGGTGTCCGCATTCCGGAAGGCCGAAAGATTCACTGCTATTCATACGGCACACCGGCATGCGTATCAGAGGAGCTTCGGCGCGCAACTCGAACCCTCATTACTACCGTCGTCCACGGCAGGGATATAGTACCGTCTCTGTCATTCGGAATTATTCGCGACTTCTGGACAGTTGCGGTTGCGTTCAAGGAGGACAACAAGGGCGCGAAAGCGGAGATCAGGAGGAGGATCATTGATGGCCTGAGTAGAGGAAACCTAGGGGGTTCTCTCGATCATGATGATTGGGCGTTTGCGGTTATGAAAACTTTGCGGGCGGCTATGAGGGCAGAGAAGCTGGTTCCGCCAGGAGAGGTGTGGAATGTGGTGACGGAGAGGGTATATAGAGAGGGGGATGATGGGCCTATAGGGGTGACGGGGAAACTTAGAGTTAAGGCGTTCGTTATTAGGGATGTAAAGAAGAGATTTCAGGAGATTGGTTTTGGGAGCGGGATGATGGCGGATCATAGTCCGTATTGTTACGAGAAGGCATTGGATGCCTTGAGGAGGGGAATGGAGCAATGAGTATTGGGTGGGCCCAAATACGATGGCAAATACTCTTTATATACCTGATAAGGTGGTTTATTCGATTCAGGAACGGTCTATAGATATTTCTTTGGGGCATTTTTTACACGGTGGATATCCTATATAGCTAGAACTGGTTTCGCCACAATTGGGTTATCTTCTAGAAATATACCGTTCAACTTTGCCTAATGTACCTCTAGTTACGTTTTTGTGAATTTTATCTTTTAGTAATATAGTTTTAGACGATTTAATTTACATCTTCTGTCTCCATCATAAATAAGTTGAGTTTGATGAATCGGGTATTTCCCCATTTAAGCATCCAACCGCAATCGATCTAAAAGCCTGGGTTAATATTTTGCGCTGTATAGTTTTCATTGCTGGTTAGGGGATACAAACTTAATAATTCATCAATTTGACCCAACAAAGAATCGTACATCAAACCCGCCTCGGTATTGAGGTTCTTGCCTTCCTCGGCCAATTCTCCTAGCTGGGGCTTGTCCTGTCTATTTTCAGGATTTATTTCGCGATTCATATTCCCTTTATCCTTTGCGTTGTCATTTAGATCTCCGCCCTTCCAGGCTTCTCCACCTTCTGCGTCCTCTTCATACATCTGCATGTCCTCCATACGCATGCGGAAACGTTCATTAAGATAATGTCGAATATCATCGACAAGCTCAATCGTATCAGTTTCCTGCCGATTTTCGATTCTTTCCGCACTCTACGAAACATTAGCCCATCACCCCGTCACCTATTTCGGGACGCCCTACCTCTTGGATCAGATCCGCAAAGTTCTTGTCATCAATAAAGAACTCCAATCTCTCTGCGATATATTTCGCGCCGAACTCCTCGAGTCTATGGATCCTGGTCAACCAGCCGGCGCGAATAACATCATAGATACTGTACGGCAAGTCGTCCGTGTGACCTGCAGTACTAATAACCTGTGCACAGCGAGTTTTCAATCGATCAATGAACAGCTGATCTGCAGCGAAGAGAGCGTCGAGAGCTATGTCTAGTGGTATTTCTACTTTTTCGGAGTAGAAAAACGCTAATACAAGCTCAAGGACAGCGGGGGACATGTCCAACGAGATAACCTGTAGCGGCTCATCGTCGCGGCTTTTTTGGCCTTCGCGGAAAGGAGAGCTGAACATGATTGTGAAGAATTCAGAACGCAGGATTGCCTTATGGGCTGGGTAGATGACGGAACGTTTTAGGATGCGGGAAGCATCAGCATTGGCTTCATCCTCTTCGTTTTCGGGGCTCTCAAACTCGTCTGCTTGAAGCAAGATATCTGCAAACATCTCGTTGTGCTTATCCACGCGGACATCCTCTGGTTTCTGTCCGGGGCCCAGCTCGATTTTTTGTCCAATGACAAACTTTTTAAACCACCCATCAAAGTCATCCTGTGCCTGCTTTACACTCTCACTTCTTTTTTGTCGCCGGACTCGTGGATCACCCGCAACAAGAACCAATTCCCACATCTCTGGAATTTCCAGGTGCCGACTGAGCTTCTCGACCCCTAGTAGCACATCCTGAGGTGCTGACTCCATTACTTCACCCAGGTACATATATCGCACTGCGATATCAAATGCGCGCGCATCAAACGAGTTCGCCAACCTGATTTTAGTCTGCTGTTGTAACTTTCGTTGGAAATAGGGAGAGCGGGCGGCCAGCAGGAACTTGTGCAACTTGAACTCTTTAATTACTGCTGAAGAACTTGATGCCGCGAGGATTGTCACATCCATTACGTCGATTTCAGGCCGATAGAGCAGTGAAGTTATTCCTGCCGCCCATGGCTGGGCAGGATCAAGGCTTTTCGAGTACTAAACGGCATAAGTTTCCTAGACACCTAAAAATGGGAGTACAGACATACATCGTATTGTAACAATAAGTTTCGGATGCGATCGTTTAATGCGTTATAGAGAATCCTTTCACCTTGAAACGTATCTCGCTCACATATAGCTCCACTTTCAAGTAACAGTTGCGCAACCTCGTAGTGGCCGCATAGACTAGCCTTGTCCGAAAACACATCTTCAGTCAGTCATTGGCTTGGTAGCTTTCAGGTTGGCTTGGTAGCTTTCAGGCTCAAATAGGTATTAATTAAGGAGATTACCAAAGTGAGCGGCAAGTAATCATAAGCATCGACTGCATTCAAATTGACATTGCCGAACGCGATGATAGACTGGACTGTCTTGACATCCCCGCGTCTACACGCCTCGCATCTATTACAATGGTTTAATATCTTCCCATGCCGTCACCAACTATAACTATGGGAAGACTTACAATTGCTGGAAAGTCTCACTTTCATCAAGTGGATTCTCTTGGGGGCCACCGTGTTCCTCCGCGCGTTCGTGGGCAAGCTGAGCAATTAATGCTGTCTTTGAGGGATTCGCAACTTCGCCTATTGTAACCATTTTTGCTTTCCTGAAGTGTGTATTTGCTAGGAATTAAGCTTAGTTAAATATAAGTTCTCTATTTCCACGTTCGTGTAAATAGATTTATAATCTCTCGGCCTTTCTGCGGAGTTTAGAAAAAGCGATGAAATGCGACAGCCTGTAAATCCCGAACAACCTAAAAGCTTAGATGGCTGAAACAACCCGAAATCATAAAAACCAAATAACTCCAGAGCAATTGGGGCGAGGATTGATGATGGTACAAGAGTAGGTAACTGTTAATGTACTAATGCCGCCACTGTTTGGGGGTGCGGACTTATCTTATCGCAGTGTTGTTACCCGGAATTAACCTCACAGCTCCTGCTTATTGTGGAAGTTAGTAGATCTGCGCGCTACTGAACACTGAGTGATTTCTGATGACTCAATTTCTCATAGACGAAACTCCTTCAAAATAAATTCTTGATGATATATATAGACCCAGTTGTTACCCACGGCCGGTCGACCGGAGAGCTACCATCATGATCGAGGGTAACACCAGGGATGATGTGGTAGAACTACAAGACGGCAACATATAGTCTCAAGCTGCTAACAAAAGTACCGGCAAGAGAAGTCATCTCGGTGGAACGGCTCTTGGACACAAATTTATAACCTAATAAACATATTAACGGAGGAGGCCGGCTTCATATGTATTTCACAAAAGATTAACATCACCGTCGATATCCCCGAAAGGCCATTCCTCCGTTCAGCAAAGTTTTGGCGGGCGAAAGGAGCTAGCTGGAAGGTCCGTTTGATAGAGTCCTACATATCCCTTCGTTCGTCAGAGCAAAGTCGGAGACATATTAGGCCCGCGACGGCGTGGTGATATTCAGAAAATCTAGCTACCTACAACTGTGACCACACCTGAAAAAGGTATGGGGGGGTCACAGAAGGTGACTTTACAGTAAAAGGTTCACGGAATGAGGGTTAGGTTTATTACCAAGTGAAAGCTGACCATTAGCGCCTGGTCGTGAAAACACACGAAGGGATAAGACGGGTAAGCCTAGCTAGGACTGTTAAGGGTCTCGGTAGCCCTGGATGTACATGAACTCTAAGAAGCTTGAAAATGATGCCGTCTTTGGGCTAAAAAGCATAGATCGCTTATTAAAGCTTCCATAAACATCTATTAATGTAACCAGGTTGAAAACTGAATTCCTTCCGGTGTTTTGAATCAAAAATGTTTCTAACACACTGAGATTCTTTAATCTTTGAAAAGGTTACTGGCTATAAGTTAAGGGCCCGTTCGGCAACAAACAAAACGGCGTTTTCAAGGGTCAATACCTAACAAAAAGGTCGTTGAAACGGAGTTTTCACTGTTGCCGGACGGGCCGTAAGTATATTTTTCATGGTTTCACTCATCTGAACCGTATTTTCAAAATTAAAGTCTTGGACGCTGATACAGAGTATGATAAATAGCGTAGGCGCCTATTACTAATTTAGCCGAGAGTGGCCATAAGCGCGCACAGCAGATCAGATAACGTGATGTGTCACAGCGGCTACAAGCGCGCACAGCAGATCAGATTGATGTGTCACCACTCGGTGTCAAGCCACTAGCGCGTACAAGGTCCCAGCCACCGTTCATCTCCCACCACCCACCGCCTTACATCATCATCACCAACAACACCACATCATACAACCCCCTCTTCAACAACCTTATCCGCCTATCGATCGCGATATGTCTCCGCACGCGAAAAAACTGAGATACTTCAAGAGTCACCCTTTCCCTGAAGACTGGAGTCTCTCCGAGTACCTGAACTACCGCCATCGCCCTGCTCCCGCGCCTCGTCGACTACTCGACGGATGGAAGAAATCTCTTCTTCTCATCGCCAACTGTACAACACCCTCGTGTTGTTCCCTTGAGCAACGCGAACGGGCCCAGGACCTCCTTAGGCGATACGAGGAAAAGGTATACACATTCCCTTCATCTTTCTATCCCCCTTACTACTGTAATGCAACCTCTGGCGCTCCGACCCATCGGCTCGCGCAGCGCCAGATACTATCGCAGGCGGCGCGGATGACCTATAAGCTCGTCCGATGCTTAGCCTGCCAGTTAGTCCCACCAGCGGCAGATGACCCATGAGCTCGTCTGTTGGCTTCGGTGGGGGAGTGGTTGTACTTCAGTGGTAAAGAATAGGCCTGGCTAATATAAATGGTTGTTCTAGGGAAAGGGGTCAGACCGACAGTATGGGAAGTCCTGGCTGGCACAGAAGACTTCAAAAGCCGCTACAACTCCTCCCCCGATTAATATAGGAGTGATGTATCAGGGGTCGTCGGTTACGGGTTGCCAGACAACCATAAACCAAGAACCACCGCCACAAACCACTAACAAGCCCAGTGGAGACACTACGAGCGTATATAGTGATAACGATTTAGATACCATAAATGATTCAGATTTAGAATATAAGGACAGTGAATCTGAAGAAGATGAAGGGGAGGGGACTCCAACTCCATCAGGAGGCCTAAGCGAGGATCTTTCTCCGGCGCAAATCGCCTTTGTGGATAGGTACAAAGGGATGGACAGGGCGTCGCAATGGGTACTTAGGAGTGGGCGCACTGTCGAAAGTATCATCTATAAAGCATGCCTAGCCCTAGATGCCGACTCCTTTGCGAACTCGCTCCTACAATCCTTTGTAATTGATACATCCAATGAAGATACAAGAAAGCTATTTACAGATCCAGAGTGGGAAGAAATACAAAGCCTTATATTACCATTGCCCAAAAGCGACCGCGTGTTATTAGATTCGTTGAAAAGATTCTTTAAAGTATGCCATGTTTTACTTTCACCGCTTTGGCATGCCCTGACCGTGATCGACTTAGGTTAAATCTACAAGTGATCTCCGGGATATACTCAGGAAAACAGACTATCTACCAGAAGGCGTAGCATTCGATCAGGATATCCATTTCAACTCCGAGTGGGCAGACGTAGTGATTCGTATGATGTAGGCATTCCTTTGCCGCATTGTTGTTGCGCGCAATTGCCCTGAACTCACGTTTAGCGTGTAGGCTCATACAATTCGAGGCACCGGGGGAACCTCTCCGTGCAAGCCATTTAGAGGACTGGTACTCTTCTTACCTCTGGTCTCCCATTTTTGACCATTGCTTGCTCGATCTTCCGGGCATGACGGTTGAGCGGTATGTGCTTCTCGGATCCTCTTCTAGCCACCCATATCTAACCAGCCCCGTGTCCTCCAGTAAAGAGTCCACCTGTCGAGCAACCGGAATCCGGAAAAACCGCCTCCGCACAAAAATTGGACGCGGAAACAGGCTCAAGATAGGTCGCCGTCTGGACGCAATCATCAGAACCGTCGAAGATGATCCTTATGAGTATGGCGCCATGGAAGTGGCTCGAACTTTCAATGGCGTCACGTCATCGAAATGGCTCGGTGACTTTTTCAAGCTCGCAAAGGCTCTCAGGGATATGTTGTTTCGTTTACATGAGCTGATTGACCATGACGAGGCCGTAGTAAAGAAGTTGCAAGTTGTTGGTGTCTTCAATGCAGGTATGTCGTGAAGGAAGAGCTCCTAGAAAAACAAGCTGTTTATTGACCAGAACAGGCCTCTCGTTCCAGCTCATTCGCATGAGTCACCCGAAGGGGTTCGTATGTCTCCTAAATGCAGAAAAGATGCAGCAAGTCCCGAACAGCGTTCAGGAGCTGGTCAAGCTTTTTAAAGTTCTGATGAATGTTGCGTTAATGAAGGTATTCACATACTTCCTCTCCCCTGTGAAATGGTTCAACACTCACATATCAAATCAGCAAATCATCAAGGACTGCAGAGCAGCAGTGGACGAGTATCATAATAAGACCGAGGAGGATGTTTATAATGAACTGTTGGGAGAGACCGAGAGCAGCAAAATGAAACTTGGATGGGCAGCAGACACACCATGATTTGAACAGGTTCCAAAAGAGTTTATCGAAATAGTCCAGCCAATTGGAACGATAGCCACAAGTTTCAGCCTACATTCAGGTAACTCGGAAGCGCAATAAAATCTTATTTATCGTATATATCCATTATTTCCTTTTACCTAGAAGGCCAAACCAGAATGACACCCCTGAGAGATATTAATGATGCATCAGTGTTGCTTAAGCTATAATCGATATTTCTTTTTTTTTAATGAAAACTAGATTATTTCCGGTGGTCGTTGGTACTGATAATGGGGCACCTGACCGCGATTGGCCTCTCAAATCAGGTCGCTGGCCGGGTGGATAGGGTGTAAATTATAATGATCCAGGAACCGAAAATCACACATATAATCTTCTCTGTATTCCACGAATTACATTGAGTTACATTAAGGATTCATGAGCCCCCTGATAGCTAGCTAAGTATTCGGATAGAGTCTATTATAGCTGCTGTTAAGTAGGGGCTGGGTACGAGACTAAGTCTGTTATTAATATTTTAGATACGATAATTGTTCATACAATATGCTATACTAAATACCAATCATCTGCATCCCCGACTCTTCTTTCACTGCTTGTACTTGGATTTGATATCGTCTCCAGGAATTCTGCCACCTCTACGTGTCCTTCTAACCTTGCCCACTGGGCTGCAGTCCACCCTTTTTTGTCCTTGAAAGAAGCGTCAGCTCCCCCTCCGTATTAATTCCCGGACTACGCCCTCATGACCACGGACCGCTGCACTGTGTAATGGCATCCATCCAGAATCGTCTGGAATTGATATATTGACCCCGTTACCTATTAATCTTCCAACTTCCTCAACAATGCCATCGTAAATGGCTAGCTTGAATGCGGTCCGGTCAATATGGCTCGAGTCTAGCTCAATCTTAGAGTTCGGAGAAATAGAGTTTGGTAAGGGTTCTTCTGGCTTGTTCTTAGTTGAATTGCGAAGTATGTTTACGACGAGATTGTGACCAGCTTGCTCCGCGATTTGCATTGGCACAAACTCGTTATTGTCAAACACCGTGGGATCAGCGCCTTTCTGTAATAAAACACAAACCATTTCCTGTTGTCCTTGAGATGCTGCACTGTGCAATGGTGTCCATCCGTTATTGCTTTCGAGTGATAAACTGGCGTCTCTCCTGGGAAGGAGTTTGGCCAACCTCACATGCCCTCTTTTTGCTGCGTAGTGTAATGGGGTCTTTCCAAGTATATCATTTGCCGATAGACTAGCACCATTTTCAACCAATAGTTTAACCATTCTCTCATGCCCTTCTGCTGCCGCACAATGCAATGGTGTTTGTCCCTGATTATCGAGTGCGGCCACATCAAAACCCTCTTCAAGCAGTTGTCTTATAACCTTCGAGCTGTTGTGTGGTTTAAATGCTTCAAGATGTAGTAATGTCCTCCCATCGGTATTCGCGCCTAGAGAAGATCTGGTAGAGGTGGGTAATGCGGGCGTAGAGCAGCGTGTATTTGTGACTATATCTTGCCAAAGCTGCCATTCGGCGAGGGGTTCTGGCTGCCCGACATGGTCTTGAAGTCCTGAAACAGCAGCCTCGAGCAAAGAGATAACACGCTCATGGCGTTCATGCTTTACGTATTCTAGCGGAGTCCATCCGTTTAACATAGTGGCCAATACATCCGCTCTCCTCCATAGCAATGCTCTTACAATATTTTCGTTTCCATTAGATGCAGCGCAATGCAGTGGTGTCCGGAAATCATGATCGGTACTTGAAATTCTAGCACCTTGCATGAGTAATACTTTGACGGCTGCATTGCGACCTTTGTCTACGGCGCAGTGTAATGGCGTCCTTCCGATTCTGTCTGTGGCCGATAAAGAAGCACCATTCTCCAGTAGTAGGGCGACTACATTTTCGTGTCCTTCAAGTGCGCTTTGGTGTAATGCCGTCAAATCACTACCGTCAGATACTGAGAGGTCTGTGCCATTCCTAAGGAGGAGGTTCACAATTGTTTCGCGGCCCTTTTGTGCTGCCCGGTGCAGCGGCGTTCTTCCATTCTTGTCCGGGCCCGAACTTGCACCCATCCCAAGTAGCAATAGAACCACATTATAGTGCCCTGCTGAGGCTGCACAGTGCAGTGGTGATGATCCATCTTTGTCTCTAGGATTGATGCCATCCCCAGCTTCGATTAATTGCCTGGTTACTGCACAATGGCCTACGGTGGGTGCTACATGTAATGGAGTCTGTCCCTTTGGATAAGCTTTGTAAAGAGGTAATTCGTTTGCATAAAATGCCTGTAAATAGGAAGAGATGTTCCTTGATCTTTTGAGAAACCCGAGGAGTATATTTGTTGTCAAGCTCTCCTCGTAGGATTTGAGATGATACGGTAAATGATATGCGGCATACTGTAGGAGCGGGTGTGATTTTAGGCGTGATTTCCAAAGGTCGCGAGATGTACAAGGACCTTCAGTAAAGACGTTAAATGAGAGATATGTCGCGCAAGCTACAGCAATTCGCAGTTTTGCATCTTTAAGAAAGTTGGAATTTTTCAAAAAGTTGTGTATGGAATAATGTGCAAGGTGAACCTTGTTTTCGTCGATAGTAACCAGGGAGCCGCAAACCTCTAGTAGTGTTTGTATGAGGGTAAATCGAGTGTCTCAAGCTGAAAGGATCCTGGCTCCACTGAAACGGCAGTCCGCAGCTCCTGGACTGTAAGGACTCGATTCGGTGCTGTAAATACAAGCCAAGTATCTTCACCGCCAGCTCCTTTTGATCTTTAGGCTGCCGTTCGAGTCTTTCGATGACTCTTTCGTAAGTAGAGTTTAAATTCTCCTCTCCAATTGAACCACTTTTTAATCCATCGAGCTCTCTGGGTATTTTGTTTGCGGTGGTTAATTGGCACAGGTAATTGATGTGAAAATGTGCAAGCAAAAACCTATTCATAATGCACATGTACTTTAGTAAGCTTACAATCTCCAACAAATTATTATGTAATTAGAGCAGCATGACGATCGGATCATGGAAATTGATACTTACATCCCATTTGCACATTCCACTAGCTGGGTTATTATTCTCTCCTTACACATTCCCTCTTGAACAAGAAGCTTTGCACGCGGAGTTCCGTCGATCTTTTCTATGATATATCTCCGAATATCTTCGGCCTTTGCAAGAATATCAATTTTTCTCGAATTAGTATCGATCATAAAAGACCGTACATCGTGTGGGTGAGGTTGACTGGTCAAAAGATGTTCAAACCATTATCTGCAAGTTGTTTGAATAATGGGAGAAGAACGCTCCGCCGGTTCTCCTGGCATTCATCGAGTGCATCAAAAACCAAAAAAGACTTGTGTGAATTCTCCGAAAGCCCCAAGAGAGCTTTTAAGTATTCCGCATATGGTAGTCGTTTCCACCCAGCTTCTAGGGAGTCCTTGTACAATCTCCCCACTGCAGAGGGAAGCTGGGGAACCTTAAGGGCGAGTTGTTTGATAATACTGGCAAGGATATTAGTGCGAGATTGTTGCGTGTCTCTTTTGTAATCGAAATATATGTATGCTACTCCATCTCCCTTGGAGGTCGCTAATGATTCGAGATAGTTTATATAATTATTAAGCCACAGCTACTTACAAAGAATTAGGTTTCCAGAAAAAAAGGGTAGCTATGATAGATTCTCGAATGAGAGGAGTATTACCTTAGGAATGTTTTTCCAGCCCCAGCTATAACTCTTTAGTATTGAAACTGAGTTGTCTAATAGAATATGTTTTTGTGTGTACACTTACGGATTCCACAACCCACAAGCACCCGGGAAGATGAATTTCCCTCAACCCTTCCTTGAATTCGGGTGTATTCAGGAACCAATTACCAGTGTCCTTTATTCTCCTACTAAATATGTCTTCATGTTTATCGTTATAATTGTTTGGGTATATCCACTCAATAACCGCTCTCCTTTGTTCCTCTGATATTTTCTTAAATCAGTTTTTCGCCACGATAATAAATCCCCCTAAGCCGAGGAACCCCACCTATGTATTCATTTCTCTGTAGACTATTCCGCATAGCTTCCTGTTCTTTTGAGCGGGCTATGTGCTCTACATTCTCCATGTGGATACGGTGTAGAAGTGAATTGGCATCTTGTGTCTGCTTCTTGATGCAACTCGCCAGTTTTCTAAAGTCATGTCAGCGTAGTTCAATAAATAACATAATATAGTAAACCGAGTGGGGATATTAAGTATATTAAGTATGTTCCTGCGAAGAAAAGGGCATCATAACTCACAGATTATCCATACCCAAAGCAAGTGAAAATGTTGATCTATACCCTTCAATGGCCTGTGTATGGCGTAGAGTCTCGCTCTCTTTCAACGGCCACTTGAAATGGTCAACGACACCCCGAATTCCTGCCCTTCATTGGAGTCTTGTTTGCAGTCTTTTCAACTCTTCTTCGCATCTTTGGAGTGGGCCACCGTCACCACCAAGTTCTTGTAATACTGTTGAATTAGGGTTTTCACCAACATAGTCCTGTAGACATCTGAGGACCTTATTGAACTCCGAAAGCTTTTCGACAAATAATTGGACATCGAAAGGTGCCCGTTTGAAACTATTGATGTATCCATAGCCCGCAGTAACTAGGCTTCCTGTGAGTTGGGCGATGGCTAGCACACTAGCCGCAAGACCGATAACTTCGCACATTGTGGAGTTGCTCGACGTCAAAGATGAGCATGAGATTGAGGGTGAATTGTATGAGCGAAACAAAAAGCGAGGTTGGTCGTATGAAAGATGTATCCCATCTGCTAACCACACGCAGCTATATAAATATTTATTTTTTCACTGATCTTTTCAGAACTCTGCAACCCGCATAGCCCGAGTCCCGTATTCCAAAAATATGAGTTGAAAATTGGATACCCAGGTAGCTATTCAAGACTTCGACGAGTTTGTTTTTCCTTCGCACAATTGGTTTCGTACATCACGTGTAGTTGTACGAGATCTCATGCTCGCGCTCATTATTAATTAAGCTGTACGTACAGGGTGTTCACGGTATGTGTGAAGAACCCTCATTTAGGAAATTTTATTCTGGACCGGTCCGAAATTGGTTGAATTTTTCGAAAAGTGACAACTTGGCGGCCAAGCAGGTATTTGAGGGTGTATGCCCCAGCGTTTGCAATGTAACCTCCACCACCGCAATTTGACTCTTTCTCACCTTCGATCTTTTGGAACTCCCCCAAAAATCTCTTTAAAAACATCAAAACACTGCTCAGATCAAGCAGGGAGCGAGCCCTATTCTGTGGTTATTTTTTTGTATTTTTATTTAAATATTTCGATTTTTTAAGTGAAGATATGTGAAAGTTCTTCAGACTTTTTCCAACATACAAATTGTGTGGCTAAGCCCATTGTAATGCATTGTAACTCTGAAGGTTGTTGGTCACTTTTGGTTGCCACGCATGGCGCCCATACAATTTCGAACCAATAAATCGATGTTCTCGGTATTTAGGGTGAACACCCTGTACATAACTGCGCCCACTGGTAACATACATACATGTAGGCAGAGATAGTCCCGTTAGTATACCAGAAACCGTGGTGTTTATACGTTGACAGGGATGAGTTCTTTTTGTTATCTCGTACTGTAGTTGACACATTAAGTACATGTAGGATCTGGTGGTTTTGCCAAAGCCAGTACATCTGGGATACATAATCACCCCGGGGGGCTTAAGTCGGGGTTGGTTCTGGCATAGCAACCACGAATGGGTCTAGGAATGAGACTATCTCAGGCAGCAACCACTGCGTACATACATGTAGGTACTCTTTTCCAGGGTGCCGTGCACGTGTCGCAGGGCTAACATAGATCATCGAACGTCACTCACCCTAATTGGGAAATAACATGCATTTATATCAATCCAATTAACCGCGATAAAGTTTACTAGTACATTTTTACTGATGCCGTGATCAATGATAGATCTTAATTTTCTTTGACTACATGTATACACGGTACACAGGAGAAAGTTTGTCCCGGTTGAGTACATTAAGTCCCCGCCTACAATATTCCCTTTGGTCTGAATTGCAAATCCGATTCATCTAAGCTTCAAGTATTAGGTACAATAAAATCCATACAACTACATATATGAATACAGACTTTCCCGGGGCGGTAACCCCGAGATAAACTACGTATTCTACTCAGGCGTTCAGTAAAGGGCCGTGAAAAGCCGCCCCGTTGCAACGCTTATTTTCACGACCTTTTACTAAACGCCTTAGTACTCTACCATCCATAAGAGGAAGATGAGCATTAACGATTGGTGCTTGGCATTACAGATCTAGAGCGGGGTAGAATAGACGGCAACACCACTTACAGCACCTATGTGAGAATGAAATCTTTGTTTCTTGCATTCCCAATAGGTCACCTAGCCACAAGTTCCTTCGTAAGCAGTGATTGATTGACCGACAAATTGAGTGGACGAAATGGTTGAAGAAACAGAAAGCCAATGTATGACTGATACTCCTTAGTGGGCGGGCGCACAAAAAACAAAATTTTATGAACCTGTACCCATTCTTCTTCGCGCACTCTCTGGCCAATGAAAATTTCTTCTGCTCATTAAGGCGTCCCAAACCAAATGCAAAGTAAGCAAGCCTTGGTGCAGACGTCAATGCAAACGTTTCCCGGGATTCGATTCGCTATCTAGTATGAAATATCTATGTCATCGATATATACCATCATGAATTTTGAGGCGGGCGGAAGAAAAGAAGGATGGAGGGCAAGGTAGTGTACCTACTTAGGCACTTAGCTTACAATTGTGAGCTATATGTAGTTCTAGAATACAGTCCAATGGACCAATCAAAGCCAATTCGCGCAACAAATAACTACATTGGTAAATTTCATCGTAGCGTGCATGTGCGAGGTCTAAAAACATATTGGGGCCTAGATTGTAGAATAGATATGCACAAGCGATCGATCCGTGAGGGAATCATACGTTATCACTCGATCTATAGAAGCACAAGATTAGCCAGCGTCATTTTGGAGGGGGCAGTGAATTAGCATAAAAATCACCACATACCGGTTAATATCAATCCTAGAAGCGTACATATTATTCAATGCTAATGAAGAAGAATTTTAGAAGTAAAAATCTGATCCCAAACACAAAGTGCTATACAATTAAGCGCTCCTCAACTCCCAGTACCCCAGAAAAGAAATTACATAGCGCCTTCCATGCAAAATCCCGACAAAGAGCAGTAAATCATAGTCGGTCACTCGATGGCCTTTCCCCCAAATCACACCCTCCTTCTACATACTGAAAGCCTCAGCATGGAACCAAATACCCTGGGCCCCGGTTCCTTTGTGTACAGCCCTCTCATCACTCAACTCGACAACTGCCGTCCGGCTTGAATCGATCAGCCCCGCGGGTCCACACACCACTACGGCAGTCTCCCCGAGTGCTCTCTCCAGCTCTTTCTGAACGATTGACCTAACTGCTGGACGTCCAGCCATGATATGCACCTCATCTGGTAGGCATAAAGTAGCCGCCGACGAGTTCTTGTTGATGTTTTGTTGTCCCTCCTTTTTTTTGGGTCCGCAGCAGCAGCACTCTGCCTTGGATTTTTCAGCGTCAGGTGACACGATAGCGTCTTCGTCTTCGAGTGTTTCTTGACAGCAGCACACATCACCACCGCAGAGCTCTGTTTCAGAGAGACCAGCCACTTCCTTTTCAGACTCTAGCTGAGGCTTTTGCTTCTCTTCGTATTCAGGAGCCTTATCTGTGGTTAAGGTTTCGTCGCAGGTCACATATATACTGGTTTCCAACGCAAAGTCCTTCATCCCTGCAACACTATTTACCGCATCCGCAAACTCTCTTGTGAACCATCCTACTTGCCCGTGCCGCTTCACGACCCAAACAAATCGTACCTTCCTTGTCACTGTTGGTTGGCGCGCTTGTTTCCGCCGCACCAAATCCCTCATCAAAGGCATTATAAAAGTTGCACCTGTACCACCAGCTAGTAGGACTACTGTGTCGAATTGCTCCAGTGGGCGTATACATCCATATGGTCCATCAACTATGACTGTTTTTGTCGCATCGGACAAAGGTGGCAACGTCTCACTCGCATGTGAGAAAAGCTTTCGAGTTGCTCCCTTCTGAGCCCTTATGATGAATTCTAACGAATTGTCTGAGGGGAGACTAGTGATCGTAAAGGGATGGGACTGCAGAGGGATGATGGAATGGCAAGACAGAAATGCATGTTGCCCCGGACTCCACCTAAATGGTGGATTGGTGATAGTTACTTTCGTCGTATGCTCCGATAGCGGGTGAAAAGTCGCTTTACATGAAAGAAACTGACTTGGCTTACCATGGAATAAACCAAGATTGTTATACACCATGAAAACCAATCTAATCAAACGATCCAAGAAGAATATCCCGACCGGTACCCATACGTACTGGTGTGCCTTTGTGGGCGTGTGCAGCATAACCATAGAAACAAACCCAACCGCACTCACTATGTGCTGTATAATAAAGAACTCATACCTCCATCCCCTTATCGGTGCGAAGCTTGAGAGAACAATCCACAACAGCACACACCATGCCCCCAGGCCTCTTCTTGATATCAGGTCGATCTCGAACTTCCTTTCGACGTAGCTATATTGGTTCCACGTGCGTAGGAAGTTACCTAAATGGACCGATGCTGTGAGAAACATGGTCCGTGCTACCCAGCGATGAATCCAATTTAGTCGTTCATAAGAGACTCCAGTGGCATATCCAAGTAGACTGCGCTTGCCGGCGAGAAGGAAGATTAGGGGAAGCTGAGTAAGTGTTATCCAGCCTGCCCGTACACCCATGGGTTCCCAGTGCCGTCTGTTGGTAGGTTGGAAGCCATACGATGCTAACGAAAGCAGCAATGCAAGATTGGCTGCAATCAACAGTATTTTTCCGAACGACGGGAGTGTCGCCAGTCGTGGATAGCGCTTTTGCAGCGAAGGTATAAATGGCGCGGTGTAGTATGTTGCTTCCCGGGTTATTGCAGTGGCCGTAGCATACCAACGCAGTAATGGGTTCTTAGGACGAGCTGGGTCTAGGAGGGCTTTTGAGACGGCGGAAAGCCTAGGTGGGTGGTTAATGAATAGGCTCTATGGGGCTAAAGAGAGTGGGAAGTACCTTTGATGGCATAGCAGTCTGTCGGCGACGTGGATGGCTGAAGCGAATGCTATGGCTCCGCCGACAAACATCCAATACACTTTGGCCATGTATGGGTCTGTAGGGAGATCATGGCCGGCGTGGGACATGCTTTCTGAGGGTGAGCTTCAGATAGAGAACGCTAGAAAAGGGCAATAATGAAGGCGAAAGGAGTAGTCTCTTCAGAGGCGAAACGACTGCATGCAAATGATAAGTGAGAATGAATTCCGATTCAAAGTTCGATAGACATAAGCGATAAGGTAGCAGACAGATACTCTCAGTCGAAGCCAATATTATTATTCGAGATCCAATAATCTGCAGTAAAAGAAACAGGCTCACAATTGAGAGGGTTACTCGTAAGCCAGTCAAAATAGTCTTCTTGCATTTCCCAGCCCCAGTCCGTCCATAGCTGTACTTTATCTCACCTAATCCATTCCCATCATCGTCCTTGCCTGAATTGTTCTCCCTTCCTGCCCATGTGGGGTGTGTTTTTGGCGTATCCCACTTCCCCGTTCTGTCGCCAACCCGCTCAGAGCGCCAACCCCTTTTGGGCCGAAATATGCTCACCCACAAACCAGGGTCCCTCCCACCCATCGCCAGGATTGAGCTCAAACTCCCGCACCGCATCCAAACTACAAAGTGCGGAACAAGAACCAGGAAATTTAAAATAAACATCGCGTTGAGCCAGAGCTTCAAGTTTCTCGGTCCCACATGGCACAGATCTCGGCTTGAGCCATGACGAGAATGAAGCGAAGATGAGATCTCCATTAGTCTATCATGTAGGTAGCAGCTACAATTAAGGATCAAATCTTGGCTGTGGTAGAGGGCTTGTCTAAATCTAGAGATGTAGCACCTGTTGGCGTCACAGAAAATCATTCGATCACATCCCTACCCGCAGCTATGTGATAAATAATATTACTGTATCGGAACTTTACGGATCGCTTTTCTACATATCGAGATTTATGATCGTAGAATCAGTGATTGGGTCTTGAAACCAGCAAACAGTCGTCTGATCAATTAAACGAGCTGAAGAATCTTCTCGACAAAAAAAAGAGAAAAAAGGCAACAAAGACGTGGGCTGTAGACACAGCCAAGAAACAGATAGATACTTTTGCCTGTTCGTCAACTGGCAGCGCAGCACCTGTGAGTGATTGCTAATGCGGTATGCCGAATGTACCCAAAAGTGATGCAACGGCTTGGAAATATAGGGTGAGGTCTTAGTGAATTCGCAACCACTTTACATGTAATTTCTTTCATTTTGATGTGATTGATGAATTCTTCATACTCTCTTTACTTTATATACTATATATCGCTGCTTCGTTAAAGTCAAAGTTGGGTTGCATGTGGTTGAAGTCGTGAGTACATGTAGTAAATTGAGTCGTTGCATCACTTTCCGGCACCCCTGGGTACATGTAGTTACTTGAATTGCTATCAAGTCTCACTCCAAATCACATATAGAGCTGAGGATGGACCTCGGAAATTTGATATATGCGAAGGCGTGTCATCCGGCGCCACTAAATACCGTGGCCTGATAGCTATAGAAAGTGCATACATACATCTTTTAGAACCAGATATGCCATACAATAACTTCCATGGATCCAGCCTCCTCTTCCGTTACATTTCTCGTCTCCAGGTTGAACCAGTTCATCAATTTCGGTATCATGAACCACTCCACGAGTCCACCGAGTTTGAAGACATTGAGAGTGCAGTTTGAAATCCAGCCTTGGCGTGGCCCCACGCAATCTCTAGACCGCCAAGGTGCAGATTCCAAATGTGTGAGACGAGACGTGCCGCCGCCAAGAAAACGGTGGTTTTGTGACAATGTCGAATCCGGGGTAGACCTTAAGCTCTGTGGTTTCAAAATGCGAAGAGACTCCTCGACCTAGGAGAAAGACAACAAGCTCCTGGGCATTAAGAATGAGAAATAACGGAAGGAAGGAAGGGAAGAAGGAAGGGAAGAAAGGAATGAAGAAAGGGAAGCGAGGATGTTGCCCCCCATGTAACAACTAGGCTACTAAATAATAGACCCTTTGCACTTGCGGCTTAAGGCAGTAGTGATCAACCAACATAATCCTCTCAAACTGGCGCACTGGCCAGGCCCCGCCGCAGCCAAGTCAAGTAAGAAGGTTCTAATATCAGATATTACCATCAGCGCCCTAAACAAAAACACCTTCACCCCTCATTCACGCGCGCTCCTCGTTTTTCTCTATTCCAAATTTTGCCCTTGGTCCCTTACATTCAATCGATCCAACCGACAGGACATCATTGACACTTCTCTCAAACACTCCTTCCTTTCTTCCACCGTTTTAGGATTGCATATCAGGGACAATCTCTGTGCTTTGGAATTTAAGCTTATTTTAATTTAAGGTGTGTGTTTTTTAAAGTCATCTTCATACTTTATATTTTGGCCAGCTCCTTCGGTCTGTCCATTAGTCTTGCTGTGCAAACTCGATTCTTTTTACTGTAAAATTACATATTGATAAATCTAACAAAATGCCTAGTCTCTATCCTCGTCACGATTCACACGACTCGATGGCCGCCGACTTTACTCTCCACTCCGACACCTCGTCGTCCTCCTCGTCATCCCACGCTGGTATGGACATGTCCTCTAGCGACAGCACCATGAGCATGAGCATGGCCAGTATGACCTTCCACACGTCTATCTCGGACGCCCTCTACTCTACCGCCTGGACTCCCAAGACGCAAGGCCAATACGCCGGCACCATAATTTTCCTCATCTTTCTCGCCTTATTTTATCGCTTTCTGGTCGCCTACCGTAGCGTATTAGAGCACCGGTGGTCAAAGTTAGATTCAGAGAGGAAGGTACTGGTTGCTGTATCGTCGTCGCAATCTCAGGATAGTGGTATAGGAAACCCTAAAGAGAATGTAGTAGTGGCGGAGAAGAATGAGAAGGGTTTGTGGGCGGCGAAACCATGGAGATGGAGTGTCGACCTGCCGCGCTCAGGATTGGCGGTGCTAGTCTCTGGTGTGGGATACTTACTGTGAGTATTCCGTATATATCCATGTCTGCTTCCGGCCTGTTGTGAGACGAGACTGACTCTGGTAGAATGTTGGCGGTAATGACCTTCAATGTAGGATATTTTATGGCTGTTCTCGGTGGGATATTCGTGGGTGAACTGGCATGGGGCCGCTGGATCAAGGGTGGGGACCATTAGAGCGATTGAATTGCTACTGATTACTATAGGCGCTGGAATTAATGCTTGCCTCCCCTTTGTCTTTTATTTTCTTTTGTTACTATATACTGTTTGGGAGGGGTTCTGGGTGTTTCTGGGCTTTGGTTTTGTATTTGATGATGATTGGGAAGTGTAGTTTTCAACCATGGCTGTAAATGGTCATACTGCATTAAGCTTAGCTACTAAACAAAAAAGACTTCGCAATTTTAATATACCCATCAAGCAAAAGTTCCACACGCCTGAAAAGTAGTATACATGCACGTAGAAGCAAAACCATGTAGCTATTAATTATTAATTTGGATCCCGAGACCTACACAGGTCCCCAGCTGCCTTGGCGCAGATCGATATATCCAACCGGGTGTTTTTGACAATCTTGGCAACTGACACCTGGTAGGATACTTTCCACGACCAACCTCTTGAATATCGGGAAGGAGACACGATCGAGGATGAGGTTTATGATACACTGAATGAAGGATATCACGGCCAGGTGAGCGCACAATTAACCTATTACCTGGATAAAGATCACAAGGCCCAATTTCCAATCAAAGGCAAGCTGCATATTCCAATTATTTGTATTTATGTATTTGTCCCAAATACAACGCCCAAGTATCCCGAATTAAAGAAAAGAAGAAGACCCATCGTCGATAGCATATACCACATCATGTGCATTATGTCGCTATACAGCAAAAGAAAGACATAAAGAGAAAAAAAGGCCTACAAAGCCAACGCAGCCAACAGACCTGCAAACAGCACGCTACCGCCGGCCGCAAGCTTCACTGCCGCGGCGCTGGAGCTCTGGGCAGCGTCGGGGGAGGAAGAAGTGGAGCTGGTGGAGGTAGATGTCGATGTCGATGTCGAGGTGCTAGTGGTGGTAGAAGCAGAGGCGGTCGAGGAGGAGGATGCAATAGCTTCGGCACTGACGCCGGTCCCGTTCACGCAGTCTTGTGTTAACATCACTGGGTCCTTGGTGAAGGTGATATCCGCGCACTAGATCCAATTGAAGTTAGTTACCGAAACGTCACGCATGGAGAAGAGAGGGTAAAACAACATTGTACAGTCCTCCACCCGTATGGCCTGCCTGCACGACCTGGATAGTGGCATTGACACCATCGGCCACGCCCGGAGTCCCGTCAGGAACACTCAGGGTGTTCCAGCAAAAAGTCCCTAGCCCCATTTGCATGAAGACAGGCGAGAGGGTGATGTTGAAGTCATTCACGGCGGGATTGTTGCCAATGGCGAGATAGACGGCAGTCTTGGCTTCGTCGTGGCCGGCTTCAAATTTGATGGTGCCGCCGGTGACTGGCCAGATGGAGCGCTCAGAGGAGGGAGTGTTGAGGCCACCACAAGGACTTTCGGCTTGTGTCTCATCGGAGTCCCCGCGGGAGGTAGGGTAGGTGAGGGAGAAGTGGGCGTTAACGGCCGCCGCGGCGAGGGAGAGGAGAGCGAGAGAGTACTTCATGGTTTGTATTTGGGGTATCACGGATTGAACTTGATACGGGGAGATGATTGATGTAGAGGAGGATGAGGAGGATGAGTGGGTGGAAAGGTGGGTGGAAGAGAAGGAAGAATCTATTTTATAGCATAGCTAATAGTATATAAAGGCCCTCCAGCCAGCCTTCATGAGCGAGTTTCTACCTACATATAACTAACGGGTGAGGTTCGAATGAGCCTAACGTTAACCATAAACCAACCCTGTGGGCCTCCCCAAGGTTCAGTGATCAGGACCTTCCCTTCCCTGACAGAATGAAAAGCACCTCTATCCAAACAGAGCCCACGAACTCCAATTGCAAAGGAGATAGGCAGCTCCCTTTATTTTATCTTCTGAAGATCACTCGTCATCGGTGTTTTAGAAGTCTTGTTCGGAAGAGCCCGAATCCCGGGGAACAGCACAAAAAAAAAAAAAACCCCATTGCATGATCTCTTCTCTCCCGTTCTTTAGATATCTTTGGCAGGCGGGATCCAAAAGCTGCAGTAGAGAGTGCAGTGGAGAGTGCATTTTTCTTTTTTCTTCTTTCGGCCGGAAGCAAAAAAGAAAAGAAAAACTGGCTCACTCGCTCACCTAGCTTTGGTGGGGTTGGTTGATTAGTAGACGTTATTAGTATCCTACTTCCCGCATGCGGAAACCTGCGCAAACCACCTCACACGCCAAGATTAAGGTTTGGGCCAGGCTGGCTCGGCCACCTCCGAGCTGAGTCTATGCCGGATGGAGAAGAGCGAGTTAAGCTTACTCACCCTGCAGAGCTAAGGTAAGGTACTCAGGCAGGGTGCTGCTCCGAGTTCGAGATATCAGTCAACGTCTTGATGGCAGATGAACTTCTGCACTGCGGACTGTCAGACAGATTTACACTGCTTATTCCGACAGAGTTCTCTGCTTGGCTCGGGGAGTAAATAAGCTTTCGTTTAACGAACTGCAGATCACCGGCGCGCATGAGACCGGCCAGGCCAGATGCAGTTGTTTACTTGAATATATCACAATCGTGAATTGAAAGAATGGTGTCTTTCCTGAAACATTACTCATTGAAGGCCGCGTAAGCCTGAGTATGTATGTAGTTCCCGTGCAAAATTACGGCTTCGGATTGGCGTGAGTAATTTGCAAGTTACTAACTATTCTCATGATCCTCGTATACCCTCTGCTTTCAAACAGACCCACAACGGCGCGGGGGTGGTATGATCAGATCAAATGAACGGTCCAATGAACCCAACTGTATATGAAGATGGGCTTGCCAGAAATGGCAAACGAACTCTGTGAGACCCAGACTAATAGCGGGGTGGCTTAAAACTAGCTGCGGCCCAGGCCGGGCGGGCGGTATTGACAAGCTGTGGCGTTCCTGAGCGATTCGCCCCGCCCGGGCTAGTGATCTTTATCGATGAATGACTTGAGAGATTGAACCGAAGAAGAAAGCAGGTGGAACAAGCTCCTCTTATAGCGGAAGAGCAAGAACGAGTGTTCTATAAATGGCCTAGAACACCATCGAAGCCGTAAAAGACAACTGGCAACAATAGAAATGTCGGGATACCACAGCACTACGTATTCCGGTTACTTGTAGGTGCCGAATGGCCAGTGTAGCCCGTGAGGTAGAGATATCACGCCGCCTCGAGGCAGCTCCACAAGGTCGATCAAGCTCGATAAAACATACCTTCACGTCTAGAGGTGGCTTGTGGTTTTCATATATAGAGGGGGTGTGATTTCTAAGAACAAGTACTGGCTTCATTAAGTAACTATATTATCTCTTTAATTGAGTTCGTATATCATGACCCAAGGCATAGGAAACACAGCTTCAAGCCGATTTCTCAATTGATCAACTTCCTCTATCTGAACCGCCAACGCATACAGCCTACCCAGGCATCATAATATCCTTAACTCCATTAAAAATATCAAAACGGTTGTCAAAAACCAAAACCTCGATCACCCGAGGCACGAATCGAGATATTCCCAGGCGGACCCGCCCACCCAATCTCGCATCGGGGTGAATCATGTACGACGCTCGGAACGAATCCATAGATGACGATTGAGTGAACCGGCGTGTCCTCCTTGAACCCGGAAGTGCCGGGCTCGATGCACCCCGGGGAAAGACTTCCGGCTAGGCTTTATCGATGCATAAAGTTGATTAAAGCGCCGCTGTGGGTATAGACTAGGCGCTCTCAAAGAGGTGTCCGGTCCGGGAGACGTAGCTATGCAGAAGGTAAATACAGTCAGGGTACAGAAGTTTTGGTAAATTTTGGTTGCCGGTGCAACACGAAATTTGTATGGGAACACCATATAAAATCAGAAACACTCAAATCATGACTTTAAAAATTAGATCGCACACACCTGAAGAATGGACTTAAAATTCTAGAATTCTCTGTGCTCCGTCTTGAGATAGTTCCCAACTGTCCTTGAAACTTTGGAATTTTTTGGATGAGGTTGGGTGGTTGCTTCGGGTAGCTAAACATGGCTACTTTGGCTGTAAAAAGGGTATATTACCAAAACCTCTGTCCTAGTACTATACATGTACGCTGGCGGATTTGGGGGGTGCCCGTGGCGTCTGTCAATAAACCGTGACTGGGTGCGCGTTTGTGACTGTTCAGCGCGACTAGCCAATATTTTTCTGCATGTCCACGTAATGGCGGTGTGAGATGTAGATAACTACACTCCCTCTTACCGCCCGCCATTCCATAGAAAATTACAAAAACATCAATTGCCCAGAACCTTGGCAATGAGGAATCCCTTTCCCTAAGATGATTTCCCTCATTTTCTTCATTCTTCAGTCGTTAGCATCTCATCTACAGGTACCAATAAGTCCATGATATAGAGGCGGCTCAGTCCTCATCCTATCGTCTATTCACCGTCTTTGTTCCTCTCTGTGAGTGCGCAATGGCGTTTAAACGGAGCACGATCTTCCCCCTTCATAGAAGGTGCAACTCCTGGTATTAAGAGCTTTGTGTACAGGTTGATTGATGTTTCCTTGGGGTTGATGGTTCGTAGTTTCGCGTGCCTGAGAATGTTCGAATGCCCCTCAATAGCGCAGCGGGTGTTTGCAATTGGGTACAAGCGATCGTTCGAGGATATGATATGAGAAGCTCCACAGATGTTTTTTAACAGTAAGAACATATAGTCGGGGATGATGAGAAACAGCGACCAAAAATTGGGTTTGTGATATTGGTGCTCTCCTTATCTTAAGTGTGGGTCTTGGCGCGAGTGATATTCTGTAATTCTGATTGCGTCGCAACCCTGTCTAAACTTGGCCACTGTAGATTTGGGTACATGTAATCCCTACGTTTCGAGCAGTAAAAAGGGCATAGCATCTTCGGCGAGAGTATCAAGTAAAGGTGAGCTACGTGTTTATAGTGGGTGTTACTAGTAAGTACGTAAGCATTTTGGTGCAGGCCAAGCTAGGATGTTAGGTCTACGTATGCGTTTAACATCTTCCCCAGCAAACAGTCCTCGAAGTTCTGTTAGCATAGTGGTGTATGCCTCCGGTTTAGGAAACTTATGACGACAGCGGATACCGGGTTCGAATCCCGCTTAGTAATTCCACTTTCCAACAGAACAATTTTTTTCTTTTACCTCAATTCTATTGTTGGGATGAGGGTTCTCTGATCCAACCATCGACGCCCCCTATCCACGGACGGCAGACGTAGCTATACTCCCTTCACATCTTCACATCTTCCTACCTTCATCATCATCCATGACTATACAGCAATAATTCTCATGACTAGCGCTGGGTGTCTGAACTCCAGCTGTTTAGAGTAGTTTGTAGAGAGTGAAGCGCGCTGTGCGCCGCTTTCTGCTCAGGCGTCTCTGAGTACGAAACAAGCTATGTAGTCGCTTCTTCCCAGATCCCCATATCCTCTTCTTAAAGTCAGCAATCATAAACTCTTCTGTTTGTCTGTCCTCAATGCCAATCACATTTCGTTATGGAGGATCTTTCAGGCAGAGACCCCATGGACCGAGAGATTAACTTGAAGCGTTACACATCCTCGATTAAAACCGTCGCTATTAGCTTCAAAGAAATGATTTTCTGTATATATACGGAATGTACATGGATTGAGTCACGAAATATCACTTGTTAGCTAGACAGAATACCCTGGCTCTGCCAAGAAATTACATACTAGGGCCGAAACTAACTGTAACCTCCAAAATAAGCTTACACAGCTTTGAAATTAGTTACAAATACCAAAACTCTCCTTAGGGAATCTTTTATGCACTCTTCGAGGCTGTCAACACCTAGCTAATAACACCTGATATATTAGTGATGTTTCTGACATCATTAGACAATCGTCATATTAGTTAAAGATCTGAGATTCGGGATATATCTATCTATATATTTCATTTTTTTTTAAATATATTATCAGGGGAAATTCAAAACGTTCGCTATAGTTCTATGTTTAAAATGATAACTGCTGACCAAGCCGGAGTACATGTAGCTATACCTTCGATGAGGAAAAGGCAGATCAAAGTATTTGTCTTTGCCCGCATAAACCAGCCTCGTAGACCACGTGCACATTAATCGGAGTCAGGGTCGAAGTTGTGCAGAATATCTCTGTGCGCGCTCCTCAAAACGAATATGAGCACTGTGACTTGGGTTTAACAGTGGCGGCCTTGTCTATGAGACTAATTTAATCCGCCTTGCTCTTCCTGGAGGCCCTTAAGTTGCCTTGAGGCGGTGTCCTATCCCAAAAACTATTCTGTGCTTTAAGGACGGTGACTCTTCCGATACGGCGACGTAAACCACAGTCATGAAGCAAAGTTACGCCAAAACACGCAGAAACCACCCTTTTTGCTTGTCTCGAACCAGACCCAATTAGGCTTAGTGTAGTTGATGTGGTTGATAATTAATTCGTGTGGTTGAGTCGTCAGCCTCTTGGGTGCTTCTACAACGCCAAGTTTATTATTATCTAGGCACGTGACCTGGCCCACCTAACGTCTGGTTCGAGACAACCTTTTTGCATAGCTTTAGAGCCCGCAACTTCAAGATATAACTTGATAGTCTTGAATTCCAAGAATAATTATTGTATCATTGATGCTAGTAGTGCTATAACTGGCTCCATAGAGCCAAAATCTTGCCAAGACCACGAATTTGTATAGAGTTTTGGCAAAATCCGCCAAAGCCTAATGAATCAAATTGTCTCTCAGAATATATTTTCTTGCATAGTTCATCTTCCTATCCTGAAGTTTCATAGTCTTTAAAGAAGATTGAAGGTTAGGGAAGTGGCCAATTTTGGTGTGTTTTAGCGCGAAGACTGATTTATATATCCAAGAACTATAGTTTGGTATCTGACCCTTATTACTGGTAGTGATTTCCACAGTCCAAGCCATTATCTCTCGTTTAACTCAAATCTGCATGCACAGGGAACAATTTTTAATGTTTTTCAATTTCTGAAATAGACAAAAGAAAGACCCCAGCACCTCTGAGGGATAATTTAGCGAACGTTGAGCTTTGAGACTTCTAGCCTGGGACTGATCTTCTCTTGTCTAATCTTGCCGGTCTAGGTTTAATATTAGGAGCAGGGAAAATGGACGACCAAGGAAAACGAAAGAACGACTAAACTAGTCCTGATCCCAAATCGGATATACCACTCGACTCTTATGCAAAGAATTATGATAAAGGGGCACTTTCGATGTCTCTGAATCTTTTGGGCTCGGACTCGCAACTATCAAAATAAAACCTCTACCGCCAAAGCGCGAAGCATTTATATTTCACTTTCTGAGTTAGTGAATGAATATCGATAAATTGAGCTATTTGACTTACATATTTGCAGTGCCAATATTCACATAGATTACTTCAAGCCTTGGCTAAAATGGCCGAAAGGTCCAGTCACACCACATGAGTGTATGCAGGGAGGGTGGATGACAATATGTAGCTGACCAATGTTGTAATTCGACGTGATAATTGTAGTTACATCTAGTTGAGGGGAGGTAGATTTGTTGAGGGCGTAGCCTGCCTCCATGGCTTTTATCATGTTGAGAAATTCATCATATTTTTCTTTCTGATAGCGTAGTTAGTTTTCATGAGTTGTATCAATAGATTAACCCCCCGGGGGGGGGGGGGGGGGTTAATTACCTTTAACTGCCAAGGCTGGAACTTCCTGTGAGTACCAAAAAGACTTAAGAAATCGGCAATAGCAGAAACCATGGAACACGCGAGTGAAACAATGGATATAATCATAGAGGGTTTGTCTGATGAGCGGGCTGGCATCGAGAGTTTGAGTTTTTAGATATATCGAATATTAATTACTGAGAGAGATTGATTCATCAAGAAGGACTGAAGGGTGAGGGTTACTTATAAAGATTTGAGGCTTTTTTTAAGTGCAAAAAATAGTCAACGTTGATAAAATGTATTTTGTCTTTGGGGAATAGCCCGTACTGAAGCTTGGGTTATCGATCGTGTCGACGGGCATGCATGTATGTTCTCCAAGATACCACACTCTACTGGTACCGCAAAGTGGCCATGGCTCAAGTTCAAAAAAAAGCTTCAATGTGCCCCAGATCGAGATTCCAAGGGGATTTGTGGGTCGATGCACTCCTCCCTTCCTCGAATTAAATGATTGAGCGAACATACAGCATTGATATTTGTTCGCCCCATAGCATACATTGCATACGTACATGTATACATATACACATACAATAAGCATACGTGTATACGTACATACATGTAGTTAATGGTGTGTGTGTGTAACTATATGTGAGCTAAGCCTTCTAGGGATTTGGCAAGCTTGAGCTTTCGATAGCTGACTCAAGTCGTTTATCAGTGGACTGTAGCCTTATCTAATGACGGCAGGTCTAGTCCTGCTATAAGGTCTAGGAGAGAGGGGTATCTTCTATCAAATGTTCAAGCTTCGCTGTACATGTGACTACACATTCAGCGCACAACTACAGTCGTTCTCGAGCTAATGACGGACGAATAGAAGGCATCAGAAACTATATAAGGAGCGAGCCGCGCCGGGCCATGGTGCAATAGCCTACACTCGTGGGAACACATACATGTATATAAAGACCCGAATTACAAATCCTACTATTTACAAGCGGCTTTCATCCGTAGATCTAGGCCCACACATGCGTGCCGTAGCTCCAGTTCCTGATAACTCCTGTCTAGAAGGTATTCGGGCTATGCTAAGATTGGTGGATACGGAAAAAGAACGAAAGATACATGTAGTAGCCTTGGAGAACAGATTGTACTACCAGTAAAGCGCCCTTATAGATTATGTAACGCTTCATGCCTGGCTCGGAGCGCGCTCCGGGTCGTCCCTACATGTATATATACATGTATACAGAGATCTAAGAACGATGTATAATACATGTATGCATTCCAAAACCCCTCTTTCAGTAGTATCAGTACTGACATCAACCCTAAAATCACTTTTTAGCAGAAACCTCGATTTACACGTATAGCTCGTTGAAATAATTTTTCAAAAACGTTATCTCGCAGTGAAACAAATGGCGGAACTTGATTTTTTATACATATGACCCCGACAGTTCATGCGGTGGCCTTAAGATGCCAACATCTTTGATAAAGGACCTTAGATTGCTCGATCGTGCCCCATTATTAGACTTGTGCATGTACATACTATGGGGGTTATTTGCCACAAACTGAATTGTGCGTGTGGTTCCCCTGGCATGGTTAGCCACTCCCAAGTTCGAAATTCCGAGGGAAATTAACTATGATCAAGGACTTACTATTTGAACTAAGATATTTGACGTATAACACTGCAAGCTACGAGGGTTAGGTGTCGTTATGCAACATATTCATACTGCAAGATTCCTTTCAGAGAATAGTTTATATGGACCATGTCTCTTTATGAACTACATGTAGGTATGTATGTAGTTCAATAGTGAATGAGTGTTTGCCCGCCAATCAAACTAATTTTGATTAATTGGCCAATTGAACCGAAGTTTGGAATCAAATTCTTTTGTGTTACCACTATGAACAGAGCTCTGTTAGTGGTTCAACAGGTAAGTCCTATGCGAGGCAGATTTGACTGTTGAGCCTCAAACCCCTATGGTCTACATGAACGTAACTTCATGTCGTCTCTGTGTACTAGTGAGATCGCGAGTACAGCTTTCCAGTAAATCCCAAACTTGTCTCAAAAATACAAGTGATGAATACAGGGATTGTTTGTACGGAGTAGCGCCGTTCTGCCATACAAATAAATCTTGTTTTAAGCATTTCATATTTGGTTCTTTCTACTATACGCGAGTAGGAAGTTAGGAGGTCAGAGAAACTCACCAGCTGACGTAAATTCTGCAAGATTTGGTGCGGAACGCCAGTGCTGTATCACGCCGGTATTCCCAGCCTCAGTTATCGATCTCTCGTCAAATGAGTGGCGGTATCTTATACAAGGTAGAGTGCCTGTTTCGATCGAGGCTACAGCAATGTATGAAATAACCCTGTATCATGGATTCGGCCTTGGAAGTTGAGGCAAACTGAATGAGTTTTTCAGCCTTGTCTAGTTGGAACGGTCAATAACTAACTAACCAGCCAATTGATGCAAGTTATTTGATCGCCGGTATATACATACCTACGGACATGAAGAATCTGAAAGCCTTGTTCTGGCGGGATAACAGCATGAAGGAAGATGTCCCTTGCACCGCTACAGTTTATCAAGGAAAGAAAGCCACAAGGCCAGTATAGTATATGTCGAACGACTGGTGTTCCTACACCTCTTCTCTTACGTCGCCACCACGTTTTATATCGAGCAAGGGTGCTCCCGCACAAGGGTCTAATATGCCTATTAGAAATGGGGGATGTCAAATAAGCTAAGATGTGATACCTACTCTTTCTTGGTAGCCGCATATACGTTGAGTATATGACCTTCGGTAAGGGCAATTTGTAAATATGCCTCATCGTTATATTTAAAGCACCCATCTTGCATACACTCTGCACTTTAAGCATATTTTCCTAAAGTCAAAGGTTATTGAGACGTGGGTTTGAGGATGGCTATGCGGTGGGCGTTGGTACGAGCTCGCGATGAATTCGAACTGCACTGAGGATAGCTAGACGGGAGGATTAGAGGAATAGGATGTCATAAAATAGAACAGCTGTACAGACATGTAGTAGTAGAATATACATGTAGATTACATGTATGCCTGCATTTCCTAAATAGGTTAAAGATTCGAGAAGGAAGATGGCAGGGCCACAGACCAAAAGATACGAGATCCGGTATGAAATTTACATGTATATATTTCCTTTTCGTTGCAGAGATGCATGCCATATGTGTCATAATCACCGATTTGAACATATATGGTCACTCGACCTAGTACCTGCATGCCGTCTCTCTCTATGTCCATTTACTCCAACGGATTAGAGCTGAACTATATATGTGTCACAGTTCCTCTCCATCTGAACGGTTAACAGGAAATAACCTTGCAAATACATACCGCTCAAAAGTGATACGATAAGTAAGTTCAATAATTACACGTTCGCCTAACAACCGTAAGCTGATTGATCCGCTCTAGCTCTAATGATATTTATCTCATACTAGGTGTGGTATGGGTATACGCGGCACCAAATCCCCATAATGACTGGCTTAGTGTTGAATTTCGCAACAGCTATGAAGGCGGAGATAAGGTGATTGCCTATCACTTGTTGGCTGGCTCTGATGGGTCTGCTGAGCATGAGCTAGAAGCCGAGAGCTCTATGCCCCCGAAGCGCTATCAGAAGTTGAATACTTCGGGAGCGAAAGCCGTATTCCCATGAGTTAGATTTGCTCTCAAACTTCAGAATAGGTGGACTCACTTATTGTATATATCTCATCTAAAGTAAACGCTATGATTGTTTGAAACCATGGAAATAAAATCTCTCGGGCGAGCGACCTGGTGTCTAACAGCCTAGTGCTGCACTCATAATAGTCAAGTACTCGCAGTCGACAAAACTCATACCCGGTCCACAGGCTCGGGATAGGAAACGACTAATATACTTATAACCTGAGGAATTTTTGGTGTTCGATCTACGGAGCTATGGCAGTTGGGGCGTGGAGTTCGGGAGCTTGTCTTCCCCTTGGCAATTGCAATAGCAGTTCCAGTGAGCGTAGACTCTCGGGGTCTTGCGCGCGATAACGAGAACAAAAACAAACTTAGCTACTACGCGAGAGAAGGAATAAATAAATTCTGGAATAATTTTCTTTGGCGAACATATCATGCTGTGATATGATTTTCTTCTCATCACCGGCGGGTTGCTGGCGCAGCAATGTCGTCGCCAACCCTTTAACCCTTGACTTGAGTAACCATGGCACAGGATTACCAGGATGATAATTTAAGCAATTACTACCATTCTTAGCACTTGTCTCCCTGAACTGGAAACCTGTCACGTCATAAATGCTCACCGATACACCGGTAAAAAGGGTTTATGGTATTTACACTCAAATTTTCTGACCGAGCGTCTTAGATCGCCTCAGAACAAAACTGCCGTTATTTGTATATTGTTTCCTAGGTCTATTATCCCTTATCCGGTGACAAAATCACGCCCTCGAATCTCACGATGTGGGATTCGGATACGGCATCAACACCGGTGAAAAGCTCGAAGATTTTTGATCTAAATGTATATAAACCGGTCGATTTCTCCGGCAGAGCAATGTGCCTCTTCTCTCTCTCGTCCATACATACATCATCGGGGTCTCAGATTTCCTTTCCTTTCGATTCTTCAATCGTCGCTCCTTTCCTTCTTTTCTAAGATCTTGTTGATCAAGAAATACGTTTGATACGTTTCATTCATTACATACACTCTTTATACAACCTCATTTTATAACTCACAAACAAAGATGAAGGCCGCAATTTATTTCAGCGTTTTCTGCATGACCGCTTCGTCGGCACTCGCCTACCATGATTTTGGATCTGATGCAGGCTACGATGCTGATCGTCCGTTGTCCGCGCTCGAAACTTTGGAAGCTCTCAGCAGGGACTATAGCTATGGTTATGATGATGATTATGAACAGGATCTGGATTGGGACAGGGATTATATGGAAAAGGACCATAAGTATAAAGGTAAAGACTATAAGTATAAGGATAGAGGCTATATCAGCCGCCGTTATCGCAACCGGCGCCTTTCGAGACCGTACTCAGATGACAGAAACGGTGGTAAGTAAACCAAAGAATATCACAACCAACATACGTACATAATAGCTGACCTATCATTCCAGCCCCCAAAAAGCCCACAAAGTTTGGTATCGTAGTCTACCCCGGCTTCCAGGCACTAGATGTCTTTGGCCCTCTTGACATCCTCAACACACTCTCTGAAAGCGTCAAGATGGATCTCACCATCATCTCCAAAACCTGGCAACCTGTCTCCACCAAGGGACCTGAGATGAAAAACATTTGGAACGCCGGCTCCAGCTTCTCACAGCAGATCTGGCCCACTGCGACCTTTTCCACAACTTCCAAAGACCTTGAGGTCCTCATCGTCCCTGGTGGTATCGGTGCTTTCAAGATCGATCAGGAGTACATCGACTTCATCAAGGGCACCTACCCTAAGCTTAAGTACCTCATTACAGTTGGTACTGGCTCTGGCATCGTTGCTAGGACTGGTGTTCTTGATGGAAAGAAGGCTACCAGCAGCAAGGCGATCTGGAACTGGTCCGTTCAGCAAGGCAAGAAGGTACACTGGCAGCGCAAGGCCAGGTGGACCGTGGATGGGAAGATCTGGTCTTCGTCTGGAAAGGCGGCAGGGATGGACATGACATTTGCGTTTGTGAACGAGGTCTTTGGCGGGAAGAACTCAACCAATGTGGCGAACTTGTTGGAGTACCCGCGCAATCGCCGCGCTGACTTCGACCCGTACTCGAACGTCTGGAGGACTACCAAATCGAACGGCACCATGACTCGCAAGGATAAGATGAGGAACAACTTCTTGTAAGGGGCTGGCCGGTTCATGTTAGGTTAGATTGTTTCTGTTTTGTGTGTTTTGGTCGATCAGCCAGGTTGTGGGAGGTCGGGTTGCATGTAGGCAGGCGTTGGTTAAATATTTATGAACTCAAATTTGTTGCATTGCATCTTTTCTTTTCTTTTCTTTTCTTTTCTTTTCTTTTCTTTTCTTTTCTTTTCTTTTCTTTTCTTTTCTTTTCTTTTCTTTTCTTTCTTTATTTTTTTTTAGGGGAGTGAGACAAAATGTAGATTGCCTAGCAAGCTTTTGCCCCAGAGCAGAACACTCCGTGACTGCTTGCGGAAAGCTTCGCTCCGTCTTGTTTTTTCTACTACATACTCGCACGTCAATTATGTATTTGCCCAACCAGCAAAACACACTAAAAATCGAGGTTTCAACAACTCATAAAAAGCCCCACACCTAAACCAAAATATCAACAACCAAGTATAGTATAATTTTGATAAAGGAGGTCCATGCTTCAAATTCTTGGCCCAATTGAGATACTGGTAAAGATGCCATAAAAGGACCCTTTTAGACACATTTCACCTTCAGGGCTTGTTCTTTGTAGATATGGCCTAAAAGTGGCCTGTAGAGTCTTTCAGGTGTCTAGATAGAAGACACATAATTTCAGGGGAGATGGGAAAGCTCTCTGGATTCTGTGTGTGTTTTGCTGATTGCGCAAATACATACTTGATATGCGAGTATAGTAATAGAAGATACTAGTAACAAGATTGAATGAGCACGCCAATAATTTTTTTTTCTCTTCCTCCCTGGTTAGCTACCATGGCCTCCATTCGAATTCCCTCTCCATGTGTACCAAGAATTAGGCTCATACAAAGCTGCTCGTAGGTGATGGGTACGAGACTAACTATAACTACGAATACATAATAGGACACGAGCACTTATGGCGGGCTGATATTCTCCCTCTCTAGGCTAGTATACAGGAAGATCACTTGTCGATTCTCACTGCAATTGCGGACGTACAAGCACCTAACCCTGCCCCGTCGAATCAACACATCAGAGGATACGTATACGTATCGGAATATCGGGCCAAAAATCATGATAAAGTATAGACAAAACCCACGAAGCCCGGCGTGGCGAGTAATATGCTCCACGCCAATTTTAGAACTTGACTCACTGTCTATCATAGTTCGATCATCATTTCTTCCTGAATTCTTTTTTCCTTGAGACCCTGCTTGAGCATTTTTTGACCACGAGTGCCTCGAGCTCTTACACCCTCAATTAGACCGCATGTTCGTTATGTCTGTCTTGGAAGAGTAAATGTTTGTGATTATCTAGAGTGGATACCCGAAGGGCAGCGGTTTTCCTAACTTGTCTCGTATCTTGAATCGAGTGATATTCTATGACTACTGGCATCAGATTACCAATCCTATCAAGGAGCGTGAAAATTGAGCGTCACATGTAGGCTGTCAAACGATTGCACCATAATCGATAGGTATTTAAGTTACTGCGACGTAGGTCATATATGCACAACGGCGCACATCGTGCCGTCATATATTCTTTTTATTTATTGGAGTGAGTCACTGTGACCACGAGTGGCCGTCTGGATACGAAATGTTCGCTTGATTACCAAGGTAACCTGGCCGGGGTAAAGACTCTAGGTAATGTGGCTAGTCTTGCTAGAGGGAGTGCTGTAGTAATATGTATCACAACATCTAGGGAGCTCATTTTTCAATTGGCTACTTGTCTTTCTCCGGATATTGACATATATTCTTTGATCTTTTTCGGGACTGGTAGGGCCAGCAAGCAGACTGTAAGCCGTATCTTAGGCGCCTCGTGGCATGAGCCCAACTATTTGAGTGGTCGATCCTCTATCAATCTGTGTCAACAAGGTCAATGATTGCTCCACATCCAAATTACTCAACGTCCCCCCCACCAACACTTCCCCACTCCTACCCTCCCTTATATTAACTCTAAAGTTATTGTCCCCATATCCAACCCCCGCGGTCACAACCAGGGCTAGGGTTATACCCAGTCCACCGCCAAGCCACCTAAAAATTTAAGGTGCGGCTCAATAGCCGTTCCTGCTAGAGAGAGTTTCCTTCCCTTCTCCATTCGTAACGACGCACCAACGATGCCGAAACGCAAAGCGCCCTCGTCCGACTCCGCATCACCGGACCCGGACCCGGACCCGCGCTCCCGCCGAGGCACCCGCCACGCAACCGTGTACGACGCAGTGGCCAACCGCGTCAATTACGAAGGCTTCGTGCACTCGCGCCGCGTCCACGACACGAATGGGGAGCTCCACAAACGGTCGCAGACGGCCCAGACGGCGGACGAGGTGCTAGGGCGGCGAAGGAACGCGCCCGAGGCTCCGATCCCGTATGCGGAGGGTGGTGGGGAGGGGCTACCGGATTCCGTGAGTTTGCTTGTGGTGGTTGTGGTTGTGGTCGTGGTTGATGGGCGCGGTGGCTAACGTTGGTGTATGAGTAGGACTTATTGATTGCGGTCCATCAGTATGTCGCAGACTTTTATGGCGCGCATGGGATGGGGGCGGTCAGTTATCGGAGTATGGACGAGACCGCGCTGCTGGCTGTTGGTTGGTTTTCCCCGATTTGCCTGTGTTTAATGTGCTGACGGGGAGGAATGTTAGGAATGCTGTTGGAAGAAACGGTAAAGAGCTGCTTGGGCGAGGATGGGGACTTGGCCCTGATTGAGCAGGAATCCTCGAGCGAGGAAGAAGATGCGGAGGAGCAGGCACCTGCAGAGAGCCCGCCAAAGAAGAAAAAGAAAAGAGGAAAGGTAAGAAGAAAAAGCTGAAAAACAAGGAACCATCCGCAGCGGCGGAACAAGATGGATGATTCCGGTGTGGATGAGTAAAGACGATCATAGCTTGTCACTCGACTCCCAAATGAGGTGGTTGCGAGAGCGAATGATGGCTTGCAGGTTTTTGCTTTTTTTTTTTTAGAGGGAGCCAAGACAAGCCTCTGTATATCCCCCTCTTATACCCCTACCATTCTATCACGGTGTGACGGTATACTCATTTTAGTCGTCCTTTTAGGATCAGCTGGGGATTGGCTTCTAATTTCTTATTTCTGTGTAACTTGCTGTTTTTTTTTTCGTTGTTTGAGGCGTCTTTTTTTTATAAGTTTCCATAGGGCTATTAGTTGATTTGTGGCGGCGACACGGGCAATTGATCGAAGAAATGCTGGCGAATCCTGATAATTAATATTTCTGATTAGAAATCGATCATGTAGATCGTATTGCAAAACCATGCTATGCTGTCGAATGAGTAGCTACACTATTTGGAGTCAAGTCTGATATATGCACCTTTAACAATTCTCCTTACGGAAAAAATCGTTCTGGTGGAAGCACATTCCTGAACCTTGAACTAATCTCAATCACGCGGGCCGCCCCTTATGCGCTAGGCACATGTACCTACATGTATCGTGCTGATATGATACTCTACCTAGAGCTCGTAGGGATCACTGCTAATAATGAGAGTACAACTCTGAGGATAGCCTATATTCGACGCACAGACCACTCTATGGCCCCCGCCAGCTTCACTAGCCCAAGGGGTAGTTGTGGCAAACCACCCATGTTAAGATTTTCATCCACAAGGATTTAGGGCTAGCATCATGCAGCTGATAGGGATAAGAATTTCCGGACTCATATCGATATCAGATGTTGATATCTTTGTAGAAGGTAACGAGGATTTCCTTGTTGAGGATGTGAAGAGAAGTAGTTACCTGCCTCCCGGAAAGCTTTCCGAAACCCAGTTTCTTTCTGAATCTCAAAATTAGGGTTTCTCGAGAAAGAACTTCTTCAGATCCCCAGTTGCTGTATCGCGCTAGTTCGGTCGAGATGGCGCTGTAACAAGAGGCTTACAGCCTGCAACTTTTAGGATAGAGTGTTCACCTACCCTACTCTACTGAGGGGTCTGAGGATTCCTTATTTTTTTCGGGTCCTCCCTTTGAATTATATTAAGCATGCATGACCATCGCTGAAGGGCTGCTTAATCAAAGAAAGAAATTCCGACTGTGCATTCCAGGGCCTAGATGCCAGGCAGTTGCAGCCGCCAAGGTAGAAAAAAAGTCATTACCAACCCCACTCGGCACCGACTCCTACCACAAGTAGAGCATAGACGCGGTATATCGGTCCTCTATCAACCATATATTGTGCACCCCCCCCGCCCTCCCATTTATTCACCTACTATCATTCCTAGAAACTCAAGCCTTGCATAAGCGGATTAGGCGAACAAAGTAATCCGAGACCCGAACGAAAAAGCCCTACTCATTCCGGTATGTTTTTTTTTTTAAAAAAAAAAATCATTTACTTGATTAGCCAATATGCAATCATCAAGTAGAAGAAATAGTGCTAGTTAATAAGATTTCTCGGTACTCCCCTGGTAACTGCACCACCCTACTGCACATTTAGAGTAGGGGACACAATGCGCCACCAGTAGCTTTCGGCGCACTGTGGTCCGAAATGCACTCGCGGTATACTCTGCGCCGGTTGGAATATGTACTTTGATAAGGATTAGTTAGAAAAAATTAATCCTCTCTTTATTTGTGATAGGTACCGTAACAGAAGATTTGGTGAGTGCTGGATTGAGTATAAAAGGTAGTGAGAGAAACTCCCATTATTTGTTGGAGTCGCTAGAGCAAGTCGTCAGTTTGATTTTTATAAGTGCGGAAGTCTTTTTCCAGAGAGACAAAACGATAAATATATCTTTCAGAAGTATCCTATCGTCTTTCGAGTCACATAAATGGGGCCTCACTACTGAGTCATATGAGGGAATACCTCTATATGCCGATGTATGTGCGATGCGCAGCATTCGTCTCACTCGGAGGATTCATCTATGGGTTTGTTATCCTCCCAGAAAGCAGAGCTCTCAATCTCAGAAACTGACATTTTGTAGCTTCGATACAGGCTCGATTGGGCCCGTTACCCTCATGCCATACTTCCAAGGCCTATTCGGCCCCCTCTCACCCACTCTCCACGGTCTCGTCATATCTATGATCCTCATTCCTGCCTGTATCTCCTCCCTAGTAGCTGGCCCAATTGCAGACAGAATTTCCCGAACATACGCAATTGCCCTTGGTTCAGGTTGCTACGCAGTCGGCTCACTGCTACAGTGCCTCTCTGGTTTTGGAGGCGGGAGATCTGAGGGTCTCGCAATGCTGTTTATTGGGCGAATATTCGCCGGAATGGGCGAGGGAATCTTCTTATCTCCCATCACAGTCTATGCGGTTGAAGTGACGCCTGGAAAAGCACGCGGGAGAGTTGCATCCCTGGTGCAGTTGGGCATCTGCTTGGGTATCTGTGCTGGGTACTTTATTTGCTACGGGAGCTTGAGGATCGATAGTTCCTTATCCTGGAGACTGCCCTTTGCGTGTCAGACACTTATTGCAAGTGGGATTTGTGTTGGCTGTCTCTTCCTCCCGCACTCGCCGAGGTGGCTTTTCCATGTTGGCCGCAAAGAAGAGGCACTAGCAGCGCTTGAGATTCTTGAAATAACGAAAAATTCAACTGATATCGAGAAGGAGGAGATACTGACATTAATTCGTGATGAGGATTATTCAGACTCCAGAGGATGGTTCAGGAGGTTGGTTGATGACACGAAATTGATGTTTGAAAAAGAGACAAGAGGGAGGACATCTCTGGGAGTGTTCATGAGCGGAATGCAGCAACTTACCGGAATTGATGGACTTCTTTATTATGCTCCTGTGCTGTTTACGCAGGCGGGATTGAGCAGTACAAATGCTAGTTTTCTGGCGAGTGGTGTTTCGGGCTTGGTGAACGTTGTTTTTACCATCATTGCCCAGTTTTTCACAGACAAGTGGTAAGAAGCAGCCATATCACCACTCATATAGTGTTATAACTAACCACTAGGATAGGGGACGCCGACCAACCATGATATTTGGCAATGGTTTCTGTGCTGCGACGATGGTCGCAATTGGTGGTATCTATGCATCTGGCGCCAACAGCACCGAGCACGGTCGATATGCAGTCATTGCATTGATCTACCTCTTCCTGATAGGATTTTGTTCAACAACCGCTATCATGTGCAGGATATATGTGACTGAAATCCAGCCAATCAAGACGAGAGCAGCTGCTAGTAGTCTTTCATTATCGGCAAATTGGGTATATTTTACCCATCCTCCTCCTTCTCCTCCTCCTCATGGAAGGGCAGTCATGACTAACTGGGTATATAGAGTGTTAATTGGGTCGTCGCGTTTACGACACCAATGTTCCTGGCGAGTTCGTCCTCGGGGCCATATTTCCTGTGGGGAGGATCCACATTTTTCGCAGTTTGTACGTTCTTGCGGAATTTCCCTCTAGTTGCATGTTACTAATAGGTACATTAGTGATCTTTATCTTCTTCATGCCTGAGACGAAAGGTCGCTCTCTCGAATCTGTCGACCAGGCATTCGAGACATCGCCACTCCAAGATATGATAAGAAAACTATCTGGTAAACACATGAATAATGCTAACCTTGAGACGCATCAGGGCGTTGAGAGGGTAGATGTGCATGTTGAGGGGGAGAAGTAATGAGTTGTTTATTTAGTGTTTATGAATTAGCTATAGGTCTTATGATTTTATGTATAATGTATAAAAGGCTTTACTGAGGGTGAAATAAAACACTTACAGAGGAACTAGAATGTTGTATCGAATCTAAGCTTAAGTGAAACGCGCGTGGTGGCCAGTTATGCTGTCATTAACTAAACTAGATGTAGTACAGGTACCGGAATGGCCGTTTAATCTTTACGATTTGAAGGGCTATGTTGTTCATTAACAGACCGAGAACTCGACACCCCTCGTAAGGGCTAATCTGAAGTTGATGTATTTGAAGCCCTCTCCCTGTTATGAATCCGCCGAATCTTTGACCCGCGGTGAAAGAATAGCAGAAGGGTTTTAAAGATGGGTTGATGTGCAGTGGATGGGGGAGTCCTGGCATCAAAAATATATAAGTAACCTTTTTGGCACATACATATGCCTCTTGATAAGCTTCGAGGTCTAAACCTTTCCTAGTTTGAATATACACATGCATGTACCTACATGTATCTGTGATACATTGCGTAGCGTCAAAGTCTAGTGGAAAACACCGCATGTACCAGGATGTATGTAAATGTGTCGTACAAGAGGATCTTGATCTCTGCTAGCCCTTTCTGGCCACAGTTTTGACTACGGGATTGGCACGAGACTACATGTCGTAAAGACCTCTCGTCGAACATGGTGCCAAAACATAGGGCCACATAAGCATTAGGAAGGAATTACGCCATATCTTTGGATCCCCATTGCATACATATAAGTACATGTAGGCGGCCGAGGCTAGATCTTATTCATCTTCTACTCATCATCTGTAATAATGTTTGTAGGAAACCTTAAACCCGCATCGTAGTCACAGAATATCACTCGGGTCCATACGGATTTGTCATCATGACACTTAAGTTGACAACGTGTACCTACATGTACATACGTGTGTCAATCAAAATTGAATTCAATCTTACCAGGGGTCGCACTAGCTGGTACTACACCCGGAGACTACATGTAGTGAGATGACCGACATAAGCAGTAGCATTGCTTTTCCATTAGTACTGTGATCATAATCACGCGTGCTTAATTGGGACAAGGCTCCCTCTCATGTAACACTCATAGAACGGCGCTATATACATGTAGTACAGAGCAAATAACTTTATATACATGTAGTACAGAGCAAATAACTTTATCTACATTTTGATCATTTACAGCAGCCCCAGAAGTGTAGGGTATTTCATTCGCTGGCTTGATTGATTGACATTTCCCATGATTAAGGATCAAAATTGCCTCGCCTGACGGCCGAGACCCTAATTACAGCGCTCGTTACAGTAAATAGTCTTAGTAGTGATAGGTTTAATCATATCTATCGCAGGGAACGAATATATAGGACGTTTCGAGGTCGAGGGTTTCAATTATAGATTCCGTTTTATGTTGATAATATTATTCATGCCAATCGATTCCTTTCTTTCCCTATGACTGGTCCTACGCACACGTGCTGGATACCGGTATTGTATTCCATTTATCATACACTGGCTTGAAAACTATGTTAGAAAGTTGGAGAACATTGGGAGTTAACGTGGAAAAGGCTGGCCGGAGATGATCCGGGAGACTATTTAGAAAAGTAAAAGAAGGCAGGATTTACTAACAAACACTCCCCATTTTCGAAATGTTTCCTAAATAGATATATAGTGTCAGCTATCTTTTCTCTTGTAGAAGATGGTTAATCAATAATATCGTGTGATAGTTTTGTCAGAAGTAGAATTAAAAATATTATTCTCGTCACGGCAGCTGGCCGTGTTATCGGTATCCCTTATCGAATGTAAATGCTATCATGTATTTACGAATCTTGGCGCTTTGTTTCGGGGCCCTTTCCATTCTAAAAACACAAAAAAAATTCTCGTTATAAAAACCTAACGAATTTTGAATCTTAAATTCCTCTTACAAAAACTATCTTGAAACAAGAATATAACCCTCACGCTCAGGCACAGCATTCTTTCCTCCAAAAAACCTCATTTCTTTCGCACCAAAAACTCCAATTCACAATCTCTACCAAATAATAATCACCATGAAGTTCTTCACCTCCCTCACTGCTCTTTTCGTCCTCGCCCACACCGCCGTGGCCCTCGTTGTCCCCACTGCCGTCACTGACACCAGCATCGTCGACTTCAACTCCACGCTCGAGGCTGATGGCACTCTCGAAGAGAGACAATTCAACGCCTTTGTCGTCTGCGAAACCACCAGCGGTTCCCCCTACACCGCAGACGTCCTCCGTGCCGCCAACACCCTCGCGAACAAAGCCGCTATCTGCAAGCAGACCAACGGGTCCGGATCCAAGTGCACCCAAATGACCGACCACAAAAGCGCAGCAATGGGGATCTGTGGACCTGTTGCGTCTCAGGTCCACTGCAAAACTGCCGGAAAGGTTGGCCGCGCTGTTGCTGAACAGTGCAATGTCAACGGCTTGGCTGGTGGATATGGGCAGTACGAGTGGGGCAGAATTGTCGTCTATGTTCCTTAAGGAGAGAACGTTGGTAGGCGACAATTAGAGGCTGCAGGATTTGGGGGGATAATCTGGACAAGTCAATTATGTTTTATACGATTTAATTAGTATGAAATGTAATTGTTTATCAAAAGCCTTAAAGATAAAGTTAAAATTATAATAAAAAAACAATTTTAACTTAGCTAGAGTGCGCAAATAAAGTGACATGATAGCAACAGTGAAAATCCCGAAATCCTTTCCAATGTGCATTAGAACCAGCAGTAATAACCTAGATACATGTATCGAGCCTGTAATATTAGTACCCATAAGATATATAGAAACCAAGCTAAGCATATAATAAGAGACCTTCATGATAGCCTTTTATGATTTGTATTTCCTTACTTTGAAATTTACGTCCGAGGCCGCGCTCTCATGATATTTGGTCAAAAACTTACTAGAGTATTGACTCTATATGCGTGCAGTTTCAAGCACCAACGAGACCGAGCTACTTAGAGTCGACTGTAATTAGCTATAGATGCAATCAAAATTGAGTTGGTTGAACGAGTTGGATGGGTTGAGTTGAGCTTTTTAGTGACTGTGGATTTTAATTTGTAAAGTGTGTTGCATGAAGAAAACCTTGGCTCGAGCTAAGAGCTTCAACTTGCAAGCTAAAAACTTCGTCTCGTCCCAAGGCCGGTTTAAGATGTTGAAAGTTAAGTTGAAGCTATACATAAAGAGGGTAAATTATAAAGTACCTATGCATCAAACAAAGTATGGTGCACAGTGGCAGCCAGGGAATATGAGACTAAGAAAACACTTCGACAGCCCCTAAGAAAGTTCTAACCTGTTTGACGATTGAGGTTTTTATTTCTTTACAGAGTTATATACGTACTTGTATACGTGTACGTAGTACGTATAAGCATACTTCTGTTTTGTCGAGCCCTCCCGATGGCCGGAACTCCCAATCGGGGCTATACGTGCTAAGGCTACCTAGGACCTGATCAGCTTTAAGAGGGCGCACAGACATGAGAGTTGTCAGCAGTACACGCATGGTTTAAATTGGTTTTTATTTTATTTTATTTCTTCCTATTCCTCCACTCTGTTGCTTTTATCCTTTTTCCTCCCCTTTCTGCAAAACGTCTGCCCACATCCCTGGGCACACGTACGTAGTCGACTGCTGTGGTTGATGGCTGGCTACTGTACTTAAAGTTCTAACACAGATAAGCCTATAATATATCAATTGGACAAAAGACTTGCACTAAAGTCCATCCAACTCGTTCAACTCAACTTTGATTACCCCTAGTCTTGTACCTATCCCGTGCTTAGCAGCAAGCTGCCCACCAGTACGTTGCATAGAAACATGGAAGTAGACGGGTTGAGGACGAGCCTAGATTACCCTAATATAAAATGGTGCGTGAAATGTAAAACTTAAACCAGGCCTTGGCTCCTTTGTATATTGTACATGATTAATTTTTCTATAAAAGGCGTGAATGAAAGACGTTCAATATATATATACATGCAAATACATCGTCGTCCCACAATTGCAACACACTCGTTAATTCCGGCACTACCCTCATTTCCTGCAACTTTCTCAAGCCGTGATCTCCAACGCTAGCTACCAACGATATCAATCACGATGCATTTCTTCATTATCACCACCATGATCTTCCTCTTTTTCTCCCATGCCACCCTCACTCTCAGCATGGCGGCTGACTCCTCCGTTTCCATTCCCGAGGACAACGGCTTTAATTCCGCGATCGAGCTCCCCCAGTCCTTCGATGCCGTCGATGCCTCCGAATTCGTTCACAACACCCCGAGCGTCGACCTTAACACCACCCAAGAACGCGATCTCGAGAACTCGAAGAACGACGGCCCTGACAATGACGATTCCGAGGATGTCGGCTTCACACCCACCCTCTCTCGCCGTGCCGTACCCCCGTTGCTCGTTTGCGAAACCAGCGAAGGCTCTCCCTGGGTGAAAGATATCCGCGATGTCGCCGATTGGATGATGAACCCAAAATTGCAGGGAGAATGGGACTGCAAGCAAAGGAACCCGGTCAAGTCCAGGTGCAACAGAGTCCAGTGGTCTGGCACTGCGGAGGCTGCTCTCTGTGGCCGCCATGGATTAATAGTGAGCTGCAGAATCTTGGCCATGGGCATCAGGGCTGTTGTCGAGCATTGTACTCGCGATGGAAGGGCCGGGGGGAGACTCATATACGATACCATCGGCGCTTCCCTCATCGTGTATAACACATCGAAGCTCTAGAAAAGGGATTGTTGAGCTATAGTTAATGGTTATAATTACGTGTAGCCTACAAGACAATAAGAATCTATAATTTCTTCTTACTCTTCTCTAGTTCCGTGACTCCTTCGTGATATTTCTCTTATGTCACTTTGTGACTTTTTAATCATCATTTCACTTTCATGCTCTTTTTATATATATATATACGGAAAAGGCCTAAAATGACACAGTTTTCGGTATACGCGCTCCGAAATAACACATGATGCAAAAAGACACAGTTCCCTGTCACTACAAGTAAAAAAAAGAACAAAGCGTTCTATAAAACTACAAAAGGTACAAAACTACAAAAGGTACTGCAGCGACTTATTAAGACCTTTCCCGTTATATATATCATAGTTTCATTGATTTCTAGGTACAAGAATGTCGCGTGCAGCTAACGCTATGGCGTGAACAAAACCCCTTCACTTCCATGGTCAACCCAGTTGTTTTTATAAATTCTCTCCCCTTAATTGTAAGCTGAGCTAGCTGATCATATGATATTAATTGTCAAAAAAACTAACTAACTGTGAAGGGCGTACATTGGAATACGTATACAAAGATCCTACATGTAGTATAATTACATGCAAGGGTTCAGGTCCGTGGTATTCAATCTTATATGCTAAATATGTATATACATGATGTATATATACGTGCTAATATTTAGCTAATAACTCATTGTAAGGATCGAGCATATTCAGAAACACTAAACATAAATTACTAATCTTTTTAAAGGTGAAATCCATAGTATTTAGGTATCTAGATTCAACTACCCGATTGTATATAAAAGCAATCAATTCCCTCCTATAATTTCCTCATACCCTGATTAAGCTCTCCAGTGCACCTACCAACAATTGCAATCATGATGAATTTCTTCATTATCATTACAATGCTCTTCCTCTCGAGCTCCCTCCCCCGCACCGTCCTCACTCTCGGCATGGCGATTGACTCCTCGGCTTCCGTTTCCGAGGACAAGGGCTTTAACTTCGCGGTCGAGCTCGACCCCCAGACCTTCGATGCCGTCGATGCCTTCAGATTCGATCATGATACCTCTAACGTCGACTTCACCACTCAAGAACTCGATCTCGACAACCCGGAGAACGACGGCCCTGATAATGACGACTCCAAAGATGTCGACTTCACGAACACGCTCTCTCGCCGCGGTTTGGAGCCCGTGCTCTTCCCGGTGCTCTCCTGCGAAACAAGCGATGCCTCTCCCTATGTAAAGGATGTCTACGACATCGCCGATTGGGTGGGGAACCGCAAACTGCAGGGACAATGGGACTGCAGGCAAACGAACATAGGCGGTTCCAAGTGCCACCGAGTCCAGTGGTCCGGCAGTGCAGAGGCTGCTCTCTGTGGCCCCTATGGACTGGTAGTGCGCTGCAATGTGTTTGCCGATAGGGTCAGAACTATTGCCGACCGCTGTGCTCGTAAAGGAAAGGCGGGGGGGAAACTCGTATTCACTACCAGCGGCGCTTCCATCATCGTGTATCACAAGTCGAGATAGGTCTGGAAAAGGGATTGTGGTTGGGCTATAGCTAACGGTTATAATTACGTGTAGCTCAAAAGATGATAATAATCTGCAATTACTTCTTACTCCTCTCATTCCGCGACTCACCCGCGATATTTTTTTTATGTATCTTTGTGACATTTTAATCATCATTTCACCCCCATGGTCAATCCAATTGTTTTTATAAATTCTCTTCCCTCAATTGTAAGCTGGGCTAGCTGACCATATGATGTTAATTGGCCAAAAACTAACTAACTGTGAAGGGTATACATTGGAATACGTGCTAATATTTAACCAGTAACTAACCATAAAGAGCTTAAATAGAAATACTAAGCCTAAACTGATCTTTTTAAAGGTGAAAATCCATGGTAGTCAATGTGTGCCGAATATATAGAATATTCAACTGCCCGATTACTATAAAAGCAACTGATTCCCTCCTATAATTTCCTCATACCCTGACTAGCTCTCCAGTGCACCTACCAACAATTGCAATCATGAATTTCTTCATTATCATTACGATGCTCTTCCTCTCAAGCTCCCTCCCCCGCACCGCCCTCACTTTCGGCATGGAGACCGACTCCACCGTTTTCATTCCCATTTCAGAAACCGACAACGAGTTTGATCCCTCCGTTCCTTTCAATACCTCCGTTTCTATCAATCCCTCCGGATCCTGCATTCAAACCCCCAACCTCAACGATACCGCCGAAGAACTCGGCCTCGCGCTCGACGGCCCCGAGTCTGACGGCGCGTTCTTCCCCCGTGGCGCTATCCCCCCGTGGGTCACTTGTGAAACCAGCGGAGCCTCTCCCCTCGTGAAGGATGTCATTGGCCTCGCCGACTACATGTTCAACGACAAGCACGTCTGGAGCTGCACTCAAACCACCTCTTTCGGCTCCAGGTGCACCAGGATCCAGTGGTTCAAAGGTGCGGCGGCTGGTCTCTGTGGGATGGGTACGAAGACGCTGAACTGCCAAAGGGTCAGCAAGAGCGTCAGGTATCTTGCTGAGAATTGTGCTCGCAATGGGAGGGTTGGGGGGAAGTTCAAGTACAATAGCATCGACGTTACGCTCATCGTTTACGCGGCGTGATCGTCAAGGAAGGAAATTGTGGTGGAGTCAATTTGAAATCAGTTTTTAATGATAATAATCTGTAATTTTTCTTACCTTTCTTACGTCTTAAGTGCATGTGTCGCTTTAGTTGTGATTTCTTCATCGTTCTATAGATACTTTCAGATCAATTGCAATTGATTCTGCAATTTTTCTTCCCTTGACGTAATCCCTCGTGAATACAAGTATTACCATTCCTACATATCAAAGGTGAAAATTTAGGGTAACCAATGTATGCCAAGCTCTATGTCGAATCTAATCTAGCTTCAACCATTTACTTTTCAACATTAATCATCCCAGTACAACGTTCGTAATAAGCTACATATATGCAGTTACCTTTTAGACCCCCCTCCCTGGCCCCTGTGCCTCGTTAAAATGTACCTACCGCGTCGAGTGATAATCCATGACTGTACTTACAATGACCATAAACAACGCATATCGTAAACAAGCCTTATGGTTTTATAAGCACCTCCTACGTAAGTCTAAATAGTACTGTAGTGGCCCAAATATTAGGGCTTCACGCCTAGCAATCCCACAGTACATACATGTACATTCTATATATGTATACACAAGGTTGCAGTTGGATGTGATGAAGTCCCTGCCAAGAAATACCAAGCGCCGAGTGACAACCCATGACACGGCACCTCCCGCCTACACAAAATCTTGGCGACACTAACCAATCCCACAAAAAAAAAAAAAATCCGAACATTTCCAAAACCTCCACCACAACCAAACCTTCCTCAACCCTTCCCATTAATCCCCTCCAAACACACCAATCCCCCCCAAACCACCCCAAAGATGGCGTCCTCCCTCGCAGCCCAGCTGCAGCGGATCACGGCCACCTCCACCAACACACTCAACACGCAAAAGCTCAAGCAGCTCCACTCGGCCTCACTTCTCTTCCCCGAGGCGCACGCGGCGACGCAGGACCTCGACACAATCTTCTCCATCGCGGCCGAGGGCTTCCGCGAGCTGTGCCAGCTGGACGAGCGCTTCGTTGCGCACGAGCGCGGGCTGTTCAGCGAGAGCAGCAAGGGCGTGGACCGCTTCCTGCTACCGCGCAATGAGGTGGACGAGCTGGATAAGAGCATTGAGGCCTTCCTACAGCTCGTGAGTGGAAAACTACTGCTAAGGCCGTCGTTGAAGGCCGTGGAATGGCTTGTGAGACGCTTTAGGTACTGGCTGGCCTCTTTTATCAATTTCAATTCCAATTCTACAATTCCAATACTAATACCTCCCGCTACAGAGTGCAAGAACAAAACACCGCCGCGATCCTCCTCTGCTTCCTCCCGTACCACGCACACCCCACCCTCCTCCCCACCCTCCTCGGCATCATCCCCGCCAAATCTCTCCCGCGCGAATTCGGCTTCCTGGCGCCCTACCTCTCCCCCGCGTCCCCCGTGCCCCGCCACGTCGTCACCCACGCGCTCTCCCACCGCCGCGACTTCTTCACCCTCCTCAGCGCCCACGTCACCACCGCAACACGCACCCGCCGCGACAGCCACGCCCTGCACTCCTTCTTCTCCACCGTCGCCACAGAGTCCGTCTCGCTCATGTGCGACGCCACGCGCAAAGCCGGCGCCATGTCCGAGCAGGACGTGCTGCACCTGGCAATGCCCATCCTTGAAGAAGCATACCAGGCGCGCAAGGCCCCGGAGTTCCAGATCGGCGCATACATGCTGACGACCGTCGTCGTGGCCAAGCTGTCGCTGTCGGGCCAGCTGCTGCTGGCGCTGATGCAGAGCATTGTGAAGGGGTGGAGCAAGGACACTGTCAGTGCGGGTCTGGCGTGCCTGGCGTTTTTGGCGCAGGCGCGCCAGGGCGAGAAGGAGGTGAGGGTGTCGGACGAGGTTGTGAAGGGACTGGTGAAGATTGAGGATATTGCGGAGAGACTGCTCACCATGGGCGAGAAGTATCGGGTTGATAAACTCGTTGTTGGACTATGCTTGGGCGCCTTGGATAAGGTGGGGCGCAAGTACGGGCTCAGGGAGCTAACCATTGTGGTCAAGCTGCTGGAAGAGGCGCGCATGGGACCTAAGCAGCGCAGACTCGTAATGAAGAAACTCGTGGACTCCGCGCAGAAGGTCGGCGAGGGCAGGACAGCAGTAGAGACAGAGGAGGGCAGCAACGCGCTCGAAGACGTAAAGGAGAAGCTCGCATCCTCCCTTGTGCGCTGGACTGGCCTGGGCGAGAAGAAGAAGATGGGCAAGCTGGTCAAGGAGATCCTCGAGACCGAGTCTGTAGATATTGAGCTTCTAGAGCTCAGGCTCCAGACCGTCATCCGCCCCGCCATCATGCCCGCTGCGGAGCCCAAGGCGTTGAAGGCAATTGAAGCGCCACCAGCACAAGCCGAGACGTTTGAGGAGCTCCTTGCTGCAATTCCAGCTGCCGTGGAAGGCGACTCCTTCTTGGCGCCTACTACCCCAGGTGTCTTGGAAAGACTCGGCCAGGCGTTCATAACCGCTATCACCACGTCCCAATCGTTCGCGCCAGCCCTCCAGCTCCCAATCTTCAAAAGCAAGCCAGTGGACCACGCATTCGCGCTATCATTCCTCGTCAAGATCTGGACCTCGCTGCGATACCCCGCGTTGGCGCGGACCACGGCACTGCACGAGTGCACTAGCTACATCAAGACCATCGGCGAGCGAGTCGACTTTCAGGCTCTGTTCCCGCACATCCTCGTTGCGCTCGCAGACCCGTCCATCAACGTCCGCCGCGAAGCCGCAACCCTCGCGCGGGTGCTCAATGAGCGCTATGTGGCCCTCGGGGGCGAGCTGGGTAAGAAAAAGAAGAGGAGAAAGTCCGAAGCCGCCGCGGAGGGGCCCATCAAGTACTGGGCGCTCGACTCTATCTACGGCACCGGCAAGGAGACGGAAGAAGTCAAATGGCTCGAGACCGCAGAGGCACGCAAGTTCATCGAGGCAGTCATCATGAGCAACCTTGAGGAGTGTGTTCTCGACTCCCACGTCATTGGCCGTTCAGTCGAGAACGTGCTAGGCACCGCTACAGAGTCGAATGTGAAGTCCAGCTTGAAGACCAGCATGATGTCGTTCTTGAGCAGCCACACAGTCAATATGCCTGCGCTGCTTCCCAAGCTGCGTCTACTCACCATGCTGAACCGCGTGGAGAAGGCGCCGACGTCACGGACTGAGTTCCTCGCACCTGTGCTAGAGAGCTGGGTGGATGTGTTGGACTACCAGACCCGCGTCGCCCAGTGCGCCGAGGAGCGTGTGGACATCGTCAGTCTCGAAGAGCAGCTCGTCAGTGTCGTCTCCGAAGGCGGCGACGCTGAAGGTGCTGCCGTCCTCGTCCACATCATTGAGAAGGGATTCAGCCCCACCCTCAGAATTGCAGCCGCCGCACGCATCACAAAGATCTGGAACACCCTCGACGACGAGACCAAGACCGGTGCTGCCGAGAAGCTTCTTGAGATTACATTGAGTGGTGAGGACGTGGGAGAGGCGCATCAGGTGCTGAGGGATGTCACAATCTCTACTGAGGTGTTTTCCCGATTCCTGGACGAGTCCAGAGCAGAGCTGAAGGCAGCACTGCCGGGCAGCGCAGTTGCAAACAATAAGAGGCAAAAGATGACTGCCGTCGTCACCGCCGGCGCCGACAACGAGGTTGACCAGGCGGTAGCATTGCGGAGGGTCACAGTCGTCGCAGAACTAATCGAAGGCCAGAGCCCCGAGAAGCACGCAGAGCTTCTGAAGCAGCTCTTTGGCGTTCTAGCAGACGTCGGCAGCGTCGAATACGCTGGTATTGCTTACCTCCACGGCGTGCTCCTCTCGTGCATGAGCGCCATCATCAGGAGCTTCAAGGGCACCAAATCCATCAACCTCGACAGCACCGTCCGCGCCGACGTGCTCGTCAACTGCATCCGCTCGACGTCCAGCCCGCAGGTACAGAACAGCGCACTGCTCCTCCTCGCCAGTCTGGCCGACGTGGCGCCGGACGTCGTCAAACACAGTGTCATGCCCATCTTCACTTTCATGGGCGCCAACACGCTCCGCCAGGACGACGAGTACTCGGCCCATGTCATCGAGCAGACGATCAAGCGTGTCATCCCACCGCTCGTCAAGTCGCTCCAGGAGCAGGGCGGGAACCCGGTCGTGGGTGCGGCGGAGCTGATCTCGACGTTTGTGGCGAGCTACAAGCATATCCCCGTGCACAGGAGGGTCCGGCTATTTATTGCGCTGGCGGAGACACTGGGCGTGGACGAGTTCCTGTTTACGCTGCTGGCGAAGCTGGCGGAGAAGTATAGGGTCAATGTTGGTGGCCAGGTCAAGACGGACGATGGAAATATCAGCGAGTTCTGCACAATGCTGGCGGGCAGCTTCAGTGCTGAGACACAGCTGCTCAACGTCGTCAAGTATCTAGATGTAATCTTAGACGTCGTAGAGCCCTCAGGCAATGGCCTTGCAAAGCACATCTTTGAGGAATCAAACGAGACCCCCATCGACCTCGCAGGCAGATTGCTCCAGGTTCTCGCCGCCGTGCTGAAGAACGACTCCCTCCGCGTCCGTGCTTCCCGCGTGCTCAAGACCGAAGCCACCGACCCCACAAAGCTCAAAGCCTCCTTCTCCAATGCCCTCGAAAAGTCGCTCTCCCTCGCCGAGCGATTTGAAAACACCGAAATCGGCACCGATATCGCCAGCGTTCTCTCACACCTCCTCGACCTCCTTTCCACGCCTCAGTTCGTCACCGTCGTCGAAACACTCCTCGGCCGGCCATCCTCTCAGCTCCGCCGCAGTGCTCTCAAGACCTTCACCGACCGCGTGACTGCCGACCCCCGCACTAGCACAACCTCCCGTGCTGCCGTCATGTCGCTGATGCCCAAGATCGCCTTGATCATTGCGAGCGCCTCTGCCCCCAACGAGCTCAAGGCAGACGCTTTGTCCTGCATCGACACTGTCACGCTCAAGTACGGCAAGTATGACGTCGCTGCTGTCGCTGCCCTCACTGACGCAGTCACCGGTGAGGGCGGTCTTAAGAGCCCTGACGTTGGGCTCCGCGTCCTCTCTTTGATTTCCTTAACATCGATGACCTCCTGCCTTGGGGGCCGTATCATACCCTTCCTCCCCAAGACCGTTCCGTTTGCGCTTGAGCAGCTCGAGGAGAGCACCAGTGCCGCCCACCAGAGCGAGATGATCCACAACGCAGTTCTTGCTTTCCTGGACGAGCTTGTCAAGGTGGTGCCGTCCTTCATGGTCAGCTACCTGACACGGATCCTGCAGCTCGTCTACAAGTCTGCCTCCTCCGCCGAATTCGAGGGCGAGGCCGCCTTGGGCATCAGGACCGACCTGATGAAGAGCGTCGCCACCACTCTAGACTCCAAGACCGTGCTCTCCGCCATTCTGAAGACATGGCCCGCCGCGCTGGCCGACGAGACGTTGGATGTGGATGTTGTGCTGGTGGCCGTCGAGGACATCATTGACGGTGCCACCAAGGCGGGCGTACAGAAGATGCATGCGAGTCTTCTGCAGTTCTTGCTGCTGGCATTTGATCTGCGGCGCAGCGGGATGTTTGGGGACGAGGATGTTGAGCACTTTGAGGAGCACGGGATGGCCGTGGCGTTGAAGATGGTTTATAAGCTCAACGACACCATCTTTAAGCCCATGTTCTTGCGCATATTGGAGTGGGCGGAGGAGCTTGGTAAGAGTGATCCCGAGGGCAGAAACAAGCGCTTGACGGTGTTCTGGAAGTTTGTAAATACGTTGTCTGAGAACCTCAAGGTATGAAGAACCCTCTCTCTCCCACCAATCCCCCCCAGAAAGAGCCATAACTAACTCCTGCACAGTCCCTCGTCACCGATTACTACAGCTACGTCCTGCCCAACGCCGTTGAAATCACCAGCGACCCCGCCTCCGCTACCGAAGCTGCCACCCTCTGGTCCACAGTCATCACCGCCCTTCACACCGGCTTCACCACCGACGAGCGCGACTTCTGGCAGTCGCCTAACCACTTTGACGCCATTGCTCCTGCACTCCTGTCCACACTCAATGAGCACACCAGCACGCTGCTCACGCCCGCCATCGTCGAGCTCGCGCACGCCGCGCAGTCCGAGGAGCACTTCAAGCTCATCAACACGCGCGTCCTGGCGTTAATGCGGTCCGAGGAAGCAGCTGTTAGGCTGGCGGCGGTGGAGACGCTGACGGCGCTGTATGCAAAGCTGGGAGAGGATTGGCTGCCGCTGCTGCCGGAGAGTGTGCCGGTGATAGCGGAACTGATGGAGGATGATGAGGAGGAGGTCGAGAGGGCGGTGCAGAGGTTGGTGGTTAAGGTGGAGGAGTTCTTAGGACATGGGGAGTTGGAGGCAATGTTGCAGTAGGCGGGGGTAGACGTATAGTTAGGTTGTCGTAAAAGTTTTTTCTCTTTTTTCGTTTTTCTTCTTGGGGTGGGTAAAGATATCATGTTTTAGACCCCGAATGCTTCTCTCTAGTTGTGTAATCCATGAATTCAGTCTTGTTAGTGAAGTACCGCCATGAGCTCCCAAGATTCAAGGCCAAAACCTACTCTCAATGCTTGAATGAACAAATCCAACCGCTGTAAAAAAAAAAAAAACCTCTTCCTCGAGCTCGTGTACTGTACTGAGCAGTATCAAGGTCCGATCGATGATCCCTTAGTTGGCCACAGAACCGCGATCATGATGTATCACTCGCAATCTATCATAGTCAGCAACACGAATTTCCAGCACTTTTGTTTTAGATAATGTCAGGATTTTGTGGAGGTAAGATTTCCCCCCCATGCGCGGTACTTCTCTATGGCTTATTGCTACGCAATTGCGTATTCTGTGGCTTGGGACCTGTGTCTAGACATTTCAGGCTGTTGATGATCGAGGTCTCGCTATCTGGTGACTTGAGGCTCTAGCTCTATGAATGCTCTGAATGCTCTTATGAATGAATTATGAGAGTGATGGGTGCTGCAACTTAGCTGTATAGCATTTCAAAAGCCAACAGATATACTTGACCGATTACAACCACGTATCAGCTGTAGTGTGTCTTAACACCTATTCCACCCCAATATCGCCCATGTACCTACTAGAGAACAATACCATACAGCCACACTGTACTGTCCAACAATATCGACACGACATCTCAAAGATCTCCCCTGCAGCACTTTTCTTTTCTTTTTTGGTCTTGGCTGAACTACATAACCCTCACTACCACGGCCAAAGCATCTGTGTACGGATCGGGTTAGTGTGCTACGAGTGATAGTCTATGAAGGAGAGCGCGGGCATGCATACGCCGACCAAGAACATAAAACAGAAATGGTGCACCGTGTACCAACTTGCGAAGCTTCAGCGCCATATAACAAAAAATGTAGGAGATCGATATTTGGGTTTGGAAATTTGTGCTTACGGCATGTCCATTCGGTGGATTGGACGACTGTTGAGCAGTGGGCACTGTGGATCAGCGCGGGCACGGTACGGCCCTGACGTTTAGTGCCTGTATCTGCGTAGGTTGGATTGTGCACATGGCGTGTTTAGATGTTCTCAAGTTATAACGGGCCGGTAATTGGACTAGATATTACCCTTTTACATAGTATAAATTGCGTAAAAGTCACATAAGTAAAAAAAAAAAAAAAGAACAGAAAGAGAAAACCAGAACTAAGGATCAAAATCACCAAGCTATAAACGAATAATAATAAATAATCATATGGATAAATTAATAAAATACATGATAAAAATTACAAAAGTTATCACAAAACAAAAAACGAAAAAAAAAAAAAGTCAATAAATATAATAATAAAAACAAAAGAATAAAAAATTATAAAAAGATACAAAAAGAAAAGGAAAAATTAAAATAAAATAAAAAGACGAGGGAAACACAAAAAAGAAGGGAACTGGCAACAAGGAACAAGTGATGAAAAACCCCTCTTGACTCCTCGGTATCACCCAAAAGCCAATAGGGGCAGCGTCCCCTCCGTAAGGAGAGGGACAAAAGAAAAGCGAAAGGGGGGGGGGGGGGGGGGGGAGGGAGCCGTATACGCGGGGCGACCACGCCTCAGCCCTCCCACCACCACAGCTTTCCCAAGGCTGTGGATTCCGTGGGAGGTCAGGGGTGGCCGGTGTTTATGGACCGTCTTCGGGTCCCCGGGAGAGCATGCTCCACATGAGCTGTGCCCTACCCATCGCCCTAGGACGCGTGGCCCGCTGGTGTGTGGTGTTGCCCCTGCTGGAGGAGTCATTCGGCCGGTGGGTGTATGGTGAAGACAGAAGGGTGAGGGTGGGAAAGTGGTCTTTTTATAGCTTTGGAGAAAATCGCCAAGGATAGTGGCTAAGATTGTTTAATGGGAATTGGCCGACCTTGTTGTGTGCATCAGCTGGGTAACTGACGGTAGAAAACATGGGACGGGTTAGACCCGCTACACGTAGTGGCTAAGGGCTGTTCTGTGTGAGGAGGCATCGTACACTAAACCCCATAATGGGCTACATGTGGTCGATAAGGGAACTGGAACAGTCATTGCTCAATTGAGTGTGTTCGCAGCGTGCACAAAAACCCAACTCTTATTTTTGAACCCCATCCTACGTCTTTTGACTCCATGGCCAGCTGTACTCGATCACAGCCCGAGTCTAAGTTCAATCTTTCAACTCTTTGAGCATGAGAGCGAGTCGACGACCCCAATGTTTAAGCCACTGCCTCTCCCCTCATACCCAAAGCTCAACCAAGCCAACATTACCAATACAAGCTGCTGCCTTTCCTCCCAAGGCTCGAGCTACCATCCTGTACTTCTAACTCCCGGGGTCTTACTACGAAAAGGTGAGACCGGGACCATCAAGGCCACTTGTGCTCTTAATCTTCCCAGCGCCCATTTCGACCATATGCAGTTCTCCACCGGAGCATCTGCAACTCTCATCCAGCATGACAATGACCCAAACCTCCAGCACGGCAGAGCAGAAGGACATCTTGTTTCCTCCCCACCACCAGGAGCTAGCGTTTAACAGACAGAAGCTCAAGCTCATTACTCCCCACCTCTGAGCTGAGGCAGCTCAGGCTTGCGGCTATACTAGTTCTAGAGGCTGTTTTTGGAGACTGGAGTGGTGAGGTCGAGAGCTAGCTTGCATGGCAAAGACTATCATTCTCAGTACAGTGTAGATATGTGTGTCTGTAAGAACGATAAAATGTCTATCAACACCTATGTATTTATTTAAATAGTAGATGTGGGTTTTTCCAAACAGTAGCACAGCACGACATGTCAAGTTGACTACAGTTCTTCAATTGCAGGAAAATAAGCAGATAATATCTGTGTCTCTCTTGAGGTATACTTGTAGGTATTCACCACTCTGTGACTGTGCACTGGCTGCCGTCGTTCAGGAGCTTACTTCTTTCTTCTTCCTCCTTTCTTGGTCTCTACCACTTACGTCAACAAGACAATTCACCTCATCCATCCATCCATCCACACCACCAACTACCAGAACCAACCTATGTACTTTCAAAGCCACTTTTATTTTCATTTCTACCACCAGCACTACCACTACCACCCACTACATAAAAAAACCCCACCACCACCCCCCTACGCCCCCTTCGTCTTCAACCACGCCTCATGCGCCTTCTTCTGCCTCTCCCACCCCTTCCTCAGCACCTTCCCGCGACTCTTCGTCACCTCCACCCCCTCCCTATCCCTCACCGGCATCCCCTCCTCATCCCACTCGCCCCACTCCTCCGTCCGATACATCACCAAATGGCTGACACTCGCCGCCTCACTCCTCCTCCTCTCCTCCTCCTCCCGCTTCACCCGCGCCTCCTCCTTCCTCCGCTCCTTCTCCTCCGCGCGCCTCACCTTCTCCTCGCGCGCCGCCACCAGCTCCGCCGCCGGCGCAAACTTGATCAGCGCCGGCTTGCCATTCGCAAACTCGCGGTCGTCCAGCGACACGCCGAGCGCCGCGAGGTCGTAGTCGCGCAGGTTGTCCGACAGCGTCAGCAGCGGCGCCGACGTGGGCGCGTCCGGGTTTGCGATGGCGAGCTTGCGGACTGCGTCGCGGAAGGTGGACAGCGCGCGGAGGTATGGGAGGAGGGCCTCTTCTGGTGTTTCTGCGGAGGAGGTGGTGGAGGTGGTGGAGGTGGGGTCGGACCAGCCGATGCGGTCCTCGCCGGAGGGGGTGGAGAGCGGGTCGAGGCCGAAGACGGTGACGATGCGGGTGATGTAGCGGGCGACCTCCTTTGGTGCGGCGAGGGCGGGGGTGGCGGACATGTATTTGTTTGTTTCTGTGATGAGGTCTGTGAGCGCCTTCATTGCGTCCGCGGTGTTGAAGTTGTCACAGAGCGCTGCGTGGACTGCCGCGCGGGTCTTGTCAAGCCTGCCCAATACAATACATTAGCACACACAAAACCCACACATCAATCATTCACACCACCACCACCACTACTAACTGGGGCATATCATACTCCTTAAAGATCGCATGTTCCCTCCCGCCAAACAACTGCGGAATCTTCTCTCCAGCACTCTCGCGCGCCTCCTCCTCCGCCACGAGCGCCTTGACATTCACAAAGAACTTTGTGACGGATGCCTCCCAGTTCTTCGCCTCCGCGAGCACGCCCTCGCGCACCTCGATACCCTCCTTCCAGCCGCCCATGAGGAAGACGACGCGCAGGCCGCGCGCGGTCCATCCGCCGCGCCCGAGCGCGTCGCGGATCGACACAAAGTTCTTGAGCGACTTTGACATCTTGCTGCCGTGGATGTTGAGGTGGCCCATGTGCAGGAAGTAGTTGATCCACTGGTGGCGGCCGTCGAGTGTTTTGTGGCCCCCTTCGCAGCTGTATGGGGGGGTGCGCATCATGGGTCAGCACGCGGATCAACACTTCGAGTGACGGGCTATGACTGGGATATAAAATAAAGAAACCACAGCCTGAGGAACTAAAAGAGGAGGAGGAGTAGGAAAGACAAAAGAAACACTCACCCATCCCAATACGCCTCACTCTGCGCAATCTCATTATCATGATGCGGAAACGCCAAATCCACCCCCCCCGAATGAATATCCACCTGCTGCCCCAACACCTCACTACACATAACCGAGCACTCAATATGCCACCCCGGCCTTCCCCTCCCCCACGGGCTCTCCCAGCTGGGCTCCCCCTTCTTACTCGCCTTCCACAGGGCAAAATCCTGCGCACTCTTCTTCGCCGCCTGCACGCCGCCGCCCACCTGCGCCAGCGTATCGGTCCCCGCCTTGGCACTCGTCAGCGCGCCCTCCCCATCCGCAATCAACGCCTCATCGCCCCTATTCCACGGCTGCAGCTTCGCATAGTGGTGGCCCGCAGCCTCGTACGCCGCGATGTCGAAGTATACGCTCCCGTCGGCCGTGGGGTACGCGAAGCCGCGGTCGACAAGCTTCTCCACGAAGGCCACGTTCTCGGGTATGAACTCGCTGACGCGGGTGACGGTTGTTGGCGGGAGGACGTTGAGCGTGCGCATGTCAGTTTCAAAGTGGCGCTCCCAGTATGTTGACAGCTTCGTGAAGACGTCTGTCTCGTACTCGCGGTCGGCGTGGAGCTTGTCGAGGTATGGGAGGAGCACGGGCGTGCAGGAGGTGTAGAAGGCTGCTGTTTCAGATGGGGGGGTGGTGAGGGCGGTGGCGGCGGTGAGGAGGGTTGTGAGGTGCATTTTGAGCTTTGTTGTTGCCTCGTCGAGGACGGTGTCTTTGGCGGGAGAGGCGATGAGGGCGGTGAGGGCTGGGTGGTTTGTGGCGGCCCAGGCGGGGAAGTCGGTGGGCGTGGGGGTGTCGGTGGTGATCTTGCTGAGGTAGGAGCTCCAGGCGGAGGTGACGGTCTTGAGCACGTCTGGGGTGAGGGTGGGGTTTGAGGAGGTGAATTCTTCGAGGAGGTGGTTTTGGCGCGCGCGCAGGATGATCTGGGGGGTGGGGTGGTTAGCAGGAGGGGTCTGGTTTGAGTATGTAGAGGAGTGGGTGGGTTCTGGGGGGTGATGATTGACAGTGCGAGTGACATCCAGTGCTCCGAATACCGCCCACCAGGTATTCAGAACAGCCTCAATGCACCCGCTCAAATAGCATTCCACCCAATAGTGCCCAATAAGCCAACAGCCCAATCCCAACCCAAAGCCCAAAACGATAAGAAAACACTAGAAAAAAGAGAGTGAGACAAACCTTATCGTCCACATCCGTGACATTCTGCACAAAGCGCACCTCAAAGCCAAAGTAGTCCCTCATGATCCTCCGCAGCACATCGGTCGTGACATAGTTGCGCGCATGGCCCAGATGGCCCGCATCGTAGACGGTGGGGCCGCAGCAGTACCACGTGACCGTCTTGCCCGCCGGGTCGAGGGGCACGAACGGCTCCTTCTTGCGCGTGAGCGAGTTGAAGATGCGGAGCGGGGGCAGCGGCACGCCGTCGTGCGCGGGCGGGAGCGTCCACGGCGGTTGCTCGCGTCGGGTGCTCATTGTTCGGCGGGGGTGGATGTGGTGGTGGGGGGGGTTGGTTGGGCGGGGGAGGAGGAGAGGGAGCAGGCGGGGGAGATTGTGGTGGTGGTGGTGGGGGTGGGGGAGTGCGAGTGTTTGTGCGAGTGTTCGTCGCAGGAGGGGCATTTCTTGCGTGGTGTGGCGGGGTGCGGGGGATTATGTATCTGTGCGAGTCTTGTGGGTGCAGAGCACCAGGCAGAGCACCAGGCAATTGCGTGCTGCAGGGTAAATACGAGAGGCAAAACAGTACTCTACTCTAATTGTGGTGGAGAAACGGGCCAGCTCTCCGTCTGCTGGGAACAGCCAGACAGAGAGAGACTGTACTCCCCCGTCACGCATAATGCCTCTTTCTATCGCTGCGCTCTGTCTGCAACCATGGCGTGACACCGTGACAGCTCCGTAGCATCGCGACCGGGGAAACCAACAACCTCACCTCCTCCTCCTTCTCTAAACACCACGCAGAGAAGAGATATCCACACTCACTCCACAGCGAAAAACAGCAGAAGGACAAACACAAACACAAACAAAGTCCCACCTTCAGCTCTCTCTCACACACCCACGCCCTCCACAATGCGAGGCTCCACCGCCCCAGGCCTGCACATGGACCTCCTAACCCCCGAGCTCCCCCCCATCGCCGCCCTCTTCGTGATCCAGTTCGACCTCAAAGCCGGGTACGTCCCCCCCCCCACATTCCTCCCCACACCCACTAACCCCCCCATCCCCACCTCTCCAGCTACACAATCACCTGGAAGCGCACCACACCCAACATCACCCTCGACGGCGTCGAATTCAAGTCCCTCCCCTCGGGCCTACACAACCTCGACCACGACCTCATCTACTTCGTGCACCCCCCGCACGCCGGCATCAGCGCCTTCATCCGCGTCCCCGCCCCCTCATCGGACCGCAACGCGCTGCAACTCTCCATCGGCGCCCTCGTCCCACTGAGCTACGGCCGCCTCGGGCGGTCCTGGCGGCACGCCGCGAACCTGCAATCCCTGGCGAGGAGCTTCGCCGCAGACCCAAAGGCGCACGGCGTGCTCGACGAGTACTTCCACACGCACAGCATCCCCAGCGTTGACAGTGGTGGTGAGAATCTGCGGTACCGGGGTGGTGGAGACAGGCGCAAGGGGAGCGAGAGCGGGCTGGCGAAGGAGCTGGAGCCGTTTCATCCGGCGCGGAGCTTGCGGGGGTTTATTAGTCTACTCGGGCCGCTGGTGTGGCCGGTGTGGCGGGCGGCGGTGGAGGGGAAGCGCATCCTGGTTGTGACGGGGGCGCCGGTGGAGAAGGCTTGTAATTTCGGTATGGCTAGCTCTCTACATACATCATATATAACTCATAACACCCCCCCCCCCCTCCCAACCCGCCACCTACAGACAGACAAATAACTAACACCCCCCCCCCACCAGTCTACGACATCTCCATCCTCTCCACCATTCCCCTCTCCTCCCACCCGCTCCTCCCGCGCCCCCCGCCGCGCCTGCGCCCCCTCTTCTCCATTGGCGTCTCCGACATCCCCCTCCTCGAGACGGAGGCCAAAACCCACGGCTCCTGGGTCGCCTGCACCACCGACGAGATCCTGCACATGAAGACGGCGCTCTACGATCTCATCATCACCCTGCCGCCCTCCCACAACGCCGCCGCGTGGCCCAAGCTCGAGACCTCGGCGGGTGCGCCCGTCCTCGCCACGCAGCGCGACCTGGTGCGGTACCGCGGGCTCAAGCGGTGGCTTGGTGGCGGCAGCGAGGACGACGAGGACAGCGGGCGGCGCGAGGAGAGCGTGTGTGAGCCGCTGAGCTGGCGCGAGATTGCGTACACGGGGTTCCTGTGGTGGGCGTCTGCGGGCGAGAAGCGTGGCGAAAGTGATGGGGACGAGGGGCGGCGGCCACTGCTCGGCGAGGAGGAGTCAGAGTCAGAGTCGGATGGGGATGGTGACGGGGATAGGGATGGGGGGGAGGAGGAGGGCGCGCCGCAGAAGAAGGAGGCGGGGGGGTGCTTGGAGGCGGAGGTGGTGGGGTATTTCCAGGGTGTGACGGACGCGCTACTAGCGGGGATTGCGGAGGTAGTTGAGGACGCGGAGGAGGGAGAGGTTGTGGTGTTTGGGTGCGAGGAGGTGGAGCGGCTGGGGCTGGATAAGGGCGAGACGGACGCCGCGTTTGTCAAGGCGGTTTGCGAGCGGTATTTTGGCCGGGAGGCGCGGGTCGAGGTGGAGGGGTGGTCGTGTCTGGGTGGGCTTTGCTAGTATAGTAGGCTGGATGTAGGTAGGTTGAGTATTTTAGTTGGTAAATCTTTTTTTTCTTTCCTTCCTTTTTCTTTCTTGTGTTTTTTCTTTATTATTATTATTTTGTGCTTCATGAGTAGTTAGCTAGCCGGCTGTAGAGAGCGGAAGGGTGGAAGTGGGAAAAAGAAGAAGAAAAAAAAAAGAACGGGTGGCGGTGGTCTGTATAATCTTGTTAATTAATCAAATCTGCCACTAGATTATATTGGATCATGGGCGATCACTCGGGGTTGCTTGGTTGGTTAGTTAGTTAGTTAGCTACAGCCAGCGGGATACGACCGATACATGTAGGTGGGTGGGTGCTGGAGCTAGAGATCGAGGATTAGTGGAACGTTCTTTGGTTTTTGGTAGACTCGTAGACTCGAAGGCGCTGCGAATTAAAAATAGAAGTACAGGGTTTCAATATTCAATAAGAAAAATAAAATTACAACATGCACTCGTTTGCCATTAATTCGAGCTCTCCCTCTCTCCTAATATACATGTACATGTAACTTTAATTGGGGGGGAGAATTCTATATAGAAACCCAGAGAGAGTAGGTACAGTCGACACGCATAATCCACCTGCTATATAGCTCACGATAACCCTACAGAAGTTGATCTAAGAGCCTACATGTACTGTACGTATATACAGTGGGGATCCGGACGAACCACCCCCCTCTTCTTTGCTTTCTCGGCTCTGGCTCTGGCTCTGGCTCTGGCTCTGGCTCTGGCTCTGGCACTTCACCCCCCTCCGGCTCCCCTTCCTTTGCCCCTCTAGCTCTCTTTTTTTGTTCCTTTCTTCCCTTCCCCTATACCTCGTCCTCCACTTTCAACTTCCTCTCCTCTCTCTTTCCCCCCCCTTTGCCTCTTTTACCCCCCGCCCCCCCAAACCCCCCTTCATTGTTATGTGTCAGTTCATCTATCCCAAGTACCCAGTCGGTAGCTAGCCGTACACCCCCCCCCCCCCTACCTCCCCGAGTCCAGCTACATATCTCCTACTCCCTTCCTGTTATCCAATACCACAATCCCCTCCCCGATTCTTTCCCCTCTGACCATTTCTACGCAGGGAACCCCCGCCCCTTATCGTCCCCCGTTTTTTAGTTGTCCGCGTTCACTCACGCGCGCACTAGTGCAGGAACAACACAATCCGTCCTACTCCTCCTAACACTTCCCCTTCCGCCTTAATGAGCTTCAATTGATCAGATCTAGGCAGAACCCACCCACCCGCAAAGTACGCTGGCTGCTCAGCTAGGTCTACCCACCCAGCCCCCTTCAATTACACTCGTCACTTACCATGTATGGCCTTGAAGATGAGAGGAAGGAGGGTTGGCAGCGGGTCTTAGCGGCCCCCAACCACCGCAGCACGCCTAGCTACAACCCCATAAATCTCGCTGCTTCATGGACCATCACTCGTCCTGAACCGCACCGGCCTTCGGTACCCCCACGCGGCAGCAGGGCTCTAGCAGTTTGGGGGAAGCACCAAGACACCAGAGCTAGATCATCTCGCACGTTGGAGCACAGTGCGGCGGGTCATGTGCATCCTGTGGGCTGTGTTTTGTGAGACATCATGGATCAATATCACTCGATTGTTTCCATTTCCGTTCCGGATGCCACGAGAATTTTTTTTTTTTTCTTTTTTTGTTTAATTCATTAATTGCATTTGGATGCCACGAGAAAACCCGGCGCCAAATACGTAACAAGGACTTACACACGTCAGTAATGGCTTCTACTGTGTAAAATCTTCATGGGCTTGAGCTTCTCGTTTGAATAACACCAGGAGACTGCGGGCTTAAATGGCAGACAACAACTACCCAACCGAGGAGAGCATCTAGGAAGAGATGATTGCGACATATATTTGCGGCGGGACCAGATTGGGCGCTAGCTACCGCCAGACTACTATCTTAATGGCTGCCTGAGGGTTCGGCAGCCTCCAGCCATATAACTTCGCATCTGGAAGGAAGATGGAGTTTGGATGACCATCAAGATGGTGGGTCGACCATCACCGCTAGCTTGTCAGAGCATGGGTGTGTACAGACACTCTTATTACGCCGTAAGGCTAGATCAGAGGGGATCAAATAGCACGCATATCAGTTCCCGCAGGGGTGTTAGTTATGATATAGGAGCTTTCGTAGCAGCAGGCTTCCTCTCCGGTTGCAACCCGTACAAGATATTGGTGGAGCGAGGGCAGCTGTCGAAGTGTTTATAACAATACTATACCTGTCAATGAGATCGGGGTAGAGCAAATTAGTCTGACGCTATTCGTAAGGACGATTTATCACGTTCCATCTTCACAAAAAATGGCTTACAAAAGCCGATTTCTTCTTTTATATATATATACAAAAGGTCTCTGCTGTATTATAACGTCTCAAATTCACTAAGCAGGAGCTAGGATCCATTTTTAGAGCTCTATTGGACGGCCACCATTTGGTAAGGTACATAGACCTAAGATATCACTCTATTCCAAGTTTGTCCAGGAAAATCCTGATCGACGTATACTCTGTACTTAGTTTCAACTTCAAGTGTTTTATTAGCTATATGTATTCATAGGATTATTACTTTTTGGATTTTGCCTAATCGATATCTTTATCTTCTATTACTAGGTTTCTCAACTCATTATTCATATGAGCGACACCCCTCCAAAGTCTTTTTGAACCTCTGTTACCACCTATGACGAACATGTACCACTCTGGAAAATTCTTTGGAAATTTTTTTCAACTAATATGTATTATATACTTTTTTTTTTTTGGGGGGGGGGGGGTTTACAAATAGGATGGGCATTGTAGTTACTACCTAACAGCTGTCCGGCGGATCAAATCCTCCTAATACTCATCGAGACTCTAGACATCAGTAGAGAATGATCCGAGAATGAAGCCTCAATCAATCACAATGGCCTCATTGCTAAAGTAATTCTCCAACCAGTCCCTCTCTTTCTTCATGCACTCCACTCTCCCCTATGACTTCCCAGTCTGATGTGAGCATCCATCTCCATAGGATTCATCTCCTTTATGCAGAGCTCACAGATCACCGAGTTTTCAGTGAATATCAAGAATTCCTATCCCGAATATTAGTGTGATGAACTCCTTATGAGGAACAAAGTCTGGATGGGGGAAGAAATTAAAATACCTCTTTAATGTAGCTTCCTCTCAAGCTCTGAGGACGTGGTTGATTAGGGTGCTCGTTATTCCAAGCAACGTTCTCATCCCTGATGATCTCGATCTTCTTCGTAACATCGAGTCTCCTCAGGAGATCTTTCATCGCAGTCCCGTTCGACGGCCCAGGCAATTTATGATCAGCAGTGGATTTGATTACCGCAGCTTTCTTCGCCTTAAGATTCTCGGCCGCCTTAAGTTTCTCGGTCACCTTAGGATTCCCGGTCACCTTATGTTTCTCGGCCACCTTAGGATTCTCTGTCACCTTAGGTTTCTCGGCCGCCTTAGGATTCCCGGTCACCTTAGATTTCTCGGTCAGCTTAAGGTTCTCGGTCGCCTTAGGATTCTTGAAAGATTGATAATGCCCGCCCGCCTCATGGGCCCGGGCGTTATCTAGCCTAACTTGGGTTTTCGATCGTACCCGACGCTGCGGTTTCCTCATTTTCTGCTGCTGCTGCGGCGCTGGCGCCGGCCAACACGCCGCAGCCGCCCCGGGCGGGCCCCATTCCCTCAGCTCAAGCTGCCTAGTCCCCTCACCCGCAGAGCTCGCTCCTGCCTGCACGATAGTATCCATCTCTTGCAGCCTCCTCCTCTTGGCCCCTTCCTGCCCCGGGGACAAGATACGCTTCCGCATACTCGCCGGCTCTGTGGGGATATGGACATGACCCTGAGCCCCAATTTGCTTGAATCCTAAAGATGAAGAGAAAGAAAGAGCAGCCCCTTTCCCCGAGAGTTAGCAAAAAAAAAGAAGAAAAGAGAAGAGAAAAAAAGGAAAAAAGAGAGGTCGAAAAAATTGTGCAGTTCAAGACCTATCTATTATCCGGAACGGAAACAAACCTTGAGCGTGGCCATCCTCTCCTGAGGGAGTAGGATTCTTGATAGAAGTAGGATTCTTGACGATGTTAGGATATTGGCCCGACTCTGTAATCCTGCTTGAGCCAAGTGGGTGCAGGCTTGCATTTACGCCCTGACCGTTAGTCGGGCGGTGCGGGATGGCATTTCTGTCTGGAGAGACATGATCCGGTCCACCGCGGGCAGCTTTTCCGGTTCTTCCCATTGATGGAGATCTCTTCGTCATTTTTCCCTTTGTTGGAGATGGATTGGTTTGTTGACGGATTGTTACCTCTCTGTGGAGAATATATTTAAGAGGGTTGGGTCCAGACAGGCTTGGGCATATGCATCATACGACATCACTCGCTAGCGTGGTCACAGCTGTCCTGCCTCAGACACCGTTAACAGATTCTAGCCGAGAAGCAAACCTCGTTGAGTAATTAGGAGCACACAGTTGGCTACGCACGAGCACCTGGGAAAAAACACCACTAGAATACAAGAGCAAAGACTGCACACCAGGCATTTTATCCTATTTAACGGGGTTGAAGGATTACAAACTCTAACACATTCACAATCTTTTTTTCTGGTATTAGCGAATCTTCATCACCAAATTAGTGGCGATGTGATGATCCACGAGTCATTGAAACTCATCGTTTATTTTAAAATTCACGTTTGATTCTTTTTCTTATAGTTACTACAGGCATAATATACTGTGGATAGAACTTTAGTTCTATCTGTGGACTTAGTTTGATATCCCCTAAACACTAACATAAATTTTAGCACCCGTTCAAACAAAATAAAAATAAAAACAATCAGCCCCACATCTACAATTCGTCATGACCTTTCTTAGCTTCAGCTTCTTTCTCTTCAGCTAGTTTCTCCTCTACAACCTCTTCCAGCACGTTTGGTGTTGCTTCCGCCTCTGCCGCACTCGACGCTGATGCTGCCGAAGCTGAAGCCGATGACGCAGACGCTGCAGAAGCTGAAGAGGACGACGAAGCAGCGGCCTTTGCCTCAGCTTTCTGGATTCTCTCCATGATCTTTTGCTGCTGCAAAACATCCATGACGTGCTTATTCAGGGCCTCTTTCTTCTTTTGGAGCTCTTTAACAGTGAAGACAGGATCTTCGTAGTCAGCCTTGACATCCTGATCTGCCTTCACCTTCTCGAGCCAAGCTTTAGTCTCCTCCTGTGCCTTCTCCAGAGCCTTTGTGTCGATTTCAGGAACTTGAGGTACCTCAGCATCCTCTAGTTCAGAATCAGGCGTGGGTGGCTTATTGTTGAAGAGCTCTATGAGTCCTTCCGTTTGCTCAATGGCGTCCTCAAGAGCCTTGATCTCCTCTGGTCGTTTCTGCTTCTCAGTCTTACGGTTTGTAATGGGTTCCACAAGGGCCTTGAGGTCAGCCAATTTCTGTTTGATGGCAGCAAGATCGGCGGTGTAGCCTTCGTCGTATAGCCAATCCGTGGTCTGTGAGAGAAGGGCCTCTAATTTCTCGCGCTCTTCGGCAGTTGAAGCAGCAACAAAAAGCCCATCCTCAAGATAATCACGGCCACGGTAGGTGAATGCCTCAAGTACATTGCGGGCTTCCTCGATATCATGGCGATTCTTATCGAATTTGTCAAATCCCTGAATCCTGGAGAAAGTTAGCTCTTCATCCTTAAATTTCAAAATGCCCTGCGTTTTGCTCTTACTTTGAAATTAATGCTTCCTTGTCCTTCTCTGGAATTTCAGGAAATCCATCCTTCTCCACAGTGTAACTCAGAGGAATTGTCTGCAACTTCTTGACGATCTTCGGTGTCAAATCTTCCTCTTTAGTAGAGGTCTCTGCGGAAGCAGAGCTCTTTCCGGAAGAGGCGGTTTTTGATGATGCCGATTTTGAATCCGTCTTATCAGCCTCCTCTAGGACTTCTTGCTCCCCGTCCTTCTTCTTGCCAAGCCCAAAAAACCCCTTGACACCTTCAACCATGCCTTCCTTCTTGGGCGGTTCCTCGACAGTCTCTACGGTACACTCGACCCAGCCCTTAGTAATCTTAGGAAGTCCATTCCTCTCACTGATCTCCATACTAAACTTTGTGAAAATATCCTTTGCTTCACAACCAAAATCATCGCTCAATTTTTGAACTGAGGCGGTGAGATTTTGAACTTTTACAACATCAAGGAGCTCGTGCCCAGGCCTCTGCTTCGGGTCCTGTGGGCGGGGCGGGAGGTTAAACAAAACAGAGAAATCGAAATCCGTTTGCTTGGGGAAAGGGACGATTTTTTCCTGGCCCATTTTGGCAAAGTAAGGGAAGATTTGTTGGGTTGTTTCTGCTCATCGATGAGTGGTTAGATTACTGGCTCTACCAAAAAAAAAAAAAAAAAAAGAAGCGGGATTCAATATCTTACCTTTAGCCGAGTCACCATCTTTTTTGTACTTGAGCGACACAGCATATGCACTAATATCGTGAGTCCTTATCTCTTTAACCCTAAACCCACCGCTCTCTGCGGCACCCTTGAAGGTAGCTCCGAAAACGGCGGCCTCGTCAGGATTAACATTCTTCGAAATCTTGGCGTGACCTCCCATAATTTCCTCCAATTTCTTCCCAACAAATGGAGTTCTTACGGCACCTCCGTGAAGGATCAAGGTGTTGACTTGATCCAAGGAGATTCCAGAATTTGATATGGCGTCCATGATTGGCTTTGTAATACGGTCCTCGTACTCAGCTAGTAACTCCTCGAAAGTAGACCGCAGGACTTTGTTTGATCGGAAATCAATCTCGTTAAACAGCGATTCGACCGAGCCCACGGTTTCTGTATTTGCAGAGAGGATCTGTCGCACTCTAGTGGCTTCCCTCCAAAGTTTGGCTGCGGCACGGCCGTTGCGCTTAACATCCTCCTTAAGCTTAGGGTTTTCCTCGAGCAGCTTCTTCGCCTTGGGGCTTGAAGTGAAATCATCAAGGAGAACGTCAAAGATCTTTTGGTTAAAGATATCTCCTCCAAGGTTTCTATCATAACCAACCCCCAGAACAGAAACTTCCTGAACTGTCTTGGTAAATCTCCCAACATCTTTGACGGTTTTCCCTTGGAACCTCAACACGGTAGCAGTGGTCGATCCAGCCCCCATATCGTAAATAATGTGGTACTCGGGGTTCTTCTCGTCAAAGGTTCGTGTGGTGGCATAATTGATGCCAACAGCTAGGCCGTCCGAAACGAAACTCATGACCTTCAATCCCGCGAGCTTAGCTGCAAGCTCGATGGCATGCTTCTCTTCCGCACGGAAAAATGCTGGAATAGTGAAAACCACGTTCTTAATCTTGGTCCCAGGACCTGCTAGAGCTTCGGCATTTGAGACAATGTTCTTAAACTCCATAGCAAGGAGCTCTTCCACCATAAAGCTACCTTCACCATAGTCGACCGGGGGGGCAGAGGAAGTCTTGAAAGCGACAGTTGACCTGAACGAACTCGGAATGATGTTGACCGCTGGGTATCTCGAGGAGTATGTCATGACCTCGTCCTCCATTATGTGTTGCCCAAGGAGTTGTTTGAGGTTGGGATAGACGTCATGAGGAAATCGCGCCGCAAGGTTCACGGCATCTGTTCCGTAGAGTCGCTCCGGGTAGGCAAACTCGCCCTCTTTTACGGGAGCGTTTGAAGGCTTGAAACCAATTGCTGAAGCTTCCTTGCGCTTTGTGTCTTTGGTGAGAACAATCTCAAGAGGAATTCCAGGCTTGACAAGCGCAGCTTTGATGTACTCTTGGCCGAAGTCCATACCAAGAATTGCGGTCGATGCTGAAGCACATGTTGTAAACAGCAATAATAGCAAGCCAGGAATGGCTGCTGCAGGTACTCCTACTGGACGCATGACTATCACTAGAGCTCCAGTGACTTTGAAGTCTAAAAAGTAAAGAAAAAGAACCAAGCTATGAAGCTTGAAATAAGGTGAATTCTAAGTGGCTGAGTTAAGGTAGGAGCTATTCGAAGTGAATTAAGAATGATAAGGGTTCAGTAATGCGGGGGAAAGCCCAAATGTACGAGGAGGATGATGTCCGCTTTATGTTGAGGCTCAGAATCCAAAAAGGCCAGGTTGCGCCAAAACCTTTGCCAAGCCGGAGAATTCCCGCTAAGGTATTAAAGACGAAACAGATTACATAATTTGTTGGATATTAGTTGAAGCCACGTTTATTTCTCATGATTTCCTTTGGTAAGAACGGAATCTCTACCGACGGCGTAGTAAATTAGGTGTGGGAGTAGTAACTGTGACTTACCGTGTTCTTTTGTTACAATTTCTGGAAGTTTCCGATATTGCGCCTCATGAGGAGTCACTCGTTAAGGGACACATCTCAATGTTTCAACGGTGAGTTTTGCTTGGCATTGACTTTCAAGCATTAAGTCATGGAGTGAGTGCCCTGGGGTTTGCTCTGGGATTAAACGGGCATAAGGACTTCAGGTATTTCTTAGATTAATTACCTCAACTCCTCCCCAAGGCCACTTGTAATAAATTCTCTAGGTGAATCATGTATGTAGTAGCCACAGTCGACTATCTGTTGTTGTGGTAGCCGCCTTATCCTTTAGGCTGTTACATTACTTGATTCTGCGACATACATGTAGTAACACCAGGCGAGCTTCTCACACAAGCCATAGAATTGAAAATTGTAGTACTTAGAAGGAGCGAGTTTTCAATCTCATGGGCGTCGGCCTATGTATATACACTATAAGGGTGTTCATTTTCTATCCCGAGTGTATCGTTATTTAACAGGAGAGTCGACTGTACTCCCTAAAGTCTCGGCGAGCAACACGCTGTCCGTAGGGTACGAGACAATCCCTAGCCTTAGACTCAGCCAGACCTGATGAAATAGTCCCGATCCCACAAAGCACTCTTGAGTCGAATCAGATTCTATGGCACCCAATGTGTAACATCACTACTAACCCTAGTAGTTTCCGGGTTCTTGGTGGTTGGTCAATATACTTTCTCTGCATATATTTAGAGTACATGCGCCTTACTGGAAACCTTTGCTAAGCGTATATGTTTACTATATACTATTATGTCTTGATTGGGTTTTGGTATCCTCTGTTTTCAAGATACATATATTCACCCACTTTCCGGATTCGGATAGAGTAAAAAATCCGGAAACTAAGTGATAGCTACTCCAATATCAGTAATCGTTTCCCTGGCAACCACCACCTATGCTATTACCCATAAAAACTTGGAAACGAAGAGCTTATCCGTCAGCATACTACATTACTACTCCAGCATTCGCTGCGTCTACACCTCTTACACCGTCATAGCACTCGAGTTATAAATAACCCCAAACATCCTATCAACCACTAATTACAACAAGATAGAAGACCCTAGTTATCTTAAACAATATCATTATGCCTTCTTCCAATAGCTCTCGCAAGCGTCCAGCTCTCTCAACTTCTATCCAACCCTCCATTACCTCATTCTTCTCCCCCGCATCCAACAATAGCTGCCCTAGCAGCCTCTCCACTACCAATACCCCCAATACCAATACCAATCCCAATACCAAAACCTCAAGCACAATCACCTGGCGTACCAATAACGCACACGAGTCCCCGGGGGATATACAATCTAAACTTCTCAACGTTGGCATGCGTGTCCGCAAAGCCGTTCCAGAGGGTCTCAAAACAGGAACCTACAAGTCTACAAAGTTTGGTGTTGTACCCCCCAGTCAAGAGAAAGCTCTGTCAAAAGTAGTAAAAGGAACCAACAATAAACGCGAATACCAAGAGGATCCGGAAATCGAAACTTCAATGCAAACGGAACGGCCGGCCGGGCAGATTTCTGTGCCAAAGAGCCTAAACAGAACTTACCACGCTGCTGTACCGAGGGGTTTTGGAGGAGATACTCATATGATCGATCAGTACGAGAGTGATGACTTCGAGGAGGCAGGGTTTTTGAAGCCCGTAGAGTAAGATGTGGTTTATCAGCTTGCCATCAATGTTTCCTCTCTATTACGTTGTTCACTTTCCCTAGTTGCGACTTTCATCCCTGTTTGATTTTAACCCTGTGTAATTTATACGACTATAGGGCGTGTGCTGAGGCCCGTCCTAGTAAAATGATTTTAGTTTTGTCATCAGGATGGAAAGGAATAGAGACGGCCTAGCAACAATCACAAATTTTATGTCAAATTATAATCCATAATAAATCACTCAATAAGTAGACACAAGCATCTAGTACGTGCATAGTTTGAAGAGACATGGTTCATGAATTTCTCCGGAAATATCCTACTTAAATATATCCAAATCTGTGTGTACCTACAGGTAGCTACTTGTATCTAGGTATTGCGGGTTTCCAAAATTAACCGGATACTGCGTTACAACCAAATATTGTATGGGAATGCGATTCAACATCGCCTTGCAACACAGCCACAGCTGGAAAAGCCAAGAGTTGTTATATCTGTGATTCTCTATGCTTGTATTATCTCAGGTTTTAATATGGGCTCAATCGTAGGTATTTGAAAGTTAATTATTGTGGCCTATTTGGTTTGGGTGGTTGCAACAGAGCGTCCGGTTAATTTTGGAAACCCGCAATACATGTATCCGCCACAGAACTTTGTGGTGTAATAAAGCCTTTCATATTTATATCAGCCACGCACGAGTGATTTCTAGTGCACCCACATCCCACTCTCGCGGCGAAAATGGGTTTCCATCAGCGACGGTGGAAACTCACCTCTAAGCAAATATACCGCGATTAAGAGGGAAAGTGGAGTCTCAAGCTGGTCGTTACTCAAATAATCAAGACAGCCACTCTCCTTGGATCCGATACATACCCTCTTTCCTGCTTGTAGGTGAAAGTGCAGTGCAGAAAGTTACGAATTCACTGTTAACGCGCCAGATATGTGGTAAGAATATGATATTGATCCGGCATTTTTCTTGCAATTCCGGTTCAATTTGGTATTCTTCACGGAACATCGTAATCCTATGGTAGTGATTTTCATTCTTTCGTCCGCTAATAGTTGAGATCGGTACTTTGGGAAACTACCAGGACGGAGTTATCGCCCAACAATCCAACCAGGGCCCCTTAACAAGACCATTTTCTGACCTCTCTCCGTAGGACTCCGTTATAAAGGCCTTCCTCCTCGAGTTCATTTTTCTTTCATACAGTCATTCATGCCTCCTACCAGGACCCTAAATCCCAACTTTATACATGTACATCTCCCTTCTAAAGTGAAATAGGTGTGATAGTAGGAATATCATGTAATCCAATCCGAAAAATCCAGAAAACCAAGGAAGGAAAAAGAAAAAGTAAAGAATAACAATAAACATAGACTCCTCAACATTGCCATCAATAAGTCTATATAATGAAATGTAGGTACATGTTAGCTGCTGTTACGAACTACAGCTCATTCAAAATGAACTCACCAAGCTCAAAAACCATATAATAACCAATATTGCCGTCATCCGATACTTCAGGTTCCCCCAGTACCCTGATGGTGCCTCTTCGCTCAAAGTCTTTGCTCTCGACCTTGACTTCGACTCCTCTCCACTTCTTCTACGAGATGAACCGGCCACTTCGTCATTCATTTCTTCTGGCTCGTCGTCATCATCATCCAAGCCTGGCCCTCTCGACGTCGGAAGCCCTGGCTGCTGTTGCTGCGACATGTTGGACCTCCGAGGTATCCCCAAAACCCACCTAGATAGTGTAACAGTTGCACCTGCAACACGGTGACTGACATATAGGAACAGGATGGTGGCAAGGACAAAGTTAGATGTTCGCTCGGTCAAACCGAAAGCACCAAGATCCAATAGTCCTTTCGTGTCTGCCGCCATCCAGATATGGTATTGAAGCGTAAACGCCTCAAGTGAACACCTCCCTAGCCATGAAAAGACTTTGGAGTGAGTGTTTCTCAACTGTGGCGTAGAATTACGTAAAGTGATGAATGATAGAATTGGAATAACGGATATGTATGGATGATATGCGTTGTACTCGTATTTGTCATCTCTTGTCGCTTCAAACAGAAGATACAGTACAAGACCGATAGTTGAAGCGATAGTAGCGAATTTTTTCGCGGATACCCACCCTTGCATTGATGCGAATGAATTTTCCTTGTTTTTATTGACCGCGATTGCTACAGCCATGCCGACAAAGACGATCCACATATCCAATGAGACCCTGAACCTCCATTCATTGACATCCCATTCTGTCCTCGCAAGGAAACCGACAAGTCTAAATATAGCTTCCAACACCCCCGGGAAGTGGGTTAATGTGGCCGAAAGGATCGCCGCGAGTACGATTTTGGCGGCGAGGAATTTGGTATTCGAGTTGTACTGCTCTCCAACCCTCATAGTTGTAAACACAACCAAGAACCAGTACGAGCACAGCGGAGCGAAGTAGTAGAAAAGGTAGTTTGTGCCCATCATAAATGGGAGCACGCAACTCAGAAGGTTCAGCCTGACCAGAACTGATGCAGCTCTTTTTAATGAGTAATCCTTTTGGTTAAGGAAGTAGAGAGTATGTTCGTATCCAGCCATGAATAGATACGCAGCGATGGTTACACGTATGAATCCATAAATGACAGTAATCTTTGACGCCCCTGTATAATGATAAATGAGAATGGCAAACTGCATCCACCCCTTCCACTCATCTGTCTGTAAACGGTTCAAAAAAGGTTGATCCGGGTTGGTTTCCGAGTTTTTACGTAGAGTAAAAAGTCCAGCTGCAAGAGATAGTACGATTCCCCATAAAAAGTCCGAAGTGAAGTATTGCTTGTGAGCTTTGTTGAAAACTTGCGTGCGATCCGCATAAAAACAGTAAACGACAGCCAGGCCAAAAACTAGCAGAGCCCATGCCACATCATCGGACGGAAGCCATGCAGCTTGGGCAATCGACTTTATTCCTGTCTTCTCATCTGAGAGATCCTCTAAGCAATTTGTCCATGAAAAGCAGCTGGATGTCAAATTCTCACCTTTACTCCTCATGTAAAGAATTGCGGGAAGAAGCCCCAAAATGAACAAAAGGCCAATCCACTGAACATGGTTCGGTGCACGGTACCTATTGCAGCACGTCTGATCATAAGGGTATTTGGTTGCTGTTACTGCATTGCACCTCAAATTCAACAGCGCCTCGGCCTGCTTTTCTGCAATGCTATCTACCAAATGAATGCCCGAGCTTTCGTACACCTGTGGCAGATTTTTAATCATTTCGTGCCATGACCAGATGACATCCACACCCTGAAAATCTGACAGCTGTTGAAGGTACTGGTTCATAGCTCTGATTTCTTGTGGAGTTATAGTCGCCTTGCGATCGTCGTTGAGTTTGTTCCATGCTGGTACAATGACTGGAGCAATTAGTAAGAGATCTGACTCAGTCATGTCTGTCGTCCTGCGACCCTTTCTCATGTGCTGAACGACATCATCGATGCTATCTTTCCACATCTTTAAACCATTCATATTTTCGTGCCTTGCATACCACAGTCCGGATCCCATCAAAAACAAAGCGGGTGGATTTCCAGATACATCCTGCACTTTTCCATCGTTATATGACGAAAGTTCATTGTGCAACCTGCTCGAATTGAGCCAGGGGTCCCAGACAAATTCCAACTTGACATCGCTTTTTTCTACTGTTATATCAACATGCTTTTCGGCCGTTGCAGGATTTGCTTTAGGGTCCAACGCCTTCGCCACAGACCAGAAAACCTGTCGAATAGATGCATCCCCAATAAATAAAACCCGACGGTTGGCTAGGCAAGTTGAAACGTCGTCGGAGATGTATTTGTGCATCATACAGCCCGGAGGCTGCCAATTTTCGGGAACTATAGTTGAGTTTTCTAGGGGATAATCGAGCCATTCGCCTTCGTTGAGTATTGCGCCGCATTTGAATGGGTCTCTGGCATCTAAAAAGTGGTTTTGAGGATGGCTGTTAGAGATCTACAAGTTACAAGTATCTATTGTGGAACATGGTCACGCGACAAGACAACAAATTGGGAGGAGCTTACCGAACCAGCAGTAGCGTAAAGCCACACCCAGCAATGTAATACAGATGAACGCCGCAGAAATACGGTCGACAACGGCAGGCGTAAAGTATGAACGAGAGAAAAAGCGCACCATAATGAGGTAGACTCACATGCAATGATGGAAATAGGTGTGGAAAGTTGAAGGATGGAAGAGTGTTGAAGCTATCGAATCTTTTGGGGGGGTTATCAACCCGGGTCCTGAATCAGCCAAATGGTCAGGGAGCGCGGGGAGAGAGAAAAAAAAAAAAGGAGAAGACAGAACAGAGGGAAAGGACCTACAACTCTGGACTAATTTCAATTCGACAAGCCTTGGAAAATAAACAGTGCTTGAGATGTACGTAGTCCCTGTATGGAATAATAAGGCACACGAGTACATACGCAGCAAGTTCCCGACACGTTCAGGGGTCCTATTCATTAATTACCTCCATGCCTTCGTAGGGCCTTGGCGGTTCTGAGATCTGCAGCAGCCTGCCTAACAGCGCGTATCTTTGAGGCTGAGTTATGCAAACTTGGCGGGTCCAAGCCTAAAGTCCCTTGTCTTCCCCACGTCGTTCCAGAGTTTACAACACCTGAGTCCTGATCGCTACTACTTCCGCGATCCGAGTGGTTGAAACTTGAGGGGTCACATAAGTTAACAGGAATCTGCAGAAATTTAACAGCACAACGCAACGGATTCAAACTGGCAGAGGAACATTTGCAATGCGGAATGGACACATATGTAGATACATGCTCCAGAAGAACTTGAACTATCGTGCCGGTTCTATTGGCATTTGGATATGGCTAGAGGCCTAGAGCACCTATCCATAGAGACCTGCAGCTTGTGCTTGGTCCCAATACTTGTGGCTCGTAGCAGGTGTGCAGTACGTTCTCAAGCCTAGACGAATCTTACCAATTGGTCAGTATATTCTACTCATTAAATGTCAACTTCAAACACCTAATTTCAATAATGGATGTATGTAATGGTCGGTACAATATTGCAATGGCAAAGATTGCCGCGACTATCATCACACCGGATCCCAGTCACGATGAATGGCACTTCTTTCAAACGCTCAGAGGTATATAGTATGTAGTATAAATACATATGTACATATATTATGATTACCCGCGGCCCGAAATCTTGTATTTCAAATAGGGTATAGAAATATATTGCACAATCACAGAAGATCACTCGGCCGAGATGCTATTTAAATATTCCTAGGTTTGGATATAATTAGGTATTAGGAAACAATCGATGATATCTTTATGCTGCCAATGGTTCTGAGGCTCGGATTTGGCCAAAACTGATATCCAATTAGTCCCGATAAACGCCCAAGAACCCCGATGTAGGGAGGCTGTGCACAAATACCCAGGGTATTAGCTGAGGGCCCAGATAAATGACATCATTCAAGAGGGGAAATTCAATCTACTGCCGGTTGAGTAATTTTAAAAGAGAAAGTACTCCATGTAGTATTCTGACTGCAAACTCAGCATATATCCTATTCATAAACAGCCACGTCCGGTTAATTACATATCCATATTCGTCAAAAGATAACGCCCCATAAAGGTTTAAAAAGATGCAGTACGCACATATCGACATCGGAGACGGGTGCATGTATGTCAGCCTCGCCCGACCGACCAGTGATCCGGCACGTTCAATCGCCCTCAGTCTAGAGTACGTATTATTATTATTATTATACTCTGCTATATATGGCCCAGTCCACTCTGACCGACGGAGGAGATAGGCCTAAAAGCAATTCTTTTCCGTATCAACATAATGTCCGACCTCTAGGGATTGGGTCCGAAGATGCCATCTACAGCAGAGACAGTCGTCTCTCTACTAGCCCCGACTAGCACAAAACACGGAAAAAAGAAAATACGACATACTAATCGAGATGAAGACTAAGACAGCAAGGGATCCGAAGAAACACTGGAATCCGAAACTTGCTACATAATCTGAGTGTGCGTTGGCACGAGATGTTTCTCTACGACTAATATCTCCAAGCGGATTGCAATGCCCTATGATTCACTAGATCAAACCAATCATGTGTTGTAACTTTCCCGTCTATTCTTCCCTTGATAGGCAACAATCGAGTGATTTCCGATGATTAATTATGGCGAGCATGCACCGAGGCCTTGATATGGCTAATACGATAGCTCAAGCGGGCCGTCCGGGGGCAGATCTACACCTGCATAATACTAGAGTGCTTTTATTAATATTTAAATAATTACTTTATACATATATAGCTATAATAAGGTAACTCTTTTAACTCATGTTGTTTTTACAAAGTTAATTTATCATATTTACAGACCACATCATCCTCGATATTCTAACAACATATACCTGGGGATAGTAACAAGAAGGGGAAGGCTTTGCTCCCAATCTTCAGACTCTAGATGAGAGAAAAAAGTCTACACTTCCTCTACATCCTTTCTAGTAGCCTCGTATCTCTTTCCTCTAAAGCTCCATACGCCCCAGTTACCCTGGCTCAAATCCGTTGGATCCGCACTAAACACCTTGGTCAACACGCACTTACTCAAAAAGTCCGAAATGAAAAGAAAACTTACTCATTAATATCCCACCTCAAACTCTTGAACCGGTTCTCCCCTGGCTCTAACAGCATATCGAACTCTCCTTTGCACTTATCATTGATCCAATTCACATCCCTTTCCATATCATTCTCTGTATATCCTGTTACAAGAACTGGGCATTTAGTCTCCAGCAATTTCGGTAAAGTGTTCTCCCACTCGGCTGCACTTCCAGGATGTCCCAATCCCGGGTGGAAAAGTACAAAGCAATCAAAGTAAGGGTCAAATGGCGCAAAGGTTCCCGTAGCGTGAAGAGTATGGTAGTGCTCAACAAATGTGCTGATCTTCATGTTATGGGATACACGTTCAACGATCGCCCCAAATGGATTGGAGTCGGTACGATCAGGGACCGGGAGTTCTGAGGATCGACCGTCGAGCGATTCAGGGCCAATGAAAACAAGATGAAAGGTAGATATAGGGAACATGTGGGTAAGTTGATGCCAGACTTCTCTGGGAAGAGAGGACTCGGCACGGGCACCGAGCATGAAAATTCGGACAGGTGGTGGAGTTATTCGAATCCCTTTCATGTCTTTTCCACCACCAGTTTTGGGGGGATGAAGGGTGTAGCGGAGAGCTTGGGGAATCAGCCGTATTCATAGGATTTATAGATAGATAAGATGATATATACCGCTTACACTCTTCAAGCCCTCAATAGTCAGTCTGTGGCGGAGGTTGTAGGGGCTAAGTTCGTGCAAGAAACTTGCGATTGTAATAGGGTATGTTAGAAGCCTAGTAACCTGGCGAAGGGATCTTGGATCATTGACAGCTCTGAAGTCGCGAGTATAGAGGAATGTATCCCAGTTTGTGAAGTTAATGAGGGCTTCATCCATCTGCTCACCCGGGTATTCAAACTCGGGAAAGAACCTGCCAGAGCGAAGATCATGATCGTCCTCATTCGCTTCCCTCAGAGCATCACAGATTAGAATATGGTTTTCGTAGTCCGCAGCCCAATGGTCTTCTGAGCAGTAAGTGGGAACACCACAGTCAGAGCAAGTGAACTTCACATGCTGTGGAGAGCTAGCATGATCAGGGTGCGGGCAATATGCGGTACGCTTAATTGCAGCTGCACGTTCACGCATCGAAGGAGACGGCGACTTGTCCATAGAGTGAAAGAGATTATTCGGCTTAAGAAGGATACGTGAGCCATCTGTATGTTCGTATACCGGATGGTCGCTTGTAGAGGCCAATTCCGAGGGGAGGGGTGGGGTCTGAACATCCTTTTTACCTCCAAACATGGAGAGGAAAGTGCGCTTCGATTGAAGAGATGGTAGAACCCCATTTTTCAAATTTCGTTGTGTACCGGAAAGGGCTGACGACGACAATGTCCTAGAGAATTGAGATTGTGGTCTGAGAAGTATCTCCGATGGACGAAGACGAGTCAAACATCTTGTGCAGGTTTGTGAGGGCCGCATGGAAGCAACTGGTAATTGAAATCTTCTGAAAATTATTTGTAAAAATTTATTCGACTGGTAATTGCTAAGTAGGCGATAATTTTGAGATTATGTACGGGCGGAGGTCGTTGTCTCTATGGAGGGGTGAGAGTTGACGTTAGAAGTCTGTATTTCCGTGAGGAGGGTGGGATGATGATGTCGTGATGTCGCTTAACGCACCTGCATTCTGCTCATGGATGGCTAGATCACTTGCGGCTCATGGCCTGTGGTTGACTAAGATTCAAGAGAAGGACAGATGGCGGTTGTGAAACGTCTACCAAACACAACCAACTGACTAATTTCTTTCGACGACAGAAAAGAAGGGGAAGCTGAGTAGGCTGCTGTACTCATATATTTACGCTTCCTGCAGCTATCCAGCTATAGCTATTGGAAATCTCATCTTTTGCCATCTACCTAACTGTTAGCTTCAACTATCTGATAATCCTCACTCATCCTAGCTTCTCGCTGCCCCGTACAGCTACATACCCCCTTCCTCCTCCCTAACGACCCGCATTCGTCATGTCATACGAAGAGGCCTCTTCTTCTCCTTCTTCCTCAAGTGCTCAAATTACTCCTAATGGCCCTTTAGCCCCAGAGACAATAGACCCTTCGTCCATACTGATTAAAGTCCTTTCACCCGCGGAGAACTTCCCCACTGATATTGCTTTTCGCGTGCTGCCAAAATCTACGATTGGAGAGCTCAAAAGTCGTATATCAACCACCTTGGATTCTCGGCCAGCGAATGACCTACAGCGCTTGATTTACAGGGGAAAGTTACTGACAGACCAACTTGTCATTGAGAACATCCTCGGACTGGGCCCCGGAAAGGATGGGGGCGCTGGGGTATGACCTGCCTCGTTATCGCTGTTTTTAAACATTGGTTCTGACCATCTAATTTTACTGCTCTTAGGATACACCCCAAGACGCATACACATTCCATTTGGTCATTCGCCCCTCGATAAATAGTCCCACAAGTCCCAGTCCTCCTCCAACTACTTTTCCAAACCCTGCACTCTTCGTAAACCCACGTTCACCGTTGTCGCACTCATCATCACCGGCACCACCGGACAGGCGGCTAACAACCACACGTACCACAACTACCCCAACCCCAAATTCATCGATAGTTACTACTACCACCCGTATAACAACAACTGTGCTTGCGCGCAATGGCGGACCTTCTATCACCGGGGAAAATTACGGTATGGGAATTGACGAATTGCGACAGGCATTGCATCAGCGTACTTTAGATGCACGGCAGCAGCAGCGAGATTTTGACGCTGCTCGACAAAGGTTGAATGAGAGCTTGTCACGGGCGAACCAAGTTTTGGGCCAGAGAATTGTAACGGCAAGGCAGGCAACCGGTTCCGCCTTGGGTGCGTCAGGTCAGAGCACTGGTATCTCGATTCCGGGCACAGGTACCTCGGGATCTGGCTCAAGTACTCCTACCCTAAGATATGGGCCAGGTGGTATCCCGGTTCCCTCTACAGGAGTGCCAACGCCGCTTTCTGGCGAGAATGGGAACGCATCTAGATCTTCGGGAGGACTTACAAGATCGGCCACGTCTGAGCAAATGAATCATACTTTGGAAGCTGAGGATGAAACTAGACGGCGCGCACTACTGGAATTACAAGAAGAAGAAATCAACCTACTTCCGACGACCGCAAGCTTTGCAACTGGCTCGAATCTTTTGGAGGATTTCTACGCTTCACCTCAACCACCGATTGGAAGGAACTTTCTAGGAGGGAACAATTTGGTTTACATGCTCCAAGATGCCTCGGGAGTTCCTACCGCCTTGCTAGTAGGCCCTCCCGGAAGCGCAGGATATCCAGCCCCTCCGCCCCCCTTTCCTGCTTTCAATATCAACTGGGGCGCAGGGGGATTAGCCGATTTACCTCCAGTAGATCTCCGGGCCCCTCGCTGGCCTATACCTGACAATATCAATCACGGTGTCCATGGAAACAATGTATTCCAGAACCCTGCTTTGGGGCAAGGCTTTGGGTTCCAAAATCACCATCAAGCTCATGCTCGGAATCACGGGAGGAGGCCAATCACTTTTGCTGATGTTCTTGCGGGAATTCGAGCTCGGGCTACTCATTTCTGGCTCGCTGCTAGGTTAGCTGTATTTGTCATCTTATTTACTGGCAGTGGAGGATGGAGACGGATGTTATACTTGGGATCTATCGCTGTCTTAATCTTCAGTATGTTTCCCCAGTAATGCAATCCTACATTTCAGATGCAGTCGTTAATGTTACTTTAGTTTGGCAAACCGGTATCTTCAATGATTTCCTCCGCCCTTTAATGGAGGCCATCAACCCACCTCCCCCCAACCCTAACCTCAACCCTAATCCAGTTGCGGCTGCAGATGGCCCTAACCTCGAGCCTAATCCAACTCAAACTCCATTAGCGCGCGATGCCAATGGAAATCCCATTGGACCCGCTCAAACTGCCGGAATGCTTGTTGCACGGCGCGAAGATCGTGTCAGAGACATAATCCGTGGCGTAGAGAGAGGCATCACAATCTTCTTGGCGAGTCTTATACCCGGACTCCACGAAAGACATGTTGACGCTGTTGAGGCGAGACAAAGAGAGGCGCAACAGTTAAGGGATGCGCAGGAGGCTGCCAATGCTGAGCCCGAAACTGCGGTTGCTGAGGACCAGGCACCTGCCGCGCCAGTAGGAGAAGACGGGCAAGAGGGCCTGGGGGCAGCTCCTCAAGCGGCTGCGGTTGAGGTCCAACCGGAGGTCATCCGGGGACTGCTATAAATAGTTCAATTGGTCGTACTGTCGTCTTACTGTTTTTTTTCTCCTGTTTTTTTTTCCGGCGGTTTGTTGATTCTAACTGGCGTGGAGCGGTACTTTTATGCCCCTCTCCTTTTAACCGCACCACTGTCACTGTTCGGAGTTCTGAATTGTATAGCTTTTTCTTTTGTGGTTCTGTGCAAAATGGTTTTATGTTCGAATCTCGATTTTCTTTACAACTGCAGTCAGCGACATGCAGATCAATACCAACTTGCGCGCGGTATTTTGAATACGAATTTCTTCATTTTTACGGGTATATATGTATATACATTTTAAACTGGTAGAAAAATGCCGAGGGTGTATTATGTTCTCACGTATTCGCTTCTAATCCAACCTTAGAGTACATGTAGTAGAGTGATAATGCATGATCCACGCTAGAACCCCACATCCCATTCCCCACCAATCTCGGAGAAACACAGTGGAGGCTCTGCAATGCCAAGAAACAACCCCTCAACGATGATGTTGCTCCATCAACCCCACTAAGGTCCAGCCCCGCCAAAACTCAAAGTTGTCATTTTGATCAATTTCTGCCGAATCTTCATATATTTACTCGATAGATATGCCTAGCTACAAGATTGTTGTTTTCGAGGGTACGTGCCAGCACCCATCTTACATGCGCGCCCACCTTGTGCTGATATAAGATTGTTCATGCAGGTGACCACTGTGGTCCGGAGGTCACCAAGGAGGCTATCAAGGTTCACCAACACTCAATTAGGCACTACAATTATAATATTGAAAGTTAACAACCTTTACGAGAATATAGGCTCTCAAAGTTGTTGCCGCTAGCAACCCTGATATTGAGTTCGACTTTCAGCCTCACTTGTTGGGTGGTGTAGGTTGAATTCATTTCTCCCAACTGGCCTAAGGAATTAGGGCATTAATTGTATAAATAGGCCTCAATTGATGCGATTGGCACCGCCCTCGGTGATGAAGCTCTCTCTGCCGCTAAATCAGCCGATGCCGTCCTCTTAGGCGCTGTCGGTGGACCCGTATGTTCCACCCCAATAGCCTTACACCCTACCAATTTACAAATGCTGACCAATTCCCCAATTCGCAGAAATGGGGAACCGGCGCTGTTCGCCCTGAGCAGGGTCTCTTGAAGCTCCGCAAGGAAATGGGAACCTTCGGCAACCTCCGTCCTTGTAATTTCGCCGCCGAATCGCTGATCCAATTCTCACCGCTCAAGGAGTCTGTCTGCCGCGGTGTCGACTTCAACATCATCCGTGAACTAACCGGAGGAATCTACTTCGGTGACCGCAAAGAGGATGATGGTGATGGCTATGCCTACGACATGGAGCCTTACCACCGTCACGAGGTTGAGCGCATCACCCGCTTAGCTGGTCACCTAGCTATGCAACACAACCCCCCGCTCCCTGTGTGGAGTTTGGACAAGGCGAATGTCCTTGCTACCTCTCGCCTGTGGAGAAAAACCGTCGACGAGGTTATGATCAAGGAGTTCCCGACCATCAAGTACGGCCACCAGTTGATTGATTCTGCGGCTATGTTGATGGTCAAGAACCCCCGCGCGCTGAACGGAATCATTGTTACGAGCAACTTGTTCGGAGATATTATCAGTGACGAGGCCAGTGTCATTCCAGGAAGTTTGGGGCTCTTGCCTAGTGCAAGTTTGTCGGGCATCCCTGATGGTAAGACCAAGGTTAATGGTATCTACGAGCCTATTCACGGATCTGCTCCAGATATCGCTGGTAAAGGTAGGCTATTTGTTCTTTATGTCTCTTTGATTCACGGATAATTACTTACTTCTGATAGGGATTGTCAACCCTGTTGCCGCTATTCTATCATGTGCCATGATGCTCAGGTATTCCCTAAACCTCCCCAAGGAGGCTGTAGCCATCGAAGATGCTGTGCGCAAGGTCCTTGACATGGGCGTCAGCACTGGCGACATCGGTGGAAAGGCCACCACTGCTGAGGTCGGTGACAAGATCGCCGAGGTTCTTGCCGAGATTTTGGAGGCATGAGTGATAAATGGTGATTGTTCGGTTTATTTACGGACTGTAGTCATTTGACTCGCCATTTGTTCAAAGCAAAAAAATAAAAATAAAAAAAGCATCTAAAAAGTTTTCATATATGTACTAGGAAAGGTTTAATTATATGTGGGGTACTCAAATGCATTGAAGCCAAGAAAAAACAGTTCAATTGTCCTAACGCCTGTGATATGATTTTTTTCTCCGAAACGCCTTATGCCATAATTCGCCCGCCTCTACCCGACTATCTCAATTCTAACTCTGATATCATTTTACCTGACATAAAAGGAATTTCCTCTTGGTCGACACTTGGACTGGAGTAGCTCCTTAGTTTAATACTGATCATATGCATTTGGGAGTAGACTTACGGTTCCAGAGAGAATATCTGCAGCCCACGAACATGGGTATCTTTTCCATTTTGATGGTTCGCATGAATGCAAACTTGAATAAGGAAAGTTCGAAGCTGTCCACTAAAGAAAGTCAATACAAACTCCATAAGTAAAATGACCATGAGACGTACTCCTTATGAACACCTTCTAACGGAACATCGATCCAGCCACTCGGCTGTTCAAAGTTCATAGTGGTGACTTCTTGCAAATCATGATATCCGGTTCCGGACATGATTGAGATTTTTGTCGGAGTATACGACTCATCATTCTCAAAATCAAGAAACATCCGGATACGCTTAACGAATACTCGTTTAGCGAAGTGAATATTAATCATATGTGGTTGAGGGCCATCAGACCTGTTATATTAGAATTAGTCAACTGTAACAAAATAAAAGCATTGTATGATAAGACTTGCTGCCAGAAGAGATTTGTATCCTCATCTCTCAGTTGTTCCACGCCATTTCCAGGCTTGGCGGTAGAGACAGTCCAAGAGGCAAGGTTCCCGATCTCCTTTAACCCCTCCAGTGATGCCTCAGGCACTGTGATGACTCCACAAATATTAGTCTTACGCCAGGGCGCCCAGCACACAACAGGATGGGAGTCTAACTGCTGCTTCCACCGGTGGTTTCTTGTTCGTCGTCATCGTCTTCCTCATCCTCCTCGTCCTCATCCTCATCCTCGTCTTCCTCTTCATCCTCATCTTCGTCCTCATCATCCTCATCCTCCTGTGAGATTGTGTCCTCGTCCCCATCGTCATCCTCGGTCAGAATTGGCGATGGCGAGTTTCTATTATTGATGGGACTCTGACGGCCCCCATAATGGGGGTTGTGTTCGCGGGTCCTGGGCGGCATTGTTGCTACCAAATTCTGGGGAGACGCGTTGAGGGGTGAGGTCGAAACACCTACTAATATTAAAGACGTGAATATATAGGATCACGTGCGTGATCTACTAAACAGGGTCTAAATGCATGAATTGAACGCGAAGTCCGGGTAAATTAGCTCAAAGCTCTGATTTAAAGCTCTGGCTCCCAGCAGTCCTCTTAAGACTAGTACCACATTCATCTACATGCGTTTTAGACCGATGGTCGTTTGATATGCTTGTGAAACCCCGGACACAATTTCAAATCCTAGTCCGCCATAAACCGCCAAAAATCATGAATTTACAAGAGGACATAACAAAAGGTCAATTACACTACATCTTATCAAACATATAAGCACAACTATCATACACCACCTACAATCGAGAAATAAACTCTACTCAATAGGATACTATAACTCAATCATAATTAATCACTCGGTCAGCTAAATGCTTGTTATAAAATGCTATACAGGGATTATTTCTCTCTCATCCTGCCGGTAATCTAGACCGAATATCTTTTGGAGATAGCCCATATATTAAGATTTTACCTACATGAACCGGCTATCGGCATCGTATCGAGGATCCAGATCAGATTTTACTCGCATAGAAATTAATTAATTGTTTGGAATTCTTCAGGGTAACTAAAAGCTTCTATAAAGGTATATACATAAATTCCGGCGAATGGTGAGGCTGAAGAAAATGTCTTGGTCTTGTGTCACAAAGGATCGTGATATATATAGTCAAGAAAAACCCCAACACTGTACCAGCAGCTTAAGATGCTGCCAAAGCCATGAACAGGACTATCAATTGCGCAGATTTTGCCAACAGACGAGATGACCAAGTGTACTTCCAAAGCGTGCGAGAGGCTAGTGAAAACTGGAACGAAACTATTGACCTCTGCGCGAAGGAGGTCTGCGGAGCCTTGTTGGGCGGGAGGGGAAATGCTGATATATCGGGCGTCGGAGTGAGTGCAAAGACAATCACGATAAGGCCAGATTTGGGGGGGTTAACAAATCTTAGGTATTGATCGGCTACTTCGCACAGAATGTTATTGGGTTTGTCTTGACCGCCGTTATCTTTACATACTTCCTGCAAAATCCGCCTAGTTCTCGGTCTAGAAGGTGGACGAAACACATCACATATGTCAAGGGAGCTCTAGAAGCGTACCAGAGCTGTTCGATCTTTTTCAGTGCCTCGATCCAACTCGTTACTGTGATATTTCATGCAAGGAAGGACTTCGGCGGAGGAATCAAGAACATAACGATCATAAGTGGCCACGAGATTGAGATTGGCTGGAGCGTCAGCCTTCTCATATTCGTTCCCTTGTTCTATCAGTTCTCGATTCCAGATAGCTTTCTCAAACGGCGAGGTTTGAATATAGTATTCGTCTCTTTGTGCGGACTATTTCACCTGTACATATTCCTCTCACGGGTCTACGCCTTTTCCGCGCCCGAGCCTGTCGGAACGGTTGTCTCGCAACCAGAACTGGATGCCCTTCAGGCAAGATGCCGCCAGCCGGAGAGAACGCTCTCGAATTACGAACGAAAGGTGTCAGCTATCATCTATTTTACCGGCTCGTCGTTATTATTCCTAATTCTCTTATACAAATCCACGGCCATGACAAAGAAAGCGCTCCTAAGATATCATGCACCTTACCACAGAAAGGCTCGGGGCTTTTTTTATTTTGGAATCCTTCCGCTGATAGCGTTCAGCCAGATCTGGTTCATACTTCGAGTACGCATGGAGCAGAAAGAAATGGCAAAATACCTAGGACTGGATTTCTTAGATGATAATTGGGGATTTGGACAAATAATTGCTCTTCTTATATGGATGCCAGTGGTAGTTGAGTATCTGTACCAATATTACAGTAAGAAACCTTTGCAAGTACCATTGAAAGGGTATTATTGACTTTCCAGGTGATGTCGAACCAAGCCTGGGCGCAAACGTGGTTCCGTACCAACAAAACCAATTTTCTAGCACTACGGTGGTGATGGTATGCTCGTAACCCTCCGAGCATTAATGATATTACTGTAGGTTCTAATAATTGTAGGCGCCCCTGCAGTCACCCCGAACGCAAGGTACAGGCCGGACAGGTTCTCTTTGAGCGAATGCATGATACCAAGTGATGACTTATGAATGTGTAGGGTAATTGATAAATTGAGAAAAGCAAGTTTTGGACATATATTTCACAGGCTCATTGCATCTAAGAAAGTCTTTGAACAAGTGATTTCCCTCATCTGCACGATACCATATAAGTCTGCCACGATTTGTACTTGCAGAAACTGGTCTCGTTTGTTCTAAAAACGCTTCCCAGGCCTTGTGCGCCAAGGGCTAGGTAAGTTAGGGCTAGGGCCTTTAAAGCGTGGGGTATTCGCTGGCAGCAACCAAATTAAACCTCCAGTTCTACTCATTTCTTGAAGTCGTGAATCAGCCAGCTTCACACATCTATTTTAGCAAACCTCACCTTCACCAGCTCCCCCATCAAACTATTCTTTTTCAGGAAATAAAATCCAAGATGCTTGAGACTATGTATCTCACCAGGCACGGCGTTTGTACCTCCAATAATCTTGAACCTTAAAGAAACCAAAAACTCTTGCTTATCAAAAAACACAGTTCCGCAGCAACTGGGTCACTGATAACCAAGGGAAATACACTGCTACCATCACCTCTCCCACCGGCATTCCATCAGATCCTCCACTCGCCTCCCATGGAGAAGACCAAGCAAAGGAACTTGCTACTCACCTGGCCAAACTAGACCCCAAGATCGACAGGATATACAGCAGCCCTTTCTACCGGTGTCTCCAGACCATCAACCCGATCGCTGAGCTGCTCGACCTCCCAATTCTGGCTGAAAATGGCATTGGGTATGTTTTTTGCATCGCAATTTATGGTGGCACCCGCAATTTGCGAGATACCAGAGCTCCCATAGAAGGCCTTAGACCTTAGCTAATTGCATGGGGTCTACTACCTGCTGTTTGTTTAGGGAATGGTATGGAACAGCCCGCTTCGGTTCGTCTTTTTTTCCTCCATTCTCTCTCCATATTTGCTTTTTTGGGCGTGTGACAAGCTCTAACAAAGCACATAACCAGATCATCCTTCCCCCGCTTCACCCGAGCTCCTCCACAAGTTCTTCCCCCGTGTCCAGGTTTCATACGACCCTACTATTATCCCCTCTAGCAAGGGGGAGACGCTCGCCGAGATCCACGACCGCACCGCATATGCGCTCGCTAAGATCATCGCCTCGATCGACAAGCAATGGGCTGAAGAAGGTACAGGTCCCAAGAGCATTCTCCTGTGCACCCACGCGGCCACCAACATTGCCGCCGGTCGTGCCCTTACAGGTACGTACTCCGTCAAAGCTCCCTCCCCCGTCTTTGTCTCTCCCCCAAACTCACCCCCCGTGTTATAATAGGTGACCAAGGCCTCGACGTCAAGACGGGCACGTGCTCACTCTCAACCTACCGCCGCCGCAAACCCCCAGTGACCCCACTACTTCCGAACCCCTCCGATGACAACCCAATCCCCGACACCAACTGGCGCGATGGCAACGGAGTTGGCGGCGGCTGGGACATTCTCGTCAACGGAGACTGCTCCTTCCTCCGCGACGGCGAGGAGAGGAATTGGTGGTTCTCCGGCGACGAGGCTTGGGATTTTGATGTCACCAGGACCCCGCCGGATTTCGGGGGCCCGGGAACGGTACCCGCGCCCGGGAGGATGGAGGATAACATCAAGGAAGTCGAGGCCAAGATCTAATTTTGGGGGTTATTGCTGTAGTTGTTTTTGTAAGACAAACTAGGTAGTTAGTTTAGATACGTACCTAGCTGTGAGAGTTATCATTACTCACGCTTCGTTCTCATTCGCTGTATACCCTTGTTTTTTCGTATTTCCGGAGTCTAGAGGATTTAGTTTGGATTGAGTTCTGTCTGGCAGTTTGCATAAAAGGGCCTTTAGGCAGAATATAATGCAGAGCTCGTTAACTGAAAGAGCTTGGGCGAGTGAGCTTTCGTGGTTTGAGACAGCAGTGCAGTGCAGTGACATGATGTAAGTACATGTATGGTGGGCGTCACGATATCGGGGTCGGTCTTGGCACATGTAAAAATCTCCATCAGGTAAATCATCACCTATTTAGGTGTTTTTGAGCTCACAGATGGCAGATCAACGCCCTTTTGGTAATAAACCGAGTGCTTTATGGTGATGGACAGGGGTATTTTGATCTGGCCTTAACAATTTGTATGGGTAAAAATTGACATGTCTCCCTACCAAACTCACCCAACTTCAAAGTCTACTCCTCAACCACAACACAAGATAATTAAAAAATTAAAGGCCGTAGAATGATTATCCTCTTGGTTCTCTGTCATTCTACGGCCTCTAATCAAAATATATTGTGTTGTGGTTGAGGAGATAGATTTGACGTTCATGTACTTTTACCGGCCCCGATATCGTGACACCCACCATACTCTAGTATCTGTATCTAGCGTGATCTAGGTAACCGTGAAGATGCTAATGTAGGATGGGCAAATGCTAGAGTAGCTAGCTACATACATGTAGAGTAAGTACTCTATTTGAAGTACAGTAAGTGCTCTACCAATATATATTGCGTACATCATCTGTTTATCCACCGCAGTCGCACACGCTGCACCACCAGAACGATAAGGAACCCGCGCACTAGCCCCAACCAGGACCCTGACGGTAATGATAGCTCTAACCCCAAAATTCGTCCCTAACTACCAACTAACTACAGCCCTACAAGAAAAAATAAAAATAAAAAATAGAAAAAAAATAACCTAATACCCAAAAGCCCTCAACCCCCACCTCTTCCTCTTCCCCACCACCTCCTTCCCCTTCCCCTTCCCAACACCCCTCTCCACCATCGGATTCTCCCTCACCCACCTCTCGTCGGCCTCCCACCTCCTCAGCGCCACCGCCTCGTCCCACTCCACCTCCTTCAAATACACCTCGGCCGCCTCCCAGTCCGTACACTTCGTGCGCACCTGAAAGCGCTTCACCGCCGACTTTCTTGCCTCCTCTACGGCCTCCTCCTCCGTCGGCGGGTGCGACAGCGACGGGCCGGAGTACGGATGCGGGATCTCTAGTGTGCGCCGCGCGTGCAGGAGGTGGTCGCTGTAGAGGCGGTTGTGCAGGCGGAGTGTCTGCGCGGGCAGGTTGTAGAGGACAGAGATGGAGAGGAGGCTGTCGGTGGGGCGGATGTAGTGGTGGACGACTGCCCCGCTGCTGCTGCTGCCGCTGGGATAGGAGGGCGGCGGGGGAGGCGGATCGGAGGTGTAGGGTGGGGGGAGGGGGCGGAAAGTGGTGGTGGTTGGCGCGGCTTCGACTCTGGCTTTTGAGGGTAGGGATTGACAGAAGGGACAGTAGGCGGCGAAGCGGGGGTTTGCCTTTGAAGCAGGGGGTGGAGTGTTAGATTAATGGTTTTATTGTTTATTTTTTTATATTTATTTTATGGGAATATGTGATGTGATGTGATGTGACGAGATCACGATCCACCTCCAACGGGTAGATCTGGAAAAAGAACTAAAGCAAAGCAAAGAACTGAGCATAGGAATCATACATCGACGCAATCGCCACAGACGGCCCTCCCACAGCATTCCTGCATCGTGCTCCTCGGAAGGACCTCCCCAGCTTCCTCTCCCAATTGCTGTTTCTTCTCCTCAGCCACCACCACCGCCGCTGGCAGAATCTCGTTTGTACATATCGCGCAGTAGAGCTGTGCCGACGACGCATATGACGGAAGACTGGCGCTCGGCGTCGACGATGTCGACGTAGCCTCCAGCTCTTCCTTCTCATCCATGGCGGTCATTCCTTCCCTTTGGTTTTTGAATTCTTTCACTTTTGAGTAGGTATGTATGTTATGTACCCTTTCCTTTTCTTCACTTTCCTCTTTATGGAGGGGCGGTGTGGGCAGCTGGGGGGGCAATAGGCAGCAAGAAACAGTTTTCTCCACGAGCTCCCAGCTGGTTGGTTCGTATTGCAGGACTCACAATAGGACAGGATAGGCAGGCCGAGTGAGAGTGCAGATCCGTCTAGAAAGTATGTATTACAAGAAAAGAAAAAAAAAGGAAGCAGCCCAAGATCGAGGAACACACAATTAAACTGCTGTTACGCTACTCTGTCGTGTTTCGTTTCATCGGAGGAAGCATCAGCAGAAGATGAAGAAGCAAATCCTCATCACACTCACTCGCCCCGATGATATCTCCGTTATCTAATCGGCAGCCGGCGGGCGGCGCGGGGCTTGCCGTTCAGTCGCTGTGCATGCGAGAGGCTGATCGGGCCCAGCGTGGACTGGCCACCGTCGATAAGCGACCGGCACTTTCCGTCAGGCTGGTCCGTGCGTTTGTGTTTGTGTGTGGGCCGAAGACATAGCAAACAGAACCATCAGACAGGATCCGCCGTCAGTAGGTGAGCGACTGTAGAGCAGCGGGTAGGCCGCGGACTCTGGAGGTTTTTGGTCTGAAAAATAGGAAAAAAAACGGAACACTAGAGGAACCTCCTACTCTAGCGGCAGGAACAGCACCAGGAGTTGGAATTGCTAGTATTTACTCTGCTCTTCTCATGCAGCGATCCTAGATGTCTTTCAATTACATTCCTCTCTTCCCCCACCACCCACCACCCACCACCCACCACCCACCACCCACCACCCACCACCCACCTCCCACCTCCGCTGCTACAGTGAGACGACCTACAGTACATAAAACCTCCACCACCAGGACGCACAAGTAATAATGCATCGTGAATCAGTAAAACAAAACAAAAAAGGGTTCCAGCCAGGCACATGGAGACCGCATGCCCATGAACCCCTCATGCTCAAAAAAAATAAAAAAGCCATATTCTCTCAACCATTGGGAGCCAAAAGCGCCCCTAGTTAGGTACCTGGGCAATGGGTTTCCATGCTCTTCGAATTCGATCATAGAGAAATTTACTTCCTCATGGCCCATGGGTCTCTGTTGGATGTCTCAGAAAGATTTTTCTCTCCCTACTTCCCAGGATGGGACTCCAAGTACCAACCGCGCGCACGCATGCATGCGTGCATGCAGCTTGCTGGGAGTGAGAGGTGCGAGGGGCATCATTATGCTAAGCTTTGATACTGCGCGGGCGAGGGATTTTTTGGTTCCCTCCTCCTCCTCCAGGTCAACGATAACGACGATGATTTGTCATTGAGCATTCTTTTTTTCTCCCTCGTGCCAGGGTTCCAGGATTACTGTTCATTGAAAATTCCGGAGGCTTGGGTAGGAATAAGAAATTAAAGGTCACGTTTACCCAGCTGGGTACATACGACTTGCAAGGTTGGTTGTTGTTGTGAGGTTGAGTAGGTATCGTGAGTATCGTACTACCTATCTAGGCTACCAAGCTAGGTGAGTATGTACATGTAAGTAATTAAGCATGCAGCGTTCTTTGCAAAAAATCAATAACTCCACATAGCCAAGTTACATAGCCAAGTGCAAAGATATAGCTCGCCGAACACAAAAACCTCTATGCCCCCCTTACCCCCGGCCCCTCCCCTTTTGATTCACAGCTGTAGAACCGGTTACCGTTTGTATTGATTGACACGTACGTAGGGCTTGCCCGAGATAGAGAGAGAAAAAACATGCTATGAGTATAAAACAGTTGTGTATCAATATATCACCAGCCCGTAGCGTACCAGTAGATAGGGCTCCGTACCCGGGCTTGGCACCTCGTTCCGGGGAGTTGAGAGCTCGAGAGAGATGTTTGGAATCCCAATCCCAGGTAAATCCCTACTCTTCGCCTTACTCCCCGTTATTATGCAGCAGCAGCGGCAGCGGCATTTCCATAGTTTGGGATCTTTGCGGAGTAAAATCTCTCACCCAGTCGACCAGCTAGACGTGACGAACCAGCCCCCTCTGCACATCTAAAGGAATATCAATATCCGCTGCCGCCAGTACAGCGGTGGGTAATAAGTCATCGGACGACCTGGCCACAATTTTGCCTGCAAACGCGTATTTTGGTGGTGTTCCGTCTGATGACTTATTACCCACCGCTGTACAATAAAGTACATACAGCGAATATCAATGTATTTTTGGTCGTCAGGAGTTGAGTACATGTAGATCATCCCCACCCTACATACATACATCCAAGCCCTGGTTTTTCCAGTCATCATGATCCAGGAACCGAGGCGGAAAGGCTTTAATTGATAACGCAAGCATACATGTAATAATCAAGCCTCTGATACCCTCCACAACATCAATATTTATTTAACAAAACAAACAACGTACCAACGGCCCCCGGGCCCCTGTGGAGGAGAGGAGATGCTTCGGCGTTGCCGTTAACCGGCGAAGCAGCCGATATAAACCCTAGTGTGAATTCTTTTTTTGTTTGTTTAATTCATACTCGCATGCAACCTTTCAGTTATGGCGGAGCACTCAATATACAGTACAAGTACAGGGTCCTAGTGTGAATTCGCTCTTGAGCAAGAAGGGGGAGCAGAGGAACAGGGGAGAAGGGGACAAAAAAACAAGCAAAGCAAGCCACTAACTCGCTAGTTAACGATCCCGTGTGTGCACCAAGCGATAGGCATCCCCGGAAAGAAATATTTGGGGAGCTTATTTTTATGAGGCGTTCAGCCCAAGGCGAAGGAACGTCTACCTACTATTCTACATGGAGAAGGATCAACAGGGTGAATAGGTACCTAGTTTGGTTGGCACTGCTAAAGACGATAGTCAAAGTGCCGATCCTATTTGTGAGGCAAACGTCAGTGTAGCAGTGTTGATCTCCAAGATGTGATGACTTTTGCGATCTCCGGGTATGTTGTGTCTTTGTAATGCTGGGAGCCAGTGAAACTCTGAAAAATTGATATGTAGCTCTGTTCTGTTGATGGGGTACAGCTTGCGGTAAGACTATTGTAGAAATATGGGAGGAGTCCTATTGGCTTGCCCAGCCCCTGTTTCTACAATAATTTTACCTCTCGCTGTACAAGTTATTGTACCTACACTCACGGGTTGACGGTGGATCCTATCTCCTGGCAGGCAGATTTAAGGCCAATGGCACGTTTTGACCGACGCCATACTCGGCATTGTACTGTAAATACATACTCCCTGGCCGCCATCGCGTAGAAGCGCGTTCATTTTCAGATCAACGGTGACGTCATCGCCGAAGTCACCACCACAGCAAGTTTTCAACTCACTTTTTCTTTGCGTGGGGGTCGATAGTATATTCCTAATATTTGTCCCGGGATATTGGAATTGTGGCGTAAGTTCTAATTGTAGTTACTCTGCATGAGGGGAGCTTTTGGCGGTGAGAAAAAGGGTGACCTACCTATTCCTGTTGGTGCGGTGTGTTGTGGTGGAATATCACGTGTTCAACCTCGAATATCAGAGGCAAAGCACAGGCGGGCCGTCATGTGCATAAATCAATTGGTTGATATATGTACGGGATCGTATTTCAATTTACCTATTCCGTATCTTTGATCGATCCTGTCACCAGAATCTCGAAACCACGGAAGTGAGAACGGCAAAAGTTGGGTAAACTGCTGGAGCTCCAGAAAGACCCTCTACAGTTTTCTGGAAGAAATGACCCTCTACAGTTTTCTGGAAGAAATGACCCTACCACTGGTTAAAGTCAGTTGTTACCCAGGAGCACCAGTGCATATCAATTGTTGCATTGTGGTTGAAATGAAAGCTCGGAACGTTATGTATGCCTAATAGAAAAGCAAAAGCGGGTAGGTGTTTAAAGAAAAACAAGTTTAGTCGTGGAGTTGCTTGGATACCGGTAAGCTAAAACGGAATGAAGCTGTCAAGTTACAGCCAGGAGGGCCCCGGGGAACACGTTTCAAGACAATTTGGGGCAAGCAGAAGACAGCACATTCTACTAACAGACACGGGTGAGATGCAGAGAATGGCAAGGATTTTCTCAACTTTCAAGGTCGAAATAAAGATATGGCTTTTAAGGTATCGTGAACCGCCGTATAACTTCGGAACTGAGGCAGTTGGAGGGCGGGCTTGGCTCTTATACTGCTGCTAATCTTAGGACACTGGCCGCTTCGATGCAGTATCCGTGAGTCTAAGCAGGTGCATTTCTAGCCCTGCAGATGATATATTAGATTATGTGCGGTGTTTTGCTCTCTGGTGGTGAACCGGTGACAGAAATTGGTCAAGTCCCTTTTCTTTTCTCACGCGAATGCTGGATTGCCCTTGTAAATTATTCCCGCCACTCGCTTGCTAATTGAGGTAGATGAAACGAGGGATTGGTGGCTTTAGTCCGGCACTTCCTGGTATCGTGAAATTGGGTTACGGTGCCCTCAAGTGGATATGACGGTGAGTGTGCCTTGGAAGTCGAAGCTTGCAGGCAGCAGAAATGAAAGAAATGTACGGTACTGTAGGAAAATAAAAAATAATTCAGTAGTCTTGATAAAACAAGGAACCAAGACCATCACCCATCCTACCTGCATGAGTACTTTTTCCTTTCGATTTAATTCGTGTTTGGAGATTCTGCCACCCGTTTTATTTGTTTTTCGCGGATGGGATTGTGGAGAAATCCATCAAATGCAAGATGGAGAACCGATTAAGGGCGGCTGCTGCATGAAGCAAGGAAGGGTCATTGAATCGGTGCGATACTTGTATACCCTAGGTCATGGCCTACGTAGTGTGTGCATGGTTACATGTGATACTTTTTGCGATATGCCTGATCATTTTTCATAGGCAGCAAGACCTCTCGGGAGAAATAATTGAGAGAAGCCTTCTCATTTGCCAGAGAAACCCTCTTTATGTAGAACAGAGCACACACAATGTAGGTACTTGTAGGTAAGCAAGTACATGTACCTACATGTTGTGTTCCTTTATTGCACGTTGTGTAGCCAGGTGCATCGTGTTCAAGCCAGGGATGTTTGGGGTGAGCCTCAAGGAGGGGTTCAGTAGTGGAACTGCGGGGCGAAAAGATGAAGGGGTCTATCTAGAAAGGAAAGAAAGCTTCGATACATCAGGAATGCGTGGATTTTTGTTTATTCCCTTTTAGAACTATATGTACATATATGTATCTTTCTCCATAACTGCATGTAGAGTTGTGGTTATCAAACAGGAATCCTCTGGTGCTCGCCGCTATCGAGACGCTATTGCGGCCTTTTATTAGTAGTCTGCCCGCCTTCATCTTCGGATTATGTTTCCGCCCACTCGGATAGAGACCTTTGGCCGCAAGGTACCTTATGCTACCACGCAAGCAAGCACCGTCCAAAAGCTTTTCTTGCTCATCTTGCCTGGTATTGGAATTTAGGTCAGGCTTGGCATTACCGCTTTTCCGCCGCCGTCTACTACATACAATCTTGAAGTTAGGGGAGAGAGGGGAAGGGGCGCGGGTTATTAGTTTGGGATATGATAGAGTGAGAGAGACTGAGAGAGAGACAGTAGACAGAAATGTAGGATACAGAGACAGCACTGCTATCTATCTAGACTAGTCGAAAAGCTTCAGCCCCGCATGCCAGGGCAATAGAAGGACTAAACGAACGAACAGGACTCGGACCACAGTTCGTAAAAATCAACTCAGGGCAAGAGCTAAAGTGCATGCCGACCGGTACGCGCGGAGAGGAGAGACGTTGAGAGACACACAGAAAAATCGACGTTGGCTTTTTTTTTTACTGCGCCCCATCACAACCAAAAAAAAAAAAAAAAGCAGCCAAACCCTATAATCCTACCAACCCGTTCTAGTTCTGGTTCTTCTTCCACCTTTTCTTCTACTCCTTCTGTTGCCGCTGCTTCTGCTTCTGCCTCTTCCTCTTCCTGGTCTCGCTGCCCAGTACTACTGCTGCACAACCACATATCTACTGCCGCGTCTCAGACTTATTGAGGCTGGTTGCTGCCCCTCCAAATTATTTTTCTTCATAAGTATCAGCAGCCCTCATCAATCAATCTAGAAGGAAAAAATCCAGAATAAATATATTCATCATCTGTCCCTTGGTTTTATCCATCTCAATTCCACCATACATCCCATCTCTCACTTGGGATTCTCATTGAGCACCCCTTCCCTTGCATTTTGCTCTCCTGGTGTGACCTCACCTCCCAAGACTGAACATCATTTCCCCCCAACTCATCCCAACCCAACAACAAGGTAAACTGTCAAGCAACAGCGTCAGTATCAGCGTCAGCGTTTAGTAAAAGCTCGTTCGGTCACTCCTCCAACCCCATCCCCCCCACCCGATAAACGCACCGACGATTCGGCCAACCGCTATCCTGGCAGGCTTGAACGAACGCCCATTGATTCATTCTCACTTTTCTTCCCCCGTCCACCACGCTTCAAACAAAATGGCCTCTACTCCCTCAGACGAGCCAGATTCACCTACATCCCCTGATCCATTCACTGATTCTTCACCATTCTCGATGCAACCTCCAACTTCCGCTCCCCACCCCTCCCAGCGGACAATACCCTCTCTTCGCTCGTTATCCGACCAAAGTATGACCGGCGAACGCCCAAACCCTCTTGGACCTACCAACGCTGCTAGAAGACCCCCGGCCAATACGCCGTTTGCAATGTCGTCCTTTGCCAGTGGGGTAGTCTCCCAGCAGATATTCAGGCAAGGCTACAAGCGTTTCAGACATCACGGAGAATGCCAAACCAAATGAATGGGGGAGCAGGAAGCCCGGCAGCTGGTCCTGTCATGAGTCCTGTTATGAGCCCCACTGGCGGGTTTAGCGCGAACCATATGACGTCTGGAAATCCTATGATGTCTGGAAATCCTATGATGTCTGGCTCACCAATGATGCCACGAATGGCTCGACCGACTCAACCATCTAATTGGAATTCCGCACCCGCTGTTACTAGTGCAAAGCCCTCATTAATGGAACGGAGGAAGAAAGCTTTTACCGGCACACTTTCTGGGGCAGGAGCTACTCCAGGTTCTAGCGGTCCTGTAGGCGATGCACCCGCTGCCACTAATGGTGCGAACGGTAGCAGACCTACAGGAGATGGGAAAGGATCACTGTTTGATAAGTATTCTGAATATGTGGATGCGAAAACAGGAAGCTTGAAATTTGCAGGAAAGGCAGTTCTACACAGCAAAGGGGTTGATTTTTCATCGGGAAGTAGTTTCAGCATCTCGTTGGATGAAGTAGACACTCTCGAAGAATTAGGCAAAGGAAACTATGGTACTGTCTATAAGGTAGTACACAGGCGACCAAGAGGAGCGATGAACGGAGAGGTGGTGCTGCCTGGAAAGCTCAATTCACCAGTATCAGTCTCCGGTTCACCCCCAACCTCCAACGGCGAATTCAAATCGCCAACTATTGCTTCACGGGAAGGTGCGGGCACCACGAATGTAGAGATGGCTATGAAAGAGATCAGGCTCGAGCTTGATGAGAATAAGTTTGCCCAGATAATAATGGAGCTTGATGTGCTGCATCGATGCGTATCACCTTTCATCATCGACTTTTACGGCGCATTCTTCCAAGAGGGTGCTGTATACATTTGTATGGAGTACATGGATGGCGGGTCTATTGATAAACTCTATCGAGACGGCGTTCCCGAGGGTGTACTACGGAAGATTACCTATGCTACGGTAATGGGACTCAAGACGTTGAAAGATGACCACAATATCATCCACCGAGACGTCAAGCCAACCAACATCCTAGTTAATTCAAGAGGAGAGATCAAACTTTGTGATTTCGGTGTCTCTGGTAACCTTGTTGCCAGCAAAGCCAAAACCAACATTGGGTGTCAGAGTTACATGGCACCTGAACGAATTGCTACCGGCGGTATCCAGGCTGCACTTGGAGGATCTACGCCGGGAACATACAGCGTGCAGAGTGATATCTGGAGTTTGGGTTTGAGTATTTTGGAGTGCGCCATGGGATGTTATCCATACCCTCCTGAAACATATAACAACATCTTCAGTCAACTTAGTGTAAGTTTTACCTCTTTCAACATGTGTTCGAAATTTCTCGTTTTTCCAATCGCCTAACATTGACACCTCTAGGCAATCGTCGATGGTGAGCCACCAGACCTTCCAGAAGAAGGATTTACCCCACAGGCCCGTGACTTTGTCCGAGGTTGCCTCAAAAAGATTCCCGGAATGCGCCCTGCATACGCAATGCTTCTTCGTCATCCTTGGCTGGCGGATCTTGGTCAGCCACCTACCATTTCCGAGGAAGAAGAGGATTCAGAACCAGCGCCCACTCCTGAGAAGGGGGACAAAGAGGTTCGCGACTGGGTCCTTGGAGCCATCGAGCGACGGAAGTCTAGAATCGCTTCTGGTGGGAAGGGACCCGAATCCGAAAAGCCGGCACTCCACGCTGCTCCATTGGACGCAGTTATCACGCCTGCGAAGGATGGAAAAACACCAGTGGACTCTGTTATTGAGTCTGTTGGAAAACTCGGGTTGGCTGTTTAGTGAGGAGATGATGATGTGTTGTTCAGTGTTTTATTTAACTTCTTTTTTGTTTCTTTAAAGAGGGCCGGGGTTGTTTTCTTTATTTGATCTTTTATTTTGGATCAATTGCATCTGCCGTTTGCTTTTGGTGTTTTGTTTGTCACTTTCTGCCATCGGACATACCGCTTTCTGGTTAAGGTTTTCATCTGGGGTTGGAGTAAAAATCCCTTTTTTTCTCTTTTCTTTTCACGATGTATGAATGATTCTCTTTTTCTTTTATCCAACTGTGTAACATTTCTTCCGGTTTTGATTCCTGCTTTATTTACGGGCAACAATTGTCAGGCGGATATCGTGTTCCAGGGGTGTTGAAATTTTTACTTTATTTTATTTACCTAGTCTCTCTCTCGAGTATCATTTCCTACCTACTTGCTAAATATTTCTTTTATCTTCTTTTTTGCTGTTTATGGGTTGCATAAGATGATGGATGTGGGCATGAAAAACTCATCTAGACAGTATCCTTGGCTTGGTCTTTCCTCTTCTCTCCTGTCATTTTTATGTGGTATTGTAAGACTTCTTGTTTGAGCTTGGGATTGTGCAGTTTTGTCTCTTTTATGGCGTACATTAGTATGGGGGGAGGGGGTACAGAGAGCAAATATACACATGGGAAGATATGAAGTTTCGAAAATGATTACGATCTGACAGTGACACTCTTTGGGCAAACTAAATATAGGGTATCCTTGTAACCTTGGTAGTAGAAAATAGAGGCACAGGGAACGTCATTTAATAGTACGATCAACAAGGCCTAAATAATTTAAATTTCTTAACTACATATAAACCGGATTTGGAGTATGTCTGCTTCACAGACCCTCACTCGACGGACTTAACACTGAACGCATGCACTCCTGTCGTTCCTGCATGGTTCCCGAGCGTCTGATAAAGAGTCTCGGGGTACCCTTTCGGGGGGCGTTCGGTCGGCCAATTACAGGCATAACTAACCGTTACTTGTGGACTAGCAAGGCATCTTCCCAACGTTACCCAGGCACCTTACTAAGTATCTCGGGGAGAGACATGAAATCTACTCCGAAACTTTAAACCTATAACTTTAGACGAAAGCCTACGGGGTGTAAAGCTGAAGGTTTTTAAAAAAGGTTTTGTTGTCGACACGTGTTGCTTCCTTGGTATTTATCGTGCCAGGGTAGGCCGTGCAGACAAAGGACTCGTAAGGGTCTCAATTGACTTACTTCTTGAACTAATAGCAGACCTAGCCTGGCATGTAACAAGGGAAAGCCAAAACGTCGTTGACGACTGGTCCCGATGAGAACACTGAATTATTGTTACTGCTATTCTGCTCTCAACACCTGGGAACAGAGTAAGGAGAGGGCGCCTAAATGTTTGTTCCACCTCCTCACAGATGGCCCTTTTCACCACTCAGTGTCTGATTTACTGCCCTTCGGAGGAGTACGTCACCTCTCGACACACCCTTCATAACCTGATGAATATTGGTCGGTGGCGAGTATATATGTAGGCATGATGAACCTTCATGTGCTTTGGGCACCGCTACAGTAGGTACTTTACCCTAGAGAACCACTATGAGTGACTTAACCGCAGTTTCATGATTTCCAAGCACAAGAAAACAAGCCACGATCGGTGAAAAGCCACATATGAATATTGCATGAGATGAGCAGCGGGTTTTGTGATCATGACGAATGCAGGCGTTGGCACTGCCACTGGCGGGCTGCTGCGGCCTCAATTTTGTGGGGAAGAGACCTTTGGTCGCGATGGCGGCGGCGATGGGTGCTGTTTTGTCAATATCGAAGTGATACCCGCAACGGAAGACGACCTATTTTTTCCCGAAACAAAACACTTGGCCAAGAACAAAATCCAACATAACCCAGTATTAGAGCTAACGGTAGCTTGCAGTTTCGCCGGAATTATAAAAGCATTTGTTGTTTTAGCGGATACACGACATTACTAAGTGATAGCAGCTACAGCAGTTCGTGCAGCATACAGTACTAAGGAAAAGATCGCGGTCTCGTGGTCTTTTTATGTGATGATCCTCCTCCCGCAACCGCAGCGGGAGGCGTCCTAAAACGTTCGCCGATGTTGGTTGCATGCACATTCCCGAAAATAAGTTAAAGCTCTCCTTCTGCAGTATGTAACGGTTGTATGTAGGTTCTTTTGCCTAATGCGTAGAGGTGGATGCTGGTGCGAGATGGAGATCTGAAACCATATTTGAAGGCTTTATTAGAGACATAGTTTTACTTAACCATATTTTGCACAAAAAGCATCACACATGTAGCAGTAGACGACCTCCCTAGCCATTCGGACACCCCCCTCACTCGGACAGTTAACGTACTCGTTTACCACGAAAAGAACCAGCTTCTCAGGGCAAGGATTATTTGTATGGAGTGGCGGCGATCTCTCATACTGGAATTTTCTGGTTCTTTTCGTGGAAAAGAAAAGATCAACGCTTTAAGTGGCTTCAGTACCTCTTTTCAACCAATCATGATTGACTGTCCGAGTGAGGGGGGTATCCGAGTGGCTAGGGAGGCTGTCTACTCTACTCGCGTGTAACGTTTTCGACCCAGTACTGTGTCAGACCTAGATGGCAACGGCACCAAAACCAGACACAAAGCCCCAAAAAAGAAAGAAGACCCCATAACACCATAATAGAGGATAATCCATCCTAATCCGCGTGCTTTTAAATGGAATTCATTTGTTAAAAATCTGGCAGCAAATATCTCAAGAGATGGTGGAGGTAGCTTTGGCAACAGAAATCCCCATACAAATTTGTATGGGATTGACACTCTTCTAGGTCTGACACGGTACCCGGTCTAAAACGTTAGGGGAAAGAACCAGAAAATGCAAATGCGTATTTTGTATGGCAGATCAGCGCCACTCCATACAAATAATCCCTGTTTCGTCACTTGCATTTTCTGTTCTTTATGCTGTACGCGAGTACAAGGCTCTGGCATTAAGTGAGCGAACTAAATGGGGTGTTGGCCGGTAAGGATCCGTTCACTCACTTAATGCCAGAGCCTTGTACATGTGTAGTTCAATATAGGTAGGTAATGTATGTGCATGCCTTAGGCCGATGCCTCTGATCGAGACCATGGGATATTGATTATCTACTCCATATAGTACTCGAGGCAAAGGGGATTTGACATTGTCATCCTCCTGGAATTCCCAAAGATACAGCTTGCGGTAAGATTATTGTAGAAATATGGGAGGAGTCCTATTGGCTTGCCCAGCCACAGAAACCCTGTTTTTAGACCCCTGTTTCTACAATAATTTTACCTCTCGCTGTAAAACAGCAGGCTGCGAACTTGCTGGGGTTTCAAAGAGTTCTAGAATTTCTACTCCACAGAAGAGAGCATCTCAATGTTCCACAACGTCACCGCAGGGGGCTAATGGATCAGGCTAACCATGTACCTAGCCCCCTATCCATCAGCATTCATCACCAACCAGAGGGCCCTCTCGCAAAACGTGCCAGCAGTCCAAGCCCAACAGGGAGAAATCAGGTTCTCTGGGGCGTAGGGTTTGACGCGGCTCTGACGCCATTTCTTGGGTCGGATCTTCAATACGCTGAACGACCTTCAGAGAACGTCGGGTTTCGCTGTGATGTGGCAGCAGAAGAAAACACAACTTTATTAGATCATCGAGGATTCCAGTATGAAAGCAAACAGGGATTTATGAATAGTGTTGAGGTTCCAGATTTAAACGGATGACGGACTAAGCTAGACCGCCCGCTGCTTGATGATAACGTTATTAACCCCCGGGGCATCAGGTTTAGGTTTTGAGATTTTGAAGGAAAGTTTATCATCATACCATAGTTGGTAGAATGCACTCTACACTTTTCCGACTTGCAGGTATTAACCTGAGTAGAATAATTTGAACGAGTAGGTACAGTGTCCATGTACTTACATACCTGCCTCAAAGCTGTTTTACGCCGTAAATTGTAAGCTCACGGTAACCACTGCCGCCGTAGCGTTATCTCTGGCACAGACGTTGTACCCTTATCTCTCGATCAGTAGCTAGTGCTGTTGCCTGCGCGGCCAGGTTCTCTTCTGGAAACTTACGGAAGTAGAAGTAGAACTAACGGGCTCCTACAGCCCTCGTTGACAGCCACCGCCGGTAAGGACGAGACAGCCAAGAGAGCTCCTACATACATGTAATTGCTTGGATTGCTTGGATCCTGGTCTTCCGAGAAACTACAATAAGCTCGACCTGTCCACCGGTCTTTGATTTTGCATTTTTCCATAACATTACATACACACTCTCATTGAATTCGCGTCCCCCCCTCCGCTAGAATCATCCACTCACCTGTGACCGGAGACACTCTTACTACTACGTTACGTTAGTCAAATTAACACCACCACCACTTCATGGGTTTCTTTACCGCCCCAACATCGTTTAGAAACAATGTCCTCTCCGCGGCAACACCATTGTTCTCCATACAACCCCAATATCAAATGTCTCTCGCCATGATACCTTCAAACGAAACCCTCGCTGCTTTCGAGGGAGCTATGTTCAACGCAAAACCCCATGCTAATCATCCAGCTCTGGGAAACCTAATTCTCCTCGTTTTCGAGGCTGTGATGGAGGTCGTTTGCGTATCGCTGCCGGGCTACATTATCGCTAGAGGTGGTATGTTCGATGCAGATATGCAAAAGTTTGTTGCGAACTTGAATGTTTCGTTGTTTACACCCTGTCTGAGTACGTACATACTTTTCTCCCCTGAGATCTCCTGAGATGATCGCTGTTTTCGGCGCCTCAATACTGCTCGCTTGAGACTCTTAAAATTTAAAGTCACTGCTAATGCAATGCATGCGCGCCACAGTTTTTACAAAACTGGCAAGTCAGCTTACTTTGGCGAAGATCGTCGAGCTGGCTGTAATACCGGTGATCTTTGTTGTCATGACGTTGGTTTCATATTTGTGCGCCTTGATGGTTTGCAAAATATGCGGGTTCAACAAGAGAGCGAGAAACTTCGTCATTGCTATGGTAAGAGTTTTATAGTTTCTACTAGGGAATTTGACTGATGTTCCGCTTAGGGTGTTTTCGGAAATTCAAACTCTCTCCCAATTTCGCTGGTTATCTCGCTTTCAATGACAATATCTGGACTCCACTGGGACAAGCTTCCGAACGATAACGACGAAGAAGTCGCTGCTCGTGGTATCCTCTATCTTTTAATCTTTCAACAGCTTGGACAGCTTGTCCGTTGGTCTTGGGGCTACCATGTTCTGCTTGCCCCTCCACCTAAGGTAACCCAACCGGAGAACGGAAATACAGATATCCGAGTTTATCGCGATGATCCAAGCGATACTGAGAGCGACCTTGAATCCCAAGGCGTCAGAGTTGACCCTTTCATGTCACCACAATTCCAGAACAGCTATGTAGGACTTCACAAACAACTTAACGAACCAGTTGACAACCAAGGCGACCTACTATTCCCGGAATCCCGCCATCATTCCAGAAAGACCACAGCCGGTACCAGTGACTCTGCTTTTGGATCAAATGGTGGACCTTCAGGCAACCAAACACCGAAATCTCTCAAGACTGGTGCCAGCAGTTTAACTGTATCAGCACAATCTAGTCGCCCCTCGACCCCTCCTAGTGATGGAATCCTACCGACCCCGACTCAAGGCAATTTTGGCAACCGCGATCTTACCCGATTCCCAAGGGTTCATAATTCTGTACCTGCCCAGCCTCGTTGGTTGGAACAGAAGGCCCCATTTGTGTCTCGCGTCTTCAAATCTATTGGGAATGGAGTTGTACGCTTTTGTTTGGGACTTCAAGATTTTATGAACCCTCCGCTTTATGCCATGTTAGCGGCGGTAATTGTTGCCTCGATCCCTTCTTTGCAAAAACTTTTCTTCACTCAGGGCACCTTCCTCCAGAATTCGGTGACACGCGCAGTCAGTCAGTGTGGCAATGTCGCCGTTCCTCTGATCTTGGTCGTTCTCGGCGCCAATCTGGCAAGAAACACTCACCCCAAGACCAATGCTTCGACCGAGCGTCATGAGACAAAGCTCCTCTTTGCAGCCCTCATCTCCCGCATGGTGCTTCCGTTCGTTTTCATTGCTCCCATGCTCGCGATTGCCGCCAAATACCTCAATATTTCAATTCTTGATGACCCTATCTTTGTTATAGTCTGCTTCTTGTTGGCTGGTGCTCCGAGTGCCCTGCAGCTGGCTCAAATTTGCCAGTTGAATGGTGTCTATGAGTCTGTTATGGCGAAGATTTTATTCTGGAGTTACGTGGTTGTCATCTTACCTAGTACTTTGGTCCTGGTAATCACGGCTATTGAGGTTGTAGAATGGGCCATGTAAACGCCTGGGGGTTGCGTAATGGGCATTCACTGACTGAACCTTCTGCTCGAATTTCGTTTCTTCAAATTTCGGGTAATTAGTTTTCTCTGTAGTAAAAAGTATTTCTTACCCGAATTATTTAGCTTTACATATGTTTTAGTTTCGGGTCTCGGATTTTATTTTCGGTTTATTCAATAAGCTTTTTCTTTTCGAGGCTTTTGTAGGCGTGCGAAAAGTCGTTTCTTATGTCCAGGGGCTTGGGAATCTTTTTCTTTCCGAGTTGCATAGGTACAGATCTGGGCGCGGTGGCTTGATTTTTTCTTTTCTGAAGATTTATGAACGAAGGGTGGACAAGAAACGCTGAATGTATAATACGTAACGTAACGAAACAAGAGCGATAACAAAGCTGAAGTGCTCTTATCTCCGATGATGATAGCCAAGGATCAAAAATAATTAAATTGGACCATTTCTGGTAGGCTGCGCATGATAAGCGTTCTCAACCAGCCCACGACTCCAGATACCAGCAGACACTTCGCGTGGGAAGCGATGATAGAAGAAACACGAGATCAAGTTGAGATCGGTCGGTCAGTCCCGTGCGAGGTGAGGGAAGGGAATTCGGCTGTGTCGTAGTACCTGGTTAGTGCTTCTCGGGAAATCCAGGGTCTGGATCAAGGAAAGTCTGACTGGTTTGGCGCTATGTTTCGCCTGTCTAAAAGGACATTTTACTTTTTCAAAATTTTGTTTTTCTGGTTTTTATTGTTCATTGGTTTTGTTTCTGCCCCCCCCCCCCCTTTACCTACCAGAACAAGGCCTTCTTCACCTTTTGTTTTCTTCGGGGTATATACCGAAAACCCTTATTACTATCCACAGTCTTATCTTATTCTTATATCTTTACCCCTCCCTTTGCTAGGCCCTCTTCCGGGTCAAATATATACCGCGTTACCTACCTATTCATTCTGTGCAGCAAGTAGCAGTGGCACGTTCACCAATAAAGAAGCAAAACTATCTACCACTTATCGACATTTATACAGAGTACACAAGCCCACCTTATTTAGGCTGCATCGTAGAATTACCGCATCTCCCGCCTGAGCTATAAACCTTAAAGGACCCACACAATAATTGCGTCTCAGATGGCCACTCCGGCAGCTTCAACTGCTTCCGCACCCGCAGATGCTGCTACCAAGGGTGTGTTCCTGCTGATCCATTTTACAGTGCGTATTAACCTAATCTAACCTCTCTCTACGACAGATACTGTCCCGACAGCGCCAGAAGGGCAAATAATAGGTTCTACTGATAATACTGAGGTATCGCCAGAGCAAAAAAAGCCGGCTCGCCCTTCAACTATATTGCATAGAAAAGTCAGCAGCAAACGCCTCGTTGGGCGTTTGCCGATTTCACCATCTCCCGGGAGCTCTGCCTCTCAATCCCGTGTTTCTCTAGTAGCGAATCAATTACTGCAGGATAGTCTGCAGGAAGGAGCTCAGTCATCGCGAACAACAGAAAATGAAGACTCGCAAACAGATCAGCCCACCAATACACAAGGTGCTGCGGGGCGGCACCACCGTCTGTCCGCCGCAGGGGCAGCTTTTTCGGGGTTGATGGAACAGTTGAGAGACTGGGCCCACACTGAAAGAGCGAGACAGAAAACTCGTCGTGAGAAGAAAGCCGCCAAGATTATTGAACGCCGCACATCGCAGAAAGCAGGAAAAAGCTCCGATGCAGCTGGGGGGATAATGGGGAGCATGATGATACCATATCGCCTATTTCGAGTGGTGATGAAGCTGGTAAGACAGCTTTGGATGCGTTTGATGCGATTTTGGCTGCTGCTGAGGCTTCCAATTCGGGAAGACCAACTGTCCAGTTTAAACCGTCTAAACGGAAATCCAGCAAAGCTAGGTCTCTCAAGGGAGGGCATACTTCGGACACCGATTATGCTTCTGATGGTGAGCCGGTGGTTCCTGCATGTGAAGTGACCTTGCCATTGGTGGAGGAGTTGGGAATGGACGAGTTTAAAAACCAGGTTTTGAGAATGGCCCATACCCTTAGATGTAAGGGATGGAGGAGAGTTTCCCTGGACAGATATAAGGAAATAAGTGTAGAGAGGATCAGTGGGGCCTTGACTAATGCTGTAAGTTGCTTTCTTTTTACCTTTTGCTTTAGAGTCCGTGAAAGGAGTTGGTATAAGATTGTAGTGATTATGATTATGCGGCTGTTTCAAATATCTGTGTTTGAAAGTCTTGCTTTCCGCGGCCCGGTGTTCTGAGCTGGGTAATTACTTTAGTAATTAAAAACAAAGATCTGTAGAAATTAGTGAAATATGACGAAGGATTCCACAAATTGGTTTAGACGTATGCTAACATGATATGCCATTTTATCAGGTTTTCATGGTCTCTCCACCCAGCGAACTTCCGCCTATAGTGGCAGGTCAGGACCACCAGGGTAGTGTAGTCTCTTCTGCGTCGATGAAGTTGCCAGCGTATGACCATTGCTCCTGGTTTGGTCTTGGAAAATGTATAGTTAGAGTTCTAACCTTTTATAGAAAACTTTTACTCCGAATTTACGGCCCTCAAGCTTCGCATCTCATCGACCGTGATAGTGAACTCTCAATTCTTCGTCGCCTAGCCCGCAAACGCATTGGCCCACGCCTCTTTGGAACTTTTGAAAATGGTCGATTTGAAGAGTTCTTTCCATCACGCACACTCACTCGGGAAGATATAAGGAATCCAGAAACTTCCAGACATATTGCAAAGAGGTTGAAGGAGCTACACGAAGGAATTGAATTGGAAGCAAAAGAAATAGAGAGAGGCCCTATTGTTTGGTCTAACTGGGACAAATGGATTCCAAGAGTCAGAGGAATCATGACAAAAATTGAGGCCAGTGACAGGAAAGGGGGGCCGATCGCTGGAACTGAGTGGGAGAAGTTCGAAACCGTTGTCCTGAAGTATCGTCAATGGCTCGAAGAACGTTATGGAGGGCCGGAGGGTGTAAAGCGACAGTTGGTCTTTGCGCATAATGATGTGGGTTAAGCCGAAATTTCATGAGTATTGGTAGTAGTTTCTAACCTCGGAGGATAGACACAATATGGTAACATCCTGAGGTTGCAAGCGGGTGGGAAGAGTCCTCTTCTTCTTCCTATGAATGAGCATAAGCAATTGGTTGTCATTGACTTTGAGTATGCCAATGCTAATCCCCCAGGATTTGAATTTGCAAACCATTTCGTAAGTACTAAATCTACCCCATTAAGACCTTTTGTATTGTATAGGTCTGTATTAACCGTCTTCTGAAGTGCGAGTGGATGTCAAACTATCACGGCCCCGACCCACCTCACGTGATAAAGGAAAATGATTACCCCAACCTTGAGCAACAGCGCAACTTCATCCGTGCTTATGTCGAACATCATCTTATGGGGGCGTATAGCACTAAAACACCGCCTGCTAGTAATCCAGACCTCGTAAATTTGGATGTGCGGGGTGTTCCCTCGTTTAACTTGGATGCTCGTACTCCCGCGATGCCGTACAAAGAGGAAGAAGTAGCTCGCCAGCGCGTAGTAGAGAAGGAGGTCGATAGACTTGTTGAGGAGACTTTAGTTTGGCGTTCTGCCGCTCATGCAATGTGGTGTGCCTGGGGTATTATACAAGCCAAACTAAACCCCACAGGGGCCGAGCAAGAACATCTCAAGAAGAACAATCCCGATTACAAGGAGAGTACACTTTCTGAAGAAGCGAAGAACGCAGCCAAAGATATGGAAGATAGGAGAAGTGAAGATGAAGACGAGTTCGATTATCTTTACTATTCCCAGCAAAGAGCTCTACTATTCTGGGGGGACATGCTGAAACTTGGCATCGTCAAGCCTGAAGAGGTGGATGGGTTTGTCCTCAATAACTTGAAAAAAGTTGAGTATTGAGTTTTGGCCGCCGTAGTCAGTTAAGGATTCTCTCGGTATTCTTTGGTCGGGTTCCTATGGCAGTTGGTGTACGGGTTTAACTTTCTCAATTCGTCTTGCTGTACTAGTAAATGATTAAATACATGGGCAGTTTTCATAACACCCTTATTAAAGTATTGGAAGGAATTTATGCCAATCGCATAGATATTTTAGAATTGCGAGTCTTCGTTACAGGGTCTACCCCATGCACTGTAGCCTGGCTGTGCGTCATAGGTTCTGCGTAAACCATACATTTAGGTGTACAATTACGTTACGGGGAAACGTTATGCTTGTCGAATTTTGGTTGCTTTTGGACTGTTTCCAAGACTCAATAAATAGCCTGCAGCCCGCCAGAAGCCTTGAAATATGAACCACATCGACCAAAACTACGAATCATACCCAATTACCTTCAAGGCCTCTTTTCTACTGCTGAAGCCTGAAGCAATAGCACCCAAACCTTGGGTTACCCGGTATTAACGCTAGCCCTTTCAAGTAGCTTACCCCACCCTACCTCTCCCCGGTGGGCTTTAAGAGAAGAAATCGCTGCCGAGTTTGCCGAGATAACGGACTGCACATTTTCTTATTACTCTCTAATCCTTACCCCTAATGCGACCCCTAGAACGATACTGGATGTGCTATCTAAACCTTCGGACCATCATTCCAGCAAAATTCCATTTCAAAAGGATGTCTCAACTCGTTTGCATAAGAGTTGGGTGTTTCGATTCCCTAATGGCGGTGAGGGCGGTGGTGATAACAACTAAGCCGTTGCGTTGATACCAGCTTCGAAGGAGAGTTTAGAAACTAAAAACCACAAAAAGATAGTTGTATCCAGCTGTATAATCAAATGGAGTCTCACGATCTATTTCAACTGGCAAGGAGAGCATTTATAAAGCCTAACAGACCGATAAAAGTTCTGTGAATCATCACCATTTGATGAAATCAAATATTCTATTTTATTCTTTTCAATGTGAGATAATTAAGTACTTCAGTTGCTGAAGTATGTTAGAAAGTTTATTTTTAGTAAGTAGAGTTGTAATGAAGTTCGAAGGCGTCCTCCTTAAGATTATCATCAGCAAAGGAATGGCTACCTTATCTTTATATCATGTACTTGATTATTTTAGCGCTATCCTCCGAGGTTATGAAAAGTGAGAAGAGTAAATGAGAAACATATTACCGCGTGTGAATCGAGAAGAATTCATATACTCTCGAGATCTCTTCCTTCTTGAACTCATCTTTATCATCTTTATCTTCTTGAATAGATGTTTCTGATTGTTCGAAGCGGACAAGAAACAGAAAATTGACCAGTATCGCAGTTTATCGATCAAAATCGTATTGTATTATCAGCTATCGTTAAAATTTATATACTACTGGGCTTAAATAATATGTAATTCATCTTGCGTATAAATGAATGTATTGCGAACCATTGTTGCCTAGGAACTAGAACCAGCCCTGAGCTCCATGAAATGCCAGACGACAATTTGCCACTTTAAAGAGTCAACCTATTGAAATATTGTGGCGATTATCGTAGGGGTAAAAGCTGGCTTATTGTTGTAATTACTAATGTGGTACTAAAACATGTCCATTTGGTCATTCCCCGTGGTGATAATCTGTGAAGTTAACCGGGTAAAGATTCCTTGGCGTTCTCAGAACTACCCATTATATGCGGAGTCAAGGTGCTTGGAGCAACGCGAGCACCAGGGTGTCCCGCGCAAGATCTCATCCTCCTCTGCCATCATCATCCACCATCCCCATTTCCATCAACCCCACCTCCTCCCATCATCGACTCCCCTTCAAGATCATCCCAATATCTATCAACAGTATTATATCTTTTGAACAGTCTCCGGAACCCTTTTGGAAAGCTATAAATCGGAATCAAAGAAACACCTTAAGTATGCCGGGCTTAAGTTCCGCCGCCGGTCTCATCGGTCTTTTGGATGAACCAGATCAACAGCTTAGGTGTTACGCTTTGCAGAAGCTGGACGAGCTGGTGAATCAATTCTGGCCAGAAATTGCAGATAGTGTTTCGAAAATGTTTGTTGAAACCTCATCGGCGTCTGCACATGTGCTTGCCTCGGGAGCAGATGGTTTCATCAGATAAACTTAATACCACGATAGAACCATCAATAGCTAATTATGATGAGGTATATAGTGAGGTCTTGTACGAAGATGAGCAGTTTTCGGAACGCCAACTCGCCGCTCTTGTAGCTTCCAAGGTCTATTATCACCTCGGCGAGTATGACGAATCTATGATCTTCGCACTCGGAGCTGGAGAGCTGTTTGACATCACCGCTAAAAGTGAATACGTTGAGACAATAATCTGTAGCTATACCCTTATGCTCGGCAGTCTACAAGCCAATCTCTTGAATAATAGTCGCTGACGAAAGGGCCCAGCAAAATGCATTGACAAGTACATTTTGATCAACTCCCACAACGACTCCATTCTTTCATCTCCTCCTACTTTGCTATCATCTTTGGTCGACGATGCTTCCTTTCCTACAACCAATCCAGCTAAGAAGGAAACTCTTGAAACAGTTGACCCAAGGCTGCAAGACATTGTAGAACGAATGTTTCGAAAATGCTATGAGACAGAAGATTACAAACCAGCAATAGGGATTGCTATTGAGGCTAGGCGACTAGATGTTGTGGAAGAGGGCATCAAATTAGCAAGTCAACGGAGCAGAGAAAGGAAGGGTAAAGTTAAGGAAGTAGAAGATGAGAAGGATGGTGGCGTGGAATTAATGGATTACGTACTAGACATAACTATGGGAGTCGTTCAGGAAATTGGATTAAGAGAAAAGGTTTGTTTCCCAGTACACCCAAGTTCTACAGATCATTTTTCGCTCTGAGTTTTTATGACGAAGCTAATTCTTTCCTGTATTTTCAAAGCTTCTTCGCCTCTTGGTCAATCTATTTCTCGCCCAAGCTTCACCCGACTATTTCTCGATTAGCAAGTGTGTAATTCATCTTAACGACACATCTCTTGCCGCAAAAATTCTCCAAGAGCTTGTTCAAAAAGAGGACTCAAAATCTCTCTTAGTAGCCTACCAAATCTCCTTCGACTTGGATTCTTCTGCTGCCCAAGAGTTCCTTCAAAAGGTTGCGAGCGAACTCCCTGGATCTGATGTAGATGAGTCTGATGCATTGAGTACTGCTGCAACAGCCGGCGGCGACACAATGATAACAGATTCTACGGAGGACGACGAAAACACAAGATTGCTTGGGGGTAGTGGAAGTTCAACTACCTCTATATCTAAGATAGATAAATACTATCGTTCAATTCGCCAAATCCTCCGTGGAACAAAGAGTATTGAGCTTTCTTTGGAGTTCTTGTACCGAAACAACCACACGGATATGACAATTCTCAACAAAATTAAAGACTCGCTTGAAGCCCGGAACTCAATTTTCCATACTGCCGTGACCTTTTCGAATGCGTTCATGAATGCTGGAACGACAAGTGATGGGTTTTTCAGAGCAAACCTAGAGTGGCTGAGCAAAGCGGTCAACTGGTCTAAGTTTACTGCGACTGCTGCTTTAGGAGTTATCCATCGTGGAAACCTCAGTCAGGGAATGAAGCTGCTCGAACCATATCTTCCACAAGAAGGTGTCGCAACCGGATCTCCATACTCCCAGGGCGGTAGTCTGTACGGTTTAGGCTTGATCTACGCCAACCATGGAACGGATGTGCTTGAGTTCTTAAGAAAACAGTTTAAGAATGCCGGAGACGAGATGGTACAGCATGGTGGCGCTTTGGGGCTCGGTGTTGCTGGAATGGCTACAGGGAATCTTCACATTTACGAAGAACTTAAGTCAGTTTTGTATAGTGATTCTGCGATAGCCGGAGAGGCAGTCGGGTTGGCCATGGGTTTGGTTATGCTGGGGACGGGAAATGCAACGGCGCTTGAGGATATGATTCAATATTCACACGAAACACAGCACGAGAAGATTATCCGAGGAATTGCAATCGGGATGGCCTTAATAATGTTTGGAAAACAGGAAGCCGCCGATGATCTGATTAATACATTACTTGATGACCCTGATGCAACATTGCGTTATGGGGGTATTATGACTATTGCACTGGCCTATTGCGGTACCGGAAGCAACAAGGCAATTCGACAACTCTTACACGTGGCTGTAAGCGACGTTAACGATGACGTTCGGAGAGTTTCGGTTATGAGTCTTGGGTTTATACTCTTTCGGAAACCAAGTGCTGTGCCAAGAATTGTTGAACTGTTGAGTGAAAGTTACAATCCGCACGTTAGATACGGTGCATCGCTCGCCTTGGGAATTTCATGTGCTGGCACCGGTCTTGACGAAGCCATTGATCTCCTAGAGCCAATGATCAAGGACCCCACCGATTTTGTACGACAGGGTGCGCTAATTTCAATGGCCATGATCCTTGTTCAGCAGAATGATCAAATGAACCCGAAAGTCGCTTCTCTACGGAAAACATTCGAAAGCATGGTTGCGGAGAAACATGAAGATGCTATGGCCAAGTTTGGAGCTGCTCTTGCGTTAGGTATCATCGATGCTGGTGGTCGTAATGTTACTATTGGACTTCAAACGCAGACCGGAAGTTTAAACCTCCCAGCTATCGTGGGAATGGCAGTGTTCACACAATACTGGTACTGGTTCCCATTGACACATTTCCTCAGCTTGAGCTTTGTTCCAACTGGGTTGATCGGTTTGGATGAAGAATTAAATGTGAGTAATCGTTCTTTTTTCTAGTTAACTTCTTTTGCTCACGGGTTCCAGATTCCCGATTTCAAGTTTTATTGTAACACAAAGCCTTCCCTTTTCGACTACCCTCCAAAGATTGAAGAGTCCGCGGAAAAAGTTCCCGAGAAGATTGCTACAGCCGTTCTATCCACAACAGTGAAGGCACGCCAACGGGCTAAACGTTCTGAAAAGGAAAAGGCTGCTAAAGCTGCTGCTAGAGGTGAAGACATGATGGAAACCGAACCTACAGTTTCGACACCTGTCACACCAGGACCATCTGCTGTAGAAGGGGATGACAAGATGGAGATCGAGGATGATGGCGCTGATAAAAAGGAAGACGGAGAGAAGAAAGATGGCGAAGTCGAGAAAAAGAAAAGGGCGGAGAAAGAGAAAGTCGGTTACGAGGTTGTAAACATGGCTAGGGTATTACCAGAACAGTTGAAGTACATCAGTTTCCCAAATGAGGGCAGGTATGAGCCAGTTAAAAAGGTATACTCACTCTTTCTCATTGAATCTCCTAATCTATTTACTAATTTATTTTTAGCCTACTGGTGGAGTATTATTGCTGCTGGATCGTACACCCGATGAGCCTGTTCAGCCTCTAGAATTGAAGGTTCGGAAAGCACCTGTTACTTCTGGCCCTGGTCACTCTGTTGGTGGATCTGCAAACCAAGATAATACTGGGGGGGCGGCCGCTGCTGTGAATATTCTCAATGCCGAGGATGATGAAGGTGACGATGACGCACCAGTGCCAGAGGAGTTTGAATATCACACGGACAGCGAAGAGTCATAGATGGTTCCTTTGTGTGAAATGGATTTGGCGGAGACCAGTGTATCTAGCATAAACTTTGACGTTTCGTGTTCTTGTTCAAGTATTGTTATTTCATTCATGCGGGCCAATTTATTCGTGTCGCAGCAACTAGAGGTTTATTCAATCCTTTAACTATAGTCGATTTAGAGGCTTTTGATTTAGGTGGTATAGAGGCTCAAGGCAAATAACATGGCCTCCCGGTTTACCTTTCTGCGCAGACCCACAGTCATCCTGCTGTCTTGGACATGTTTTATTGCGCTTCACCATCACTAAAGTTAAGATATAATTCCGTAAGTAGTAGTTGAGGGACGATGAGTAGGACTAGATTGTCCAGCAATTCCTTTTATGAATAGGGATAATAAATTATTAAGTCCTATAATAATATTTCGGTTTAGAGTGGAGTATCGAACCAATATTGAAACAATCTTTAATTATTTGCGGGCTGATATGTCCTCGGAATCAAGTCGATTGGAAGATTGAAAGAGCACGATTATGGTGCTTTGGAATGAATGATCCTTCTGACAGGAAAGCGATATCCTGACCTTCCACAAGCCGGCCCTAAGGCCTCATCCATTGCGTATTGCCGCCATGTTAACAGTAAATCCGATCTAAAGTTCTTCTTTTCACATATTTTGAATAAGACAGTAGGTTAAGAAAAGCACATAAAACCGCACCGGTTTCGCTTGCATTATTTAAGGCGAGTGATGGCCATTTTTCCGCGGCACAAATTATCACCAAAAACTATTACAGAGATGACGAAATTTTAAATAACGATACTGATTCTCTTGGAGCTGATATCCATATATCCACCAACCCTCTATCTACCATCGATAAGACCCTCACACGTACCAATGAAGTCAATCGATGCCACCCCAACTCTGCGGCACTGAAGCCACTGATCCACGTCACCGCATATCTGTATTCCAGCATTCCCTGAAGTCACCAACTTCGTACACTTCGATCCAGTGAGACTATACTGCCTACATTGGACGCCGCTACCCCGGTCGTAGAGCATAAGAACAGCTCTAAGAACATCACCGACAATGGGGGAATTGTCTGTGGTCTTGCAATTGTATGTGATCTCTTCGTCGATTGTAGAGTGTTCCAGCTTCAGGTGAGCGATGAGACTGCCGATGGGAGAGCTTGTGGCGTCCTGAGTGGAAAGAGAAGTACCAATGAGCAGGAGGAAGCAGAAGAAGATAGTGAGTAACATCATTATGAGGGTGTGTGGCTCCTTTCTTTTCGTGGGTTATGTTTGTAGTGGTTTTTGGCTGGTATGTTTCTTAATTTCGTGTGTTTATAGACAGACATGAGTGATATTCTATGACCTAAATGCCCAGTCTAGAGAAAATTTTCCACCGCAAACCAGAAAACCACGCATAAGCTCTAACCTATTTCATTATAGAATACAATAAAAGCGAAGCCATACCTTGGCTTTATCCTACGTATACTTTCTGCATATGCCCACTTATTCATCGTCAAGGAGTAAGGCTTTTAACAAAATATCTTCTAGCTGTTAACGTTTCTGATCATTTCAAAAGGATACCACGATACGAGGTGCCTCAATCACAAGAGGAACATACAGTTTTTATTCAGAAAATAAGCTACACGTAGTAGTTGCGGGAAAGAATACACAGAAATTTCCATACGTCCTTAAAGTTTCTTAAACCATAGAATGCAGTGATAAATTATAATTTACTGTAGGCATACACCCGGGAAATGTCTAAGTTCTACGATAAGCTTTCTTTTTGATGCTATCACTAGAAGCAAAAAGATTATTCTAATGTTTCAGTCGAGCGCAGGCCTTTGAAACAAGGAGAATCGAGTTAAAATAGCTTGAAGTACTCTTATAGCGAGGAGCGTAAATAGAGATAGCTTTTTGAAGAGAACAATATATCGAACCTTTAAAAGGGTTTTCTTTGACTTATGACGGTAAAGAGAGCCTTTAGTGACAAATGATAAAGGTCTTGGCAATTTTAAGAGATGGAATTTCAACTAAACCGCAGCTTGAAGCTCGGTTTCACGGCACGCAAATTGCCGGGATGACATCTGCATGTACGTTTGGGGTTAGGTGAATTATGAATTCTCATTGCCGTATTACCGATTCGATTCGGGTGATGATTCGCACTAGACGTTGCAGCTGGCTCTTTCTGGTTAAGGTCATAGGATTAAGGGTCCATTAGCGAAGCTAGTACTCGTGGAAATCATGGCCATGATAAACCTTAACCTTAAAGCTAAATCCAACCTCAGTTGTGCTTACCACACACTTCGATACTACTAAGGTTTTATCCTTTCCTCAAGAGACCCCCGAAAACAACCTCTCGTCCATGTCCATTCATTAGGATGTATACATGCTGTTAATCGAAACCATTTTGAAATAGAAAGCAAGACACGAGTTTGTACCCCAATATGCAACGACTTTCATATCTGGCTGTGGCGGAGATGCTAAAAAAACATAGCTGCCGGAAGTTGACAGAGTCGTATCTAAGAGCGAGAAAATGAACAAATAACTCCCCAGTTGTGATAAGAAACGAAACATTAGAGATCTAGGTAGAGTACAAATCAAATTTCAAGGCGATCAAGAATATTTACTTAACAAAGGTCTTGGCGTGGTGAGCGTTGCAATACTCATATGGAGTATCAAATTTCATGTTCCACAGGAAAACTTTAAGAGTCGGGAATAGACAAGCTTTAGAAATTCTCTCGGCATTACCAGCTATACGGATCGTTGTAGTCCCATTATTCAGGCAAGGGTCAACCAAGACAATTGGCACAGAACGACTGGGTTTTCAAAGGCACAGACAGACGCATCAAATTTGCGTAAGTACATAATTAATCGTCATTTGTAATCGAAAACCAACAAATTCATGGAATTAGCTGCAGCCTTCCCCACTTGATGCAAATAAACCTCGGTAGCCTGACATGTCCATACATATATTTGAATTCGGCACCATCTACCCGTCTAAGTTTACCGCCAGATGACGTGCTACATAGATATGGTCTTATATGCGGCAAGTCGTAGTCGAGACTGTATGTCGCCACCCCCAAAATATCCTTTAAGCAGCATCTATCTCTGCTGAAGATTACTATATGGGAATATCACGGGCCCAACTTTATCTACTATCTCCGCACTCTGCATTCTTAAACGGAGAGATAATTCCTCAGGCTAAAATAAAGTTTGAGCACCTTCCCCGATGCTATAGATTGTCAATAATGTGCAAGGGTCTCGGGGCACCAGCGGGACAAAGCTTTGGGCACACTTCCCGGGGGGTCAACGTCGTGTATGTACATCTGCTTTTGACTGTTAGTATGGGGAGAAAGATCGACCACTAGTAGGAGATGAATTGCATCTTATCGGTAATTTCTTGAAACTCTTGCCGTTTCGATACCTGCGCTATGTGCCGTGCTATCAAGAACTTACATACATGTATGCTGTTGGACGTGATTTAAGAAACCGGATTACCGTATAAGAGATAAAGCATTCCCTCTCCTTCCTCTGTGATTTTTATCTTTACCAGTAGCTAGCTGCAAAGGTGTTTGCTTTAAAACCATCAGTTATGGCAGCTAAGAACGATGACAAGATTGCCATGTCCGGCGAAGATGTTTACGAATACCCTCGAGTTGGTCCCCAATACTCTGATACCGGGGATTTCCAGGATAGAACGATCTCTGTGAGGGATTGGTTCACTGACCTTTTCTCTGATATTCCTGGTCAACTTCTTTATTATGTCAAGTCTCTTTTTCCTATTGCTACTTGGATACATCGCTATAATCTCACCTGGTTCACCGGAGATGTAAGGCCTTTCATTAGCTCAATATGTGTTCAAAGAGCCAATTACTTACAGATAGCGTGCAGATTATTGCAGGACTTACTGTTGGGGCTGTTGTTGTTCCGCAATCCATGAGCTACGCCCTGCTTGCTTTCATGGGCCCTGAGTATGGGTTGTATTCGAGTTTTGTCGGTGTCTTCATCTACTGCTTCTTTGCTACTAGTAAAGACGTTACAATTGGGGTGAGTTTAGGAGTAATTTTCAATCTTAGCTTAAACATGAATCCAACTAACAATAATATATCGTCAGCCTGTTGCTGTGATGACTCTTGAAGTTGCAAAAGTCATCACTCATGTTAGGGAGATACACGGCGATACATATTCGGCCCCAGAAATTGGCTCAGCACTTGCGTTGATTTGTGGGGCTATCTCAATTGGTATTGGCCTCTTGAGAATTGGATTCATTTTGGAATTTATCCCTGGTAAGCATTTCCGCATCCGTACAACACAAGGTCTTGAACATCTCTAACAGGGTCATCTAGCTCCCGCTGTTGCTGGGTTCGTTACAGGGAGTGCTTTTACCATCGCAACAACCCAAATCCCTGCACTTATCGGTGTTCAAAAGTTGTTCAACACCCGCGATGCCTCATACATGGTCATCATAAACACACTGAAGCACCTGCCAAATGCAAAACTTGATGCAGCTTTCGGATTTACGGCTCTATTTGGACTATATTTCATACGCTGGGTACTCAATAAACTGACGAAAAGATACCCACAGCATAAGAGGAAATTCTTCTTCGCAAATGTCACCCGAAATGGAGTCGTGGTTATTATAGTTACTCTTGCTTCATGGCTTATTACAAGACACGATCCCAAGGGACATGCAAGAATCACAATTTTGAAGGATGTGCCAAGAGGTTTTCGACATGTTGGTCCTTTGAGGATTGATACTCCTTTAGTTCAGGCTATTATGCCGCATATTCCTGTTGCTGTAAGTGTATTTGTTGATGTGGGTTCCTGAAAGTTTATTAACAGTTTCAAATAGACTATAATTCTGTTACTTGAGCATATATCCATTGGTAAAGCCTTTGGTAGAATCAATGACTACAAGATCAACCCAAACCAAGAGGTTATAGCTATCGGGGCTACAAACATCATTGGAACATTCTTTGGTGCTTACCCAGCCACTGGATCATTCTCACGTACTGCACTCAAATCAAAGTCTGGAGTTCGTACACCAGCTGCAGGCATCATCACTGGTCTGGTAGTTATTTTGGCTTTGTACGCGCTTACAGATGCATTTTATTTCATTCCTATGGCTGGTTTAGCTGCGTAAGTATTCTGTCCCACCCTCACCATAACCAAAGCTAACTTTGCATGGGAATTAGTGTGATCATACACGCCGTAGGAGATTTGATGACACATCCCCGCCAACTTGTCGTTTTCTGGCGTGTACAACCCATTGAAGCGGTTATCTTCTTAGCTTGTGTATTTATCATCGTCTTCACGAACGTTGAAAACGGCATTTATCTTGCAACTGGTGGTGAGTTCTTCAGACCTTTGGGATTACACAATTAGAACTCTTGCTGAATTCAGTTAGCTTCATTGGCACTTCTACTTTGGCGGATCGCTCGCCCCAGAGGTCAATTTCTAGGAAAATTGCAGGTATCTGACGGTAAAAATACCAAGGATGTTTGGGTTCCAATCGACCGGCGGACAATCAACCCGCACGTCAAGGTCCAGAATCCGCCTCCTGGAGTAATTGTCTTTCGTCCTACTGAATCATTCACCTATCCAAATGCCACTAGTCAAGTCGACTGTGTAGTGGATGAAGTTAGACGCATCACGAAACGTGGAAAGCAAAATGCTTGGCCAACCCTCGGGGATCGCCCGTGGAATGGTAAGTTTGCAATATAAACTTCTCTATGAGAATTCAATCAATGACTAATAAAACATAGATCCTGGCCCACGATCCGGCATCAGCGCTGAAGCTGCCCGTAACGATAAACGCCCTGTAATGCGAGCCGTTGTCATTGATTTCGGTTCCGTGGCCACTATCGACTCCACTGGTATCCAAAGTCTTGTGGATGCGAGGCACCAGATCAACAAGTACGCTGACCGGGAAGTCGAGTTCCACTTTGCCAATATCATATCTCCATGGGTTCGTCGTGCACTTATCTCAGGAGGGTTTGGATTTGGATTACCACTGAAAGACTTTACGGAAATGGCGCCTGTGGAGCCGGAGAACTCATCTTATATGGGCAATAGTTCAAGGAACGGTCCAGACTCAAATGATCTTAAGTATAGGTTGAAGAATTATGTTACGAACACGGACTTTAAGGATAAAAGGTTCCGGACAAAAGATGGGTACGATATCAATGTCGAAGAAAAGGGAGTAGGGGAAGAGGAACAGACACGCTGGGCGGCCCTTATTTCGAACGATACCCCATTCTTTCATTTGGAAATACCAGATCTTTCGGTTCTGCCTCCTGACAAGAGAGAGGCCGATGCAGACTCTGATTTTGGGCTTGAGAAGGTTCACGAAGAGGAAGACCTTGATGACTCCAAATCTGTCTAGATTGTTTTTGTTTTATTTATTTACGATGATTTGGGTCTGCCAGTTATGTTGGATTTTTATGTTATATTTATTATACCCATAGCTGTTTTGGATATATTGAGCTGTGCACAGAAAATATAGCATACATGTATCCTCTCAGGTGCCATTCTCGAGCGGTTATGATATATGTGATCAACCATTATATTTATCCAAAAAGGAGTATGAATTCCCCAGAAATCGGGATTCCGGCACAGCTCGCTTATCAAACCTATGGCGGCACGTTTCTTGACTACCTTCTTTATAGCACAGGCCACCAAGATCTAACTTCCTAATCAAGCGAGTGTCTCATGGGCTTTGCCCAAAGGCCTTAATTTATACCGATATGTACATCTGGAAGCTGTTACGCCCGTAGAACCTTACAAGATCCAGGAGATGGTTACATGTATTTAAGGGCCAGGCCGAATATTATGCCTTTTAAAGGCAATTACTCACCCAAACGTTATGATAAGATTAATCGCAGGATTGCTCAAATGCTTGCTTTAATAGCCGCGTAGTTACCTCTCTGCCTCGGCAGCGTTCGTAGAACAGTGCTGAAAGATATATTGATACTACATACTCGGCTGTAACAATCGATACAGCTAGTTCTGTTTAGTGTGGTAAGTAATATATGTATATATCGGATTACATGACAGACTCACGCGCAATTGAAAGGCATGCAACCGTCTGTAGTAATCTTATATAATCCAGTCCGTTTCACACCCCCACTCCGACGATCCCATTAGTCTGTGATTTTATGTAGAGTACCGTGTAGAGATACATGTACATAGGTACTTTGCATTTCTGTAGTGGTACGCGTTTTCGGGCAAATCCCCCTTGAAATCTGATTTAAATTGGTTAGCCTATATTAACACCACCACCACATGATTAGTAGCAAAGTAATCGTCAACTATGAGAGGCCTCTACCCTCCCAGTTCCAAACTGATGCTTCTTCAACTGAAATATCCGAGGCCCTCCTTTATTGTATATAAGCATAATAATCGCTTTGAAACGGAATGATTTAGTGCAATATGTTAATAAGAAAGATCGGTGGCTTGGTGATTTGGCGCCGAGAAGGCGTGATGCAGTAGAACACAAGCTTTGCTCGACGGAGGACAAGCCTCTTGGCAAAAGCTTATCCTGTCTGCGCGGCTAAAAACGGTGGATAGCCACATGTTTCTCCGACCTAGAATGCTGCGGTTTTTCTGATAGAAATATGGTGAATTACTCCCTAGGTAGACAATTACATGTAACTTTCTTCGGGGTTAGCTCGGGTCCAAAATATCCATCCCCCCGCAAACAAAGGTGTGCTAAAAATCATCTCCCCATTGGTGATTGGTGAACATGTAACGACTAAAACTAATCAAGTTTCAAGGGCACCGGAACTATCGGGCACTTTGCAGGACCTGAATAGGAATCTGGGAGGGGCAACCTCTTGCTGATCCTTCTGTTTAGTTGTGCTCAACCAGTCTATTGGGAGGCGTGGAGTGAGCATACTAAGGTAAATCTTTTAAGAATAGTAGTGCCAGTATACCAGATACAGCTCAATCATGAGTCACCTGGGCCGGTATCTATCAGGATTTGTCAGGACCAACTCTGTTCGATTGTGTGGTTGGCTAGAGCCGAAGATCATGGCGTGTTTGGATGACTTGATACGATAGGCCAGATAGATGCCAGCAATGTTACGTTGACAAGCAAAGAATAAACTAGGTCACGATGGTACCTGGAACTACATATAGCTGGTGTGTCCTCTAGCCACTTGTCCAATGTCGCTACACACGCAGTAGCCCTAACCCAGCAGTCATGGCATCTTCTTCTTTATATGTAGCCAGGCACTGCACACTGCCCTGATTCAAAGACCGCTTTGTACCCTCTACAGGACGTAATACACGTGATTAGGGTCCCTGGTGCTTGTCAATGTGGGAAGGTCCCGTTTTGTAATTAAAGTATAAGTACATCTCTGAGGAAACATACGTACGCACACATCACATACTCGGCAATTTTGTATATCGATCCGTCGGTGTCCGTTTATGCATGTCTTGTCAACCTAGAATCTCGGTGGAGCCGCCCGCCGATGAATAGGCTGCATGATTTACATTTTGTTATTATAGATTCACACCTATTATACTTACCTCGGGTGGACTAGCAATTGAACCGAGCACCAGGGAATAATCTAAAAGTACATGTAATAATTACAGGGGTAACGATTTAAGATTTCTCAGCCAATGAAGAAAAGCACTATCAATCCCCGTCTTCCATATGAAGATCACCCTCCGAAGTGTGCCTCACGAACAAGTAGGCAGGGTCGATCACGGGTTGTCGCGAGTGACACTCTATGACCCCATTAAATGACACTTACTTACTTATAGTAGCCGGTTCTAGTCAACATCAAGAACCAAAAGTCACCCCGCTTAAGCCTAAGACCAGATAAAAAGGGTTTAGTGGTGTTAGATCCAACCCTGCTTGCGCCCAGCCTACCTTCCTTGGCGCCGGCCTCAGGCTATAAAATTATGAACTGCGCGGTAAGTATTTCTTTCAAAATTAATTGAATTGAATTTTTGTTTTTATTGAGCCGGTCTCGAAGACAACGTGGCCGAGTGGTTAAGGCGACAGACTCGAATTCAATTCGTGGTATCTGTTGGGTTCGCCCGCATAGGTTCAAATCCTGTCGTTGTCGTTACAATTTGACAAAAACTCCTCTTCACAGGGGAGACTCCTTTTGCTTCGAAAAATTTCTAGAAATAGAACAGAGCTTGAAGTAAGAAGTGATATGCTAATTTTATTTTTCTCGATTGAGATTACGTCTACACACAGCTACATACATACCTTCATTCCCCAATAGAAGCTAATACACAAGATATAATTTAGTATTATATAAGAGTTCTCCATATTATCATTGAGCAAAGTTATTTAGAAGATACAACTTTAATCACCAAATCTCACTCGGATACATATCCAAGAAAAGCCTAAGTCTACTGACTGGATGCGAGTGATCTTTCGTGCTCAAAGGGTCGATGCCATGAAAGGATACAGCAATGCCGATAGGTGCTAGCCTGGCTGCTCGTTTCGAGGTTACGGGAAATACTGTGACTAGTCTAAATATTTCAATCCTAGTTCACTCTCAGACGAATCAAGTTCGAAGGGACGAGGACAAAGAGGAGGAGGTCAGGGAGATGGGCATGGGATGGGGCGGACTGAAAGATAACCCGTAGTTATGGGGACGGGATCAAGGAAAAATGGGTTCAAGGACATAACTAGCGGCTTCATAAGTTACTTTCTCTTTTCTGTTCCTTTGTTGTTATTCAGTAAGTGGTGGAGGAGACTGGGAAGTTCTGGGGCAGTGTGATATTGTCATAGACTACGGTCCGCATACAATTAATTAAACAAAAAAAAAAAAAAAAAGACGAATCAAGTTACTATTTTTCACCCAATCTCCGGCTTTGGGTCGGGCCGGTCCGTTTGCTATATCACGAAAATAATAACGGAAGCTCCCACACGTGCTACATTTATTTGTCGAGACTGTAACGCGAGCTCTTTCGGTGTTACTGTCGTTCTAGCTATTGTGTGAGTCGGTGAAGAGTACATTGTGGCCTGTGTACCCTATGTGCGCGTGATACTTGGTCTTGGCAAGTTTCACGAAATCTTACTTTGTTACTCTGGTACAAATAAAACCCGAGTTTGTCTGCCTTTTCTAAAGGGTTTATGAATACAATACTAATAATAGAGGGCAGGGGCACAGGTATAGGTACAGGTTTAACAGGGACGACTTGTTACAAGCTGGTCTTAGAATCTTGTTGTTTTTTGTCATTCCCAGCTACATAAGATACCCACGGGGACAGTCCGGGTACGGCCGCATTCGACGGGAAACAGCTTCCTGAAAATACTGTGTTTAATAGCCCCCATTGAAACTACGATATCTCCGGTATAGAGGTATCTGTTATGCCAGTCAGTAGCTATGAATATTCCGGAAAGGCCGTAGCTGTTCCCCGTGGGATCCTCTACTTGAAAAGGTGCTTAAATATTTGGCTTTAATAATTGTATTAGTAAGATTAATTTCACTACCGAGGCAGAGCCCCTTGAGCAGATCCCCTAAAAAAAGAATGGCGCGTGCACGTGCTTCTAGGTCTTAGCGTGGGGTTGTACGTGTGTTTTAGCTCGCCGGCTGTGCGGCAGGGCGAGTGATCGTCCACGCTACTAAGGTCTTGTCAATTGGATGCAGAGTAGCACTAGTAACGAGTGATTTTTTATGATAGTTCCCCTTTACCGTCTGTGTAGCATAACGCTAACTAATAGGCTAGTGCCATTAATAATGTCACTCACGAATTCAAAAGCAAAGATCAATCGGTATTTACAACTTCAGGTTAGGTTTCGGAGGTCTAGGTATAACCAACACTTATGTTGATATATTACTCTCAGGTGACTCATCTTATACATAGATCATCTTCCTTCCCGGTGTTCTGCGTGTTCTATTATGATAAAACATCGGGCTAGAACCCGTCTTTCAGGCCTACATCCTCTCATCCCCTCTGTCTCTCATGCATGTGGTAATTTCAGCATATGCATCTTTGCAGATCCGATAGAAGAATTCAAAGGTTCCATGTCCCAATGGAACCCCAGTCTCTCTCGAGGATACAGGCACTGCATCATGCAGATGTGGGCTGAACAGTTTCCATCCCGAGTTTCTTTTCCAGAAATTAGTTCACATACTCGGGTACAGGAGAAAGAACCAGAAAATGCAATAGGGTTATTTGTATGGCAGAGCGGCGCCACTCCATACAAATAATCCCTGTATCGTCACTTGCATTTTCTGGTTCTTATTCCTGTACCCGAGTATAGCTCCGGAAACCCCACGGGGACACGTTTTGAGGCAGTTAGCCTTGCAGAAGATCGTCATATTAACTTCCTCGCGCAAGCTGTTGTGCGTACATGAGTGGCGTTCTGTCTGCAGTACCATATTTTAATAACTTGTGATATAGCATATAGAAATCGCAAAGGCACATACCTGGTAGGGCTGAAGCACACATGATCTCGAGTTCTGAGAACTATGCCAAACTAAAGTTCACGTCAAAGAGATATACATGCATGTAACTTGCCTACATGTAGTTATATATATACAGCTTGCGGTAAATTTATTGTAGAAATATGGGAGGAGTCCTATTGGCTTTCCCAGCCATAGAAACCCTGTTTTTACAATAATTTTATCTCTCGCTGTATATACGTACCAAATTATAAAATAATAGTTATGGATATAGCGGGTACTTTAAATTACTTGTTGGGAGATATGGACGCAGAATTTAGATGAAAGCGCTTCTATATGCGGCATCAATAATCTATTCATCAATGTCCTCTCCCTTTTTTCCTTTCTTGATGCGCTCCTCCATTCGCTGTTTAGCCTTCTCCTTGGCTCCATTCAACCATTCGTCGTATTTCCCTTCCTTCAAATTCGAAGCGACAACGTTTTTCAGTACCTCATGAGTAAATCCGACAAAATTGTGTCTCCTGAGCTCGTTCTCCCAAGTCCACATCTTCCTTTTATCATCCTCCCTTGTTACTGTCTCTACGTCCCCAATCTCCGAAGCTCTAATTCTCGGATCCTGGATCATGGCAAGCAAATTGAAGCGGATTTCTGTGGCAGGATACCTATTAATCCTACGCTGTAGAACAGGGATGATCTTGTCGCAAAATTCCGAATCGCTACAAGATCCGTGGGAAATTGGAGACGGTTGTAGTCCGTCGAGCTCATATAAAACACCGTTGACGGGTGTATATGCGATAAAGTGGTAAACATCGTCGTCCTCGGTTGCAGCACGTGTGCCCTCATCAATGAAGGGACTTGATCGAGCAAATGAATTATGAACGTCGCGAATTAATTCTGACCCACAATTAGCTATGGCCAGTAACACCACGCATTATTTAAACTTACCTGAGTTTGATAGAGCTTCCCCACGCAACTAAAAAAGGAAATATGAGTTTATGTTTGCGAAAATGCGAAAGAATGTCAACAGCTTACCTCTGCAGGGAACGCTTGTGTGAATTCTCGAAAGTCCCTTAGTGAATCTCCAACTTGAAGATCTCCTCTATTCAGTAAAACTGATAGAATAGCTTGTGTTGCACATGCATTTTGAATGGTCTGGTTCGCAAAGAAGATGTTTTCGGAAGCTTCGAAATCGTATTGCCCATCGACAGCCTCATCCGTTTTCTTCTCACCTACCGGGTATTTGAACAGGAAGATTACACCATATACGGGACTGAATTTGAATAACTAATGTTAAAGAAAGCCACTTACGGCAGCTAAGTGAGGGGATAGCGCACCTTTGTTGCTTGAGGGAATATGCATCCAAAGATATCATCTCTTCAAATTGTACATTCTTGACGCCGAGATTCTCCACCAGATAGGTAAAAACACCCTACAAGCAGTGAGCTTGTTAGCGTAATGTAAAGAGGATAAGGATGTCATCAATGGGTGAGAACTTGCAGCATCCGATTCAATGGTGTTCCAGCCCCCAGACATGATGAGCTGCAAGCAGTTATGTGCTCGTTAGTATTTCTTGTTGTAAAAAGAACGGAACGGGGACCGGTGCCGTTGTGCAAGTTGACCAAGTGGGGAGCGGGGGTTGATGCTTATGGAAGAGACGACAGACTGTGAGAGGTCCGAATAAACACATCACTAGCGCACCCCAGAGGCGTGGAGGCTCTGCAAATATTTGTCAGCCGGTTCTTTTTGGAACGTTACATCATTGGACCTGAAACCTTTCCTAACTAGATTCCTTAGCACTCCCAGCCCTAAAACATTTGGCAGAATCGACCCATAAGGACATTTTTCGCTCTGAGAAAAGTGAGATTGTAGCATGTACTTAGTTATCACCGAGTAGCCTTACGTAGGTGGATACAGTAGTGTATGTATGCATATGCTCTTCAAGTACTCAAGATAATAATTCTGTACGTTCATGCAGGGATTAATGACGATGTCAAGGATCTAATGACTGGGACGTACATATACCCACATACATGTATGCCTATTCAAGTATATTTTATAAATTACACATACGCCATTATACATCAATACAAGCCAAGTTTACTCGATAAGAATGCTTAGTGTTCTTATCTGTAGAATAAATCGCTCTTTGAATAGAGAGCCAAGAGTCGAGATTCGGTATTGCTGTTCCTAAATCAGTTACTATATCCGTTGTATGCAGTCATCATCAGCATGTAGTTTCGAGTATTGTGCAAAAAAAATTCTGCCTGGGGTAGTAGAGCTAGGGTTTAAACTTTGAATGTTATGCAGCTCCCTAGCTGGGGAATATTCCACCAGGGGTGATCACTAAACACAGCCCCGGACCATATTATCGATTCGGAATTACTCTGTGCATAGAATCGATATGAACTTTACGGTTATAAAGCACAAGCTATAAATATAACGTGGAGTTGATTCAGTCAACTTTAATTAACTCTAAGAAATCACGAGAATAGACATTCGATAATAAGAAATAGTAGTAACAAATGAGAAAACAAAACAAACTGAACCTTTTAAGCCCACCCACCGGCCAAACACCTGTTCTTCCCGTATTATGGTGCACTGCACCGACGCTCGCATCATGATGCATAAACACGAGCTAAAGCCAAAGTAACTAAGAAGAAATATCGATACATATGTATTACTCAAAGCATCTCAAAGGTGAGTGAATAATTCTAAAACCCTTGTAAACCCTGCTCCATCTATTAATCTTCACAGTTTTGCAAATTCCCATGTCCCACAACCATCAAGAATCCCAATTCCCACGAAGATGATCTGGCGATGTAGGCGTACTTGGCAGATGTGTCATAAGCGGGCTAGGTGACATCGAAAAACTCGAAAAGGAATTGACGTCGAACCCGTTGGTGGGTGTACACAGAGGTGTGTGCAACAAATTAATGCCGTGCTCTGTTTTGATCATGGGTACCTGGTTGCCAAAGCCGTGCTCGTAATCCATCATTTCGCTTGCATGCTCGGATTCGACCGGAGAATTGATTTCCTCTATCGTCCTCCAACCCATTCTCAGTTTGAATTCATGCACCATTTCCAGTGGGAAATCCATTAAACTGATTGGCCATTCCAGAACCTTCCCTTCCACCCCCTCAGAATTAAGCCTTAATAATGTCTTATGGATCTCCTCGATGGGACCAATTGACATTGCACCGAAGTAAGCTGCGCCAACAGCTGGGAACAAAGGCTCTACAGCAAGAGCAACACCATAGAAATGAGCGAGGAGGATCATGACATCGGGATCCCGTTCGACCCGCTTAACAAAGTCTATAGGAAGGAAGAAGAGCCAGGAACGCAAGGGATATATATGCTCGAATTGTTCCTCTGGCGATTGTATAGGTATATAATTCTTTAGATTTTGGATGAAATTGATAAGCTCGTTCAGCCCCCTCTCTTCCTCAATCTTCCCGCTGACGTAAGGCTGTAATCGTTCTAAAGAATTGAATATGTGATTTAGCACCTGCCTATCACGTTCCGAGTTCACAATTTGCGGCCGGTATGGTGTCCTTCCGAATATCTGTTTCTCTTCGATAAAATCACTGAGCTGGCTTTCGCCTTTCCACTCTTGCATCTCATCTATCACAGTAGACGTTCCTTGCATCAAACTGGCCCATGTACGCCTGAAACATATCTCAGTCACTGCCCAGGCCTGATTGCCAAGGTCCGAGATCAGGAGGAACTTACCAATCAGTAGCTTGCCATGAAAGAAGTATAGATGCTGCAAGCACGGCATCCGAGTTCTCTTTACAGAAACTTCCGATGGCTTTTTGTAACCCTTTGAGAGCTAATCCCCGATGCTGGTAGGCAAGGTGCATAGTAGCTGAACATGCTGTTAGCCACGAAAGGTGCGACGCTGACAACGCCAGCAACGAGTGCATGACAAAATCACTGCACATAGCAATCCTCAGAAATCTCTCAGACGGCGTGTAAGTATTTAGCGTATCCAGGGAAATATCCGAATCATTCAAAAAGACTTGGGGACAAACATTGGTACCCGCTTGGTCCACAACTGATCCTTCTCTGGTTTAGACTCTTGCATCTTGACCGCAACCGATGAGATATGATGTATTAGTCGAAGGTCTGTTGGTGAATAGCTCGAAGGCGAAGGCTCGTTATTCAAACCAAGGCTGGGAAATGGCCATTCTCCTTTCACAACCCAGTTGTCGAGCTCTTGCTGGTCCTGTGAAGAGATGTTGAGATCAGGGCTTCCCGGTATTGGAGGGTTCTCTCCATCAGCTGGCGCATCCATATAATCACACCGAACGTTGTGCTTTGTACAGTTGCGGCTTTAAGAACAAGATGCAAGACATTACAAATAGTAGGTTAGCAATCTAATTTAGAGATATAGTTCACAGGCTTCGCCAGAAGGCTCTCAATTTTGAGTTCCTCATATTTACATACCATTGAGGAAAGTTCTCATCGCACCGTATGTGCCTTCTTTTGCATGTCCTACAGCCTTTCCGCGACTTTGTATGGCTTCTTCGTGACCCGCTGCCCGTGCCTGGCATTTTTGTGTTGCGTGAGTATCGTGAGACGACAATGATTTGAATATAATTATAACAGTGGAGTAAGTGTTAAGCCAAGCAACAGTTGGATGAAATATGTATAATAGACCACCTCAAAAAGCCACGAGGGAGATCAAGCCTGGTATTTGAGTTGGCCGCCAGTTCTGCTCTAGTAAGGTTTACTTGCTCGTGGATCGGTAGCTAGGGGCGCAGCCTCGTCAGGGAAAGGGAAAAAAACGGATGGGTAGGTACTAATGATTAATTCGCTCTGAAAGGTCTCGGACCCAACCCGCCGGACAGGACGAATTAAGCATAAACAGCTGGAAAGAGACGTAGTTGAGATCTTTGTGGAGGTGACTCAGAGAGTTTCAGAGTAAACGGGCAAAAGAAGGACCGGTTGAGCGAAGACTAATTATCAGAACTGGCAAGGGACTTTCCTCGGAGTCTCCGATGCCTCGAATGTAAAAAATATGGCCAGCTTGAATGGTTCCCTCTGATTGAAATTTCCAAAAGTAGACGCGTACAATCAATCTGTACCGTTACTTTACGTGCTTCCTAGTTGAACAAATCGACTTGAAGCAAAGAAATCTGGACGCGTCACTAATAAACGGAAATTCAATCCTTTGGAGTCTTTTCGTCAACTTGTTCCACACATTTTGAGCGAAGGTTGCACATATACACACAGCCTTGTGTGACAATCCCTTATTATTTTTATGGCTTCGCCCTGGATCTACAGAGAACTAGATATCTATGAAGCCAGTTCAAAAATTCAGTCTAATGTCCAAAGAAAAAGTACATATATAAGTACATTTCTGGTTCGAAGACCGAGAATCGGGTCCTGACGGGAATGGTCCAAATCGGAATTACTTTTCCTATTAGTGATGTTTTGCTTTTTCTTTTCTTTTTGTGTTCTTTTTTACCCATCAGAACGCAGGCCTATCTTGGCATTTTGCTAGCTCTGAGGTAGTTGGAGCCGATAGCCGTTAACTCCAAAGAAGGGTAAAGAGACTCGAAAGAAGACAAAAGCCTCCCGTTCAGCCTTGGAGTCAGTCAAGTTAGTATGTTACAAGTTAACGGGTATGACATATATAACGTCCCATGGATTCACCTGTTGTAAATTTCCGGGCCAAATAGAACCAGATCCTTTTGATATATGCTTGTATTCCAGGGAACTTCGGTCGCACAATCCATTCCGTGAGCCCGGAAAATCGTCATGAAAAAGGGCCGATGCTATTCGTGTAGTCTAGGTCCCTTAAATATCCACGTGGTTTAGCCGAATCAGCGCTTAGCCTTTACCTGCCTGCGTCTTCTTGTAACCACTTCTTGCCCTGAAAGGCACAGATGTCACGTAAGAACAAAACACATGCGTTCCCCCGCAACATTTTCCCTCCCTTGTAGAACCTGGCGCAAGAGTTCTGATGAAGGACTTTGTTCGTCTTGTTACGGCTACTTCGTCAGCGTGAGGCTCAGTCATTTTGATATAGGATTTGTCTCGATAATTCGGTGTACATGCCTATGGCAGTAATAAGCTCCGAAACTGCCGAGCCATATATTCAAGTCACTCTAGCGAATGGAAACTTTAAGAATTGGGCGTATTCCAGATTTCTTTTTGTGAGACTAATTTTTAGAGTAAGTGATTAGAGAAAGGTGCTACGTTGTCGGCCAAAAATAGGTGAAGCCAAGGTATTAACGACTGTGAATCGAAGGTGATTGGACCTTTGTTCTGAACTGCCCTAGAAACACCTGTCACATCCAAAATTAAACTAGCAGAACCCTCTGCATCGATACGCCCATCGTAACAGTCCCTGCAGATATCCGGTGCCACGAAATTATAATGTGGAAATCTTTGTGTTGATGGTGCAACATATGATGACTATAAGGCACAATCACTGTGGTGATTCAATACTGAATTTGTATCTTTTCAAGTCATCACAACTCAGGTACAGTCAGCACCAGAGTCTAAAGTTCGTATTCATGAAAATACCATTGTTCTGTATTGTGCACCAATTCCAGACCTAGAAGAGAATTATCTAAAAGTTCAATAAAGTTGGTGGGGCACCCGCAAATCTGAAGCGGACTTTGGACGTAAAATCGCACTTTCTCTAGATTTCTCCTAGGCTCTGGAATCAGTTGCCATTCCTAATGAGAAGTGCAACTAGGAAATCGGCGATTCGCCACTGTCAACCTTACCATTTTCCCTTTGTGTTCGCTATACTCTGTGTTTTGTGTTTTTGTTGCATCACAAAGTTCCCAGAATAGCTCGCCTCAATGAGGCAAATAGAAGAATCCATTCTGGGAGTTGGTAGGGCCTGGTCACTGCATATCAGGCCAGAAAAACCGGGCATCGCGATTCTTTCCAGGTCCCAACATTATTTCAGACCGTTTTGGCCATGACGGCGGCAGATGATAATTATTTACGGTCCTGATACGGCACTTGATCGATCTAGGGTCAGCATGTATGTATTGCCATGTTTAATAATAGAGAAACGTCATGTAACTTATGCCTTACAGATCCATCATGCTTTTAGCATCGCTATCTGTTTTTTGTTACTAGCTTTAGAAACGTTGTACTATCGTCGACTAGCTCCGTTTCCACCCACTTATTTGCTTAGTTTGCTAAATCCAATGTGCGTCAACCAAAATGTGAGATATCCAGACATGTAACCATGGTAATTGAAAAGCGGGGTTCATTCAGCAATCAACCGGGCCGGAAACTTCAATTCTGAGACCCCGGTAGGGAGGTACGGTATGTGAAAGATCTGGTACTCAGTTCAGCTACAATTGAGTTGACGTTATCCAATCCTAAGTGAGGGCACCCCATCCGACCCGCGATAACTACTTGGCCTTGGCCCCAAGTATCGGTAGTCCGGCCTGTAGTTTGTAAGATTATCAGGTGAGGTTACCGATGTATTCTCCACATTCTCCAAATCAATTGACGTTTATGATTGCCGAATCATAGAGGTCCTGCAGACATCCTTTCAAGCACTGGCCTTGAGCAAAATGCAGTGATGATACTATTAAAAGTCATCAAGACGTATTTGGGTCTCCAAATAGGAAAGCTATCAGGAGGATAAACTGTCGGGAACCATCTGATTTCGAGCCGTCCTACAATACTAACACCCAAGCTTTAGTTTGTGCATGGGAGGTCACACAACGCCAAAATTGTGACCCAATATACATGCGTACGTACCAAAGCACTGAGACATATATTTATATTGATCCCGGTTTAGCTACACCGAATATAGCTGGATCCAGTGCCCATTTGGTTAATAAGAAATTTTTGGAATGCTGAAAGCTTAGGTCTTTAAACTTTAAGCTATAGTTTCTAAATGCCCTGCGAATCCTAGAACACACATTTGGGTGAGTTATCATTAGCTCTAGAAGCCTGGAATCATGCGGTGTTCATGCCGCCAAGACTTTGGATAGTTCTGTCCTACCATGCAGACCCACATCATTGTCAGGTGATGTGTGGCTATTTTTGTAAGTACTAAGTCAATAATTCTTTTAAAAGTAACATGCCCAAAGCTTTTCCCGTCAAAGATAGATCGCTGACGGAATTTATGGATTCGCTTAAATGTTCCCTGTAAGAATAGTCGTTAGGGGTTCGGTAGACCGGATGCCAATTGCGGGCTCTGAACCTGCTGAAACCTGCATGTTGTTGAGTTAGTTTTCAATAGTTAGATCCAAATGCACTCCATTCACTATGCGTGCTGTTAAGAATTAGATATCGTGCTTCGGGGGGGCAAGACTCTGTATGTTTTTTGCTATCTTGCATCGCGAAAACCGTATTGCCGGTACACCCGCAGCAAGGATGTCCCTTTTTTGTGATTCTCGAGTAGTAGAGTAGTAAACGACTGGAAGATGGAAAGATAAATTTAGATCGCTACCGAATAAGGAAAGTCACTACCAAGTGTTGCTAAAACGAAGCTGAGTGGTAGTACCCGGCAAGAGCCCAAGCGGTGACTTCCTGAGCCCAAGTCTGAAAATTTGATATGATATCCATCATAGTGTGTTTTGGTGTTACCAATTGTCAAAGAGGTATTTATCCAGCGAGATTCCAAACATTTGGGAAGCGTCAATTCTGTGAATGTCCTTTTTTGTCTTGGAGGGTTTGGAGGTCTTCTTCGCTATATATCCTTCTTATATAGAAAGGCCGCCCTTCTCGTTGCGTGGTGATATGGGGCTGTTGAGACCTGACACCGAGACGTCGCAGCCGCGAAGTTGATCCTCCCCATCACTTGCCGTACGTATTTCAGGAACATGAAAGGACACAGCCACATTTAGACATAACCAGAACTGGGCAGTGCTATATCGAGCACTATCAATTAGGTATATGGGACCATCTCTTTCTCTAGGCGCTTCCTTTATAATTCACAGTACGGCCCAAAGGCTGTGCCGGGATACGTTGGGGGTTGGTGTGAGGCAAAGGAGAAAGCTCCCACTTTGTACCCAGCTTGGCAATATGCTGAATGTATCTTAGAAAGTTGAACTGTTCAATTTATCAGTATCTTTTTGGCCGATAGCAGATCATAAAAGAATAGTGGGGGATTTTTGCACTTGCCCAAAGTTCATTCCCCTTGATCATTTCGAACACATAAGATAATATAAAGCCATTTCAATTAACCCAAACCGGAAAATCACCATTCTTTAAGAAGGCTACGGTGCCTGATTTGGCACAGACGACGATGGAGACTGCAAAAATTTGTCTGGTAGGTGGTACCAAGTATTAATGGTGTCACTATTCTTGGGTAAGAGACACCATGCCCAAATGGTGAGAGATCTGTGTGGCCTTTTATAATTGATAAACCTGTACTGACCAAAAGAAGAGGAATGCAGGGTGAAGAGGGATGATGCAGTGAAGCAAGTTTAGGGAGAGTCGAGGGCGATAAACCGAGGATGAGTAAACTACTTATCTTGATTCTCGACCCACCCAGGCCACTGAGAGGCTTGTTTTGATTTCTAAAATTCTACTCAGCACACGCGAAAGGGCTTGCTGTTGTTTCCAATTCGGCTCTTCGGTTGCTCGCGTCACGTCACACCAGTTGGCTACTATGTGCAGCTAAAGTGGTAGCGCCCCACCAGCCAAGTGTTCATTCAGGGCCTGACTGGAACCCATCGACGACTCCGGCATGCGCAGTGACTGATGGCAACCTGGAACTGTGAGAATCGCTATGAATTTGAGGAGTAAGAAGCGAAAAATGCTCAAGAAATGAAGGAAGCGGAACTGCGTTTTTTAAAAGGCCAGGCCACCTTCTCAGCCTTCACCGTTGTGGGGAAAACCATGTCAAAACCGAGAAATCACTTTGGAGGAAGTGAAACATACATAAAAGCCATGATGTAAAGACACAGGAACTTCCCGAGACATGAGGCTCTAACAGACTGCTTAACCACGTCGTGACACGAGGTCTATGTGAAAAAGAGCCGAGGGGTGGGTCCCAAGACAAGAATGGGAAGTCGGGGTTAACAAAACTCCAGGACTAATCGTTCACGGTGTACCGGTCCGGTAACACCAGGTTTTTTTTTACGGCAGATGGATTTCCAGTATTATCAATGCAAACAGACCTCGTCGAATGGGATTCCTCTCATCATCATCATTGTCTTTAATCGGAATTCCGCCTTATCCCACTATTATATTACTACAATGTAGCTTCGATGCTCGGTCACTGCACACTAGTCCCAAAGTGGTCGATGCGTACGCAAACACCAATCTTAAGCAGCTTGAGGACGTTATTTCCTGGATTGCCCGCCGAGTATCCGTCCTGCCATCCCTGTCATTTACACAAATCGTATCTGCTCCTGAGATATGTAGCCGAGTTGTGTCCGCCTCCTGCAATATGATAGATCGCTCCAATCGACCTGACATAGGCCACAATGGAAAACACAAGCTAGGCTGCATGATTTGAATGTCTAGAGATCCATTACTCCCAACATTCACCAATAGCCCTTCCAATACACCAATATTTAGTGCTTGGTGGGCTCTTTGTCTTTACATTCTACGTACACATAGAGTATTGTAGAGTGTTTGCTTTTCTACCCAATCCGTAGACTTGCCGTCCAAAATATCTTGTCCTGCAGCTCGTTGGGCAGCTGAGCTTACATGCACTCTTTATAAATATAGGAGCCCAAGACACGCCGAAGATACATTGAGCGGTTAACCTACACTTGTATGTTTAGAAGTGGTCCAACATCAGTTAACATGGAGCTTACAGTCCAACATACAGCCAATGTTTCATCGGCGAGTGACCCACCATGACCCACACAAGACTGATCACCAAAACCCAACCCCACCCTCAGATCTGGAGCTGTTTCTTTTATCCCCCGCAAAGAAAGAACAAGCTTTTAAGCGAGCAAGGCTGTCCCGAAGCCCCGATTACGTAGATTAAAATGCAGTTATATACCAAAAACACGCCCAACATCTGCAAGGCACATGACAGATGCGCACGCCAACCCAACCCGTCAGCAAGCAAGCAGCCAACCAACGAACGAACCTCTCTCACCCCACACGCATGCAAAACCTCAAATCCACCGGGAACATAGCACATATGTCTCGGATTTACAAATTTCCCCGGGTCCGCTTATCGCACCCGAGACCCCCGCAACGGTACCAAGTACCATAATCCTAACCCCCCTTTCATAATGTACAAATAGTCGCCAAGACACCTCAATCCCCTATGTGGTAATTCCGCTCCTAGGTGAAGCATAAGGATGTAATGAGAGGAGAAATTACAGGTCATAATTACAAGTGTTTTGGTTCCTTCCCCTTATGGGTGCAACACTGTCATCTATATATCTACATAATAAATTGTACATCGATTTTGAGAGTAAACTCAAAAAAAAAAAAAAAAAAAAAATTCAAGATTCATAATACGGCTGTCAAAATCTCTCTAAAATATCAATTTGGATTTTTTAGAGCTCAAAGATACCGTAACTATTCACCAACGTCAAAGCTATGCCCAAAGGTATAATGGACTTTTCGGGGTAGGAGTACTTTCACCCTCAACATGTATCGAATTCTTCATACCTAAACCCAAGTCTTGCTCCCAGCCACAAGGAAATAATGATAAACCCCCAAACCCCCCAGACCCGGAACCCCAATTCCTAAATTGACACAGAAAGAAAACACCAATGACAAGAAAACTAAAGCACAAAACCAGAAAACTTTTTTCTTTCATTTGATCATCCACCTCTTACTCAAATATGCTCCCTCTATATATAACAAAGGAAGAAAGGGTTAGAGTTGAAAAGAGAAAAAATCGGGACACCGCAAGAAATCACATAGAAACCCGAAACGGGCAGATAGGAAAACACCTGTCCCTAAATAATTCTTGCAAATACTCTTTTCAGACCCTCAAATATGGCGTTATATTCGTCACAACGCAGAAGTTCCCACAGTTGATTGTTTCTCTCTTGCCTAAAAACAAAAGAGAAAATGGAAAGAGAAATAAAAGCGTTAAAAATAGCAAAACTCCCCAGGGCTCTTCTCATGATTTTTGTAATACAATTATAAAGCGTACTTAGCCCTTAGAGATTCCCGGTCTTGTGGGGGGATTTGAGACATAAATGCATCAAAATCTGCAATAAATCTTTTGTAGCCAAGAAGAGTCTAGGTAAAAAATAAGTAGGCTTCTTTTAGATCTCCGAACGGCGAATAGACAGAGGGAAATCAAACCTGTAAAAATAATTCGTTCAACTCTGCACTTGCACCCTTGTATCTCGCAATCGCCCTGAAAAATGGCACGAGGCAACTCTCCATTGCCTCCGGGTTTCTTCCTACAACCAAGCAGAATCCTCTGAGAGCCGAATCCTTCTCATCTGTCTCTGCAACCTTTTGGAGCGCATCGAGGAAAGGATAAGCGAATGATTCAAGATGCGGTGCGAGCTCATCACAAGAGCCTAGACCCAGTCTTCCAAGAGCAACAGCAGCATTTTCGGTCACAGAGGTTGGAATATCGGTCGTTTGGATGATTTTGACCAAACGGTTGTATAACCTTTCCACATAAGGACCCATCCCAGGACCTTTACCAATCAAAATTAGCGGTTGCAGATTCTCGTCAGGATGAAGCAAATACCTTGTTGTAAAGCGATCTCCCCACAACTCCAACAAGCATTGTTTACAACGCTGAACCCTGTATCCAATGATGCCTCGTCCAGTAGCTCTATATCCAGTTGTTGAATCAACAATTCCATGATACTCGGCAGGAATGCGTGAAGTTGTTGAAAGACGTAGATAGCACAATCACCGAGTAATGCATATGCAGATTGCCGGACATCATTGCTTACATCCTAAACACAATCAATCAGCATGTTTTTCTTTTCTCTTGTTTTTCTTTTAGACTTGACAATAAACAGGTAAGAATGGCAAAGTCGCACAAGAAGGAGCAAGGAAAAGAAATCAAGATAGCTGAATGTAATAAGAGATGAACGAACCGCCATGCACACAGTCAATAACTCAAAGAAACTTGGCCTTGATCCTGCAACTAATTCGGCACTAGTAGAGTCAAGTGCTTGAATAAGCGCACTCAAAAGATCCAAACTAGTCACCAAGAAATCTTTATCGGGATTATCCATCAAAGGATCATGGGCCATCTGTAATTGTAGGTTCTGATGGATTATACCAATACATCGGTAAAAGATCGGCCCAGCATATGGAGTAAATGAATGCCCCAGTGCAGTGGCAACATACGACAGACATTCAAGAAGCGGGAATAATTCCCTTGAATCGTCCTTTACTTTCTTCCACCGGTCAATTAATGCTGGCATTAATATATCCACCAGAGACTGTTCCGCCAGTGCGTGGCCTACATGCTCGGCAAGGGTTTGGATACAGTCATACAGAATGAACATGTTCCGATCCTTATATTTTCCCATAGCGACCACAAATTGTCGGACAATCGGTTCGATGTAGGGTTTTAAGAGCTCTTTGCTCTGCTCCTCCAAATTTGCAAACGCACTAGCCCCGGCTTCCTGGACTCTTTTGTTTCCGTCCAACATCTTGGTCAATATACCACCCATCATTGGCTCGAAGTATTTTTGCTTATCGGCAGGGTCTGGAAGATGTGATGCCCAACGAGAGTAACGACCAAGAGTCCAGCAAGTGATCTGACGAACGAGAGGCTCCCCATCATCAAGCAATGAGATGAGATATGGAATCAACTCAGGAAGGTGAGGAATAACACCCTCGAGACATCCATCCGCTACAGCACCCAAGGCCAGTACGGCTGCTTCACGATAAGGCCACTCAGGGTGACGAAGGTTCTCCTTGAGGTAAGGAAGAATTGTCTCGAAAACCGACTGATGGAAAACTGTTGCCAACACATCTAACGCTGCCGCTGAACACTTCCTTAGATTCCACCGGTCTTCGGGGTCTTCCGTTCCCAAATAAGCATCATCCTCAGAATCATAGTCATCATCGAGCTCTCCATCACTAAGCTCATCCAAGGCCACTTCTCCGGGGGTCTTTCCGTTGGCTTTTTTCTCAGCATCTCCAACTTCCACACTCTCGCCATTCGGTAACCTCTGTTTGTTCTTCGCAAAAGTTGGTCTTATGTCCTCCACTTTGTCTTCTTGATCGGCATCGTCTCCACCACCTCCGAGCCTGATGATATCTTCTTTTGCGTATACCATTGATTGAAGCAAAACAGGAACTATCTTGTCCAGGTATGGCCCTAGCCCCACCCTCAACTGTTCATGTTCTCCAACAGTTAACCAAAACTCGGCCGCGTCCAAAGCCAATTCCTGTTCGTGAATGAGCTTTTGCTGAGAGAGCATATAATCCACAATCCCTTCCATGTGAGGAGCAATCTTATCTGGTCGAATATCCACAAGATGTACAAGGGCCCTACAGACCTCCTTCCTCACATCCTTATCGCTATCGTTACTGAGCCGGAATAGACTCTCGAGTAACGAGTCAACGTGTACGAGAACCGATTGAGACTTGATGGGTAAGAAAATGTTGATTACATCCAAGGCATCTGCCCGGACTTTGGCAACGGGATGTTGGGTGAACTGAATAAACTTTGGAATAAGAAAGTTGAGAGGCCTCTGGCCCTCGTACTCTTTATCCAACTGCTTTTTGCTGTCCTGGCAAACTTTCAAGAGAGCCCCCATAGCACCTTCTTGGAGTACCAAGGGAAGCGTCTCCAGTGGAGTTGTCCACAAGGGCAATCAACTGGGTCAGCACATCAGTCCATGACATGATTCCGCCCACATTAAGCAGGGTTGTGATGACAGTTCCAGTAAGGTTCCGAATTTGAGCATGAGGGTCTCGGAGACCTAAAAGAAGCTCAGACTTGATGTAAGAAACGATTCCGGGTAAAAGAGCGGGCCCCGAGTTTGCAATGTTGTTTTTTAGAAGCAAAGCAGCAGCAGATCGGACGACGTGAGCATCGGTTTGTGACATATCGCCGACGGCGTTCGGGTGTACTAGGATATAGCAAAGGTAATTGTTGATATCCGGGGATTGACTAGTGGCTTGCTGGAGCATCTAAATATCAAATTGTAAGAAGGAATGCAAACAAGAAAGAAAATCCAAAGTATATATCAAAAATACAGAAGAACGGGATTCGGATGAAGATAGGGGAGTCAAAACAAACCTCCGTAGCACGTTTCTGAGCATTAGAATCATAAGAATTGCCCAAACTATCTTTAAGATAGCCGGCCAACTCCAGTATAGGGCCTTCTTGAGGTTGCCACGCCATTTTTCCGTTCAGATTAATGGAGATCTTGAGTTTTGAGGGAATGACTGAAGATTAAAGGATGGTAGAAGGACGGAGGTGGAAGAGAATAGTCCTGGTTGAAGAAGAGGAGGGGCCGACGGCGCTAGACAGGATCTCCAAGTGGAATTTCCCGAGCAGGGTCAAAAACTCTACCTTTGTGCAAGTTAGCGATAATTATGGGGAAATCTTGGTAAGGAGTTGGTCGAAAGCCAAAGAAATCTAGCGGGGCTTCTTTCTTTTTCGTCTTGGGTGTGCTTTTTGGGGGGTATTTGAGGGTGCCACAAACCTCCAATGTTAAGAGAGCCTCGCTCACTAGGAAGAAAACAATACCCCTGCGTTGAAGGACAGCGCAACGGGTGAACTCGCTAGGAAGAAATTAGATTTAATAGAAAGAAGGAGCTGGCAACCGAGGTGGGATAAAAGAGAAGAGTGAAAGAAAGAAAGAAGGGGGGAGTATGTGTATGTATGAACGTGTGGGGGGTGAGAGGTGGAGCGTGGAGGGGTAAAATGCTAGTAAATGCTAAGCATAGAGAAGTGTGAGAGAGAGATGGAGCAGTACATGTAGTTCTACTGATTCTATTTTTTAAAAAAAAATATTTTGTTTCTCTCTCTCCTCTTCCCTTTAGCTTGACTGCCTTCTCTTTTAATCCTTTATATCTTTCGTGGTGCTATCCTACATACCTAACTGTTTCGGTTTATATCTTTTATTGGCTACAGAAGGTTTGTTCCAGAGAGCACCAGAGAGCACCACCTCGCTGCAATAACAAAAAAAGAAGCCCAGCGAAATCTGCAGTTAGCTTGTGCTGGTCATATGTACATACATACTCTACTGGCATGGAGATGGAGAGGGACAGCAGGTTGGGCAAGTGATGGAAGAACAAGTACCTACATTTTGCAGAGAGGTGGGGGAAAACACGCGGAGACACACGCCCAATCACAGGCAAAATCAGTCCTCACAGGCAAAGTGCGGGTCGGTCGTCAGAGAGGAAACAGCGCTCTGCCAACACCAGCAAAGGTTGGCAAGCAGGAAGGAGGGGCAGTCCCTCGGTGCTTGTGCCCACACGCTAAGGGTTAGGTTTGTCTCACGAATCTTGACCAAGGGCGGCTACAGCTGCTAGACCCAGTATAGTTTAGTCTCTTTGTTTATTTCCCGTCGTCGCGCTTGGGCCAAACCTGTCAGTTTTCAGCCTCGTACCCCTGCCAATACGCGATACCTAGAGTATAACATCAACGTATAACACTACAGCCATATCTATGCCATAGTCTATGACTGCATGCAGAGTTTTGTACCTAGAATCAATTAAACTACATGATTTAAAAAAAAAAAAAAAAAAACACTACAGCCATATCTCAACATCTCCTATGGCTCCATGGAGTCTACCGAAATTAGCACAGGTCCCTTATCTAGAGATACCTCGTCTATTCAGGAATTCTGGTAGATTCTTTGATAAAAAGACCTAAGCAACTAGCACATATATGCATGCGTCGAACACCTCATCTACGTACATACTTTTGATCTATAGATTACCTAGGCCTACGCACATGTAGATACTTGTAAGTACATTTATATCCTATATATATGTACATGTATATACACCTCTATATATTTAATACATATATGAATCTACGCACACCTTATATTAATATAATGTGCAAAAGTGAGAACGAGTCGCAGATTCTTCAAAACTACATGTATACATGTATGTATGGTACATTATATATATCCACTGATTTAGAATGATTTATTATCATCTTCACGAAGCCAAAAAACTCGAATAATAAATTCAAGTGACGAAAGATTGATTTAGATCCAATGATTGATAGGGGAAAAACAAATAAAGCCACACTCCCCGCCCCCACAGAAAGGGTAGGATACATGTAGGTACCTACATACTCGTTTACCAGCGTAAGAACCAGAAAATGCAGTTGCTCAGGGCAAGGATAATTTGTATGGAGTGGCGTCGTTCTCTCATACAAATAATCCCTGTTTCCGTTACTTGCTTTTTCTGGTTCTTTTGAGGGTAAGCTGTACAAGTGCATGTAGGTATCGTAGATCGATATTATGTATGTAGCATACATACATACATGGATAATCATCCCCTTAATGTTGTTGATACGTGGGGGATATACTTCCGGGCAGGATGGAAATGTCGATCATTCAGCACTAGAGTACCACGCATGTATGTAGGTACATTATGTATATAACGTACATGTAAGCAAAGCATGAACAGTACCTAGAGCACATACACTCGAGCACCTAAGTACATGTAGATATACATTATAGGTCCGGATCCTGCATTCTCGCTACTAGACTTACTTTCCTTGCAGTACGTACTTTAATTTGAAGCTGATAGAGGCATGCATGTATGCATGCACATAACACAGCTCTTAAGCTATATACTCTCACGATTGGACTGTGGCACTCCAATAAGAAGTATGCTCTTTAAATCCGAGATTGCGGCACACGAACTTCTATTAACTACATAAGTATCGTTCATCCAACTTGAGACATTGTCCTGTACCTACATAAAGAACTGCCCTTACTAGTCTCGAATGAAATTCTTGGAGCATTCTATTGGAATGCATCGTTTTAACGATTGCTAGGGAAATATGGCCTTTCCTATTGGTATGTTATTCTGGTGGCATCCTGAGCGAACAGATGATCCCCACTCAGGAAGACGCTACCAACGTACCAATGGTCCATACACAGAAATATACATGGAGTCGTTCACATAGTATGGGGATAAACCCAAATCATACTAACTTCATATATGTATGAACCTGTATGGTATCAGATACCTCATAAACTAGAAGATAGGATAGCAATAGCCAATTGCAAAGATGGTTGAGAACTTCTGATCAGAATACGACAGATACTATAGCTGATTGGACATATTTAAGGCAAACATACCTGCTATGATCGTGACCATATCAGTCTACATACACTTGTCCATTGATACGGGGAGTATAAACCACTTAAAAATCATTGAATTGTATGTCCGTAGTTGTAAAATATCTATAAATTGGAGACATATGTACATATTTAAGCTAATACCAATCGCAACTGGGACCGGTTATATGGTTTTTAGGGAGTTCTGCACTGATAATATATGTATGTTCCTCAGGAGACCCTACAAAAGCCGAAACTTGGCAACAGAGGGGAAAGAAAAGTCGACTTGAGATGTTGGTTTAATTTTATCTTAGATACGTGGAAAATGTCTAAGGTTACTTAGGCCGAACATAATGTACGTCGTGTAATTAAAACGAACGTTTCCTTCGTAGTCCTATCCAAAAGGACAATCTGTTCCTCAGGAAATGGACGCATACGTATACGAACTTAATACAATATATTCATATATCATCCAGTAGATCGATCGTCATTAGGCATGCATAAACCCCGACAGCCGACCCAGACCTCTCTAGTTCAGCTGCAGAACTCCCTCTGGCGTTCTCTAACCTTCCTTACTATCTCTCTTTCTTATTTTCCTAATATTACCGTTGTTAGACAGGGCCTGGCCAGGGGTAATCTTCACTTGCTTAATCTTGGAATTTCAAATCTAGCCGCTTATAATAACCACAGCGCCGTTATCTTCTGCACCCATATATACCACGCTTTATAACGCTTCATACTGCATCTCAGAATTAAACCAAGTAAGAGAGCCTACATGCATATACATACATGTCTTTAACTTACCATGCTAATTAGATTGGCCTTAGTACTCAATTGTCTATATTGGCTTTACACTTGACGCGATGCAGTTCTGGAAACGACGTTGGCAGGGGAGATCGACTGACACGTTGCAAACAACTTTTTTTTTTTTTGGTCAAACGAGGTGCCTGTTTCCTTCGACCAGGCCTTATAAAGTTGACACGCCGCTGTCCTCGCTAGTCGGGCCTGGTCGTTGAAAGGGCCAATGAGATGGAGTCTTGGCACGAATGTCACCTCACGAAAGGAGTATATTCGATCGTGGGGATTAACACGTATTGTCTACGTGAGAACCGATTATTAGTTTATTTCGCATCTCTTTCACGGTTGATTTTCTAACCCATCGGTAACGCAGTACAGCACCCCGAACAGCAAACCGTCACACATTTCTGACTAGTAGCAATGATGGGTGCGCATGCGGGAAGGATGCTTCCAGCGAGAATTTCCCGATAGGCCAGATAAAGGGCACTTTAATCTCTGGAGAAAATTGATCACTCATCTGTTCGCGTCAGCGTGGCACGTACCTATCAAAATTGGCACTGCTCGTACTCACAGATTATCACTCGGCATCTTATAAGCTTTACCACACAAGCATGATAGGCAGCGATAGGTGCGTAAGAGAGAATACAGTATGCCCGACAGTTCTCCGTTTACATAACCCTGTTTCAATAATTACTCACTATCCTTCATATAGAAATTGCAATTGTACACCGCTCAGAATGAGCGAGCTAAGTCTCGTGGATAGCACCACAGCGCATTGCCACTTCAAGAGCGCCAATACCAAAAAGAGCCTACCACATTTAAGAGAAAGTCCCTAGAGAGTTCGATTTAGAGCTGTACTATTGCCGGTCAGGATCATAAAATGCAGGGGCACTTTCTATTCGAAATAGCTCTGCCTACCGCCTCGCGCGTCTTGTTTTAGCATGAGACGCATGAGTATCTTGCTATCGATAGTATGGCCAATATTTTCCGTATCTAACCGTTAAATCCATGGCTGGACCTGTTAGTACCCAATCACGTGATCCGGCTGTTCTACACACCTGTTCTTATCACACTCATAGTTAACCCTGCTAGATATTGTGGAGTATGTATCACACCACACAGGAAGATTTGATGCCGAGAAATTGATTGGTGTGCATAAGAACTCTTCATATCACAGTTACGTATACCTGCACTCTTATAATTTGTTGCAGTCAAGTGCCCTAGCGCAACTTAGGGTACTGACATATTTCAGGCAGATGAATATCGTTGTAAGATCGAGATCGGGTTATGTACCTAGCTGCCATGTCCCGTTGGTGTCTGCCTATGTAAATGTCTCTCCAACAACCTACGATCGGAACGGTTTAGGAGGCCGGTCACTATATACAGCCATGTCTTATATTCGCGGAGAAGGAGCCCGGAAACCGCTTGACACAAGTATGTAGTACTTCGAGGCCAGAAAAGATGCGGAATCATTACAAGCAGTGTAGCAGCTTGGGGGACGTCATAAAATACCGGGTTGGTTAGCTTGCATGTCTCCTATTGTGCTCCAGAAACAGTAGCCAGGGTTAGGGTTCAGTTGCATCGGTTTCCGGTGTTTTTGGGGGCATCTCCCCAGCATCTATCCTTGTTGCAAATGACTCGTCTTATATCATTTTTTTTCTTTCATGGTAACTGAACACATACATACAGCCACTCAAAAAAAAAATTCTTTTGGACTTCCTTCTGCTTTACTCCCGCCGGTACAGGCTCCTCTCGAATTCGGTAAATCCTTGTCCAGGCACAGGGATGTTTAGAGGTTTGCTCATGAAGCATAGGCTCACGAGATGCGACCACAAAGAAACCAGCTGACAGCTTCATCTCATCTCCCCTACACGGTTTATTCCTTGCTGGAGAGTGAATTGAGAGGGGCGCGGCTGAGGAATTGGAATCATGACTCGCCCCGCCCTATTAATTCAGGAAACATGAAGCGGAAAAGAAACAAAGGGAGGGGCAATGCCTAGCTAACTGGTTAGCCTAGGGCTGATAAAAAGCAATTTGGCAAAGAGACCCTCTTCGCAGATCTGTGATGGCCATTGGCTGGACATGTAGGTACCGCGAAACGCAGCGTTGCACAAAGCTCTTATTTTATTTTTTGCTGATGAGAATGAGATGAGAAAAAAAAGGGATACAGAGGCCGACTTGACTGGCTGGGTATTTTGAGGCGCTTTGCTTCGCTTTATGGTAGGGGGGCCGTGTTATATAAAGCAAGTAAGTGCAAAAAGTAAGTAAGGACTCGACTAATCTGGAAGTTTCAAAGCTTCTTTTCGAGGCTTTCTGGTTGATTGGCGCCTGATCGGCTGTGCTGATTTCGTATGTTGTATCAGGATTGGGGATGATGTAGTAGCTAACTAGCTAGCTAGGGAAGCTGAAGGATGACTCGAAAATGGATTCTGCCACTCTCTTCGTAGAAGTAGATACTATATAATATATCCATAGTACGAGTACGTGTTGTAGTTTTTTTCCTATTCTCCAAAAGACGCTGAGGGACCGCGACATCTGTGCCAGTATTCAAGATATATCCATCTATACCATAGTACCATATTTCTCATTTCAACCTATCGTCCAACTCCAAAATGACAGAAAGCACACCTCTCCGTGTACTCTCACTAGGTAGGCACTTTATCCGAAACAAAGTGGTTGTGCCCTATAGTTATAATAACACTCGTACATACAGACGGCGGTGGTGTCCGCGGCTACTCAAGTCTCCTCATCCTCAAGCAGCTGATGCAGGAGGTCCAGGCCCAGGGAAAACTCGACTATATCCCCAAGCCATGCGACTACTTTGACGTTATCGCCGGTACCAGTACTGGAGGGTATGTTCTTCACAAACCTTCTCTAAGCAGTCTAAACCATCTGACACGGCGCCTCTGCTCTAGCTTGATAGCAATCATGCTCGGCCGCCTCGTAAGCCTCCCCTCCCCGCATACTAGGTGTTTGCTAACGCATCTGGCGCAGCGCATGGACGTGGACAGCTGCATCGTGCAGTACGAAGAGCTGTCGCAGGACATCTTTAAAACCAGCATCTGGCAGCAAATCCCGGGGAAGATGGTGTGGGACGCGTGGGCGGGTAACGCATGGTTCAGCGGGGAAGAGCTGGCGGAGGCCGTCAAGGAGGTGGTTGCTAGGAACGTATCAGCGGAGGAGATGGATGCGCTCAAGAGGAAGGGAACGCCGCTGGAGAATGCGGGACTGCTGGATACGAACAGGGAGGTTTGCAAAACGTAAGTGTCGAGTGGGAAATCTATGTGTGGGGTTGGGGGTATAGTTGATTATATACTGATTGCTGCGGCGTACTTAGCTTCGTCGTCTCCGTGCGCAAAGCCACAAACGTCACCGTCCGCTTCCGCAGCTACCCCAACTCCACGGGCCGCACCGACGCCTGCGCCATCTGGGAGGCGGCGCGCGCCACCTCGGCCGCACCCCTCTACTTCCCCGTCATGACCATTGCCGGCGAGCAGTACTTTGACGGCGGGCTCACGAGCAACAACCCGATCTTCCGCGTCAAGGACGAGCTCGAGGACGGGCTCAACTCGCCGGCGCCGCGCTGCGTCGTCTCGATCGGCACGGGCCGCATCGACCAGGCCACGGGCGAGCGCGGGCCCTGGAAGCGGTTTGCAAAGTGGATCACGGGCGGGTATGGCATGGTCGGCTGGACGCTGCTGGCGCTCGCGACGGACACGGAGGCGAAGCATTTGGAGATATTGACGGACGAGAATAATAGCAGGTTTAGGCAGAATTATTATAGGTTTAATGTGGTGGGGAATATTGGTAGCATTGGGCTGGATGAGTGGAAGAAGCTGCCGGTGATGCGGAAGGAGACGGCGGCGTATTTGAAGGAGGAGGGGACGGTGAAGTGGATCAAGGAGTGTGCGGAGAAGTTGGTGGTGAAGAAGTAGTGATGTGTTTATGTGGTGTTTATTGAGTAGTATAATGGTGTTAATATTTGCATGTTTGGGCGGGGCAGTTGGTTTTTGTGTCGAATCATGGATTATCACTCTGACAGGAAAACGGTTCTTTTTTGTTTGTTTTAGCTCACTTTTAGAATATCAGTCTTTTAAAGATTAGTGGGACTAAAGACGTGGCATTGTATCTACTTTACATGTTCTCCCGGTGCATCAGCTGCTCTTTAAAGGGATTGAGACTCGGGAGGAAAGTCTTTTCACTCTTGCGTCCATGTATCTAATGAGGATATCAATCAATCAAATATCAACCAATCAATAAAGCCTTTTCTCTCTACGGGAGCCACACTGATATTTCACTGCTCTCTCTCTCTGCACTCCTCTCGCCCAAAAGGACTACTGACCCCCCTCTAAAAATCATCAATTCAATTACTTATTCTCCGTAATAGGCCCTCCACGGGCAAGCACTGAGCCCACTCCGCCAGACAGAAGACAAACAGCCAGAAGAAACCCAACCCCCCAAAACACCAATTCCCAACAACGGACTGTCAATCCTACTTATCACCATCTAGGGGTATCAACACCTAAAAATACAGCAAATAAAATAGAAAAGAAAAAAGAAATTTGAAGAGAAAGAGAAAAAAAGAGAGAGAAAGAGATAGCTAGTTAAACAACTACACTCCCCACACCCCTGAAAAACGCAATATTCCTGCCACCATTCACAACAATACCAGCACAAACACCCTCCCCGCAGCCTGCAGCAAATCCGACCTCGCCCGCCCGCTCCATCTTGAGCACGCCGAGGGCCCCGATGGCCGCCGCGGACGCAGTGATGCTGCTGGCGTCGAACCAGACGACGGATCGGTGGGTGCCGGGCCCGCCGGAGAAGACGACGATGAGGCGCTGGCCGCTGGGGTCGAGCGCCATGTGCTGTACTGCGCCGCCGTAGCCAGACGTCGTGGCTTCGGGATCGTTGTCGTCGTCGAGAGTGGCGGGCTTCCTCGTGTTGGAGGAGGTAGCGGTAGTGGGAGGGGCGTATGGTGTCCATTCGGTCTCGAGACTGCCAACATGCACGATGGTGATAGCCTCACCGCCGCTGTTGCCGAGTAGCTGCGCTGCGGCGTGGATCGCGAGGTTATAGATTCTCCACGCAGGACTGACAACCTCTCCCCCGTGTCCGCCCAAACCCGCGCTTGCAGTCGGGACCGTCGCCCGCAGGACCGACTCGGGCACAAGCCGGAACACATGGATTCCCGGCCGGCGCTTCATCGCCACTATAACCGTTGGAAACGCCGTGTCAGGCACGACCAGAACCGATCCCACCCCACGGCCAAGCCGAACCCCAAGCAGCACATGCGGATAGAACCGCACGGCGGCACCTACTGTGACGCTCCCGGCGCCGTTCTCGCGCACTGGCAGGACAACAACAAGGCCGCCCGCGAACGCAGCGACGATACTTGCGGCACTGGCGCTCCAAGCTAGTGCGGTGCAGCGGGCGGCGGAGGAGGGGATCGCAATGGCGGGATAGGCGCGGAAGGAGGTCTCGAGGGTGATGTTGTGCAGCCAGACGCCGGCCATCGATGTCCCGACCGCCAGGTGCTTCCCGTTCGGGGAGAAGGCGACATGCGTGATTATACCCACGAATGAAGGCTGGTGGGAATGCTGTGGGAGCAGGCGGATGCGCTCCACTCGTGCTTTCTGTAGCCCACCACCACCACCACCCCCACCGCCGCCGCCGCCGTCCTCAGAAGGCGCCGGCGACCACGACGACGAGGAGGACCTGTCGATATCGATGCCGGACAGGATTTGTGCGGTACTGGGTGACGGCCTCGTCTCGAAGAATGCTAGCCCCCGGAACGCCGCCAGGTTCTGTGCGCGCCTCCGCATCGGCGTTGGCGTCAGCCCAAACAGCGGGCCGGGCCTCCTCGCCTTCCTCGTCAGCAGGCTCTCCTCCACCCACTCGTCCGCATTCTCAATGGACAGGTCGACATTCCACACATCCACACAGCCGCTATCCATCCCGACCGCAAGCTGGTTGACCCCATTCCAGGCCAGACTCGTGATTGTGACAGCCGCCGGCGTGTCCGCAGCACACAAGAAGTACGGCGCAAAGGCGCCCGTGCGCAGGTCATAGATGTGGATGCGCGCCCACGTCGACGAGAGTGCGAGCAGCGGCAGGCGCGGGTGGAAGGCGACGTGCTCCGTCTTTTCGAGGCCGCTGCGGGCCGTGTTCCAGCGGCGGGGCGGCGGGGTGCCGAGGAGCTTGTCGGTGTGCGGGCTGGAGCCGGAGAGAAGGTGCTTGACGAGGAGGTCGGGCGGCGTCGAGTACAGGCGCTGCAGGGTGGGGAGGTAGTTGAGGGTGTGGTAGAGGCTCTGCCAGAGTCCCCTGGGCGGCGGGGGGTCGCCGGAGGGGGCGAGGAGGCGGCTGGCGCGTTGGGCGGGGCGCGGGTTGTGGGCGGGGAGGGTGATGAGGGTGGGGAGGGTGGTGTGGGTGGAGGGGAGGGCGTCGGCGGGGGTTACTGGGGGGGGGGTGGTTATATGTAGTTAGTTAGACGTAGATGGACGGATGGCTGGGGAGGGAGGTGGTACATATAATCCCGTCAACCTCCATCACTGTGGGGGCCACTGGCTCTGGCAGCTCATAGAAGCTCTTCGCCATAGCGATAACAGTCCTGTAATTTAACTGTAGATGTCACAAGTGATGTTGAGTTGACCCAGAGAGCTGTTGTTGTGGTGGTGTTTGTGGGTGGTGGGATGAGTGTGTGAGGTTGAGTGTGAGTGAGTGTGTGAGGGCTTGGTGGGGTGGGCGGACAGACAAAGAACGACGTCCAACGCTACACATGTGCCCACGGACGAACGCAGGCGGAGTAAAAATAAAATAAAATTCGCTTGCTTGCTTTCGTCACATCAAACACAAACAAAAGGGGGCTCGTGGATAAATAAAAAAAAAAATGCTAGATTCGGGCGCCCGCAATAAAAAAAACGGCGCTAGCTACTTGGGAAAAAAGGTGCTCTAGCGATCATTACCCTCAACCTCAACCCTCAACGCCCTAGTGATAAGCAACGAAAACGGAACGGGACCGGTCTATCATACAGCCAGCAGCAACAGCAACAATAGTGATAAAAAAAATAATGATAATGGTAAAAATAATGATGTGATGAGAATGAGAACCAGCAATGATATAATAAAAACACCAGCAACAATAAAAAAAAAAAGGCAAGCTAAGGGAGTATGTAGAAAATATAGCCATAACATCTATTTTCTTTTCATTTCTCTAAAAAGTCTTTTGGAAGATAAAACTAACCTCCTTGCCCATTCCGTCGCGCACCACCTGCGTCAGTAGCTCGTCCTCAATACTCACCTCGTCGTACTCGTCCTCCTCCTCTCCATCTTCCCCCTCCTCATCCTCCTCGTTGACCGCGGGTTTGGCAGGTTTGGCAGGGTTGGCAGCACGAACAAGCCGACTCGCCAACACATGCGCATACTCCATCAACGCGCCCAGCTGCGCCCCCTTCGGCACCCTCTTCAGCGCCGCCAGACGCTCGCGCTCAATCTTCTCGATGTCCACCTCACTCGCCTTCATCAGCCCCGGATACTTTATCTCCTCCACCACCACCTCCTCCTCCACCTCCACCTCCACCTCCACCTCCTCCCCCCCCGCAGGGCCAGCAACATACCCCCGCCCCTCACACGCACACCCCAGCAGCTCATGCGTCGCACACTCCGTCTCGCGCAGCGAAAACAGGTCCCTCAGCTCCTCACTCGTAAAGCTGCCCACACCGCTCTTCATATCCACCACGCTCTCCGCCAACCCCGTTTTTGCCACCTGGCGCTGCAGGATCTTCTCTTCCACACACCCGGTCGTGACGAGGCGGTAGATGACGACGGGCCGCGTCTGCCCGTCGCGGTGCACGCGCGCCATGGCCTGTGCGTCCGTGGCGGGGTTCCAGTCGAGGTCGAACAGCACGAGGCGTGAGGCGCCGACGAGGTTGATGCCTGCGCCGCCGGACTTGGCCGAGAGGAGGAGCGCAAAGGTGGCGCGGTGGTCGGTGCGGTTGAAGGCGTCGATGATGTCCTGCCGCTTGGACTGCGGGGTGGACCCGTCGAGGCGGGTGTGTGTGAGCCCGCGCGTGGAGAGCAGCGTGGAGAGGAGGTCGAGCGTGCTGGTGTAGTTTGAGATGATGACGACCTTTTCCGTCGTTGTTTTGTAGAGTGTCAGGAGCAGGCGGTCGAGAACGCGGAACTTGCCGCTGTGGGACGAGGAGTGTGATTCGAGGAGCTTTGGGTGGACGGCGGAGAGGAGGGCCTGTGTTGTTGGGTGGTGTTCGGGGCGGGAGGGGTGGGGCGCGAGGAGGCCGGGGGAGTTGCAGAGCTTCTTGAGGAGCGTGATGAGGAGGAGGGAGGTGTCGGGGGAGCGGTAGCACGACTCGATGTGTGGCGAGGAGAGGATGGTGGTGTAGACTTTGAGCTGCTTGGGCGTGGGGCGGCAGAAGACGATGTATTCGGTCTTGGGGGGCAGGTAGGAGGAGAGGATTTCGGCGGTGCGGCGGAGGACGAAGAGTTTTGTGATGCGCGCGAGCTGTTGTTGTGTAAATGTTAGCAAAATGCAATATGTAGGCAGGGGTCCAATGATCAAATGTGAGGATAGCGAAAAAGAGACGAATATCAATGATCGCAGCAGCAAGAAAAGAACTAACCTCTTCACCCCTCGCCCTCCCCTTCTCTACATCCCTCTTCGCCGCGCCCGGCTGCCGACTCTTCACAATCGGGCCCTCAAACTCCTTCCTAAACGTCGCATAGCTCTCCAGCAGTCCCGGGTTCACAAAATCCACCATGATGTAAAACTCGTGTAAATCATTCTGCAGCGGCGTGCCGCTCAGTATCACCCTCCGCTTCGTATTCAGTCCCCTAATTGCCGCCGCACTCTTGTTCTTCTCCGTCTTGAGCCGGTGGCCCTCGTCTGCGATGACAATGTCGATATCCACGCTCCGCAGCTCGCTCTGCACCTTCTGCAACCGCTCGTAGCCCACAATCATGACGCTGTAGACGCGGCCGTGCGTAAAGTCGCGGATGTTGGCCTTGCTGTCGGCCACGAAGACGCCGACGCGCTCGCGGCCGAGCCACGTTGTAAACTCCTTGCGCCAGTTGTTGATCAGCGTGACGGGGCACACGATGAGTGCCTTGCGCACCACTGGAGCTCCGCCGCCGCCCCCGGACGCCCAAAACGGGCTCTGCTTCATCAGCGTCCACAGCAGCGCGATGGTCTGCAGCGTCTTGCCGAGCCCCATCTCGTCGGCGAGAATGGCGCCCTGGCCGTCAAACGGCTTGAACCCCATCACGGCCTCGTACAGGAACTGCACGCCCTCGCGCTGGTGCGGCCGGAGATGGGCGCTCACGAACGGGTCCACGACGACATCGACGATGACCTTACCCCCGCACCCACCGCTGCCCGCCGGGGGACGCGGCATCACGAGTGCGCCCTCCGCATTCGGGTCGTGCCGTGGCGTCGGAACCTTTGCGTGCGAGTTGCCCACCGCCGTGCTGGCGAGTAGCGGCGTCTTGAACTTGCTGCCGAAGAAGCCCGCTGCCGAGACGGGCTGGAAGGACGCCGCACTCTCCTCTGCCGCAGGTGCGGCCTTGAGGAATGGGCGGCCAGACAGATAGTCGGCGCGCGAGAGCACAGCGTCAATCTCGACGTCCTTGCCGCCGAGGGAGAGCAGGTCGCCGACGGCGGGGGTCGTGCGCATCATTGTGCGGCCGAGGTCCTTGCCGGTTGTGTCTTGCAGGGTTGCGTAGCCGGCGGCGGTGAGGGTGAGGATGCCGTCGCCGTCGAAGGTCTTGTGCTTCTTTGTGGTCTTTTTGCGCCACAGGACGGTGTAGTATTTGTCTTCTGTGCTGCTGCTGCTGGTGGTGGTGCTAGCATCGTCGGTGTCGTCAGTGGTGGTGGCGGGCGGCGAGACGGGGTTGTGGATGAGGAGGATCGGCTTGCGTGTGAGGTTGTTGGAGGCGGAGGAGAGCTTGAGTGTTTGTGCGACGCGCTGGGGCATGTGCGCGGTGGAGATTGTGAGGGCGGAGCTGGAGCTGGTGAGGCGGGTCTTTTTGTTTGGGGGCTCGTCGGCGTCGGGGGGTGGGGCGGTGGGCTTGCGGAGGAGGGGGGGGACGAACTTTTTGGAGTACATTTCTGTACCTGTGGGGGGTGATTGGAGGGAGAGTGAGGAGAGGGGGGGGGGAGAGTGAGGAGAGGGGGAGGGGGAGGGGAGGGAGAGATGGTGAGTGGGGGGAGAGATGGTGAGTGGGGGGAGATAATGATATCAGATATCAAGATCAGAGGGGAGATGAGGTCGGTCAAGGACAGAGAACAGCGCGTCTGTCCTTGGGAGACGCGTCTGGCCAGGGGTGCTGCTGCCAAGCCCGCTAAGGGGTCTCATCCCGGGCGGGGATCATCGGGGGCGGTCGGGGAAATCTGCAGTGGCTGCGTGCATTAGAGCACTCTCAGTCAGTCTGGTACTCTACTCCACTCTATGTAGTCTGGGTGCAGACAAACGCTGCCCCTCTGAGAGATCTCTCCGAAATTGCTTGCCTCTTGATCTCCGCATATCTCTCCGCCGTTTGATGAGAGCCCGTTCTCTACGCGTACGCACTCTACTACTACGACTGAAAAGGGCAAATGCTCGTGCCTGGGCAAAGTGCAGGTTGTAGGTAACCCCTGAGGTCTTTCTTGTCTTGGAGAAGTAGCACACGGGGGGTTTACCCAGTTGTTTTATTGGGGCTTGCATCATTGATCGCCAAATTAAAGGTTGCTCGTGTCGCACAGGAAACCGTTCTTGTCTGTTTGTCTCGTCTGTCAGGTGCGTGTTTTGCTACATGGCATGCTCTCCTTGTACTCTATGTAGCAGCTGTCCATATTTCGTGTATGCAGAGGTACATGTAGAATATCCATATCTAGACTTCTCGCTCTAAAGGCACATACCTACAGCCAGTTCACAACCGAACCAAAGGGCTGAAATCACCCAGAGCCAGAGTATGTGTCACCCCGCCCCCCTTCCCCCCCGCGCCGTCCTAACAGGGGGAATTTTTAGCATCCGGATCCCAGTCCTGGCCTTATCATTGGGGCGTCTACGCAGAGGAGATAGAGCTGTTTGTTAGTCAGTACCGTCCAGGTACAGGTACAGACAGTACTCTGACGAGTTGGAGATGGGTATCCAGACTCCAACTCGGCGGGTAGAGTACCATTGAAGAATTGCAATCGCGATACTGCAACAGCTAGCGCCAGATTGGTTTGAATTCTTTTTCTTTCTTTTTGACAGATAGACAAGAAACGAGCAATTGTCTGTCTGGTCCTGTCTGGTCCTGCAAATGCCTGGTCTGGTTTGAACCCTCCCTCCCTCCGCCGCACAATTATGGTACCAGGGTAAAAGCAGCCTCGTAACATACGAATTGACCCCCCCCCCTCTCCTCCCCAATTGCAATTGCGATTGCGTGAGCGTGAGATCCGATTTCAAAAAACGTGAGGAGTAAACAATCTCCCCGGGATCCGGATACGAGCCGATCCTCGCCATGCCCTACAAGCTACATACCCTATCCATCCCGCCTGCGCCGTCTCACGGTCGGTCGGTCGGTCGGTGGGGGGCTGTTGAATATAGGCAGCGCAGTGCAGTGCAGTGCCGTAGGGTAAGGGTAAGTAAGGGTAGGATTATTTTTGGCCCTGAAACCCCCGCTGGGCGGATGTTTGGGACTTGTAGAGAAACTAGAAACTGTAACATCTTAGGTAGTAGGGGTATGAAAGTATGATGCTGATGATGGTTTATCGATATCCCCGACTTTTTCTGCTCTCGCTCGGGCTTGGCCGGGGGTATTGCTTGGCAACTGGCCTGTGGAGGTTTGTGGATACCGCTCTGCCTCGACTTGACTCGCAAGTTGCAGCTGCACCCCCCCTCGCTTCCTTCTCTGCCTGCTCGCTCGCTCTCGTGTGTTGTGTGTGTCGTGTTGTGGGTTCTGTTCTGCTCTGTTCTGTCACTTTGACGCTTGGAGTAGCAAGCAAGCAAGCGCAAGCAAGTGAAGTGAAGTGACCCTTTGGCCCTTGTCTTGTTCTTGTTCTTGTCCCCCTCTCCCTCCCTCCCTCACTCGCCCCGAGTACTACTCCTTTATTTAGAAAGAGCTTGAACTTGTTGTTGCTGTTGTTGTAGTCAGTCTGTCTAGCTCTAGAAGACCAGATTGAGAATTATTTTTTCTATTATTTTCTATTTTATTATTTTTCTCTCTTCTGCTTGCCCCCCCTAGCTAGCTAGCGCGGTATTGATTGATTGATTGCGGCTGTTTGACTGTTTCTATTTTCCTGCCTGCCTGCCTGCCTGCCTGCCCACCCCGATCTTGCACCACCCCCCTGCCCTGCCCTGTCAGTGGAGGAGGAGTAGCAGCAGCAAGTGGAGAGGTGGGAGTGAGTTGCTTGTGCCCGCCGCTTGGAAGAGGAAACAAGCAAGACACAGAGAAGAGAGAGTACAGCCACCGTGCTCCAATAATTGCACCCTCGCCTGATTTCTGGTCCCGCCACTTATCTTCAGGGTCTGGCTGCCTGTCCCCGACCAACAACCTTACTTGCTTTGCTTTGCTTGCTAGTACTTGCTTGCACACCACACCACCATCCACCATCCACCACCACACCCGCTACTCTACACATAACACCCCATCCATCCATCCATCCACACCCGACACCATCCACCATCCATCATCATCACCACCACCACCACCACCACCACCACCACTATCACGAGAGACGGCACTGGGAGTCTACAGAGACATTCGCAGGGCTACCCGAGCAAGAAAGAGAGAGAGAAAGAGAGAGAGCTCCCATTCTACGGAACATACATACATACATACATAGCCTATAACTACACGCTCGCTCGCTGCACTGCACTGCACCCCGTATAACGGGATATATATAGATAGCACGCCCACCACCATCACCACCACCCTCACCACCCCAGTCCCATCGTCCCCACCAGGTGCCGACACCACCTGCACCCATTCCATCCACCACCACCACTTCACACCACCACAACAACAACAACACCACAACCCGTTGGGCCATCCACCACGCCTCCATCCGTCACCATGACGGTCATAACCCGCACCCGTCTAAAAGACGGCCTCACCTTCTCCCCGGCCGACGTCGACACCCCCGAGTCGTCGGGCATGGGCGTGCTCATCGGCCTGCTCTCGGCGTTCGGCTCCGCGGCGCTCGTGGCCGCAATCTTTGCCGTCATCTACTTTTTTCGCTATACGTCGCGCGGGCGCATCCTGCTGGACCGGATAGGGCGGCCCGGCGAGTATGATGATGAGCAGGCGCTGGCGAGGGAGGAGGCGGATGCGCTGGAGGAGATGGACGAGATCTCGAGGGAGGACTATTTTAGGGCGAAGGGTATGTTTGGTGTTTTTTCTTGGGTTTTTTTTTTTTTTTTTTTTTGCTTGTTTTTGCTTGTTTTTTTTACTTTGTTTTTTTTTGTGGACCCGGATATCCGTATGATGACGGGGAAAAGTGGGACTGACTGGGTGTGGGGGATGCTGTAGCGTTCATAGAGGCGAACCCGCCTGACTCGGTGCCGACGGATATATCGCTGTCGCAGTTCCTGGCGATCCAGGAGAAGGGCGTGTCGGCGTGGGAGTTTGAGGCGGAGCTCGAGATTGCGAATTGCTTTGTGGAGGCCCGGACGGAGATTGAGTTCTACGACAGCGTGTGCTCCGTGCAGAGCAATCTACCGGTGCCGAAGCAGAACGAGGTGTATTACTGGGAGGCGAAGCTCTACGATAAGCCCGAGAGCACGCTCGTATCAATTGGCATGACTACGAAGCCGTACCCGATGTTTAGACTGCCTGGTATGTATATTGTTATATTTTTCGATTTGGTGCCTTACTCGGGTTTGGTCTATTTAGAGGTTTGGGGACTAATGTATGCAATGGTTGCATGGTGCAGGCTGGCATAAGCACTCAATCGCCTACACCTCGACCGGCCACCGCCGCCACAACCAGCCCTTCAACGGCACAACCTACGCGCCCCCCTACCACCAAGGCGACGTCATCGGCGTCGGCTACCGTCCCCGCACCGGCACAATCTTCTTCACGCGCAACGGCAAAAAGCTCGACGACGCCGCCCACGGCCTCAAGTCACTAAACCTCTTCCCCACCATCGGCGCAAACGGGCCCGCATCCATCCACGTCAACTTTGGCCAGCTCGGCTTCGTCTTCATCGAAGCAAACGTCAAGAAATGGGGGCTCGCCCCCGCCTCCGGCTCCCTCGCACCACCACCCCCATACGGCTCCGAGCAGGGCAGCATCCTCCTCGAGACGGGCCAGCGCGGTCAGCAGCTACAGCAGCAGCACCACCAGCACCACCAGCAGGGATACTTTGAGCACCCGCCCCACCGCCGCCGCCGCCGCCACCGCCACAATCGTCAGCGGCGCACCAGCCCGGGCGCGGACGGAGCAGCAGCACGCTGCACACGAACGTGCGTGTTGGGTCTGGCGCGCCAGGGACATCGTCGTCGGCGGTCACGCCCACGTCGCCGGGCCCGCAGAGGAGCCCCACGGATATCTCGTTGGCGAACATCAGTTTTGAGGCGACGCAGGCGGCGCGCGGCGCGAGCCCGCCGCCGGATTATAGCTCGCAGGACAGCTCGAGCGATAGCAGCGATGACAGCGACGAGGATGGGAGGAGGAGGGTTGGGGAGCGGGAGAGACTGCTGGCCGTGGTTAATGTGGGGAGACGGTCGCCGACGCCGGCGTATGGAGATGTGGTGAGGGAGGGTGCTGGAGGGGGGGTTGGGGGGAGAGGGAGGAGTGGGAGTGCGCCGGCGGGGCCGAGTGGTGGACATGCGGCGTTTAGGGTGTTTTAGAAGAAGAGAAAAAAAACTCTGGGCGTCTTGGAGCTTTTTTTTTTTTTTTTTGTTATTTTTTTTTTTGCTAAAATGCACCCCCGCCCGTTATGACGGAGACTGTGGATTTTCCTTTACTTTTTTCTTCTAGCCTTTTTTTTTTTTTCTTCCTTTGCTTTGGAGGTATTGGGTGAAGGGACGTATTTATAGGCTATAAGCTGTGGTTTGGTCTTTTTTTTGGCGGGGACGGGGACGGCGGCGAGGACGAGCAGGGAGGATAGGCGGGAGGATGGTGGGGAGCAGGGGGAGTAGGGACGTAGGGGAGTGGGGGCGCGAACAAACGTTTTTTTTCTTCTTTTCTAAATTTCTTTCTGTTCTCATGGGTGTTTTTTATCTTTTTATTTTCATGTGAAAAATAGGCTTTTCTCTCTCTCTCTCTCTCTCTCCCACTCTCTGAATATCTCAATCTCTTGATCTCTCTACTCTGCTCTACTCTAGTGAATGGATGGCTGGCATTTGTTTCTTTTTTTTCTTCTTTCTTTTTCTTTCTTCTGATGGGGTTCTTTTTTTTGTGGGTGCGTGCGCTGGGGATTTGGTATCTCATTTTATGGACTGGCTGCTGGGCTCTGTTTTGCGTTTTTTTTTATATTGGGGAAATCTGTCTTTTTTTTATTGTTTTTTTTTTCACTTGGGGGGAGGCGCACGTTACCGTAGGCATAGGCATAGGCACAAATTTGGAGTTGGTTGGGTGGAGCGAGAGAGCCAGGTAGAGGAACGGGAGAAGAGGGAAGGGGGGAGGAGGGGGAGGGTGTGAATTTGATATGCTTACTACTACTACTACTCTGCTGCTGCTGCTGCTGTTGTTGAGCTATGAATGTGTGGATTTGCATACATACAACATACCCAGGAGGATCTAGGATGGAGATGGAGATGGAGATGGGGACGGGGGGGGGGGGGGAGGCTCGGTTACGTTCTTTATATGTTGATGCTTTCTTAGCCTTTTTCTTTTTTTTCTCTTTCTTTATGTGGAGTAAGCGGGAGAGAGAGATCGAGAGGGTTAGATGGAGCGTTGTTAAATATCGATTGATATCAGCTTGGGGTGCATTGAGCTGCGTGGTTTATATCCTACATACATAGTATCTGTTCGGCCTGCCTACCAGTAGTTAATCTCTGGCGCCGTTGAGATTCAATCCGGGTGAGAGGCCGATCGTGGTGTCTCTGGCATTGGATATTTAAATCCGAGTGAGAGGCCGAGGACGAGGACAAGGACGGGACCACTCGACCAGCTCCCGCCCGTACTATACATAACGCTAAATTCTGGTCCCTGCGTTAGTTTGTTTGGTTGTGGCTACTGGTAGAATGTGGCTTGGGCTTGATAGCCCCGACGGGCGGGGACCCTACTGCGGCTCTATTTTGGTCTTTTTTTTTCCCCTCGTCCCCGGGCGGGTTCCGCGGGGGGGGGGGGGGGGGAGTAGCGCTGGTCTTAGGCTCTTCCCCGACCCGTCTGCTTCCATGCTTCCAGCGCGCTGGTCTGTATCTTCTTCTTTTGGGGTTTCTTTTTCCGTTTCGGCCCCCCAAGATTAAGCTCCTAGCTAGAGCAGCTGCCATGAATTTTGTTGTGGTTACAGCCAATAATAACTGTGTAGGTTTTTTTTTTTACATGTTATTTGTTTGCTTACATATATTGAGTTCCTCCCATTTTGGCGCTGGCTTGAATTAACAGTTTTCTATTAAGCTGTTAGGGAAAATGGCCCTGCAGTTGGTGCAGACACTGCGTCAGTTGTAGGTTTCTCAAGTCTTAAAAGCGCCGGCGCCGGCTCCCAGCTAATGTAGCTGTAGGCAGCTAATGTAGCTGTAGGCAGCACGCAGTGCCGGGCGAGGGAAACACCATCTCCATCTCTCTCCAACTCTATCTCCAAAGCTAAAAAGGTTAGGAAGGGAAAAATATGCCGACACCCATCCCAACTAAGCAGGCAGGCAGGAACGTACGCGGAGAATTTTTCTTTTTTTTTTTCCATTTTTTACCTCCCGCAACAACCCCTCTCGATCTCACCTCCCCCCCCCCCCCCCCCACAACCCTCCCTCCAAAATATACTCTCTGCTGGCTGCATGAAGGCTCCAACCATGAAGGCCGCTGCTTCATGTGACAAACCGGCACGTAATGTAAATCTGCGTCTCGAAGGCAGAAAAGAAAGAAAAATCACCACAATTCTGCAGTTCCCCGCAATCTGTTTTTACTCCCCCCCTCTCGCCCTCCCGTCCCTTCATCCCTTCTCGGTGGTGGTGGTGCGGAAACATCCGTCCCGCGATTTCCTTCCATCTTTCTAGAACACCTTGGTGGAAGAAGCTTATTACACGCATCACCCGGGGTTGCAGAACAGGGATATATCGAGTGAAATTCCTGCAGTAGTGGATTGCGGGGGTCCGGAATACGCAGCTGGGGTGATGGTGAATGGGGGCCTGAAGGCGAGGCTATGTGCAAAAATACATGGTATCTTTTGTCTCCTCGATCTCTTGCGGTCGTCCTCTCTCTAGTCTTAGAGGTGAAGATGTTGTTAGTGGTAGCTAGCGTTACACCGGAGAGTAAGAGAGGCTGGGTCGCCCGGTACCTGACCCTAGAATCTTTTTTTTTTTTTTGGGGGGGGGTAAGTAGAGTACCAGAGTTGCCTGAAATCCAGGGGGAGGCCTTGCATGATTTGTTGTGAAAACCAGGAAACAGATGATTCAAGAAAAAAAAAAAAAAAAAAGACACAGCGGCAGTTGCGATCCCGTTTGAACTATTCAAAAGAGAATAGAATCAACCCCCTCTCTCCCGCAACCTAGGAACATCGCCGGTGAAATGCGTCTAAAAGTGCAACATGTTATAGATTACCTCAACTGCGCACGTCACACGGGAGGCGAGTACCGTACCGGGTTTCTTTTTTGGAGGTTGATGTTTTTTATCAGGAACGAGATCGGACGAGGTCTGTGTCACCGCCGCCTAGCCTGTCAGCTGCAGCCTGTAGATCGATCACACTTCCAGAAGCCTTCCTGCTTGGGAGCCAGTACGACCCGAGGTGCTTTAGGAGGCAGCTGGGAGGGCAAGGCCGCAATAACCGTAGATTACATATGTCAACTTGTAATCCAATCAGATGGCCAGTTGTGCAAGCATTCACTACCTAGATCCTAGATACCAGCCAAAAACACATGCGTGACCTCGAGACGTATAGAGAGTCAAGTGAACGATACGGAAAAGGCGACCACTTGGGGTAGAAGGCGACCTTTGAGTGGTTGAAAGCGTGCTTTTGATTCTTGAAGAAGAAAAACAAACGACCAGGGGGGCTGGAGATATCCAAAGACCGCCCTCCTGAAAATCAAATAGCATCCGATTCAGTATCGCGTTCTCGATACGGAATCTTGATTAATTGGTAGAACACAGCCTATATCATGGCCCGTCTTCGGGACCACAATGCCTCGATCGATTCCACACATCACTTCAAGGCGCATTACTAGTTGTGTACCCTCCAGTTTCAGACAAATATCAAAGTTCGGATGCTTATCGATATTTGATATTGATCACTGGTACAATGTTGGTATCAGACGGGATTTAAAACAATACCACATATGCTTGATGTATATGAGTATTTGATCGTTGAACGTAGCACATTCGGGTCCTAAAAACCTCCGTGCCGTACATCAGGTACAGTACATGTGCGCACTCGGACAAATCATTGGGGGTGTTGAGACTAGGCAGTGGACCCTTGGGCTTACGAAAATAAGATGAATGTCACGCAAACATCGAACCCTTCCCAAGTTAGTACACAGAGTACAAAAACCGGTACAACGCAAACTGCAGAGTAACCCAGAAATGAAACACGTGAACTCCAGGATCCTAGAGATTTTGAGTAAACTGACCAACCAGGGATGCCTCTATAAGTACATGTAGGTACCGGTCATGTGCATATGTATATTCTGGAATATTACACATAGCAGTAGTCGACGGATTTGTATTTTCCCAAAACATGGTTTTTCCGAGAATAAGGTAGTCGCCCTTGAAGGTATTTACGGCGCCTAAGGCTTTAAGACAGATGCCAGTATACTCTATAAGTAATAAATAATTACTATTGGTGTAGGTTGGAGAATCCTGATTCTATCGCACCACAAATAAATCGAGCTCCTATGTCTTAGTCGCAAAACTCTATCTTACTAAGCTGTGAGCAACGTTACTATGGAATATTGTCAACCGGTCCGCTGTACCAAATCCGGGGATAAAGATGAAAAACGGCACAAGAGAAAATAAAATCTAACGAGCGTTGAGGATATGGAACACCAATATTTGAAAAATTCAAAAAGAAATATATCAGGATTTCGATTATCTACCTCTATCAGAGTATGCCTCTTCTCACTTCCTCTTAGGTGAATTATATTAAAGATTATTGATTACTCATTGCTTCGGAGTGAGACTCCATAGTGCTTGGGACCGAGGAAGTCTTGCACCCTTTGTCTTGAGAAGTTGATTCAGATGAGTTGCTATGTTTGAAAGCCAGTCAACCAGAATTTGTTGTCTGTCGCACTTAGGTCCGATTTTAGGCTAGAGAACGCCGATAGATATGTTTCATAGCGCCAGGTCTCGGATTTTAGCTGTTGCCAAAACAATCCGCACTTGAAAGTCACATTCCCCAATGTCTTTTTGGATCATGGCTATGTGGTGATTGATGTGGTCTTGATAAGACCCTGGCCGCACGGTCAGTGAAACGGCAAGGTTACCCAACCCTATGAATCTGATCAAAACCTCCGAACCTTGTGTGTGCATGGGCCATACCATAGCTTTGAAACCATCTGGAATGTTTTTAACCGGATGATCCGTTCCCTTATTGAGAAACAAACGGTGGGAAGAGCACGGGTGGCATATATTTGCATCGAGACTTTGATTTAACACAGTCCCTCCCCGGCTGGCACGACGTCGTTGAACCGGCCAGCTGAGGTGGAGCGTGCGTCCACGGAGGCACGATACCTGAAGGATCGATGGTAACTACATGTAT